CCCCTAACCCCTAACCCCTAACCCCTAACCCCTAACCCCTAACCCCTAACCCCTAACCCCTAACCCCTAACCCCTAATGGGATAGGTTAGTTAGCTGGGTAGTCTAATAGGTAGTCTGTAAGCTAGGGTGATTCTATGTTCTACCATAGTCTATGTGGTGGTGTGTTTGTATCCTGGAGTGCAGATATATATATTTGGTGGTTTGCATGATGGAATCCTAGGTATGGTGTAATCATGTGGTTGAAAAGTGGGTCGTCCCGGTCGCACCCCATCAAAATAATTCCTAGGGTTTTACCAAATTTGAATCAATTCGTCTACCCTATCTAGTGGATAAATTAACTTGTAACTTCGTACAGATATAATCTAGATAGTAGAATAGACTTTCTGAAAATTTGAAGCCAATCCGACCACTGGGACAGAATGCAGTCAGGGTCAGAAAATCGGATGCAGTGAGCCCCTGTGGGGCAAATTTTTACTATGGGCAGAATTCTTGACCGCCGCGCAGTGAGCCCTCACTGCACCACCCCCCATGGGATAGCTTACTGCAACGTCTGGGATTGGGATCAGCTTCGGATGGTCAAAGTCAAAGGCACCGCCAAACTTTTTCCACCCGAGGAGGATAGGGAGCTCTCAGTTCTGGCACAATTCTCTGATTATCTATCGCCGGAAGTTCGCGCTGTCATAGTCGACGACGACGGGCTCCTTACCGGGGTTTCGACAAATCCGAAAGAAGACGATACTCTATTTCTTGCATATATCCCTTTCTCTTTATGTCAATCACTCGCCGGTTGTCGCACAATCCAGTACTCTAAACTCCAAGAGCTCGATCGGCTTGGACCGTTCATTGATCTTGTATCGTACGAAGAGGAATACGGGATTCCCCAAAAGGTTGCTTTCAAGTTTAACGTCTTGAATAAGCCTCTCAGACTACAAATGGCTTGGGATGAACTCAATATTCTCAAAAGTCTACCGCCACATCCTAATATCATACCCTTTGATCGTGTTGTCCTTGAAGATCAAGAGTCTCGGGTGATTGGGTTCACAACAAAATACATCCCAGGTGGAACTCTCGCCAATCCAAAGATTTCTTTTCGATTCGAATGGCTGCAACAGCTTACTCGAGTCGTGGATTTTCTCAACCTAGAGCTAGGGATTATGCATCAAGATATCGCACCCCGGAATTTGCTTGTCGATCCTTGCACCCATAAGATCGTTCTCTTCGACTTCGATCGGGCTGCATCTGGACAGCGACGCCTATACGATGGTCGAGATGATGTTACTAGTGTCGTTTTTACACTCTACGAGCTGGTCACAAAGGATACATCCTTCTCGGGCATCCCGCACTCGGATCGACATATAGACATGGTGCAAAATATGTCAGAGTGGGCTAGTAATCGCGAGCTAGACTCTGAGGTGTCGAAATTTCGCAACTTTCTGAATGAATGGGTAGCAACACGAAGATCTGACGGGGATATGGAACGATATCTCAATGCACCACACCGATTTACATGGCCGGACCTACCAACAGCGCCCGATTACAGTCTACCATTCCAGATGGGCACAACCTGGGATGGAAAGGCAAACTGGATTACTGGCCATCGGTCTAGAAACACAGCAATGGAGATGGGGCAGTATTGCTTTCGCTGGGAGCGGCCACCACAGAGCCGCTCTTTGATCGAGGCCAAGCATGGTGTTAAGTAGGCGATCTTAGCAAGCTACATTTGTGCGGAAGATATTCAATGACGACAATCTAAGATGCGGAGTCATACAACAAAACCTAGCCTCCGACAAGAGCTCGCTGTGAGCATAGCGTACATTGTGGAAGCATGCTTCCACTGAACTGATCACAATCACCTCTGTAGATGGGCAGGTTTTCTCTAATATCGTACGCAATAAGACACAGGTGTGTGGGCGAATTGGTAGCAATGTTGAGTTCACCCGGAGTTGAGCCACCGTCTTATGTGCACTAAGCTTGGCAGATTGGGAATAAAAAGTCCATACCAACCCAGGCTTCAAATGCGATATGGATTAGATAAATCATTGGTCAATTTTGGACGCAATGCATCTGCTTACTTCTTATCAAGATCCCTCGACATCTCGTTGCTGACCTGTTTTGAGGAAGGAGTGCTGCAACGCGGACTGATTCGAGCAATCATATTCCCGAATACTCGGTCTTTGCTCAGGGCCGAGGCAAAGAAGTTCTGAAACTCAATCACGGCGTCAAACACCGTCTTTTCGGCTACTAGCCGTATCTCTTCGGTTGCCTTTGGGTTCGCGGTGACCTCTGAAGTCAAATGGCCCTTGGCCTGAGATTGAAAGTGAGAGCCAAGTTCACCATTGTGCGTGGCAGTCGATGAGTCGGCGAAACTTGGATTCGGGTATGATTCCATTTGATTTTTCTCGATCTGCGCTTTTGACAAATTAAGCGAGGATATAGACCCCTAGTACCCCGTTCGGGTTTTGATTTAGGTATGTCGATTTCGCAGGTGTGTGGAGTAGTCGCAGGGTTGTTTGGGGCAACTGATGGGGAGCCCCAAAGTCTTTCTGTAGCACGCGAACTACTGAGGCCTGCCGAATAGACCTCAGATACAACTCTTTTCCGACTCGGGAAAAGATGGAGTTGAAGCAAGATGCAAGGTAGTCGTGGGGTGTCATGAGCAATGATTAAAGTGGCGCAATTCTCGGTCCTGGTCAGCTTGGCCCCCACCTCGATTCTTTGGAAATGACGATCATTCCAAATCAATTCAGATTCAGCGCATAAATTGCTAGATTTCAAGCTTAGTTTTCATTCAAAAAATCACCCAATACCCAGCTAGGAGCCACAACCCGCAAATCGTTCTTGGCCGCAATGCATCATCCGCGCAGGTACCCGATGGCACCACAACGGTAGAATACGGGCTGTGCCTGAATCTTGAGATGTTGGGCGGTTGCACCCTCAACGATACCGCGACCGTGGCAATCTACGTCACTGGGCAATTTGCGAGGCTTTTTACTTCAAAGGTTCTTCGCACCACTGGGCATTTCCAAGGCTCCTGATCGGACCTCTTCCGGGTTGAAATATACCTAGGTATATCGCTACCTAGCAATATCCCCAATGGCTATCTTCCAAGGTTGATGGGCCTGGAGGCTCTTGAGTGTTTGGATCTCACCTGGGCAGGTGGGCCTCCTTCATTAAGTACAACTAGATATCCGTAAATCAAGTATTCCTTGTTCTTCTTTTTTTCTATTTTCCTACGTATGAACTTTCGTTACCTCGGTGTCCTCTTCCAACCTTGGAGACAGAGACCCCGATACGGCGGTTCTTTGGCACATCTAGTCCCGCGTCATCTAGGGAAAATGTACTGGCCAGGTGTTTGGTGGAAAAAGATGACTAGGGAGACTGTTTCAGCCAATTAATTCCGATATTTTGAACGATCTCAGCAAACCTTCCAAGTTGGAATGAACAAGACGGATACCTAGGTATGGGGAGGAGTCATTCATGGACTCCTAGGCCTTCGGCTTTCCCTTAACCCTGCGTCAGGGTGACTTTGTGATCAGGATCCTCGGGCAAGTCGACTCCCCAAAACTTTCGCAATCGTTCGCGGAACAATTCATAACAGGACCCCATTCGTAAAACGGTCATTTCGCCAAAGTCCATGATGAGTGAAGCTCGTCCATACACATGATAACGTTGAAGGCCATAATCGACAATCAGATCCGCTGCCTCCTTGAGTTCATCTTCGATATCTTCGACCCTGAATTTCTGCCCGCCACCGGACACGTTTGCGCTGGATCCTACCATGAGCTGCCCGGAAGTGGCATTCAGTTTGCAAATTTCTTTTAGAAGAGAGCTGCAGCTGATGAACATAGCGATGGTGCCGTTTTTGGTGATCTTCGATCGCGTTTGTGGGGATAAAGCCTGAAGAAGATGATGGTCGTCACGGCTCGGCGCAACGGCCATGAAGCTCATGTCGAGATCTTCGACTAGCACACGTGTCATTTCGAACCGCCGCTCGTCCAACACGTGAAGCTCCCGGTGCAATTCGTGCGTTCCATATATACCCTGGGCGTGACCCGGTCGGCGTCTTTTCGCAGCGAAGGCCCGATCAATGGCTTCCGCAGAAGTGGCCATTAATCCGTAGCCCACCTCGGTTGGTAGGATAACGACACCTCCCGATTCAAGGACTTGATAAACGCGTTCGGCATCTGCGCAGACGTTGGGGAGTTTTCCAGGGACAGGAATGGTTTTGTCTTTGAAGGTGCTCATCCTGTCACTTCGTCCAAGTGGAGAGAATACGATACTTGTATATTCAGATGAAAATTTTGAAATTATTGATTCCAAGAAGGGTGGACAAAGACGGTTCTTAAGTATGTATGACATGATACTAAGGGGATTTCTAGCGCTTATTGATCGACATCGACTCACCAGTAACGTTCTATTCCGAACGCCTGCCATGACAAATTCCACTACCAGAACGAGACTAGCCTGGGGCTGAAAACAAATGACATAATTCTCGCATGAGTCTAACCTGGTTAAGCTAAAACTACAAAAATCATAGATATAACCTGCTGGAGTTCTGTTCTTCCTTGGTGAAAAATCTTTTGCCCTTGTCGATGTAGCTCTAGGAGTAAAGGACAACTTGGGCGGCTTCTTGTGTTTCTCTAAGGCGGCTACCAAGTGTAGTGGGTAAGCATCAGTATAGATGACTATAGTCTAAGGTATCAGCCTAAGTGATAATGGTATAGGTCTCAGACTTACGGTTGGTGGCGATGGTACCAACACTGTCCTACCCATACCTCGGGATGACTTCAAGGTTTGTTGTTGCTCTCGAGTTCACTGATTCTGACTCACCTGCTACCCAGTATAGAGATAGTATATTTACTGCTAGGTTATTCTCTCTTGTGGGATGTGCTCAAGTACGCCTGTTACCTAGTAAAGTACTTAGGTAGGAAGAGCACGATGGAAGTCTGACAAATCTTGGAAGCACAGAGAAAGATACCTGGGAGTAATACCTAGACATGTTTAATAGCACACCAGACAAGCCTTACAGGCTCGAAATCTGGGCTTCAAATCAAACTCGCTAGTGGGACTCGGCTCCGAGGGCTAGTATGGCAGCCTAGTCCTGACCATTTTGGCTGCCAAGATCCGTTCTATGTCAAATGCGGGCCCTCAACGGTGATATACCACCGGCTCTGTAGCGTATGTGGGGCCTCTATAGAACGCAAAGACAGAAGCAGAAAGGTGGACCTGAAGCTGAGGCCTATGGACCCGTATTTAGGTAACGGGCGAGGTGACAAGGCTGAAGTAGTAAAAGATGAATGAAAGATCAACAAATGCTCAACAGCAATACCGACTATCAGCATCTGCCATTTGTAAACTTTCATAGACAACCTTGGAATCTAGCTTTCGCGTATTACATGCAGTGCGCAGGGGACTTTGTCTTAAGAATCCAGGGCTTCCAAGTACGACGCTCCAAAGGCGTCTTTCTTCTGATAGCGGTGAAAATGTGGCTACGTCACATCAATTGCTCGCATGGCTTAGTGGTAAAGCGCATCACTAGTAATGATGAGATCCTCGGTTCGACTCCGAGTGTGAGCATTCTTTTTTTCTTTTGTTCCGAAATTCCATTCGAAGTGTTTTTTTTTAAAAAAAAAATTAGTCTGGCAGAGTGAGAAAACACTTGCGTCCTGACCTTATGTGAAGACTTTCTTAGCTTATAAAGGGCCAGGGCTTTCAATGACGCGAGCAGGTTATTCTTGTAGCAAAGGTAAGCATCTCGACCAGATTAAAGCAGTATGTATACTGGCGTCCAGTGGGTTGTATTGGTGGCAACTCACACCTAGGTAAACGTTGACTTTCTATCATTTTCTATTCTTCATGCTCGGACTGGGTGTCCCATATAAGAGGACCTTTCATCTGTCAGACCCCGTTTGATCCAACCTAGAAGTCATTCACAGCCTGCAATACTGACCTTGGAAGGCATCTTTCAACAAGAACTTCGACATCGAAGTACTTGGTGCCGCACACTTTCCTTACCTACCTAGGTATTTACCCACCGAGTTCCACGACTTCTTCATCAAGGACGCATTCAACATACCAGCCCAAAGGGGAAATACCCCGGCAATGGATGGGTTCCGCCCACAAGCCTGGATGTACAGTTCCAAAAAGTATGTTCTCTTTTGAAGATAATCTGTCTGATTCAGTGTGGTACGTATACCAGGAACCTGAAAGGGTGACTTGTGAGTTGAGCCGCGAGATCGGGTATCTGGAATCGATCAGTGAGCCCCATGATTCACCTGACTGGCGAGCCTAGTACTAGGGGTTGATTTATCGAGATCACCGACTGCGACTCCGACCACACGGAATATAGATCAATGAATAGCCCTTGGGGGCCCGGACGTGATTTATGCCAGTAATATCTTTAGTGGCCCTACTAGGTAGGCACGAGGTCCCTGTATCGCAGCGCTCACTAAGGCTGCCGACAAGACTGATTCTGTGTTTAGCTTGAAGTATGTGTTTCCCACCAACGAGCAAAATTCGCCCACGGGACTCTGTAATCACCACCAGCTCTGGAGCCCTGGAGATGTATACATCCGTTGTTCCCTACGAATGTCTGCCCAAGGTGGCACGATTTAGGTCCCTTGGATCGCCCAAATTGGATGCTTTGCTGGGAACAATGATTGGTAGAACGGTTGGGTCATCTGTTATGGGTACCTAGGTATTTTTGGTCAATGTCAGACATATTTCACGGATCTTTCTTTCGTATACCTAGGCATTCTTTTTCCAGGTTGATGTCGCTTCATTATTTTGGCTGATTCAATGCTTATTTCCGTCAATCTATCTAAGATATATATATATGACAGTTTCTAGCAACGATGGAACTTCTAGTCTCTTTCACACAGAGCGCGACATCTGTGGCATGGTCATTGGACCTGGTTGCGGTGATCGGTATTCTCGACGCCGCGCTCGGGTGTCCCGAGGTCTTTTCCGAGGTCGAAAACAGGAGTTAGGGTTGATTAATTGATCATGAATCTCACATTGCGGCATGATGCCCGAAAGTGTCCGAAGAGAAGGAATGGGTTGTCGCTTCTCCGGCTCTGTGGATTCTTTCAAAAGTTTCCACCCCATCGGACGGCGTCAGCGATGAACTCGATCAGAGTGTTCCCACGCACTAGTGGATAATTTTGAGACATGTTCATCTCAACAAACTTTGGATTGCTCCGACGATTAGAGCACACCGTACGGAGTAGAGGAAGTCAAGGTCAACTATCCATACCGATGGTCTGGGCTCCGGTGGATCTTGGACCCAAGATCTGTGGTAGACCCCACCTGGGACGCATTGGTCAAGATGGCGAGCTGACTGTACTGGAAAAACTTCAAATGGTGTTGTGTCTAGAGTCAGGAGTAGAGGAAGTGTAAGTATGGATGTCCCAAATTGGCAGGTAATCAATTAGATAAGCGTACCTTCCGCATTGGGAACCTCTTGGCGTTAAGGTTCACTGCATCGCAGAACCTCCATCTCTGCACTTCGCGCCCTTGGAAACTTTGGAAGAGAATCAATAGTGACAATTCAACAGGCTTAGCGCTGTGCGCCACGTGGGTGGCATGTTGGGTCCACTTCATTGAGACAAGTCGTTTAGCGGTTTGGGGGGAGTTTTTTTCCTGGCAAAACTTCGGCCTGGTTCCGCATTGGATTTGACACGCTAACCGCTAACGGTTCCTTAAAGGTGCGACTCCCGCCATTTCCAGTGATCATCGCATTCCCTTCCCCTTTCTGATTCTCCTCTTTGCTTCTTTGCGATCACGATGGGGTCCTGGTATCGCACTTTGAGCCTGACGGCGATGGCGATGGCGGTTGCGGGAGTGGAATCCAGCGCATGCCGAGCCAACTCTGCCCCGAGCGTGACCATCAAGCAGGGCGCGATTCAGGGGTTTGCTCAGAATGACACCGACGTCTTCCTCGGCATCCCCTTTGCAGAGACAACGGCGGGGGAGAACCGTTGGAAGGCTCCTCAGCCCATCGACGCGTTCCAGGGCGGATACTTTGAGGCCACAACCTATGGGCCATCATGTGCCCAAGTCATGTCCGGCAACGCTATCACCGAGCAGAGCGAGGACTGCCTCAGTCTGAACATTTGGACACCCAGCCAGGCCACCGGCCGTGATCTGCCCGTGTTCGTCTACATCTACGGCGGTGCTATGGTCACCGGTGGCAGCAGCAATGCCCAGTGGCAAGGTTTCAACATGGCTCGCAACGATGTCATCTATGTCAACTTCAACTACCGCGAGAGTATCTATGCCTCTCCCAATGCGCCAGAGCTCCAGGGACAGTCCCAGAACTTCGGCATTCTGGACGTGGAGCTCGCCATGGAGTGGATTCATGACAACATTGAAGGCAAGCTTTCCTTTCGGCCCTCTGGGTTCTGCCCTTCTGATCTGGACTAACCCTCGATATAGCTTTTGGCGGCGACAAGTCACGCATTGTGTTGGGAGGTCACTCCTCCGGCGGAGTGCACGTGGACCACTACCTCTGGAACCACCCTGAGACTTTCTTGGCTGGTGCAATCGAAATGTCGGCCAACGCTCAGTCGGGCCCTGCCATTGCCCCCGCTGGAGTCGCCCTGAAGCAAGTTGTGCAGGACATGATCGATGCCGGCGTGTCCTTGGACTGTACCGCTGAAGACTATACTCTGGACTGTCTGCGCGCCGCCGACACGTATGCCTTCCAGACGACGTCCTTCAACGCCACGACGAACACCTGGTTCTCCCCCTCCGTGGATGAGATCACCCGATTCTCCAACTACACCGAGCGCTTCCAAAATGGGCACTACGCCACCTCCGTCCCCCTTGTTGTTGGTAACTCCGACCAGGAGGGTGCGATCTTTGGCTATGTCTACGGCAGCGAGAACACCAACTTCTCCTCCTGGATCCACACCTTTGATGCCGACCTGGCATTTGTTCCGGAGGCTGAACTTCTCGCCGCCTACGACGCCTCGGACTACTCGTCTATCTCTCAAATGAGCGGCGCCTCCTACGGGGACGCGCGCTTCCTCTGTGCGACTGACGCCATGTTGCAGCTACGCGCCGCTCAGCAATCCACCTGGATCTACCGCTGGTTCGGCAACTACTCGAATGTCCTCCCGATCCCGAACCTCGGACCTTCACACGGAAGTGAGGTTCCCTTTTTCCACGGTGGCAACGAATGCTTCTCGCTCCTGGAGGGCGTAACTTCCGCCGAGCAGCAGCTGGCGGACTACATGCTCTCCTGGTTCGTCGCCTGGATTAAGAACCCCCAGGCCGGACCAGGCTGGGCACAAGCCTCGCCCTCGAATGGACCTTTGGCGCGCGTCGGTGTGCCCGAGCACGAGGAAGAGATTGTCATGAGCACCACTGGCACGTACAATTCACGTTGCCAGAGTGTTTACCTGCCCAACTACCCTCACTACCCCGTGATCCAGAACCCCGTCTCCCTGGCTGGAAATGCCTGAAAGAGAATCGGAGTGGAGCTCACATTAGAAACACATAGGGACTGACCCTTATCGATTCCCCCTTAAGATATAAAGATAAAAATATAAAAATATTATAGATTTGAAACAAACTTTGATCAATCTCGAATTCCTCATATCCGGTCGGACCCCTGGGTGTTCGAAATAAGCTTGCATGCGAATACCTCGGTACGCACCAAGTGCCATTCCGGTGGTACTTTAGAGGATCGTGCAGAAGGCACTAGTACGGGACTCACGCATGCCACCGTTCTGGAATGCTGCAAAGAGCAATTGCGCCCGGATCAGCCCCCACAGTGGAGATTGCAGGCCAAGACCGCCGTTCGCTAAATTCGCCACGAGAAGACATTCACCGAAGTAAGGCCGGAACTTATCTGCAATTCTGGAAGCCTGGACTAGTACCACCGCATAGCTCTGGAGCAAGGTACTTCAGTCTCCGGGTGGTGTTCAGTACTAGCACGCCACAGTGGGCGGTGCTCTCAGTTCTACCACTCAGGGCGTCAGCCCTACGCCTCTTTGCTGTCCTCTATTCTTTCCAAGGTTCTCTTCCGCGAGGCTTTTTTTCCTCCGTATCCTTCGGCCTCGGCAGGTTTAGCCGAATCACAAGCTTCCAAGTTGAACTCGGAAATTCGTCATGAATTTAAATTGATTAAACTCCCGATATTAATGCCGTCCCAGTACGGGGTGTGTCTTGAATATATTAACTCTATCGATCCGTATCATTCGTATCTATACAGTCCACGGGCATAACCCATAACCATGCACAACGTTTATACAAAGACAGAAGCTCGGACTCATCCCGATTCCCCAAAAATTGGGAATCGTCCCCTGGTTAAACGGTTAGGTTCCTTGGTTGGTGGTCGATGAAAAGTCTATCTTTGGCCACATCAGGCCAACTTCACCACCCTGGCCAATCACGACACTCAGTGTATAGTGCCAAGACGCTAGCCTCGATTTGAGTTGCCCCCGATGGATGTGATCTCACTGTTGGTGACGGTAATTACGTATCTTTGATCTCTTTCGCAGTACACAGTCTCAATCTATACACAGATGATACCATGGCTGTACTAGGGCTTCCAGAATGTCTCTGTGCTGCAAATGGCCTTGGAGTTTAAATCCAATGTAAAAGGATTGCTATCGCACATCTCTGATCATTTCTGGAAGAGATCCAACATGGCTCGCCCAGAACAAGGTCAAGTGGTATGTTCTCGTTCTGTTCGCCAGGTATCGCCTACTAATCAACTCCTGCAGGTGGCTTGGTATGTCTGCACAGTGACGGCATGCACCTTCTTAGTGTGTCGTCTGGTCATCCGATTGCGGCTCCTGAAGAGGCTGTATCTGGATGACCTGTTCGTCACAATGGCTTGCCTGTGTTTGATCGGGGATCTGGCAATCCAACATTATATGTTTAATCAAGGTAGGTCAATTTCGCGGAATTTCCCGGAGCCCAATTGACAAATCTTGGCACAGGCATGACGGAAATGGCGAACACAACCGTCGACCAGAAAATCAACATGATGAAGGTAAAAGGCCGTTGCTGGCAATTGATATTGGAGAGATGCATTAACAACTGCTCAACAGATGATCATCCCGGGATCCACATTATACGTCACTTCGCTATGGTTGATCAAGGCTAGCATGGTGATCTTCTACAAGCGCTTGGCGGACCGTACCCGCTACCAGCTGGTGTATAACATCACCCTGGGAACCCTCGCGGCCACCTGGCTGGTGTTATTCTTTGATATTGTTTTCAAGTGCTATCCTCCTAAGCGCCAATGGGAGGGAATTCTAGATGCTGAATGTGAGGAACTCATATAGTAGTTACCGTCTAACACGCAAAACTGACTTCCCTTTTAGTGGCATGCCCAGAAGGACCGTCGACCATCAACTATTGGCTCACTATCCTTTGTACGATTCCATCCTCCAGAATTTCCCACGCTTCACCAGCTAATTCAGAAACCTTTTGCAGTCAACATCTTCACTGATGTCTTTAGTAAGACTTCACGCTCACTGCCATCGTTGCCCATCTAACCCAGTTCCACTAGTTATCTGCCTTCCCATCTCTCAAGTCGCGCGACTCAAGATGCCCACGAAGCAAAAGTGGGGTGTCATCTCGGTCTTTCTCCTCGGTGTTTTCGTCGTCATCACCAGCAGTATGTTCCTTCTGATCACCCAGTCTCCCACTTGATTCCAGAAGTTAATCCTTTTTCTGCAGTCATTCGAGCAGTCTACTCCCACCTCGGTGAGCAGATGATCACCTGCACCGTCTCGATGATTGAAACTGCAATTGCGATTATCGCGTCCTGCCTCCCTGTGCTGCGAACTCTGGTATTCGGTTCGCACTCGCGCACGGGAACTTATAGTAGCCGTCGCGGCTATGAGCTGTCCCACGCGGGTGTGCACACGGGTGCACAGGATAGCAAGCAGCAAACTTCCGTCTCCGCATCGCGGAGCCAGGTTGACCGTGCTGCAGATGACATCTCGTTCAATGATTCCGAAGATGGCTTGGTCAAGGACCCGGTTTCTCGGCCTGGAATCGCGGTCACACATGAGTATTTTGTGCATGAAGATGCACGGAAATTTCGAGGTTGAGTAACTTTGTCGGTAATGGCATCCAAGATAGATCGTGTTGTACAAGAAAATAATATCACTTATACTGCTACCTAATTTTGCTCAAGACACAACACTCAGTACACTGGGGAAATTGAAAGGGAATTGACATCCGCGGACCTTCGGGAGAAAGTTTTAAGCTTATATCTCTACCCGCGGGTTCCAAACTTTCCCAAGGTTGACTGACTGAACTCCGGCGGTGACGTTACAGATCACACCTTCGAAGGTGAACTCCATTTCGTGTTTTGTTGGGTGTTCTTATTCATCTGAATTCATTCTCGCTCAGCTAATAGCACATAGAGTGCTTGATCAAACGGTGGACTGTCCATACTGGTTCAATGTATCCGCTCAGATTTTGATCTAGAAAAGTAGCTGTCATAGCCTGCGCCAGCAAGGTCGCAGCCCTGTTCTAGGTCTGTGGGATGCGTTGCTCTAATTGCTGGCTAAAGAAAGGCAAGGGCTCCGACGAGCATTCCGACGAAAACCGCTGGCAAAGCAAATGCATAAGTTCGGACCAAATTGGACGCTTTGTCCATATTGCCTCCTTGGATGTTTTCGCTTGCGACTGGTACTTTTGTTTCAGTGATCACAAGTCCAGAGGCCCGAGAGGGATACACTGGTGACTTGAAGAGATAAGCCACGGGGATCCAATGATTGAAAAGTCCAGAGAGTGCCAGACCCAATAGTGGAGGCCAGGCGATGGAGGAAAATAACCTGGGGGCCAAAGGACCAGTGCCAGCGAACGGGGCATAGATTGATGAAAGTATCCCACCCAATAGAGCAGCAAACAAACACAAGTTCAACCACAACCCACATCCTAGAATATCCTTGTGGATTTTCGGAAGTAGTCTGGCCGGCGAGGCGTCGCCATTGCAATTGATTTCACTTCCTGTGACGAAGGAACCCTTGGGCTTGCTACCGAACATGTGGAACTGGATGACCGAGTACAGATGTGCTAACGAGAAGCATCAGTATCGCAATCAAGATTTCGGGGTTGCCAAATTGAGGGAGAGACTTACCTGGAGCAAGCCAGCTATTCTCCGTGTGTGCAAGAGGCATGAATGGCACACTTGCATGCGTACTCCGGGACCAGTGATATGCCCATGTGGAGGCCTCATGTAAGATCGCCAGCACTACCTGTGCTTTAATCTCAAACACAGATTGACTGGGAAACAGATCACCTTCGGAGAACAAGATTATCGGCAGCGCGAAAAAGCCGATTGCATACGTTGCCAGTCCTGCCATGATTGATAATCCCCCAGTAGCAATATCCCAGCGAAGGTGTCGCGGAATCGTATTTTTAGCAGACGCCAATAGCACGGAAATTTGTTGGGAATGCCCAATGTGCCATCGATTGCGCTGTTTGAGATGTCCCGCAAGAGTAGTTGGCACGAGACCAAACTGCAAGACCTCTTGCACCTGCATTGTGCGTTTCCCCATGCCTCGCAGGACAAGTGACAGCTGCCAGTCCTCGGAGAAAGAGAAAGTCGGGTAGCCCCCGACATCCAAGATGGCCTGGCGACGAAACACGGCCCCCGATCCCGCATCAACAGCGTAGCCGACCAAGTCAAGCTCGGTATTTTCGCAGGTGTAGAAATACCCGCGGGATTGGGAGAGCGGATCCCCCCGAGGCAAGTTGTCAAAGTACTGGCGGGTAGTGACCAACGCTGCTTGGGGATCTTTCAGCAGATGAGGCAACGTTGCGCGCAGGAAATGGGGCATGAGAATAGAGTCCGCATCCACAACTGTACAGAACTCGGGCGGGTCCTCAGTTTGCAACGAAAAGAGAGCATAATTCAGGTTGCCTGCTTTGGCAAACGACTGGTTGGATTGTTTGCCGCGACTGTGATATGTCAAGTGGCTCCAGGTTGTGGACAGTTTGGCAATCTCATCGCGAAGTTCCGTCGACGCGCCATCATCCAGTAAGCGGACCCGAAACTGCGAACTTGGGTAATCTAGCGAGCAAGCTGCGCGAACGGTGTCCAAGATTATCTCCACCGACTCCCCGCAGCATGTTATCAGCACATCGACTGTTGGAAGATGGGGGCCGTGGCGCAACCGCAGTCTCTTTCGCGAGCCGTGGGGAGATCTGGTAGCCGACAGCGACACGGATTGATGTTGATATGACATGTCTGCCTTGTCAGTGGCTGTTTTGCTCCTGGCTTGAATCACTCACGAGCAAACAAGCATTCAACACCCATCATCACCCACATCCTCCATGTTGTTGCCGGGGTCATGAGCAGGAAGTAGAATCGAGCGGTAAGGTAGACGAGTGTCATCCCAATGGCTGTCTGTGTTATCCAGTAGAAGGTTCTGCGATGTCTCTGTCCTCGCAAGGTGCGCTCATCCTGCGGCAGCTCCTCAATCTCATAGACATTGTCAGGAGACATTGAAGCGAGCTTGATCGACATGGCAACACCGGCGTTTCGTAGTGCTGTGTTTCCTTTGCATATTCTGGTATTATGAGAGAATTGTACTGCGACTTGAGGAATCTGAAGTGAAGGATTTCTAAAGTCTACCAAATAAGGGGGTGAAAGGGGCATACAAAATATAAATATAGTCATAAAGTAGCGGACAGGTCCACTCTTCTAGAACTCTCCACGCCATCCAAGGCCCAGAACCAATAAATAAACGCCTCCGTGAAAAATGTCTTTGGTGGAGTCGTGCCTTGCGGATCCGATTGGCTACGCTGTTTGACTTGGAAACGGGATGGCCCTTAACTGTGACCCCATGGAGTACAGAGTACTCCGTACGGGGTACTGCAAGGTGATTTGAACCGATATAAATTCCAAGTTTCTCCGTATGGGGTACCTGCTCGCTGATCAAGAGTGGTATTCAATCACTCTTGTTCAGGAGACTGAGAGAGGGCATCACACCCGCATTTTCGAAGGATCGGTAGGTGTCAATCCAAGTCTGAGGCGTCGAGTCATGACGAGTCCAGCCAAACTCTCTCGCTTTGTTGATTGAGGAGATTGTCAACCATGACTTTCCTGTAGCCCAATTGAAGAATCCCCATGTGCCCCAGTCAAAGGCATCAGCCTTACCACCGTATTTTGCAACCACTCGCTCCCAGATATGACGTTTGTCCTGAGCCCACTCAACCATGTCGATCTCATTAGCTAGGGTATCGGCCTGACCAGATGCTTTCTGGAAATTTGGCTCCGGCACCTCGAGGCCGAAGTACGCCGCAAAGTCTTGCCAGATGTGTTTCCACACAAAAACATCCCCGTTGACATGATTGAATGCTTCATCCTGACAGTGATCCTGCGAGGCGGCCCAAACAGAAAGATCCGCGAGACTGGGTGCATAGGAATTATCGTCAATAGAGTTCCAGAAGTACTCATTTCCGGGAAAGTGGGCGGGCTCGCCCATCTCGCGGCAGATGAGCATGTAAATGGCAATAGTCAAGACCTCCGACATGCCGTTTGCTGGCAGCGCTGTTAGCTCTTGATTCGCAATTGCGCATGGTCACAGGTGTCCATACCATGAGGAGCAAACCCATTGATTGCATTCGGTCGAATGACGTTCCAGTTCCAAGTATTGCGGCGCGCCTGGACTTCTCGCAAGTAGTCCTCCTGGTCGTAGTAGAAATTGAATCCTTTATCATCGTAACGAGGGAAAGACTCTTCCAGTGGAACCTTGACCGGTCCCAGGTGGACACCATAGTACTATGCCAGTGTTAATCGGAATACAGTTGGATGGGACTGGAGTAAGCTCACCTTGCCGCCTGTCTGAAGGCAAACGCGCTGAAGCTTGGGGCACACGATGTCGACCGAGTCAAGGAAGTTCCGGAAGAGTGGGATATTCTTGTCGCGCAAGAGACGGAAATCATCGCTGTGAACGTACGAAGTGAAGAAGGCATGCGTCACATCACTACAGACGTCTTCCAAAGAAGCATTGATCTTGTCCACAGGGTCAAGGAAGTCGACCGCCACGAATCTGACGCGGGAGTCGGTCCATGCATTAGGAAGCGGTCTTCGAGAAGTCACAACGATCTTGCTCCTGGCGGGCGTCAACGAATATCCACGCTATGTCAATGGGCAAGGCCGCGCACCATTCTTCCCTGGGGTGAGAGACAAGATGCTCAATGATATTAAATCCACTGATACCGTTTGCTCCCGTGACAAAAGCCACCTTGCGGTGAGATGGAGGAGCCATGTTGCGCGTGGAATGGTCGGCTCGGAATGAGGTATTGTGTCTCTTTATATGTGGTTATGGCAGTCTCGACGATCATTTCTCGAGCAAGTCTGCCAATGGGTCTCGGATAGCACGGCCCCGAGCCCTTGATTGCATGTCGCATTTTATCATCCTGTTGAAGATTCCGTGAACTGGTCCCACATCGCAACCTTGACGCTTAACGGTCGGTGTAGCATCTCTCGGGGATCTGGAGACACCATTCTGCCACGGACTGCAAGCATGGTAACTGGGACTTCATTGAGAAAGACCATGTTCAGTCACAACCTTGAAAGGGTGGAGATCAGTCTTGGTGGGGGACGGTGAGATCTTCACGGAATCTTCGGAATCTTCGGAATCTGGTGGATCTACGGCGATCTCTTGAAATTCCGTTGAGATTGCATCGCACACGAAGCTGGCGCTGTCATATCCATGAGTCTCGGAGATGTCGAATGAGAATGGGCAAAAGGCCAACCAGACCTTTTCGAACTTTCAGCCATCGATCACTTCCAAACTTTGAACTTGCAGACTCCTATGAATCAAGGCGAACTGTGTATACCTAGGTGTCAAGCCGCGAAGCTTCCGAGGTCATATATATTCCCGAGCAGGGATACCCATCCATGGACGTACCTAGTACCTAGGTACCAACCTTCCAAGGTTCTAAGTCTGGGTTCTTAGGTACCTAGGTAGATGAGAGGCGCTGATTCGAAGTCCAAGTTGTATGCAAAAACAAAATGCCAATGGCTTCATGATCATGACTATGTACATTCAAACTATGCAATATTCCAAACTTCCCGTAAATGCAACAAAAATGCCAAATGCGCTCACCACTCCAGTCGATCATCACAGACCAGTCTCACATCGAACCTGTCCTGTCCCTTCCAAACTCTCGGGGCATCGTTGCACGACGCGACAATGTCCCTGAGATCACTGATCATACCCCCAGGTCCACTGGCAAAAACACTGGTCGGCCCGCGAACGGTGTCTGCGACAAATGAACGGACCAACTGAGGCAGATCAGGATGTCGAGAACAGTCTTCCGATCCACCGAGACGCTCCACAGAAGCGGGCTTGTCACAGCCACAGCATGAGGCATCCGACTCGACTTTCACTTTCTCTTCCATCTTGGGGACCGTCAAGTTGCAATTTTCAGTCGAAGTTTCGGATGGCGTTTTGCTAGTCGCGTCGCGGGTGGCGAAAATGCGAATTTCCAGATTGAGAGCATTGCGGGCCTTCTGCAAAAGATCCAGTTCGGCCTCAATCCACTCCGTATTGGCGGTATGACGGATGGCCCAGATCAGCTCCACCTTGCGGTCTGGAGAGGGAGCCTGGCGGGCTAGATCAAGGAGAACCGGGAGAACGTAGGTGATGCCGGTTCCACCGGCAATGCAAAGAATGTTGGTGGAGGGTGTGAGGTGCGTCGCGATCGATTCGCCATACGCGCCAGTCATGATCACCGGCATCGATAAGGATTCGGCCGCCAGGGCGGCAATCTTCTTGGTCTCGCCCCCCTTGGCTCGCAGAAGATAGGAGTGTTGCACAGTGCCGTTCTTCACGACCGGGAGATTGAGCGGCGTGAAGGGGTGGGACTGCCAGACGCTGGATTTGGGGAAGCAGAGGTAGTAGTGCTGGCCGACAGCCCATGGATCTTGATTATTTTCCAGATCCAGGCGCAAAACGTCGCCATGCTCAGGGTCTGGGAAGCGGTTAATATTCGCCGCGGCCGGTTTGAACCCGAGGCCAGCCTCTGTTGGGTCGGGATGATAATGCAGGAACGCGGTGCGAATCAGCCGTGCGCCGCGGTCCAGGAACCAAAAGATCAAAGACGGCCACATAAAGCACTTGAGTGCTTTCCAGTGCGCCCAACACGCGCCAATGTAGACCATGGCCAGCACGTAGTGCAGTTTGCGGAAGGTCTCGTAGCCTGTCAGCCGGATCCCCCACGGAGTGCTCAGCGCAAAGAGCAGCAGCAGGAGGATCATGGCCACGATGCCCCAGACAATGTAGGTCTGCGTGACCCACTCCAAACCTACCGTGGGCTGGGGTTGATATAGACGAAGCTCCACTACACACCAGCCAATGGTGTGCAAAGAACTCTGGACAAAGATGATATAACCCAGCCAACGGTGGAGGAAGTTGAAGCTCTGATATGGAAGACCTGTGATGACGGAAAGGAAGGACTCCCGACTGCTCAGCAGGACCGAAAGCGGCGTCAGCGCGTAGGCGAGAGTTCCCACCCGATCCGACCAGGGCCCAATGCTGTCGCGCGTATTATACACCCCCGGCATGTCTGAGACCGGCGTTACCCAGGTGTGATAGACGATCCCGACAAAGCTGAAGATGAGGAGGTATCCCACCAGCAGGGCGAGCGTGAGGACCTGAAGGCGGGTGGTGCGACCGAATATCAGCCGCGCCGCATCGGGGAGGAGGTGCTTCCGGGTGAGCGCTATCACGGCCCGGCGCGCTCGCGCCAGTCCCGCTGGCTTCACGGGCATGGGCGATATCATGGGGGCATCTGACTGGTTGAGCACCACCCAGAGTAGCAGAATGGCGCCAATGACACACCATAGGATGCCAGAGTATAGCATGCCTCGGTCGTGCGAGGCATATACATCATCCAGGTAGGCACATGAACCTGCATCGTTGGTACACGGCACGGCGCGGTCGGCATATCCCCAGTGAGGCTCGATGGCGGTGGCCGCGCTCATGTTCTGGATGTGACGAGCACCCAGGGCGAAAGACATGATGCCGAGAGTATGAAGCAGAACAAGAGAAATGACAGCAATTATCTCATCGTCGGTATATGTGCAGAGAAAGTGAAGATGCCAGAGTTGGAGAGTTGAAGAGCGGACATTTCAATGGAGATATCTGCACTCGGTGTTTCGCCTAGACACTTGGAGACGCCATGTAATCTCATTTGATCGCGTTTGAGGTCGATTGAGGTTGTTTGAGCACATTTCTCTGCTTCACCCATGGTTCTGCTCCACTCTCGGCCATGGGTGGGGGTCAAGCACCCATGGGTGAGAAGTAGTTTATAAGACCTTCACTTCACTGCTCTTGCTCTTATACACATACACACTCTCTCTCACACTCTCTCTCCATCACCCTCACCATCACCATGCAGGGCATGGATATGGACATGGGGAGCACCGAGTGCCAAATCTCGGTAAGTGCCAAGACGGACATGGCTCAAAACGGGGCTCATCAGGCCACAGATGCTCTTCAACTTCAACACCATCGACGCCTGCTTCCTCTCCTCAGGATGGCAGATCAAGAACAATGGCATGTTTGCGGCCACCTGCATCGGCACAGTTCTGCTGGTCGTCCTGGTCGAGTTCTGTCGTCGCATGGGCCGCGAGTACGATAATTTCCTGACGCGCCAATTCCAGCGCCAAGCCGCGCACGGCACCTTCGCCAAGCAATGGCAACGGTCCAGTGTCACCTTTCGCGCCACCCCTCTGCAGCAATTGACGCGCGCCATCATCCACGCCGTAACATTTGCCGGGGCGTACATCACCATGCTCCTCGCCATGTACTTCAACGTCTATGTGATTATCTGCATCTTCATCGGTGCGGGGCTGGGCAAGTTCCTCTGTGATTGGATGGTCGTCACCGTGGGCATCGATGACGTGCCAGATCGGAAAGTGGAAGAGACCACCATATGTTGCGATTGATTTCTTTCTCCAGCGTTCTGAGCGAATTTGATGACTTGACATGATATCTTGATTTCGCCTTCTCCCGTGGCCTTCGGCGCCTCAGTAATTGACAGGATCGAACTCGGCATTCCCATTGAACGCGCGCGACACAGACCTCCCTAGTCCCCTATAGTCCATGCAGCGCGAAACCCGTTCGTCCAGCCTCATGGCAATACAAATCAGTATAACGAGTGCGGAAATCTTACCTTATGGCTGATTCGGGCTATAAAACCCCCCAATGGCCTCTGCGCTTGCAACAAACCAACTCGATTCCAGGGCCCAATGATGAGGCTTGCCTGTGGTCGCCCATTCACCTTGTACTAGGCGAGATACAACCAGGCTGTACCTTCGCTCAATAATGGAGGGTCATGTTTCTGCTAGATCCATAGATGTCCTATTATGACCACAAGGCCAATTTATGTCGTCTTCCGTCGCTCTGTGGGCTTCCCGCCCTCGCGGAAGGACTTTCTTTGCACAAAGAGCGACACTCTCGTGCGGGCTGGGCTCAAAGGTAGCTGGACATGGGTACTTGATCAGCCAGCCCATGCCAAAGCCTGGAGAATCCAACAAAGGGGAATCGCAGTCTGTCTTTCAAGCGATCCCTTTGTTTTCACCCTGGGATCACTTACGAGGTTCACTCATGCACATTGGTCATGCTCCAGGGCTTACATACTTAAGTCGCCCATTCCTTCGGAGTTCTACTGATATCTACCGCATTTCAGTCAAGCCTAGAACGAACACAGTTACGCGATCGGTAGTCATGGAACACAGTGTGGGTGCCTTTCAAAATCACGAACGCATCATCCCAGATCAGCCCAATGGCCCTGATATCTACTGGGTGACGGTCTGGTTTGATCCTGATGAGAACCGGTTAACAAATCAAGCTTTACTCCGGCTGATGAGCTTTCGCATATACAACCGATAGGCGACTGTTGATCGTGCGCCCAGACATCCATATCATCCTTACTGTCTCTCATTGCGCATTCCCGGGCCTTTCCCAGACGAGGACCATGTATTTGATGCCGCGAACCAAACGATGGATTGGTATTTGAGAGAGTTTCAAGAGGGCCGACAATTCATTCACCGAGCCTTCATCTTCCGACGGTCATTCTGACCTTTGACCTTTCTGAGGTTCTGGTCTGGCGGAGTTTTGGTCGTAAATGAGGTAAATTAATTGAAGTGATGTCTGCAACCCTTTTCTCTGCACTTCCGTCTAGTTTGAGATCTGGAGTAAATATGCCGTCAAGTTCTGAGTCGCACCTGGGCAGCAGATGTATACCCGATTGTGTCTTGAATGGCCCCCAGGGGGCCTCGTATTTGATTTCAAATCAGCCATGTAAGCTCGCGGACAATAGAATCACCGTTGAATATTTCTAGTTACCTTCACAATACTCTGCATGCCAATAAAAACCACAAGCATGACCAAGCCAACGATTAAAGCAGTCTTCTTTGACTTCATGGGGACGTGTTTAGATTGGCACAGCAGCGTAGTGCAAGCCTTGCCCTCAGCCATCCCCCGCGCCGAAGCATCCAAACTTGCTCTCGAATGGCGGCAGCAGTACTTTCGTGAAAATAGCATTCGGGTGAGTCAAAATCTCAACCCCGAAGATATCGACATCACCCTCGCGCGCAGCCTGGAGATCGTCCTCGCGCGCTTCCCCGCACACTCGCCCCATTTCGACGACAAGACCAAAGTCCACCTCATCCGAGCGTGGCATTCCCAAACGGCATGGCCTGAAGTTTCGAATGCAATCCAAAGTCTTCGGAACCAACTTGGTCTCGAGGTCTTTGTACATGCGAACGGGACGACTCGACTCCAACTCGACCTGACCAGCTCCTCGGGTTTGGAGTTTGACATGTTGTTTTCAAGCCAGTTGCTGGGAGTGTACAAGCCGAGCCGGGAGGCATATGAAAAGGCTCTGGGGCTGGTCCAACTCCAGGCAGAGGAGGTTGTCTTGGTCGCGGCGCATGCCTATGATCTGCGGGGTGCAAAGGCATGTGGACTGAGAACTGTGTACGTTCATCGATGGACTGATGATGTCGATGAAGACATGGAGGCAGTCAAAACGGAGTTCGATGCCTTCTTGGAAAATATGGATGACCTTCCTCTTGCGATTCATGCATTGTGAGTCCATGCCTAGCCCTGTTGGGCCACAGTGTCTCGGCATCCAACATTGGAAGGTTGTTGGCTACCTAGTATGACTTCTGTACTTGATCGATCAGGATTTAGATGGAGAAATGTTGCCACAAATTCAGATTTCATCTAAACTGGAATGGGCACGCTAAGAGAATATGTAGACCATGCCAGCCCGATCAACACTGACAACCATGCCATATGGCACACGCAATACTGCCACATCTTGAATCACGTCCAAATGACTTTTCAGGAGCATCTGTTGCTGTAAACTGATCACCGTACTTCGGGGTGGCCGACTGGCTCCCTTCCTGGCATCTCGTGGGTTGCCCCCGGTGGATGAACTGGGGAGTCGCTCTGTAGTGACCAGAAGATTCGGACTAGGCTGGGACTGCTCGTAGTGCGGCTTGCCGCCGGAACTTCCGTCCGACACGATATCCAAACCACTGACTATGGACGACAGATCCGGGCGGGCCAAATCCCAGAAGCGAATCTTGCGATCGCATCCAGCAGTTATGATGTACCCACACTTGGTGCTAGAGTCTTTGTCATCGTCGGGGGCATTGAGACCGACCGCAAAAGCACAGATGCCGAGTCGATCACCGGCAGAGTTGCTGGAGCTGCCTTCTGCACCACCAGAGGCAAACCGACTTAGCATCCCTTCCGGTCGGTCGCCGTCGACCCGCCATGCTTCGTAATCACTAGGGACGATGTGAGTGGGATGGGACGGAGTGCGCGAGGGATGGGCGGCAGCGGAAGCATTATTGCCGACTCCCATTGGGGTCGCCTGGTAGACCTCCCGGCAACGGAACTTTTCAATGTCCCAAACTGTGATCTCATTGCCATGGCTGCCACAGCTGGATACGCAAACCCAGCGCCCACGTGCCTTCACCGGGTGAAGTTGAATTCGGTTGATTGAACCCCAGCCCGGAAGACCCCACGCCTTTAAACGTACACGGAACCGCAGATCCCAGAGGTCAAGGATTCCATGAGTGGTACCGACAAGTAGCCAATGGTGCCTGCGATCACAGCAGAATGTAGTCAGAGTTCCGTGATGGACGGGATTCTCCAGTATGTATACTGGAAGCATGGTTTTCATATCCAAGGCAATGATGCGGGACTTATTTGTGGCTATGATCAGAGTGGACTGTCCTTCCTCACGGAAGTGTTCCATCCAAACAGCATGCTCGGGAGTGCCGTCCTCGCCAGTGGAGAGTTGGTATTCGCGGACGATCTGGAGTTTGCCATATCGAACCGCAGTTGGGCTGATCTTTTGATAGTCAACCCGGACAGCATGAATACTGCCGTCAGTGGCTGCACTAATGAATGTGTACGTATTCTCCACAAAGGTCAACGCCTTTACTCGGGAGCCTTGCGCATGACGGTGGGTCTGACGAGATCGCGGTGTGAGGTTTCGCTCCAGGCGCGTGGTGTCCCAGATTTTGACTGTACCGTCGTCGGAAGCAGTAGCGAAGAAAGAGTGATCGGGTGCGACGGCGACTCGGTTGATTGGCGCGCTGTGCTCACCGAAAGTTGCAACTAAGTTTCCTTCCGGCCTCCACACCTTGTCAGGCTCTTGATCGCTAGCAGTACGAATTGGTTGTCGGGTATCAAGCTCTTTCACATATGGACCTAGGTCAAACAGGTCCGTAGGGTAATTTCCCTCAAAGACATTGTCCAACAACCGCAAAACTGCTGGATCATTACCCGTGTATGAATGATGAGCTCGGTACTTTTGTGAGATTGTCTGTGGCTTTCGCTCTGGAAGCAAAGATGTAGTTGGCTGGGGGGTCCCGCCTCTTTGAACTGGCGCATCAACCTTTCCAAAAACATTAGCGGCGCTTGTCGCTGTCTCGGCGAAAGCTTTGCCAGTATCCTTGCCGTTCAGTAGGTTAATCGCACTAGGTCTTTTCTGAACGTGGTTTGGCAAGGCTCGCGTCTCTGCGTTGGTTGGTGTCAACGATCCGTCTTGGCCAGGACTACTCCCGCGAGTGGAGATTTTGCGATCGATGTCCGAGTTAGGCGGAGATAACCCGCGAGATCCAGATCTCGTAGCAGGCGATGACGCCAGTGGGGACGATGAGAGCGGAGATGACTCATTCCCGTCCAGTATAGGAACTCCCGAGGATCTTCTCTGGTCTTTTGAGGCATGGCTCTTCGAGCGGAGGTGTTTCCGATGAAGAGTGGGGTTTCGTTCAATAGTAGTAGAAGCGTCGAGCAGGGCATCTGCGATGGTCCTTGGTCTAGTATCATCGAGAGCGCCCCCCTCATTCCCATCCAGTGACACCCTTCGCGGTTGGTCTCTCAGCTCTTTATCAAAGAACACGGTTTGGGGCTTGATGCCGTGTTGAGTCAAACTGACAATGTCATTCAATGAGGGAGAGACATGATCGCCAACCTCCCTAGATTGTCGCACAGAGACCCTCCAGATATAATCCTTGAGTGTAAGCAGCTTGAACTCATCCTCAACGGTCATCCCAAGGTTCCTGAGGCGACCCAGCCATTGCTCATCTTCTTCATTCCGCTGTTGGCCGGCCATCGTCAAAGCAGGGTTTCGTTGCCCAACTCGAGCACTGAAGGTCCCGGGCTCAGATAAGCCAAACATGCTGTCTCGACTGGTGGATTTCCAGAAAACACCCCGGTCGGTTTTCGAGGCCCACTGAAAAGCCATTTCATACAGGTTCCGCGAGATTGGTCGTTTCAGTGCATCGAGTATGCGGATTTCAGAAAAGGATGTGATTTGAATCTTCAGGAATGGCCGAATCATTGGTGTAAGGATGGAGTGTATATCTGCGATTGACAGAAACTTGGCGGAGTTCACAACGAATTTAACCGCGGCTTCTCGAATCCAGAAATTTGGATGCACCAAATACCCGGCAACAGTGTGCAGCAAATCCCACGTCGTTGGTCGCTGGAATAACCCAAGGTCCGCCATTGCTGCCAACGATCGGATGACTCTTTCAACGACAAATTCCTCGGGCTCTGTCATTGATTGAACCATCAGTGGCAGTATGTACAGCTCTAGATTGAGGCTTCCCACATAGGCTGCGACACCGACCACGGCCTCGAAAAAGGAACATTTGAGAATCCAGTCTGGGTCATTCAGGTACGTATTCAAGTGACTCAGGACAACCTCATTAGCCTTGAGATTCCCGAAGAAGACGCAAAGGCTAGACACCGATCCAAGAAAGGCACGCCGAACGGAGGCATCCGTGTCTGTCAAGAGGGCTTTGGTATGAACTTCAAAGTGCTCCAAAAGGTCGACTCGAGCCACGTCGTAAAGGTTATGGTAGGTCGCGTCTTCGGACCACCGGGGTTCAAATCCAACCGGGATCAATGCAGCCAAGCGAGTATCGGAGCGCAACGACTGGATCATGTCCAAGAAACGCAAGGAAGACTGGGCCAGAGATGCAATGCACGAAGCATACGCTGCACGCACCAGACTATTGGGGTTGTAGTTGGAGGTGGTCACAAAGGGTTGGAGCCTGGGGAAGATGTATTCGGAAAAGAGATAGGCGTTGACTGGGGAAACAACTTGAACCATTTCGAGAAGTTGAGCCAAAGTGCGGATCGCAGCGACTTTGACGGTATCAGTACGGTCAGTCAGCAGAATCATGATGTATGGAAGCACGCGATCCAGTTTCGCTTCGTCCGACAGTCTTTCTGCGAAAGCAAGGAGAATATCACAAGCTTTGATGCGAGCTGAAGCCTTGGCTGTGTTACGCAAGTTGGAAACTACCAGCGTGAGAAATATCAGGGCACCTTCGTCGGGTCGTGATGGAGTCGTCTTTTGGATATATCCGTCTGGTAGGTCAACTCTCACAGGAAGAGTATTGCCAGTCAGTTTGGGGACAGGTATATCGGACGGCCCTCCAACGCCACGGGTGCTGGAACCGAGGAAATAGGATATCTTGTCAAAGTCTAGATATACACGCTCAATCCGTTCATCTGCCTCTCCGCGATTGGCGGTGTCTTCTTGAGCATCTGGTCGGCCGGATGAGGGATCGGTCATCAGCGACATGTACTGGTGAAGAAAGCTGTAGAAGTATTCCGGGAAGGCCTTCCCCTTCCAGAAACTCAGATATTCATCCGCAGAGTATCGCGATTCAGGCTCAAGCTGGATCATGTGGAGAATCAAGTCACGTATATCTGGATCTTCGATCTTTGCCAATTGACTGTGCACTGGGCTGTATTCTCCTTTGCGGTATTTGTACATTTGGCTCAGGTTGAAGATAGGCGATTCAAGAAATAATTCTGCAATAACGCAGCCAGCACTGAAAATGTCCATTGCCCAATTGACTCCACTGCCGCTTGGCTCCTCGCCAGCGACGGAGAAACGTTCGGGGGCCAAGTAGCACGTTCGCCTGCCGGATATGTCGAAGAAGAAAGAAAAGTCTGCGGGGTTATCCTCTGGAAGAAAAGTTGGCTTGAATGACGAGGAGAAATCGGAAAGATACAGCCAGTTCCAGGCTGTCACCAGTACATTTTCCGTTTTGATATCACCGTGGTAGATATCCAGAGAATGGCAATCTCGGAGAGCGCATAAGAGCTGAAATGCGATCCATTTCTTCTCAACATGCTCTAGAAATGGTCGTGTGCTTATCTCAGGTCAGATGGATTGATCGCGGTTAGAGAGTGTGGGGATATACCTCATTCGATCGTAGAGAGAGCTGTGGATGTACTGACGCACCAGATATCCACTCGTCCCGGTTTCAAGAATCCGCTGGTAGCTCAGCGCGTTGGGAACATCTGACAATAGCTTGCGCTCCCCTAGTGGCACCATCAGATACCGGCAATGGTAGATAGTCAGAGGAAGACGTACTCATAATTGCTTTGATGTATGGTTCAAGTTCCATGGTGGGGAAAGGTTTCATGATGACCTTCACAAAGACCAAGCCATTCTGCTGCTTGGCTCGAATACTCTTCATGAACCTGCCCCCTCCCATCGACTTCTCGTACACCAGCTCAGATAGCTCAGGTACATCGATCCCCGCCGACCCCGCCGACAGGGTTGTGAGGGAGTAACCTTGTCCCATTTTTACCAGCCCTCATCTCCCCTTCGGAGATAAAGCGAGATAACAGGGTGAAACAGATGAGATCCCCCTACTCCGTAGAAAGAGTGAGTGAGCGAGCGAGGGGAAGTGGTAGGAGATGAAGTCAGATGTGACACGTGCTAAAGGCGGTCAACAAGCCGCAGGGGCGACACCTTTGTGTTGATGTCCAAGCTGATATTGGTTACTATCTTTTTCAAGATCGGCCAAAAGATATCAAATTTTGTCTGTTATTTCTCGTTTTCAACATGCACTCCGCAGCCTACTAACCCGACGTGGGCCTATCGCGGATATCTTGGCTGCGATCCGACAAGTGAAACCCATTCTTTGGCTCAAGTGATCACCAAAGTGCGAGATCATCGAACACAGTACCATTGAACTTGCCTTGCACACCTTTGGCCTGTCTCAGCAACCCATTCGGGCAGTTCCCCGGCTGGAACCGGCGTGTGGACCCGCAAATCGTTCGAGCAGTGCTGCAAACCTTGGGGTTCCAGAGCAGTGATCGCTGAAATGGAGAACTTTGAGATTCCAATCATCGACACGGGCGAGCCGCTTTTCGATGTCCTGCCTAAATTATTCAAGTACGTGTAGGCACTTGGCGCCAAGACCTCACTGACCGGGCATGCAGCTTCATCAGTTTGGCTGTGGGCGATATGGCTTACACATTTGAGCAAATGATGCATGGTCCACAGGGACACCGTTTGAGAAAGCTGGTCCATGTACTAGCTCAAGACAGTCATAATCCGTTTATCATTGTGGCTTTGATGTAAGCGAGACATTCTTCCAAGGTTGAACCACGAAATGCAACTAACCGGTGCAGGATTTTGAAATGGGAATTCATGACCGCCACCGAAGACGATTGGGGACTCAATGAAAGTCGAGGGGCAGCCTGTGAATTCGTTGCCTGGCAGTTCCTGTGCCATCTAGATCAACGCGAGACGATCGAATTTCTGTTGGAGGAACTACCCTCGCCGCGACGCCATTCTACCAACTTATCCGAGACTGAAACAGGCCTCTCGGGCTTGGTCTCACCACAGTCCGGCATCCAGCAGATTGGGAGCGAGACTGCTCCCCTTTTACCGCAAGTTTCTACTTTCAATCGTCTTTTCGGCAGCACGACAGATACCCAAGCCTCTAGCCTCTCCCAGAACCGAACTCGACAGGAGGATCTCCACGCTGCACAGAGATACTCCCAGTTCTTTGGACTTAATGCTGTGGAGATTGCAACGATAGCTCACGCAAAAAGGTTCTTAAGCCAACGGGTCGTCCAAAGAGTGGTTGATGATATTTGGAAAGGCGAGATTGTCTTCTGGGATTCCTTGACAGTCAATTCGACTAAGAAGCCCCATATCTACAACACCAGGTGAGACATTTTAGGTGACAAGGGGCGACAGATACTGACGATTGTCCCATCAGGACGGCAGATCCGTACTCACGATTGAGGGTACCCTTCTACCGCAAGATCTTTGAGGCAGTATTCTTCGTCTCATTCCTAGCCCTTTACTACGCCGTGCTCATAGAGAGAAGGCAAGACGCCATCGGGGTGTTTGAGACGGTTATGTATGTCTGGATTGTCGCCTTTGCATACGACGAGCTAAGTGGAATCGTTGATGCCGGGGTTGTGTTCTACCAGATGGATTTCTGGAGTCTCTGGAACCTTGGTATTATTGGAGTCGGGATTGCATTCGTCATAACCAGTGAGTCATGTCAAGATCTGCCTTGGCTCTTTGCCCTCAGTGCGCCCAGTCAACGCGGCGACTAATGGAACCGCCACAGGAGCAATAGGGCTTGCCAGAGCCGACCCATTGGTGATTGACTTGTCATTCGACATTTTGTCCTTGGAGGCTCTTTTTCTTGTCCCGAGGCAAGAGTTCCTTCACATCATTCAAGTGGGCCGCAGGGCTGACTCGGAATGAACAGGATCTGCTCTCTCGTGAGCTTGAATTCATATTTCGGCAGCCTGGTAAGTGGATTCTGCATGAGACATTTTTTCTAGAAGCATTCCGTTGACTGGGTACCAACAGATCCCAGTGTTGAAAGAGATGGTATTACATTATCCCTGCAGTACTCGGGGCGCAAGGCTGATTACCACTAATAGACGAAAGCATTTTTCAGGTTCTCCCCAGTGGTGGTAGTCTTGTACATTGGTAAGGAGGCTATGTCGCCCTAAGCAGTGTATGTCTGACCGGCTCCAGGGTTCCTGACAACCTTTACCATGCTGGCTCGTGACCGCTTGTCCATCAGTGACATGGCGCATCTATTGGTGAAAGTGTTCTTTGGGTACGGTGAAAGCGCCCTTGTCTTGGCCACTCACTAACGATAATGGTTTCCAGCTCGAGTGTTTTAGGATTGGTATGTCTCATGGATAACCAATTGAGGATGCTGTGCACTGACGGTGGCGGAATTGATTGGTTATTAGGACACGGCGTCTGAAGTGAGTGCGGCTGTTCTGCAGTTCGAATTGAAATATCCCGATGCATTGGCAAAATGGTTGGCTATCGCGTTTAGTTGGCTGACACGCTAATTTCTTAGATCTCCCCAATCTTCGGCTACGGTTTGATGTATGTTCCCTTTAGTTCCGCGTCGGTTTGATTTTTGATTTTTTCTCTTTTTCTCCTTTTCTTTGTTCGATGCGTTCAAGGTCGCATGTGCAATTGATCACGTTCCAATATGCAGGGGACGTTTGACCGCAGCGATGCGCGCTTTCGAACGGCACACGACCTCGACCGGAATTTCCACGCCTGACGACGGAACCTACCTGGTATGAGTGCTAACTGCATTGTCTTGCAGGCTCGTTTTTTCCCTCATGACGAATACCCTGATCCTCTCATCTCTGATCAGTTTGATGAGCATGAGCTTGGAGGGTGTCAGTTCATGCCCCGAGAGGATGAAAGCACACACTGACATCCTTTACAGGTGATGCGTCATGCGCGAGAAGAATATCTCTTCCAGTATGAACCCTTATACCCCTGTCTCTTCTCAACTTTAGCACCGCCCCCAGTATGCTTTCCATTAACTGACCCAATCAGGCTGGCCATTTATGTTCTAGAGAGTAGCAATTCTCGGCGACTGACGTACTTCATGCCCCCTATGGTTAGTTTGGCGTCAGATCCCGACATCGCATGTTTCTGTGTGGGTTCTGGAATGTTTCCTTGCTAACCATAGTAGAATCTGATCCCTCTCCTGTGTATCCGGCCTATGCGTCTGTTTCTCTCGGCGGGCACTGTCCGCCGCGTGCGTATTATCCTTCTTCGCGCCACGCATATCCCCTTTGTTGCGGTGATCTGGATCTACGAGTCGAAGTGGCGAAACCTGAAACGGCAAACCACCCAGTGTCCCCCAACATCGGTACGAGGACGCGGTGGTATTTTTGCAAATGAGCCTTCTGCTGGCCGACAGGACCCACACCACCCTTTCGTAGTTGAAACAAATCTGGGAAAAGAACGCAGTGTGGATCAGCAAGCCGCGCGTGAACCTGAGGGTGAAGTCGGGCAAGTGCAACTTGCGGACCTGATCGACACGGTAGAGCGACTACGAGCTCAAGTGGAGGCCCTGGCCGGAAATGAGAATCTCCCAGACTCGGCTCCGCACTATGATCGTTCCCTCTAACGCAGAACGGCGCGGTAGAGGAGGTCACTCCAATGGCGCTTAGGGCCACGCACGCCCCTGCAGGACCGGACTGGCGCTAGTTGGCATCGGTGCGGATTAGTGGCAGAGCCACAGTGACAGTCGAAAACCGTTCGAGATGCCTCTGAACAACCATATCGAAGGCTTTCTCAAACGAGGTTGGTCCTCTTTTCGGGATTCGCTTTTTATTCCTTTTTTTCTTTTTTTTTTCTTTTCTTTTCCCGTCATTTTATTTCCTGTGAATCTTTTTTTTTTTCCTTTTTGCGGGTTCCCCCTCGCCCCTGGGGATTCCGCTTCTCCCCCCATCTTTCGGTTTCCACCAATTTCATGTCAATTGGGTGTTCCACATAGAAGGAACCTGCACTGTCAATACAAATTCAGATACGGAGTAGAGATCAAACCATCTGGGGCGCCAATACCTGTGGGGTCAATGTGGAGTTCAATATGGTGTACATGAAGCCAAAGGATCGAGCCGCTCGGAAGGGCGGTCCCGCATACAGTTGAGGTCACGGTACGGAGCAGTTTGACCTGGCAAGCACTGATCAGCATCTCGCCGGGGTCTGGGCTCTTCGGAACTAATTGACCCTGTGAGGGCTGTGCTGATCAGTGGTCAACAGACCCTGGGCTCCATTGCATCCCCGCCAAGCCGAGGACCAGAAGATTGGGATCTCTCGGTATTGCTGCTTGGCTACTGCCTGCATGGGACACGTCGCGGTTGGGCAGACCAGCCTAACGGGGATGAAGGGGCAGGACTAGCCTGCCACCAAGGCCATTATTCCCAGTTGTCATGCATCGACATACATCATATCTCGATGGAGTACTCCGTGCAGTTCTGCTTATTTCCAATCGGCTAGTGTGATGACATAGTCCACGTCCTCCCCAGACCTAGGTGAGTGCACATAGTGGACTGTCATCGATCTGCTCCGAACGAGCCCCGTTAATGCCCACCCCACTCTGTTTGATTCTTCCACCGCAATTACAGACCCTTCTCTCTCTGAATCTGCCTTGCCTACTACGGCGTCAACGCCTTCAATCTTCAGCTTTTGTCGGTGTCGATGCTGCGCAACTTCTGCTCCAATGAATCCATACCTGACCTCCTCAGCCACCGTCCATGTATGCCGCCATCAAGCACCAACAGCGACGCTGTTCAACGTCTCGACTATATATACACCACCTTACCACTCGTTCCTCGCTCTAATATAGACTAGCTTCCGTCTGTTCTTGCATCTGGATTGTGAATAACTTTACTTCGACTGTTGCTTTCGGGTCTTCACAACATGCCTTGCTCTCAGAGGTCAACCTATCCAGCTCTCTTCCCGCAGCCCGAGAATGACCACAACCGCTCCTCTCTGACGTACTCGTCTCCAATTCCCTCATCCGAATCCAAGCACAGGCCCCCTGTCGGATTGGGTATATCTGGCTGTGGTATTGAGCATGTATTCGATGAAATGAGGGTGTTTAACATCCCGCCCCAACTTCCATCACAACTGGTCCCTCAAACGCCTACCCTTGATCTTTCCTACGATGACTACACCAGCGTATCATGCTTTGCTCCGAGTTACGACCAAATACCGATCCCACCCCCAGAGTCACTTGGTCTTTACGGCTCCACGTCGATGAGCGCGTCGCCCAGTTACAATTCTGCTTTCGAGGCTGGCCCAAGTCAGGATATCTTCTCGCCTGGAATGTCGGATATATGGACTCATGCCTCCTGCTCAGGCCCGACAACCCCATCTGAGGCCGTTGCCACTTCAGGTAACTTGCAATGGATGCAGGGGATGGCTATGCCCGCAACGCCACAATCCTGCACTGATACAGTACTGGGGTCGATTGAAGCTGGGGTCCGAACATGCTGCAGAGAGAACGTCAACGCCTGGCAGGAAAGCATTCCACACCAGGCCGCAACCACTAATACAGTGAACCCAGAGCCTGGTCCTAGGCCTGCTAGGAGATCCCGCGACTCGCTCGGTGAATTTCTCTCTGCGAGTGGAAAGCAATGCCCTACTTGTGGCAAAAAGTTCACCAGACGCTCCAACTGCAAAGAACACCAGAAGATGCACAACCCCGAGTGGAAACACAATCATCCATGCGAGGAATGCCACAAGTCCTTTGGAAGGAGCTCGGATCTCAAAAGGCACAGAGACAACGTGAGCCCACCGAATCCAGTCACCCAGGATCAGAGATCAGTCACTCACATGCTTAGGTTCATCTCGGGATCCGTAAATATTATTGTGAATCGTGCGACCGGCGCTTCAGCCGACATGATTCCCTCAGCAGGTACGAGAACAGAACATCTGGGCGTTTCGCATCTCGGTTATTGTGTACTGACAATATGTACTTCACAGACACGGCTGCGATGAGAGAAAACGTTCATCACCGGGATCTACCAGCCGCCATGAACTCCCTTTACTTGCATCCAGGTCACCTCTATCTTCAAAGCACTACCGCTCGATTAGTGATTGCTAGACGCACAGCTCCCAGACCGGGTAACGACTGAAAGAAATCATTCTACGCATTGGCCACGATTATGGGAGGCTCTTTTGTTTTTATTGTTTCCGGCGAATTGGGTCTGCCGGCCAGAGCCATCTCCAGTTTTTCTTCGGCTTTTTGACTGCAGCATGGCATGATCCCTTCGAAGGATTGTGTCTTTCGCTATCATAGCGCGCAGCCCCGTTTCCTTGGCGTTCAGCATTGTACTATGCATTTGGTTTGGACTTTTGAGATTTTTGAAGGGCGTTAACTATGTACTGTACTGTATCCATGTCCGATTTGCCACAATTTAGTTCATGTGGTGAGGGCTCGAATGTGATATCATCTGCATCAAACATTTGCTCTGGCGCGCGGGTATAACAAGTCTTGATCAACGCGCAGTCTTGGCTCTGCTCAGATCGACAAATCACTTCTCGGGGAGAATTGGATTGGACTGTCTCGCATCGTCTATTGTGGACACCCGCATCCCGTCCCACATCGACCGCATTGAGGACTCGTACGAATACCCCATAGCCAACCATTGGCGAGTCGGCGAAGACCGAATCACTCCCGCTATGCGTGGAAATTGCAATTTACTTGCAATCTCCACGGGAATGGAGTTCGGAAGCGCAACGCATGGGATCCGGTCACACCTCCCCGAGGCCCGTTGAGAAAAAGATCTCGACTCTTGCCGCGCTCCACTTAAAGCGCCGAATCACACACTAAGCCCAAGCGAGGGATCTTCGCCAGACACGAAAAGGAACTGATTTGAAATAAGTCTAACCCTCCAGTTTTAGGAATAGCTGATCCTTTCACGAAACGAGCCGAGAGGATAAGTGAAAAAGAAGAGCCCAACGCTCCTGCAGATGTCTCACTGAATTTGGCGGCAATTTCCAATCTCCCATGATCCCTGTTCGGGTCCCCTGGCCAGTTAGTTGACAGATTAGAAAGCAATTGCTCTCTCGGTCTCGGTGCTTTCTCTTCCTTGTTCCCTCTTCCCCATCCCTTTCAACCTCGCAGGACAACCTCGGAAAGCTTCAGAACCCCGCTGACTCCACTTGTTGAGCTTGAAGCTAGTTGCCCTGAGTGGAGATGCAGCTTGGGACTATTTGGAGTACCTCCGGTGCAGCCGCGCAGGAACTCGCGTCTGTTCGCCTAGTTTTGGATCCACGATCTCCATAATCTTTGTATCCGAGGCTCTATACGGAGAACATAATTTGGAATTTCGACAAGTGGGCCCAAGTTCTGATAGTATTGGTAGCGATTCGGGCCATTACTCCAATCTGAGTCGTTATTGAGGCTGTTTCGTTCCGTGCATTATACGGACATCTTAGCAAAACCATGACGCAGTATCGATGCGCCGATCACTCGGATCTCCCGTAACCAAGTACTATGTACCTGTACGAATTGTCAAATCTCGATAATGTTTCCTAAGTGGGATTGTGCCGATCTGCAAAAGGCTAGAAGCACAAAGGGGATGTCCCACTGTCTCATTGTCTCGCAGATCCCCATATTGGGGATCCCCAATTTCCACGCAATTCCACTCGCCTTAGAACTTGTGGTGATGCCGTACTACTACTAGTAATGGGAATGCGCACTTCGTACGCCACTATCCACTCTAGTGTTACCGGCGTTTGCACGAATCTGGCCAGTTTCTCCTTATCTATTCGGTACCCCTGAGCTCAAGGGCCGACTCTCCGCTTGTAAGCACTCGCGCTGGAACCAATCTATCTTCGTCGACCTTGGGCATACATATAGGGATCGGCATGTTGGCTGAGACAATTCTGATGCCACTCGGTCAAATGAGCAAATGCCATCTCGGTCCAAGATAATGGTCTCCCACTGCTGCGTAGGCTTTGATACGGATACTCTGTGCGGGTTGAATATTTCTCGGACTCCGAAGTCCTTGTCTATGGGGACTATCTTGTCCCGCGTCTCTGTCTGGTATTGAGCAATCGAACACACATCTCACACGAACCGTCGCTCACCTGGGAATTAGACGGCTAGGACTCATCACATATACCAGGGCCCACCCTGGGGCACTCTGGGGCAGATACTCCGTACTTGGTTCCATCATGGATCGGTACGTAGACAACTCTTGGAAGGGTCGTCCGGATATTCTCTACTTTATCATGGCCGACGGCCATGATCGTATCACTGACCAGCAAGATTATGGCATTACCTCAAACACCCGTGGACAACACTTGAGAGTACTAGTACAAGAATCAGGTTCTTTGATCTGGACTGTCGATTCACCATCTAGTCCGTCCATTGCTGTTCAGGTGTGATACGACTTGATTTCCTTCGGTGATTGTTGCAGTTTCAATCAAGATACTCATGTGTCATGCCTTTCCCTCGCTAATCCGCACACATGAAGCCCCAGATACGTTTCCAATCTGCCGAGTTTCAATGCCAACTCTCCACCTGTTCCGGAAGCTGACGAGCCGTACATCTATCCTGTCTCTGAAGATCAGGCTGACTTCGAAGCCAGCCATCTGGACTTGCACCGACTCCCTTGGGCTGATCAGGCCAAAAGCTTCACACCGTCAACAGCTATCAAAGGAGCACGTCGACACCACACAATTTCAAGGTTGGCACCTGTGGAGGGCGTTTGCGTATGAAGACTATGCGCCAGCGCCTGATTTCGGCTCTCTCAAGCTTTCGCCGCTTTCGCCTCAACGGGAGTCGCTGCTTCAGCGACCTTTAATGACACATCGTCTGTGGCTTCGACTTCGAGCGTCTGACGCCTACTGTATGGCTTATGTTAATGCAAACTAGTGAGGATGACGCTGAATGATCTTTAAACATACCTTTTATCTTGTTCCTCCCTTCCGTGAAGCAGGCGAACGAGGAACGTGAAAATGATCAACAGAATCGACAGCACTGTAACAGTGATGAACCCCTTTTGGTACTGGGGTGCATCGACTTGCTGCCATACTATCAGAGGAAGCCAAGCCTGAAAGACATAGGCCAGCTCATTCATGCTCCCGATCACCAGGGAACGCTCCTCGTTGTCATCGGAACAAATCTCATGGGCCCAACTGTGCTGTGAGTTAGCGCACGCAACTTGTTTTCGCTTGACGCGGGGAGGATTCATACGCCATGAGCAATCCACTCAGTCCATATCCAGCACCGCTAATGATGTAGCATGTCCACTTCCATCCAATTGGAATATTCCACACCGCAAGGGAGACATAACTGATAATATTGACACACTAGCCTCGCATTAGACAATTCACGTACAGTCCTGAGGTCTGGAAGGTTTGGACTTACAGCGCCGAAGACGATTGGGGGCCAACGACTCCCCTTCAAAACCGTGTCCGATATCCACGCATAGGCTAGTGTCGTTACTACCTGGACTGCGGGAGTAGTGGTGGGTATCGAGTTGATTTGACTGATGGAGTACACGGGATCCTCGGAAGTTTTGAGAAACCTGTTGGTACATGAGTGCTTGTAGCATGGTTTTTCGGACGTCACTCACTGTTGAAAGACAGGCTGACTCCCTGCTGCGCCATTGTTGAAGCAGCTGTGCTTCGTTAGCAATCATGTACCTAGGTATTGTTACTGCGGTGTGAGCTCACATGTAGAGTGCGGTCAGAAGATAGATGTGCCATGAGGTAAAGATCTTCTTTAGTTTGGACTTGGTGTATGGCTCTCTGTTCTTCCTTCCCTCCAGAGTCATTCGCGTTTGTGCTAGCTCAACCTCCTAATCGATCATCAGTATATATGTCAGGCTGGATGGGAATGGACTGAGTTTACCTGCTCGCTTAAATACCAGGGACTAGAGATCTCGGGCACATCTGGGAGGATGAAAAACCCACTCAAAGCCACTGGCAACGATATCACACCGTCAATGATGAAGAGCCTTCTCATGAGTGAGTACTTGGTTCTGACTTCAGATGTTGATCTTTGCGGATGTTGCATACCACTGCCAACCCTTGAACCCCCCTCGCCCTCCCAATCGATAGACCGCATCCATAAGATATCCAGAGAACATACTAGCTATCCCACTGCTGGTGTGGAAAATGCATGAGCGCTTGGCAAGTTCGTCTTTTCGGTACCAGGACCCGATGATATACTGCATCCCCGGATAAAAGGTACTCTCAGCCAGTCCTATCGCGGTGGAGAGGTGGGATATTAGCGTTGAATGAACATAGTCCTCACGTCTCACTTACCAACAAAAAATCGCAGTACGTAGAATTGAGTCGGGGTATTGCACCGAGATAGTGACATGGTGAGAACAGTCCAAAGAAGCTTTGGGGGTCAGTAGATGGCCAACACCCAAGGCGCCAAGCATACCTCCATTGCCGGTATCCAATACCTTGGCTTAATTCGAGTCAAGAGGATGTTGCTTGGGATTTCTCCAATAACGTATCCAACAGTCCAGCAGGTTTGCATGTAATTGAGCTCATTGCCATACATGCCCAAGTCTTCCTTCCTGTAAGGGGTCAATGAGAAACTCGTGGGTCATGAGAGATGCGATCATACATTCCAGAAACAAAGGCATTGTTGATGTTTATCTGATCCAGGTACTTGATGAAATACCCTACCAGTTTGGTTAATCTTTGCTAACCGTGACGAGCTCCCTGCCCAGGACCTACCCAATGATGCAAATGTCAGGATCGCAGAATCTAGCTTGAAGAGCAGTCGGCGCTCTTCCGGTGATTTATCGAACGTGTCCCAAATGTAGCTCACCCATTTGCGCTTCGGCTCTTTCTGAATCACCTCTGTTTTGGGGTCGACGTGGACCTCGGGAGATTCTTGCAACATGACGAATCTTGATAATGGCAAAATCTTGGTCAATGCAAGCTACTCAGCCTCTTATAGCCTGCAAAATACAAGTGAAATTAGTTCCCACATTTATGAGAATGCCTCTGACACCAAGAATGCTTATCACGCCCGATGACAGACTCGGGACGGGCTTCCAAAGTTGCGATTGGATGTAGACTTTCAGCTCTAGCCTATCGGTCGGAAAGGGGAGAATTTGCCATTTTCAATGTCCACATCTGGGTTGGTGACTATGTAGAAAAGATCCAGTTGGATGACCATCCAATGGAAGACAGTTGACTTCGATGTTTGCGCAATCTCTGCGGGGATAGACACCATGGAAACTGAATCATGCGTGCGGAGGTGTACCGACATGCCCTGATTTAGTGAGATGGTGCAATCGCTTTCAGATCCCAGGAGCTACTAAGTATCAGCATTGAAGCTCGTCATGCGCTTTGACGATGATGTGACTGAGCAATCCCGACTCGGGAGGTCTTCGGCCGTTTATTTTACAATCCACCAGGCCAAAGGTGGACTGGACTGTTAAATAGCTGGAGAGACTGTAGGCATTGTGGGAATTTACCTATGTAGGTATGCAAACTAGGTACCTAGTACTACCTAGGGAGCACGTTTCGTCTGCAGTTTGAGGACTGCAGATTGCATGTGCACATGGAACTATATATTTGGCAACTAATACCACAAAGTCGACACCCACAGATTTGTCGGTCTCGAGAGTGAAATGATTGATTTCGCAGCAAATAAAAAGGAAGATTCGCAGCTGAGTTACAGAAATGGACAGGGAAGTTCTTCCAAGGTTGTGCTTTGCTCAAAGCGACATATCCATTCCAAGTTGGTACCCAGTAGCTTTATAATTCCGAGGTTCGAGGTTTGAAAACCTCAAACAGCGACCTGCACGGCCAATGGACTTTCGAATACATCTGCCCTTGGAAGCTGCCCGGCAAGGATTAATTTAAGCCTTTCTCCCAAAGCAACCCTTTCCTGAACCCATGCCTCAGTGTGTCCCTCAATCGGGGGTAGGTCGTTGTCGGCTCTCCCGGAATTAACCCATTCCAACAATTCACGCACGTACGGCTGCTCCTGCTCCTTGAGTGAATGAAAGCTTCGGCCATATCCCTTCTCCTTGAGGCGATTCACATACTCGTTCCTCATGCTCTCAGTGGGTGGAAGGCGTGCGACACCAGAGAGGAAATTTGCCACTGCGATAGCCTGAAACTCGAACAAGGAGAAAGTTGCAGTGTAGAATGGTATGCCGACAAATAACAATGTAGGGTCGGGGATATAGAATATGTCCTTATGCAGATTGTGAATTTGGGTGCCGTCTGTCACAAGTACAGTCTCGTCAGCCTCGGTGGCGGACAAGCTGTGGTCATTGAGCTGTTCAAGGAAAGGAAAGGCCAGCTGGTATCCTGTACAGAGAATAATGATGTCGACCTCGCCTACGGTTTCCCCAGACTTGAGGTGCGCGGTCAATGGCAAGTGCTCAGTTGGAAGGTCCGAGGCAGAGACCTTAAACTCTTTGATTTCACCGATTCGGCGGCCATTGGCTGGCAGTGCACTTTCGGGGAGATCAAAAGCACCATTCCGGGTGCTTTGAAAGATTTGGTTTACCGTGGGACTAAGCTCCTTGGCTATGTCAATAGCAGACACACCTCCTCCAATCAAAAGAACATTCTAAAAATGGGTTAGCACGGTGAAATTGACAGAGAGTGCTCCTCATACCTTTCCTTCTAATCCCTTTGACCGCCTGAACGACTTTGAGTGGAAAATCTGAGCAGGCCATTGGGACTTTGCTTCCGCGAGTCCTCCAATATCTGGGACAAGAGGTGTGTGATAGTGACCTGAAGCAACGATCACCGAGTCGAACGCCTGGGATTGAATTAGAATCCTGTTCGCACGCAAAAGGTGTCATAAACTTGCTGCTGAATTCTGCTTTTCCTTGACCTCTTGATCTGAGCTATCCAGGGTGCTCCAATGGACAACCCATGACGACCCATTTTTGCGCACTCGATCGACCCGAGCTCCAAACTTAGTGACATTATCAACACCAGCTTTCTGAGCGGTATCTTGGATATAGTCTTTGAGCACGCTATGTCTCACGAACCGCTCAGTTCCTTCAGGCCAATCATTGAGCGTTGTCTGGAGCAACGGTGTAGACACGTTATTGGTGAGACTTTCGTAGCATGGCCTGGATATCATGAGCCAAGTATATATGCCCGATGTGTTCAAACTTACCCGGGAGGCGCATGTAACAAAACCGTCCTTTCTCGACCTTCTCTGTCATCTTTGACATACTCTTGCGACACAGATGGTCTGGGTGATGGATATTGTGCTTCAATCGGTGTGCGCTTATCATAAAGCCTTCGAAGCGTTAGCATAGCAATTCAAAATGAGAAACATCGTAATGAAATATGAGGATTGGTTGAGCCATACCATACACCTCCTGCTGCATTGCTTCTCTCGAAGACAGTCACCTGAATTCCAGAAGCAAGAAGATGTCCTGCAGTAACCACGCCACTGATGCCTGCTCCAATGACAGCAACGTGTATCGATTTTGGATCCATATTGGGAGTTTCGGTGATTGAAAAACGACGTGCTTCTTGATTCAGTGCTGCCGATGGGTCAACTGGTGGTTCTTCAACGTACAGTCGCCCAAACCACGAAACACGAATTAAAGATCTCGCTGTTTCTCGCTATGTCGAAGACTCAAATGGTCTTTCCGGATGATACGGCAAGATAGTGCAATGCTTAGAAATGTTGAGCGATCGTGATCCCAGCATAGTATGATGAAATAGCCCACGCTGCACTATCGCAAATTGCAACGGGGCTCGGATGCGACTGGATGCAAATGCAAGAGAGGGGTTGAGGAACTAAAGAATTGACAATATCCCGCAGAAGGCGTAATGTGCCATGGCGATGATGTGATTGCAGTCCAGAAGTCCGAGGTGCGATTCGAACAGATATATGGCGCGTCACATCTCTGTGGCAGTAGAAGTGAAGCTCCTATCAATCTCACAATTTCATACACAGTACAGAATATGGCCCCGGCTCCCATTGACCCACGCATCACCGATGTTGCAGTGCCGCGGAAGGACTCCCTCAGTCTTCCCGACTCTGCCCGGGAACGTCTAGAGAGAGCGGGGATTGATCTCAGCGAAGGCTACCCATATCGGCCATCTCGTCCTCTTTACCTTGACGACGTGTATAGCGTGCGGGACTATGATCGCCCTCATATTGATCCCGGCAGCCGAGCCGACCCAGAAAAGAAAGCTCTTCTGTCGGCGGCCACAAAGGTGATCCCATTGACTAGACACATTGGAACAGAGATTATCGGGTTGCAGTTAAAGGACCTGACGGATCAACAAAAGGATGAGCTAGGGTTGCTGATCGCCGAGCGGAGTGTTGTCTTCTTCCGGGACCAGGATATCACCCCTCAGCAACAGAAAGAATTGGGTGAGTGGTATGGCGAGGTCGAAATCCATGTAGGCTATTTCCCAACCCAATCTAATGCCAACGTACCAACCGTGCTTGCCAGCCTCAAGTTCCCCAGATCCCCGGTGTGCCCGGCGTAAGCGTGATGTGGCCAGCATTACAAGCATCAGAGAGCCCGGCCAGCTTCCGTCGTCCGGGAGGGGCCTCACGCTGGCATAGCGATCTTGTGCATGAGCGGCAGCCCGCGGGGGTGACCCATTTACACAACGATACCGTTCCCACGGTTGGAGGTGACACCCTCTGGGCAAGTGGCTACGCCGCATACGAGAAGCTGTCCCCGCTCTTCCGTACATTGATTGATGGCCGAACTGCCATATACCGCTCCGCCCATCCGTACCTCGACCGAGAGAACCCAGAAGCGGGGCCAAAGTATGTAGAGCGCGAGCATCCCATCGTGCGCGTACATCCCGCAACAGGCTGGAAGGCACTCTGGGTGAACCGGGCGATGACGGTCCGCATTGTTGGCCTTGATAAAGCCGAGAGCGATGTGATTTTGGGGTACCTATATGATGTGTATGAGCAGAACCCCGATATTCAGGTTCGGTTCAAATGGACCCCTCGGACCAGTGCCTTGTGGGATAACCGGTAAGTCGTGCATATATCTGTTAGCAATTCTTCAACTCACCGCTGGGCAGAGTCACCATCCACAATGCCAGTTGGGACTACGAGGGTTCTCAGCCCCGGCATGGCACACGAGTGACTTCGTTGGCCGAAAAGCCGGTGTTCAACCCCGATGCACCTACTCGGCGAGAGAGGCTAGGACTTCTGGGTCCAGAGGAGGTCCAAGAGCTGGAACAGTTGGCTAGTCACCTGAAGCTCAAGTAAGTGGGGGGGGGGTTTGCCGTATCCAAGTGTACCTTCGAATCAGGCCAATATGAATACAGCCAAGTGGATTTAGAGTGATTGTCGCATAACTTTCTAGACGGAGGGATCACATGTCGACTTGGGCAATCCGCCAGCAGGTCCTTGGCTAGATCTTGTGGAATGCCTTGATGCAACTCCAGTCAGAAAGCCTATATTCCAGTGCGTATTGCAATAGATTGGAAATAGTACGCAGCATGATGCAGTCGCGGAGTGTAGTACAAGAAATGCCCCTTGGGCCCCCGCGGATGTTTGGGCAAAACGGATTGACCGCCTCAGACCCCAACAAGTCGCATTTCTCTTTGCGATTTCCCCTCCTCTCAATTATCCCGCAAAGATGAGCGAGACAGTCACCGAAAGCGTCACTCTGACCAGCCCGCCTGAGATCACGGCGGACAATGTCGCTACTCTCTTCCCCGAGGTTGATACCTCGCTCGCCCGCGAAGTCCTCCCCACCAGCCAGGCCAGCGAAGGTGCCTCCGGTGAGTTGGAAGGGTACGATGAGGAACAAGTGCGCCTGATGGATGAGGTATGCATCGTTTTGGACAACAACGATCGCCCGATCGGAAGTGCCAGCAAGAAGCTCTGTAAGTTGGACCGCTGGCAATTGCCCCAGAATATCCAAATGTGGGGGAGGGGAACATTGTATTTGGCGATCGGACACTGAGAACTTGCTCTGAATAGGCCACCTGATGACCAACATCGACAAGGGTCTCCTCCACCGTGCTTTCTCCGTCTTCCTTTTTGATTCCAACAAGCGTCTGCTGCTTCAACAGCGCGCCACCGAGAAAATCACCTTCCCCGACATGTGGACCAACACCTGCTGCTCACACCCCCTGGGGATTCCCGGAGAGACAGGATCCCAATTGGATGCTGCCATCATGGGCGTGAAGCGCGCGGCGCAGCGCAAGCTGGACCACGAGCTGGGCATCAAGGCCGAGCAGGTGCCCCTGGACAAGTTTGAGTTCTTCACCAGAATTCACTACAAGGCTCCTAGTGACGGCAAGTGGGGTGAACATGAAGGTAAGTCTTATTGCGCGATGTGATCCATTGTCGAATCCTGGCGAGTCTCTGACCATCTCTAGTGGACTACATCCTCTTCATTCAGGCCGATGTTGACCTGAACCCGAGCCCCAACGAGGTCCGCGACACTACCTATGTGTCGGCCGATGAGCTGAAGGCTATGTTCGAACAGCCCGGCCTGAAGTTCACCCCATGGTTCAAGCTGATCTGCAACTCCATGCTGTTCGAGTGGTGGAGCCACCTCGGCACCCCGGCTCTGGACAAGTATAAAAACGAGCAGGAAATTCGCCGGATGTAACTTTTTGGCAGCCTCTGGCGTGTCTTGATCTGTGTCTCTGGCTTCTTCTTTTCTTGTTCATGCATTTTTGGCGGGATTGCCTCTTGCGCAACCCATGAAAATATACCTCAGTATTGTTTGTCTGCTCGACGATTCTTACGAAATTACTATCTAATGCGGGTGTCTTGCCCTGACGGCTTACTTTTAACCATCCTATATCCCAAGTACCTAGTAGCTGTTTGACACTCAACGTTGGAAAAGGTCCAATCCACAATCTTCGTTCCCAAATTCCGGAGATGCAAGCTAGAAAAATGCCCCACGATGCTAACGCCCGCGCTAATAGACCAATATGACGACCTGGGCTCACTGAGCCGGATCTGTCGACAAGAATAGAATGCAACTTCCCAAGATCACCGTCCCCACCACTGTGAACACCACCTGGGTCTTCCAGCCGCTCTGCACCAAGGCCGCCTTCCGGGCATACTTCATGACCGTTCGTGAATAGTTTGCAAATCCGTTGGCCAGACATGTCAAGCTGAGAATCCAGAAGATGATCCCGAGCGGCAGGGCCATGCGCCTCTCCAGGACGGTGGGCTGGTCACGAAAGTGAAAGGAAATGATGATGGCGAGTGAAACGACGGCCAAGTACATGGACAGCCGCAGCCATGAGAGAAAAGTTCGCTCATTTGCGCAGTGGTCCCGAGCATCCGATGTGCTATTCTCAAATAGAAGTGCTCCACAGTATGGCCGCGATAGAAGAATGTGGCGCTGCGACTCAAGGTGCCTGTCGAAATGTCAGAATGTGTCGGACAAACCATGTGGCTCCGCGTGAAGGTCCATGCAGTCCATCGACATCACAGGCATGGAACGCTCCAGGGCTGGACTTGACACTGTCCCGAATTCTCCATGTAAGGAGTCAAGCCACCAAATTCGCGGGAGGATACTCCGGGGCACTGCCGACTTACTCTTCCACGAGGACCGGCTTGGAATGTACCGGGTTGATCAAAGGGTTGAACGGAGGACGAAGAGCCGTTGAGTGAGACATGTTGCACTGTCTGTTTACTTCCAAAGGTTGCAAGGATGAACGCGAAGATCAGTCGAAGATCATGTGATGCCTTATGCCGTTTTCGGACATCAGTTCACGAGGATAGATTCATGTCCCGTGCGTACTGGGCAGTGTATGCACGTACTCCGTAGTGTACTGTATGTACATTGTCGGGGTCCAAATGAAGTATGTCCTTGATCGACAAACACTCAGTGGGTCATGCGGGGAACGTCCAACCTTGGAAGGTTGTTTCACCGTACTTTACTAGGTACTGTATACAACATGTACTATACCTAGGTACGGAGTAGTAGTACTCTTCACCTACGGAGTAGTACAGTATATAGTTATATTATATGTAGATATATCCATGCATAGTTACATAGTTACATACTACCATGTGCTCCGTAGTACTACTATGCATAGCAAGGACTCGACTACTAGGTAAAGTACAGACACTTGAAGTGATGGAGTTCGGACTCCAATTTATCTACTAAACCTTTGACACATATGAACCTATGCACGGGGTCTATGCACACCCCTCGCTTTACTTGTCTCCGTACATACCTATGTAGGTAGATATAGTGCACCGTTCTGGACATCCGCAAATGGGGCCGGGGAAACGGTATTACAAATACCCTTAGCTCATCTGCTATCGGAACATTGGAACATCTGGACGTCTCTTCCTTTTTCTCTTCTTACTCTTGCTTTGTGGGTTAATCTAGGCAATGTGGCCTACGCAATAACCGCTTGTCAACCTCTCACAATGGGACCCCGAAATATTCGCTCCGATTCCGAACGCCAAGGGCCGTTGAGCCGGTCATTCACCTCGAGCTCCCCAATTGCCGCTTCTGCAATCGCTCGAGACCTGGCTAACTACAGCGAGGAGGAACAAGATCCCAGCGATGAGAATTCCAGCGCGATTCCCTGGCCGCCCGGGAGCTTTTCCAGCAATACCCGCTCACTAGCTGGGTCATATCGCCGCCCTAGCAACTTTACCTCCGTCAGCCACGCAACCATTATCCCCTGGACCGGAGAGCAGCAAGTCCTATCCAAAAGCGAACACCAGGATATCATCGAGGAGGAACGCCGCCTATTGAGCGATAACAATGTCATCCCACCGGAGCATGCCCACGGCAAGTCCCACGGCCTGCAGCACAAAATGAGTGGATTGCTTTCCGCTGCGATTGGCCAGGGATCCCCATCGCGACGAACGAGTCACTCGCAGCGATCGCGAAGCCGGCCTCGCCTGCCAGACGGCGCAGGCGAAACGACAGCACTACTGGGTGATACGATTGAGTCCGGGGATTCCGGCAGCGAGATGGGCCCGGAGGAAATCGACCGGAAATGGGAAGAAGCTGTCGCGGCGGGCCTGATCCATACGACGTGGCAGCGGGAAGCGAAGGTCATTGGGAGGTACTCCTTGCCGTTGATGGTGACGTTTCTCCTACAATATTCCTTGACGGTGGCGAGCATTTTCACCATTGGGCACCTTGGAAAAGAAGAATTGGGCGCGGTCAGTCTGGCGAGCATGACCGTAACCATTACCGGAAATGCGGTATTTTCTGGCCTGGCGACCAGTTTGGATACCCTCTGCGCGCAGGCTTATGGCTCTGGGAAGAGGAAGCTGGTAGGACTCCAGATGCTGCGGATGGTGTACTTCCTGTGGATTGTTACCATCCCCATCATGGTGCTCTGGTACTTTTCGGAGCACGTTTTGGCCAAGATCGTGCCCGAGACAGAGGTCGCGAAGATGGCCGGTCTCTATTTGAAGATTGCTCTCCTGGGCACGCCCGGCTTTGCTTGCTTCGAGAGTGGCAAGCGATACCTGCAGGCCCAAGGTGTTTTTTCAGCGTCTTTATATGTGCTGATCTTCTGCGCGCCACTCAATGCATTCCTTAACTGGTTCTTTGTCTGGGTGAGTATCATCTTCTACACTACTTCGGAATCATGAAGATACTAATGAATGTGGTAGAAACTTCAATGGGGCTTCATTGGCGCGCCTATTGCCGTGGTCATCACGGAAAATCTCCTTCCAATCTGTCTGTTCATCTACGTCTATTTCTTCGTTGGATCCGAGTGCTGGTGTGGTTTCAGTCGCCGCGCATTCCAAAATTGGGGTCCAATGATCCGCCTGGCACTCCCAGGGCTCATCATGGTAGAGGCAGAGTGTCTGGCCTTCGAAATCCTGACCCTTGCATCCAGCTATCTCGGCACATCCGAGCTCGCAGCCCAATCTATCCTGGCAACCATCTCAAGCATCACATGGAATATTCCATTCCCACTCTCTATTGCGGGTAGCACGCGAGTAGCAAACCTGATCGGGGCCACTTTGGTCGACGCCGCCAAGACCTCTGCCAAGGTGACCCTTTGTGGCGCTGCCATTGTCGGCTTGTTTAACATGGTCCTTCTATCAACTTTGCGCTCGTACATTCCCAGGCTCTTCAGTTCCGACCCTGAGGTTGTCGAGATCGTGGCGCAGGTTCTGCCGCTCTGTGCGGCTTTCCAGCTATTTGATGCTCTGGCCGCCAACTGCAATGGAATCCTGCGTGGTCTCGGCCGTCAGGAGGTAGGTGGGTACATTCAACTCTTCCTTTACTATGTGATTGCCATGCCGCTCAGCATGAGTACGACCTTTGTTCTAGGATGGGGTGTCATGGGTCTGTGGACCGGCGTAGCCCTTGCCCTCGGACTTGTTTCTCTCATTGAGGGCATCTTCATCAGCCGCGCTAATTGGAATCGCTCCGTCGAGGAGGCCGTTCGTAGAAACGAACTGACTTGATCTGGCCAACCCACCTGGGCACGTCTGAACGGAACCACGAAAACGCTTGTACATGATTTGACGCTCCACAGGCATACGCTTGTACCACTCACTTTGGCTCATAGCTTGCTCTCTTGTATTTTTGCATTCTGCATCCGGCGGCCTTTTGATTTATGTTATTTCCATCTCAACATGATCACAAAACATATATGGTAAATAAGACAGTTCATGATATCATTGGAGCTCGAATATGAATTTTACCAAACACAGATATGAAAAGTTTCTCTAGTACTCCAGGATGGCCCATGTCTGCTCATCCAGAGTGGAAAAGACCACACCCGCGCCAAGCAGTTCTTCGCCAGCCCTGGAGACCTCGGTAGCAGGCAAGTTTAGCTTCGCCGCAATAACCTGGAGGTGCAGACCGCTCTCATCCTGCGGCTCAGACTTGAGCAGAGTATAAATCTTCTTCGCGACAGGCGACATGGTCGCCAGGGCCTTGTTTTGGCCAGTGCCGTATTCCTCCGCGCCGCCCATCACAGCATCCCCACCGGTGGTGTTTCCAGGCGCAGCACCACCCGGCGGGCCTCGAGTGAAGAACAAGTGCACCGCAGTCGCCTCCAGCAGGTGGCAATGCAGCTCATCTATATGAGTCAAAGGCCGGACACTGTGAGCACCAACGTAGCGCTTGTTTCCAAACGATTTGATAGATCCAAAGACACGAGCGTAACCATTGAGCTCAACCTCAGTCTTTCCATCGCCGGGGGCTTTACCGTCGTCGGTATCCATGTTGTCGGCAGTCGCCGAGTCAATCCACTTCTTGACTTCAATATCACCTGTGCCGTCGTCGATCTTGTATGTGACATTTGTGCTTTGGGAGCTGATGTTGCGGACTTGGCCGATGAATAGGACATTGGCGACATCGGCACTGTCAATCTGGAATGCGGCTTCGGGGTAGGGTTGGGAGGCGTCCAGGATTTGCTTTACCGTCACGGGGCGGAGGGTCTTGTTGTCCCGGTCGCCACTCTGTTCACTCAATCATCAGTATTTTGTTGTAGACAAGTAGAGACCGAGCTTGACAAACTCACCTTGGCTCCCGAGGGGCTGTTTGTCTCGCCGGGCATGAAGCCTCCACCGCCGCCGCCAAAGCTGTTGTATCCACCGTCTGGTCAAACATGTTAGACTGATGTTTCCAGATATCGTTGATAACATGTGGCTACTTACCCATGATTTGTGATGTGGTTGTGTGGGAGAATGAAGGTACGGAAGTCGAGCTTGTCTGAAGCACCATTTTACTCAATTGGGATCTCCAACGCGTCGCGGGGATCGCGTTCTGCCCTGACAGACCGCTCACCAGCTTGGGATGATCGCGTCCTACTAGGATCTCCTTGTGTGTTGGGTTGAACCGATTTATTTACCTGGAATTGATCAGACAACTAGCACAGGAACATCTGAAGGTCTCCCTCTAGCCTTTATATGTAAATTATCATTGTCCTCCAACTACCTTGGCCACTCTCACACGGTGTACTTACAGATGTGGTTTGTCTGGTTTGCACTGGGTATATCATTGATCCGGTCCTCACCGCTTTGGTTTCCCCGAACTTTTTTTTTTTTTGCGATGCGAAGTGACGGCGGTAGAAGCGACTCGACTTTCTTTTCCGGCGTTTGAAGTCTGAGCAATTCGTGGAGTGTTTGCGCTTGATAAAAATTCTCCATTGCACCTTTTACTCCTTTGCAGATTCCCACCCCGTCCCGTCCATTGGAGCGCCGACCTAATCAACGCTTATCACCGCATCTGCGGCATATCAATCGAGGACCAACATCCGACAATGCCTCGCCGTGAAGAATCCCCCGCGGAGTCGGAGAACGAGTTCGATATCACGAGTGCCCTGTTTGAGCACGACAGCGACTCCGACGATGGCGAAAAGCCCCCTCAGAAGAAAAACCAAACTCAGAAGCCCGTGCCAGAAGATCTCGATTTCCTAGGCGAAGATGATGGTGATGCGGCATTTATTGCCAATCGACAGGCGTCTGCCAACCGAAAGGGCTCCAACCTCAAGGGTCGTACAGTCAAAAAGGGTGGTGGTTTCCAGGCAATGGGTCTCAGCGGGTTCCTGTTGAAGGCCATTGCCCGCAAAGGATTCTCGGTGCCCACGCCCATTCAGCGAAAGACCATCCCCGTGATTATGGATGACAAGGATGTCGTCGGTATGGCTCGAACTGGTTCCGGAAAGACAGCCTCGTTCGTCATCCCCATGATCGAAAAACTCAAGAGCCACAGCACGGCGTTCGGTGCCCGTGCTCTAATCATGTCTCCATCCCGTGAATTGGCCCTGCAGACCATGAAGGTCGTCAAAGAAATGGGCAAGGGCACGAACTTGACCTCAGTGCTCATCATTGGTGGTGACAGCTTGGAAGACCAGTTTGGAATGATGGCCAACAACCCCGATATCGTGATCGCAACACCCGGTCGATTCTTGCACTTGAAGGTTGAGATGGAGATGGATTTGTCCAGTATCAAGTACGTCGTCTTCGACGAGGCTGATCGACTGTTTGAAATGGGTTTCGCCGCCCAGTTGACTGAGATTTTGCACGGCCTGCCCTCTACGCGTCAGACCCTCCTCTTCTCCGCTACACTGCCCAAATCGCTCGTCGAATTCGCCCGTGCCGGTCTTCAGGAGCCGAGTTTGATTCGTCTGGACACCGAGAACAAGGTTTCTCCTGACCTACAGAACGCCTTCTTCGGAGTCAAATCCTCTGACAAGGAGGGTGCCTTGCTACACATTCTGCACGATATCATCAAGATGCCTGTTGGCGAGACCGACATTGGTATGAGAATTCGACAGGAGGCGGAAAACCCGTCAAAGAAGCGCAAGAGATCTGACATCCGTCGCCCGAGCGGCTTCAAGGAGTCTCCCACGGCACACTCCACCATCGTGTTTGCTGCAACTAAACACCACGTCGACTACCTCTACGCTCTCCTTGTTGAGGCAGGATTTGCCACATCTTACGCCTATGGTTCCCTGGATCAGACCGCACGTAACCAGCACGTCCAAAACTTCCGATCCGGCATCTCAAATATTCTGGTTGTCACTGACGTGGCCGCCCGTGGTATTGATATTCCAGTTCTTGCCAACGTCATTAATTACGATTTCCCCTCACAGCCCAAGATCTTCATCCATCGTGTGGGTCGTACTGCTCGTGCTGGTCAAAAGGGTTGGAGTTACAGTCTTGTCCGGGACAAGGACTGCCCTTACCTTCTTGACCTCCAGCTTTTCCTCGGACGCAGACTGGTCATCGGTCGCCAGTACGGTACCGAACTTAACTATGCTGAGGATGTTGTTGTAGGCACACTTCCCCGCGAAGCCATTTCTCGGTCCTGTGAGTGGGTGCAAAAGGTCCTCGATGATGATATGGATATCTTCGGTCAGAAGCAGGTGTCGCAGAAAGGAGAAAAGCTGTACCTGCGCACTCGTAACTCGGCATCAGCAGAGAGTGCCAAACGATCCAAGGAAGTCGTTGCTTCCGAGCACTGGTCTGAAATTCACCCGATCTTCAACGACGCCGCCAGTGCCCTCGAAGTGGAGCGCGAGAACATGCTGGCACGCATTGGAGGTTATCGACCACAAGAAACCATCTTTGAAGCCAACAACCGACGAGGTGGCAAGGTCGCCGATAACGAGGCTGTGGACACGATTCGGCGCCTCCGCACCGGCGTTGAGAACAGAAGAAAGCGCGCAGATGCCAAGGCCGAAGCCGAGCTGGCTGCTCTTGGAATGCCCACTGGCGAGGATGGTCAGCAGAAGCCGGATGACGAGGATGTTCCCGACCAGCCCGGCGACAACATGTCCGAGGCCTCTGATGATGAGCTTGAAGTCACGTTCTCCTCCTACAACGCCAACAAGGGCAACCAGGGCGAGCGATCAGAGCCCGCTGCGGCCTTCCAGAACCCCGATTACTTTATGGGATACAAACCTCAGAACAACGACATGGCCGAGGACAAGGCTTACGGTGTGCACTCCGGCACGAACTCGAACTTTGCTTCCGACTCACGCAACGCGACCATGGACCTGAACGGCGACGAGGGCAAGCGTGGCTTCGGTGAAGCACGGTCCATCATGCGTTGGGATAAGCGCCATAAGAAATACGTTGCCCGCCAGAACGACGAGGATGGATCCAAGGGTGACCGCCTCGTCCGCGGTGAGAGCGGAGCCAAGATCGCGGCCAGCTTCCGCAGTGGGCGCTTCCAGGCCTGGAAGAAGGGCAAGCGCGTTGAGCGCATGCCCCGTGTTGGCGAGGCCGAGACGCCGGCCATGAATAATGTGAACTCCCGCATGGCGACTGGTCGATTCCGCCACAACCAAGACCGGGCGCCCAAGCGCGCCGATCCTCTGCGTGGGGATTACGACAAGATGAAGAAGAAGAACGATGCGGCTCGTGAGCGCCAGCACGACAAGATGGGTGGTGCGGCGTACGGTGGCAAGAGTGAGCTGCGGTCTACCGACGATATTCGCAAGGCGCGCAAGCAGCAGCAGCAGCGTCGCGACAAGAACGCGCGGCCGTCGAAGAAGAGACGGTGAGCGGGTTCTCTTTTCGGCCGTCAGCTCGGGGACCTGAAAAAAAGGAAATCCAGAAAAGGAGCGACCATCAGAGCTCCACCACAATCAGTAGCATAGATGTCTATAATACCAAGATACCACCATTCACGGACATGTCTCTCGGGATTTAGGACCCGACCCTCACCACATGGGAAACGTCGATTGGAAACCCAGCCAGACCATTACGGTTAACCGTAGTCGATTCACGATCTCATACGAGAAGCAGAACGTTGAAGCTAGGAGAATTCTTCTCGATAGTCCCGGATAATCTCCGCCATGGAATTGCGACTATACCGGGACAGGTAGGAGGAGACCGTCACACGAATAACAGCAAGCCCGGTGGAACATTCAAAAAACGACCAACCAGATGCGTCCAGACTATTTGATCCTGCATGAACGGGGTGACAGACCCCTTGCTGCTCCGCGTGCCGCATGTTCCACACCCCTTTTCCCTGAAGTCGGATGCTGCCGAGGTTGATCTCGACTTCGAATCCCCCGCATCTTCGCTGGAATCCCATCTGGCCAGGGTCAGCAATGCACCTGGGTGTGATCGAGACTGCAGCCACATCGCGGTCGGAAAATTCAGGACCGAGCTCGAATCCACCAGGGGAAAAGACGCTTTCTGTGAGACCTGCAACCGTAACCCCCTTGACGGAGCATAAGATCAGTGGATTCGGAGAATAAAGACCGTGGGATTTGCAACGATTTTCTCAACGGGCTGGGCAAATTGGCCACTACTGCCGATCCTCAGGACTTTGGCGACAGGGTAGAGATTGACACTGTAACCCAGCAATTTAAGCATTCCATTGCGTCCGAACCGATTACCATACGGGATGGGATACAGTACGGACGACTATCGATCCAAAGGGAATAGTCAAGGGTCAAAGTACTCGGAATGCACGTCCCCAGTTCGACTATTGGCAATGGCTGCGGGCGCCGACGTCGATCGTCTTGGAGCCACCTTGCGTCCAGCCCTGATTGGCATATTATTGGGAATCCGAATGAGAAAGCGAATACTCAATGATTCAATGATCGCCCATTATCACTCCGTTATCAGGGACTATTGGACATTGCCACAGTCGTACTACTACACTGTACTCCAAGACCAGAACGTGTGATCACGACGAGGCAAGGCGCTTGGACATGCACCTGGATCCTAGCTCGATGATCGACCGCTATGCAATAACTCGAATATAGTACTGTACGGGTCCTGTCATGATCTGGAAATCTCCCGCTGATCGATGCAGTCTATTTTCTGACTCCTCCAATAGCGGATCTCTCTCGCGGATTATAAGCTCGGGGCCTCGGACGGAAGTCCAGCTTGTCTCCCTTGATCTCCTTCATTCGTCATGGCCAGCGACTGAGTGACTGGGGGATGGGGAAGTCATAAAAAGGAGTCACAAAATTACAGAAAAGGGTAAAAAAGGGCAAAAAGGACAAAAAGGACAAAAAAAAAGGGCTCAGAGGCTAAGGGAAACAAAAAAAACAAAAAAAAAATACTAATCATCTGCGCCTTTTCCTTTCCTGCCCGACGCCCGATGCAATCACTCGTGCTTCAGAGCCTGTCGACGCAGTTTGGTCACTTCAATCCGGGCGAGAGCCGGCCGAAGCGATCGTGGTCTCCCAATGCTCGAGGGTGCAGCCCCCGGGCTCATCTTCGATCGATGTCGGAATCTCCTCCAGCATCAGAGAAGCCTCGGGGGCAAGTGGTCGACCCTCCGGAGTCAGGGCCCTCCGAGCTGCCACGCCTGTCAGGGTATGCCGACGGTCTATATACGGGATCACCTCGACCGTTACCGGGAGCTCAGTATCCCCTCGCCGTGCTGGATCCAACCCATCCGGGCGCTCGCTCACTAGCTCAGAAATCCACTCGGCGGACCAAGGCTCATGTAGCATCGGCCTGCGTGAATTGCAAGAAGAAACATCTGGGATGTGACCCAGCTCGACCGTGCCGAAGATGTGTCCTGTCAGGGAAGGCTGTAAGTCGAGACCCCAGACTATAAGGAAGAAAACAACTGACCGCGAAGTCAACCTGCGTGGATGTCACGCACAAGAAACGGGGACGACCCCCGTTGAAAGCAGAAGATTCCTCGCTCAGGTCATACACCACCCATCTCGAGAACCCGGCCATCCCAGCGGAGGCCCAGCAAATGCCTCCGCGGCGCACCGCCATGCATCGGGCCACATCGTCGCGGGAATTACGACCCATGACGGATTTACAGGGACTCGATGCAAGTGCCGGTGTCAGAACGCCACATCGGTGGTCAGCTTCAGTATTCCCTCTCACCCGACCTATGGATCCCTCTCCAACCATGCCGGTTTCCAGTCGAAGGCCCTTTTCGTCATCGGGGCCCGCTTCACATCCAGTACCAACCCATCCTCATGCACCGTACGCGCCCATGGCCGGCTTTAATCCCGCCCTCAAGGCCCACACCATTCCCACGACCATGGACCGCCGTTTTCCCCCATATAGCGGCGTCCCAGCATTACCACCACCCACATCACCTCCCCAAGCCCCTCCCGTGGGGACTCCGTTCCTGGGCTACCCTGAACCGAGCACCGCGATCCGCCCGCCCATGAGTGACCCTCGGGTGCCTCTGTCGCCCCGAGATCCATATCAGGTCGACTCGCCAGTCCGCCTCCCTCCAATCCATCAAGCAACCGCTGGACCTCCGCCTCACCACGTCCATCGTCTTAGTGACCCCTACCCAGCATCTTGGGGTCTTCCCCGCGAAGACAGTTACGATTCTCGGTCTGCCTTTCATCGATCCGCAGGCCCAGCCTTCAACTATACCTTCCCACACCAACGCTCCTCCTCCATCACCAGCGCGACGATGGATCCTGTCCCACGTCATCTGGGACCCGTCGAGCTCCCATCTCCCATACAGGTTACAGCAGGAAGTTCTCCTTCCCTGCCGAGGACCGAGCCCCCCGAAACCGAAACCCACGACCGACCCGTCAAGCGGCGCAAGATGGCACTGGACGACATGGTGAACGGGTGAAACCATCTACAGATCTTTATATCGGAGGCTGGAGTTCCTCCATGTATTGTATAATCCAATTTTTCCCCCGGTAGCAGGGCCACCGGGGCTAATTGCGCGAGCCGACGCGAGCGTCGCAAAGCTTCATGTGTTTTCACGCCTAATCTCTACAACTTTCATGCAGGACATCAAAAGTGCCATGTGCTTCGAGTTGGAATATCCCCTGTTTTATGCGTCATCTCATCTCCATCTGCCCGCCCCACGGAAGATGGCTGGAGAGGGTTTCTTTTGTTATGCGTCTCATTTGTTCTCTCGTTTGTCTGATTCCCCTTCTCGCGAGTTTCCCGTTTGGACGTGTTTATTAAGACATAGCGCGGCGTTTTCTCGCGAATCACATGGGGATGGTCTGTTAGGATATGTGCTTAGGGAATGTGAATTGTCGACCCTGGTGGGGTTGATACGGCAATCGATGCCTTTCCTTTGTCTGTGTATACGCAACCCTCGGTATATAAATAATCTGAACATGCTTCCCTCCAGTGTACCTAGTGGATTCAACCTTTCCACCACCTTGGAATCACCTTCAACTTCATGTCTACCTGGGACAGAGCGCTGGGGTTTGAGACTCGTCTCGCCTTCGAGGTTCTAAAACTTTGGTCACTGCATCTTAGCCCTGGCTTCTTTGATTGTATGTGCTCTACCTAGGTATCTTATACTCTTCCAAGGTTCATTCACAATTTTTAATAAGCTCTTTCAGGCGACAAACCCCAGAAAGCCCACCAAAGTGTGCCAGGTTCGTACCTAGTAGTTGAGGTTTTTGTATATCTTGTCGACTCCCATTGGAATCAGAGACAAACCAAACCACCTGTTCCGGTTCGAATCAGAAGCACTTGAGCGACTCCAGGGCTTCCTATATATCCATAGATGTAGTACTAGGTAGGGCTGGAGTACTCGGACCTGATTGGCTCGAATTCCCGACACCTGAGGCTCGTCCTACACGCTTGCGACGTCCCCCAGATCTTCCCAGCAACCTTGAACCTTGGAAGCCTTGAAGGTGTACGAAGTACAAAACAACTTTCAAGCTACGAGATTTCCTTGATCCTATTCAGAAATTCCTACAATGCGCAGACTCGGGAGTACATGGCTGAAATCGCAGACATTCTCTGGGAGTTGACCGCCCACATGTTCTGCCGCATCGACATCTCCAACATTTGAAGATTCCAAAGTTTCCTCTTCTTGATTCATACATATCCCGACAGGCTGAATGCCAGAAATGTCTCTGGAGAATGGCCCTAGTGGCGACCCAATCAGCCATCTCCCTACGAGTACCCGCATCGGGTATAAGCTTCAGTGGGGACAATTGCCGAGTTTTTCTGACACATACGACGTTGCATTCGTCTGGTTCGCCCGATCTCTAATCCATCGCTGCAATCACGCCATCGATGGAGAGCTGAAATTTGGGAGCTGAAATGCTCCCTTTTCCTTCTCGCAACGTCCGGGAAGCAAAAACCCCGGAGCCACGTGCAGATCTAGGGCTTATTGCGGGACTGGTAAGTGCCGAAACTGGTTTCAGATCGGTACATGCTAACTAGTGTAGATACATCATGGATGTCGAGAAATCAGGCAAGCCCTCGGTGGAGGATGACTTTGCCGCAAACCCCATTGTGAATGCGGACAAACTCGCTCGCCGCCTGAGCGGCCGTCAGGTGCAGATGATCGCCATTGGCGGCACGATCGGCACAGGTCTGTTCCTTGGAACCGGTTCTTCTCTCGCGACTGGCGGTCCTGCCTCCATGCTGTTGAGTTATGCGATTGTGGGCGTCATTGTATTCATTACGATGCTCTCTCTTGGTGAGATGGCTGCATTCATGCCCGTCGCTGGTTCGTTCTGCACTTATGCCGGGTAACTACTCCACCATCCATCCCCTGCAGCATGTACTGATTTGGAATCAGTCGTTTTGTTGACAAAGCTCTTGGCTTTGCCTTAACTTGGAATTATTGGTTCAACGATGCCGTGTCCACGGTATGGACTCTGTCCTCTATAATTGCCACATCCTCTGACCCATTCTCAGGCATCCGATATTCTGGCGCTGCAGCTCTTACTCCAGTATTGGACAGACAACTTCCCAGGATGGGCAATCAGTCTGATCTTCTTAGTTGTCGTGATCGCCCTGAACGTCATGTCTGTCAAAGTTTATGGCGAGGTATGTTGGAGACTCTGCCATTTGGGCAAGATAGGCTAATCAGCTCATAGATTGAATACTGGCTCAGTCTCCTCAAAGTGATCACGATCGTTGTAAGTAGTCACTTCGAAGGTCATCGTCATTGTATCTAATCAAATTCCCAGATCTTCATCATTCTTGGTATTGCCGTCAATTGCGGTGGAAACAAAAACCATGAATACATTGGCGCAAGAAATTGGACGAAAGGTGATGCACCCTTCGTTGACGGAATTGGCGGTTTCGCATCGGTTTTCGTCACTGCTTCCTTTGCATAGTATGTCTCTGATGTCCTCCCTCCAATTCATGTCTAACTTCATCAGCGGCGGAACGGAATCCATCGCCATCACCGCAGGCGAGACGAAAAGCCCCGCTAAGACCATGCCGAAGGTTGTTCGGAACGTCTTCTGGCGTATCATCCTGTTCTATCTGCTCTCCATTGTGATCATCGGGTTCAACGTACCATACGACTACCCAGATCTGTCAGACGGAGATACCAAGACCAGTCCCTTCACCATTGTCTTCCAGCAAGCCGGCTCCGCAGTTGCCGGTAGCTTCATCAACGCCGTGATCATGACTTCGGTCATTTCCGCCGCCAATCACGCCCTCTTTGCCGGATCCCGTTTACTATTCACCCTCGCCGTGGACGGATACGCGCCCAAGTTCTTCGGTCATCTCAATCGGTTCCAAGTTCCCTGGGTCGCTGTTCTCGCCACCTCCGTGATCAGCGGTCTCTGCTTTGGAGCCAGCTACATCGGAGCTGGAAAGCTCTGGTCCTGGCTTCAGAATATCGTCGGCGTCTCAAACCAGCTCTCCTGGATCTGTATCGGTATCGCGTCACTGCGGTTCCGCTCGGCAGTCCGGGCCCAGGGTATTGAGCACCTTCTCCCCTACAAAAATTGGACATATCCATTCGGTCCGATCTTTGCTATTGTGCTGAACAGCTTCCTGGTTCTTGTTCAGGGATGGAAGTGTTTCAGTCCGCATTTCAAGGATGTGGATTTTGTTTCCTATTACATTGAGATCCCTATTATGATCGTCATGTTCCTGGGGTGGAAGTTGGTGAAACGGACCAAATTTGTCAGGACTTCCAATATGGATTTGAGGACCGATCGGTATGATCCGTCACAAGAAGATCAACCGGATGAACTTTCCAAAAAGGCTGGCCTTTGGGGTAAGGCTCAGCGGTTTGGTCAGTGGGTGTTCTTCTAATTTGTGCCTGTCCTGTTTTCCGATGATACCTCTTGTTTTTTAACACTATTTCTACCATTTACTTGCATAGCTGGTTTCTGCACATATCCATAATGGAACATATCTTGAACATCCATGAGTCGAGTCAGTGGGCTCTCGCACAGATCAGACTAAGTTCGTGATGGGCAGATGGCCATTTCGGTTAAGCATTGTTGCACTCCAGTGCCAGCTCCAGATCTCGAAGTCCGGCCACTGCCTTTGTGAAACGGGGTGCTGCTTATGGGCTTCTAGTTCGACGATACGAATATACGAGAGAAGAGAGGATATTGGCACACATTCATTAAGTCAAGTTATATCACAACTGAATTACACGTCCCGTGATATCAACCAAGTCATCAGTGGAACAATCATGGAGGGTAACAAAAACATGAAGCAGAAAGGGAACGATCGAAAGATATCGCCAGTGTCAAAAGAACGACATCAGAGAAGAGTTAAAGGATTTATGGTAGAAAGGAACTGTTTAGTGGGCAGCGATGATTTCACCTGCACGGCAGATGGTGCCAGCAGCGACAGAGCCCATGAAGACAGGGCGGCCATGGTCACAAAGAGCGAAGGTGTAGCCATCGGGGGAGCAAAGCAGCTCGCCATCGTGGCATTGGAAGTGGGCAACGTAGTGGCCGAAGTGGTTGTTGGTGGACGCTTCGGTGCTGTGAACACGAGGGTCTGCGGAGGGGGCAGGGGTGCCGAAAGCAGAGGCAACCTTGGACATGTTGTTGCTGGTCTTGTTGGAGTGCTTCTTGGGCGATTCCTGCTTGGGGGATTCCTCCTCGGTCTCCTCTTTGGTGCTCTCCGACGAAGTAGAGTTGTCGGACAGGAAGGGAGCCTTCGAAGAACACTTGAAGCCAGGACCTTCGGCCTTTCCAACAAGCTTAGGACCGGGCTTGGGGAAGTGGACAGCCTCGCCCTCGATGGTAACACATTCGCCTTCTTGCTTGACGTTGGCGACGAAAAGATCAGGGAGGCTGTCAAAGCTGCTCTGAGCAGCGTTGAGGTTCTTGCCTTGCTCTCTCATGTTGGGCTTCGTCTCAGCCATGTGCTTGGGAGCCTCCATCTCGTCGCGCTTCTCGGCCTCCGTGGCATTGGCGGTGCGGTCACCGGAGTCACCGATGGTGATCATGGCGCAATTCATGTACATCTCGCGGTTTCCGACTTTGTTGAACCAGGTCCAGGCGAAGAGAGCGTCACCGGCCGGGGCATCGGAGGGGATCTCGAAGTCGTACTTCTTCTCAATGGGACAGTCACCCTCGATGGACTCGATGACCTTAAAAGTCTCACCCTGATCATAGGTCAGAGCGAGCTGGCATGATCCACCGTCGTGGGTGGCGCTGCCTTCCAACTCCATGTGCTGCTTGGAGCCGGGGGCCCAGGTTGCGACGGCCTCGAAGTCATCCTTGGCGTATCCTTTGCAAGGGTAGTCACTGCCAGAGCTTGACAGAGGGTTGGTGTACGAGTAATCCTTCTGTCCCTTGGCGTCCTTGTTCAGAGGGCTTCGGATGGGGTATGGAGTGCTCAATTGCATGTGAGCGGAGACAGTGCTGGCCAAAAGACCGGAAATGATAGCAACACCCTTCATGGTGATTAAGTGTTTCTAGAACCAGGTCAGCCTCGTGCCATACAGGTCATCAGCACTCTGGGTCACTGTCACTTACTGTCTTTGCTTGATTAAAGAGTGTTGTGAGGTCGGATCTCTCAGTGTGATACCAAGCACTTAAACCACCAGGGCTGATATTGTCAAACAGAAGCTTGGCTGGAAAACCCAGTTGACGTGCTTGACCAGCAGTATAAATACATTGCCGGTCATAACATTCCCCATTCCTCTTGACAGGAATGGCAGATGCCAATTTGTTGTGGTCGGAGCCGTGCTGGCCCTCGCAACCTGAAGAATGCCGGCCAAACAACCCATCAACACTGTCCAGGTGCCAGTCGAACACCTTAAGCCGGCCTGCGAGTAGTTCTCAGTAATCCCCATTGGATTATTGATGGAAATGATTGTCCATAGTCAAATATTGGAACATCCATAATACTCATTCGACTGTTGTAGTACTACCTATGTAGTATGCACTCAACCCCAACCCAGGGCCAATTCCAACCAAACTCAAACGATCTCTGCAAACCGTCCCATGCCTTTGGAATGGCTGAGATATGGAGAAAGCCCATGATTCCTTGCATTCCCGGCTTTTATTCCCCGAAGTGAGATGAGAAGAATTTTGTCATGATGTCAGGGCTATCAATAGGAACGCGTCGTAATGGTGGAAATTCAACAAAGCTCCTTGGCCGAGGCCCTCCAACTTTACTGTGTGCCGTCGAGTCCGGGGTATGCCATGAAACCGGTTTGGTGGTCTGCCTCGAGGACGCAGGGATGGACTCCGAGGTCTCCCCCTGCAACCCTAGTTAAGGCACATCCCTCCCGTGGAAGGGCTTTGTTTATGCATTGTGGACACGGATCTCTCACGTTTCAGAAAAGCTTGGCCTGGTGGGGCTTTCCAGGTGAAAGTGTGCGTTGCGCCGATATGCACATCATGGATGGTACCTAGTAGTCGGTGGTGGTGTGTAGAGCTTGTAATTTCGACAATTTCCAACATTTAACCTTGAACTCGATGATTTCAAATAAGGGCTGATAGATTGCAATGCCTTGAAGGTATCTAGTATTCATAACCTTCCAAGTTGGAAGTGGGCAAGTGTGAAGTTCACGTTTCGAGCTCAGATATGTAGATGCAAATATATTTTCACCAGAACATGCGACAACTATTCCCCCACGCCGCTTCAGAAACTTCTTCGATCGAAATCCCTTTTAATCCAGCGACTACCAACCCCACACGTTCCATCACGCAGCTTTCATTGCGCGTCTTGACCATTTGCCCCAGAACAAATTTGTTGTGCTTTCGACTGGCGGGCAAGGGTTTCGCCTTCTCGAGGAAGGGCGCGATTTTAGGATCATTTCCCAGCACCTCGCACCACGGGGCATCGGTCTCAAGCTGCAACTTATCCAGTGGAATGTGTTTCACCATTTCCAACTGCTCATCGGTGCGGAATGAGACCCCGTTGACACTGATTTCCAGCCCCAGACCTACGAGGCGGAGCATCTCTTCCTTGGTCCCAGCGAACGAATGGACCAAACCCCCTCGAGGCAGTCGTGCGAGGTAAGGCTCAATGATGGAGATGAAGTCCTCCGTGGACTCCCGAACGTGGAGAAACAGTGGCAGTTGGAAGTGCACTGCCAATTCCAATTGCTCCCGAAATGCGCGCTGCTGTGTTTCCTTATCCGCCCGCTCCAGATGCTCGTAGTCGAGCCCAATCTCACCAAACGCGGCCAGAGGGGAAGGGTTCTCGGCAAGCAGGCTGTCGCCTAGCTCACGGAGCTCGGTCAGATATTGCGTGTCCGGCCGTTCATATATTTCTGCGGCATGGTACGGGTGCACGCCAAGGGTCATCCGGCACATCGGGAAATCCCTGACGGCTTGAAGATTTTGTTTCGCACCCTCAAGCGTCATGGTGGTGAGCATCACTTTGTCACATTGAGCTTCGCGCGCTCTTTTCAGAACCTCCGCAAAGTCGGGTTCATGATATTGCTTTCCGCGGTAAATCCCCTGGAATTGATCTGCAGTGAATGTCACGGCTACCTGCGGCCAGTGTTAGACTATGCATGACATGGACAGATTCTACGCACGTCGAAGAACCTCATTGTGAATTTTCGATGGCGTGCAGCACGGAGGGCGAAAAGAATGTGTGTGCCGTTTCTTGGCATTCACCTAGCGATCAATCCAGAGCGCGAGCGAGATTGACACGTGAATTATAATTGCTCCTTTCATATACCACTGCGATGGGAGTTTGCACACTTTAGCCGTTGGCGACGACTCTGAGCGAAAGGAGAATCCCCCGGGTACACGTACCCGCCGGGTTCCCGCAGCCGAAGCCTCTACAATCTGCACGGAGGTTGAATTCTTTTTGCGGTGAATGGTATTTCATATCTCATATTTCTAGACCTCGACACGTCAGGTCGATGTTAAAGTGACTTTGATCTCACCGATCTCGCCCGATGCCGTACCGGCGAGGACACCCGTCCCAATGAGACCACCATCACTAGCCTCTCGGAGGAACACACTTTTCCCACCTGCTTGCGGACCAGCGCGTAACAGGAGACGATCGATGCATCTTTGAACCGACTCTTTATAATTGGGATAATGCTGGATCACACCACCGGAGAAGGCAACAGCGAGTTCTTCGGGGCCACTACTCCAGGGCGTGGATGCCAAAGCTGATGGCGAGTTTGTATTCTCATTTCCGTGCGGTCTGGAAGCACGATTATAGCCATTGGTCTCTCTTGGATTGAGCATCACCTCTTTTGTACAATCGAGAAGACCGACCACTGCAGATGCAACCAGCGAAGCGGCTCGATCTTGCACCGCCGAGGCGATCATACGTACCGCACGAGCGGAATCAGGCGACCAAGCCCAGTCACTATCTGGCGGAGGGCTAAGAGTCTTGGAAAGCTCGGTTGAAAGTCGTTCATCGGATAGAGAGGAAGCGACAACCAGAGAGAGGAAATCTGTCGAGAGGGAATATTCCTCGACCAATTTCTTCGGCAAAGAGGAGTGTGGGATGCCCAAAGATCCCTGGAACCAGTTACAACAGACAATTCGAACCAGTTCGCCGGTGTAAGAGCCACCGATCATGTACTCCATGGGCTGGAACCCGGGTCGTTTGCATTGTTGATCTAACTGGTGGTCCCATTTTGTTCGAATCCCCAGTTCATCGAAAGGCGCAGCGGCCGTGGAGAGCGTCCATTCCGTGGATATGAGTGCATTCTCCGCGTTGGGATGCTTCTCAAGGATGGATTTCGTTTTAGATGCATGCAAATTAGACAGCTTCATGGGCACCGTGGTGTTGCAGCCCGCGCCCACAATTAGTCCCATGACGACACGTGTGTTCGGCAAGGAGGGGATCAAATATGCCAAGGAGGCAAAGGTCGCCGTTGTATCATTAATCATTACTGCCACTTTCAACTTGGGAAGTGAAAACAGCCTGCGGCGTTTCGCAGGGACATTGGCATCATCCCCATGCGAGGAATATGTGTGCCGCTCGTACCCATTCAGCAGTGACTGGCGAAGGTTGAGGTCTGAACTTAGAGAAAACCCCTTTCCTGTTGGCATCAAAATAGCTTCATCAAGGGAGTCTTGCCTGCAAAAGATTAGTGCCAGAAAGAACAGGCCAGCCTGGCAGGAAATGATACTTGATGGGAAGGCAGAAGGAGATGCCGGTGGTGATTTGGTCAATTCGCTCTTCACTGGGGTTTGCCAGCCTATCTGCCACGACTTCCGCAATGCAGTCTCCAATCCAGGTGAAGAGATCGGCCGAGTGATCCTGTCGTAAATGTTTCTCGATGGGCCATGCCTTCTCTAACGTTCGGCGAACGCGTGCGTGTCCTTCAATCTGTTGATCCCCCAAGAGATCGATAAAGGCCACGCGAAGGTACGACAACCCCACATACACCGCGAGATATCGTCCAGTCTCGTGACCCGTCGGCAACTGAGTGATGGCCGTCGGAATGAAGTGATCCGATGACTCCGCTAGCTTGGAATATGCCTCCGAGAGACGACACGAGAGATCATACAGGGTCTCGATACCTACCCGGAAGGGTTGGAGGTAGTCCTCCAGTTTTACTGACATCGTGAAAGATCGATGTTTTTGTTGATGGGAGGTTGCAGTCAGCCAGTGGAGCCCTACAATACCACCACGTGACCAGTCGTCATTTAGGGACGTAGACTAGATATTGACTCAGTTCATTCTGTTCTCGTTGATGCTGGAATGAAACTATCTGGGCAATGGGGAAGTAACGACGTGGAGAGGGTGCCCGGACTAATGTGGGGAAGTAGTCCAACATACACATGGTCACTGCTTGCGCCAGGGCATTTTAATAGATTCAACAAATGAATCGAACGAGTGCAATATGGCAAATGGAGATAAACCATAGTGAGCTTACTAGCTGTTCCAACCTGAGTACTTCGTTGGGATGAGTCCAGCGCCAAATTAGTATCCAAGGTAGTGCTACTAGTGCATGCATCTAATAGTTCTTGTCAATTGTTTTGTTTGGTAATAATCAATGTAGAAGACCATTTTCTGTAAAGGCCTAGCTACATACCTAGTAACTACCCAGACAGGAAGCAGAGTCGTCTCTCAGCCCCATCGAAGGTCTTTGAATGTCAGTGTCAACATCGGCTGGTTTAGTTGTGCTTCACTTCCCATGAGCCCTGAAAGGCATACCCATGAACTGTTACTACAAAACTGAGCCTTGTTTTTCTTTCCATATCGAGTCAGCATATAGATGACTTGTGTACTCGGAATTCCGGGCAAAAGAAAGGAACAAGGCTATACTGGGCAAATTCACGTAACACGGAGCAATTTGAATATCGAGTAACTGCCAAGACCAGCAGAGTCCAGATACTTTGATATCTAGAGGTTTCTAATGTAACATTGGAAATAATCAGATGTGTACCTCGATGGGCAATCTTATAAAAGGGTTACATTCGCCTACCTCCCCCGCTCCGTTTCAGCCCCCGCATTTTGACGGATAAACACTCGCTGATTCCTACAGTCCAAGAGTATAGGAAGAGATGGCTGTTCGAACTGAAAGACCAACCCCTAGGTCATTGTCACCGTCATTGTCACTGTCTCCAGACGAAGGGTACCGAGATACTACACCTGAGACCAACGGCGCATCCGAAACAGGCGATCCCCCATCACACGCGGTTAACGTCTCGCCTCGATGGAACGAGTCCAAATCTACATTATGGAAACTGACTGCTACATGCTGGTGCGCAATGGTGATGGGGTCGAACGACGCCGCCTACGGAGCCATCATTCCCTATGTGGGTGCTACTCGACACACACCATCACGCCTAGACCGCTGATCATTTGAAATTTAACAGCTGGAGACTTACTACCACAAAAGCTATACAGTGGTATCACTGGTCTTCCTGTCCCCCTTTGTGGGCTACACTTTCTCTGCCATCTTGAGCAATCTGATTCATCAAAACTTAGGGAGGAGAGGAATCGCCATCATTGCACCGAGCTGCCATGTCACGGCTTTTGCAATCATATCAGCTCACCCTCCATTCCCTGTACTGGTAGTTTCCTACGTGCTCGTTGGCCTGGGAAGCGGCTTCCACAATGCCGCGTGGAATGTGTGGATTGGAAACATGGCCAACTCGAATGAAGTGCTTGGATTCTTTCATGGGTTCTACGGAATTGGAGCTACAATCAGTCCCTTGGTCGCTACGACATTAATCACCAAGGCCGGATGGCAGTGGTACTCTTATTACTATCTCATGGTGAGTGAACTGGTCTACCCTGTCGGTACACATGCAGGGATCCTAACAGCGCGGCCCAGACTGGAGGCGCTGTCTTAGCACTAGTTTATACTTCGGCTGCCTTTTGGCACGAGACGGGCAGCAAGTATCAACGAGAGAATGCAAGTCTGGCAGGTAATGAGGGGGGTGCATTATCTCAGACTCGGATCGCTCTTACGCACAAAGTGACGTGGATATGTGCCGTGTTTCTCTTCCTATACGGAGGCATCGAAGTGGCGATCGGTGGCTGGATTGTTGTATTCATGACCAACGTTCGACATGGCGGCGCATTTGAATCTGGAATGGCAGAGACAGGCTTCTGGCTGGGCATCACTGTTGGTCGATTCGTGCTGGGATTTGTATCACCGCGAATCGGGGAAAAGCTCTCAGTCGCCATATACATCCTGTGTTCCATTGTCCTTGAGCTGGTCTTTTGGCTCGTTCCCGAGTTCATCATTTCCGCAGTGGCAGTATCGCTTGTTGGCTTCTTCATGGGCACTATCTTTCCCGGGGTTGTCATTGTTGCGACACGAATGCTCCCGCGGAATGTCCATGTTGCCGCAATTGGATTTGCGGCTGCTTTCTCAATGGGTGGTGGTGCTGTGTTCCCTTTCATGATTGGTGCTATCGCTCAAGCTAGAGGGGTGACGGTCTTGCAGCCTATTCTGCTTGCCATGTTAGCTGTGGCTTTGGGGATCTGGGCCACCTTGTTCCGGCTCCCTCAGCGAGAGTTGTCACACCAGGTCTGAGGATAAATTGGGCAATAGCCTGTCATGAGCCTGGAGGGTGCGTTTACACAAATCTCATCCACGGTGATGCTCATGCAACGACAGGAAAAGCCCTACCTAGTAGCGACTACAGTTACATTGATTCCAACATTCGAGATCAGTAGGATAAATCGTTCATTAATATTAAAGTGACCAGCTAGTCTCAAATCCTGGAGTGTCTGCCAGATATCCTCCATCATATTGTACAGTCCAATCTATTCACAAACATAGCAGTGGTATCATGGCTCCCAGCTAACACAAAATGGTCATGGAATCATTGACTGGTGCTTGCACACCAGTCCTCTCACGCACAGTCGCCTCGAAGCAAGCGACCATTCGCAGCCGTAAAAAGCGAGTGGGCTTAGATGTTGCCCGTGTAGGCCGAGTTCCCGTAGCCATAGCCACCATTCTGGGCAGGGGCTGCGGCACCGTTGGTTGCGGCGTTGTCCTTGCGCCCGAAGCTATACCATTTCTTCTCCGTCTTGGGCTCCGCGCCCATTTCGACGTCATGCGGGGTGGGATGACCCGGCAGAGTATCAGCAGCCCCGGTGGCTTCGGGGTGGTTCTTGTTGCGGCGCCAGAAGGCCCCACGGCTACCGTGGGTGTAGTTGTTGGAAGGCGAAGGACCGAAGCGCTTCTCACGCTTGTGGTGGCGAGCGAGCAGAACCTGGAAGAGAATGGAGACCAAGAAGAGGAAACTAACGTTGATTAGCATACTGCAGGCGATCGGGCATTTCATAGATACTCACATTCCAATGATGGCCACGGCGAAAACGACCTTCTCCAGTGTGCAGGTCATGCCGAAGGTCAAGCCCTTGGAGAAGGTGTCGTCGTTGGCGTTTCCTGATCCCAGTGGGGTGTCGACTGTGCCGGTGCACTTGCCGACTCCCTTGCGGGTCAAGATGGCAATCGCGACCATGGCGCCCACGAAGCAGATGTCCAAAGCGACACCCAGGAAGGCGAAAAACGCCACACCACCCAGACAGCAGGTCAGGATCATGCCTAGGAGGCCATAGAGAGTGGCTGCGCCTGCCAGGCCTTCGACGGCCTTAACCCATGTTTCGATGTGTTGATTATTCCTGGAGAGAAGGGCCAGGTAGTAGGAGAAGATGCCAAGAATGACGGCACCGTCGAGGAACTGCAGTACCCGCAGGAAAAGATTAAAGAAGCGAAGGATCACACCACCTGCTCCCATGATGTAGAATTATTCAGTTATAATAAGATAGGTAAGATAGGTTACCACCTCTGGGTAGGAATAAGTAGAGAAAAGTCAGGCAGCAGGATTTGACGAGTTATAAGGCGAAGACCCTGAGCAGACGCAATGGACGAAGATCAGTGGATGGCAAAGGAGAAGCTCAGAGCTCAATGGCCCCGGGGGCGTCTGCGCCACACTTTATTCGGCCACAGACCCACTCTCTGATGTCAGTCCCATGGTTTGTGCTGCCCCCTTCCCGTCTTTGGTTAGTGCTCTGCTCTCCCGCTGTCTCATTGGCTGTCTTGCCACGCATGTGACTTTCATTTATTGGGAGTGCCGAAAAACGAAAGAACCTTAGCCACACTCTGCATCTGTACATAGTAGTATTGTACAGTATACGGAGTAGGCAGGACACCTCTGAAAAGTGCTGCCTACTTCATTCTCTAGGCGTCGTCGTTTCTTTATACTATGTACGGTACGGAGTATCTCACCCTCTACCAAATAGAGTGATGGAACGTAAATAAAGTTAGGATTTCAATAAACTGAGACTAGTGCAGTCTACAAATTTAGGCTACTATTTGGGTACTCGGTGCATTAAAATACACTGAATCAAATACGCTATCCTTTACAATAAGGACATACAGTACTCCGTACTCTATGAATAGTATATTCGCATTGAGCTACTACTATATATTGGGATCTGCAGCACAGGGCCTGGTCCCCGCCACGTTGAGAATGACGTCTTGATCCCCACCGCATTTCTGCGCCACGTCAATTTACCGTGGATCCGTGCCGACAATGCATTGTGTACTGAGTAGGAGTACGACAATACGATATGTAGTATTGCTTTTCGCTATAACATATGCAACTTGAACTCGTCCAAGGTTCAGATGCTTGGATGGTGTGGTCTGGCTATATATCTGACTCGGGGGGCTACATACACAGTGAGCTCTCACATCAACCAAATCGAGAAAGGGTCCATGTTCCCCGGAGGATAAGAGTGGACGGGTCAGCCCAGCGAGGCCCCCACAACATCGAAGAGAGTCGGCCATTGGACTTGAAAGAATCAAGCTCACTCGAAGCTCCTAACCAGAACTGGAGGGATAATTCACGAAACCAGATCAAGCGGTCTGTATGCTGTTTATCCTTAGCGTGAACGCATTTGGTCTGTTGGAGCAGAGCGCTTTACTGCACGCACTGCCAAATCCAAAACAGCTCAGGACTCCTGATGCTGCTTCTCTTTCTCTTGTCCAACAAATGCACGTAAAATCGAATCAAGTCCCTCGTTGCGACGAGCCAGTAGCATCACATCGGATGTGTTGATGGTGGATCGACCTGCGTGTCTGAGATGGCATCAGTCTCGCCCTACAGGGGTGTCGAGACAAGCGCGACTTACTTCGCAAAGGATTCTAGGTCCTGGCTCACGGTTTCTGCGCCAAGTCAGACGATTGATGTAGCAGGGAAGACGAACACTCATCCTACATACCAATCTGAGCCCACACCATCTCAGTCAAGGCCCCGATGAACTGGGGCGTCGCATTCACACCTAGCCTGATGGTCTCCTCATCGACAATTTTGCCGATCGACAACCACAGACTGGATTTCAAGCGCTGTGAGGAGTCAGCCTTGTAGATAGCAATCGCCTCCTCTGCTCACCTCTTCCAAACTGGCCTCCATGATGCCCAGGTGAGTTGAGAAAGCGCGTCTGATTGGCCACTGACGCGTGAGGCGGAAGAACGGCTAATCCGGCAGGCTAAACCCAAAGCGGCAAACTCTTATGGCGGCAGCCCGCGGAATTTCAAAGAAGCGCAAAGCACATCTGTTCATTATTTTTCACTTCTCCTATTCTACTGAGTGTCCCATTCCCTAATACTGGGCCTCTTTCCAATCCACCATGGCTACACCCCAAGCCCAAGCGGACCTCAGCGACCAGGCCGCCGAGGCCTTCCAGGATTTCTTCGGCCAACTCTACGTGTTCTTCGAGACCTGCTTCACCCGCTTCTGGAAAAATGGCTACGCCTCCATTGCGCAAATGAGCGGCAAGCGCTGGACCAAAGTGATCGGCAGTGTAGTCTTCTACCTGCTCATCCGACCCTACATTGAGAAATTGTTCAAGTGGATGTACGACCGCGACCGTCGCAAGGAGAAGGAGAAGAAGGAGAAGGAGAAGGCGGCATTCGGCAAAGTCAAGGTCTCGCCGAACTCGCTGCGCAGTGGAGGCGGTGGCGACAAGGGCAAGGTCCTTGGCGAAGTCGAAAACACCGACGACGAGCTCGAGGATGAGGAGGATATCATGGCGGCCGCTAGTGGTGTGCCGGAGTGGAACAAGATGGCGCGTAAGCGTCAGAAGAACTACATCAAGAACGTGAAGAAGGATCAGCGCGCGCAGGACCTGAGCCGCGAGCAGATCATGGAGTTGTTGGATTGGAGTGAGGATGAGGAGCACGCTCCTCAGGACAAGAAGGATCTATGAATCTATGAGTTCTAATGCCGTGGGATGGGAGCGGAGCGTTTCCGCTTGGGGGTTCGTTTGCATTGCATGGTCTCTGGGGGGTTTTACTTCTTGTATTTTTAATTGCTTGCCTCGATTTGATATCGCCGCCCAGAGGTCCTCTAGCTATAATTATAAAAGACACTTTCGACATCGATCTTGACCTTAGACTTTCACCCTAATATTACCCCAGGGCTTCGAACTTTCAGGTTGTATCTGAACAAATCGCACTGCGCTACCAAAACACATCATATTATAGTATTCACAGCCTCGTTGGACTGGGCTGAATATACCTAGGTAACCTTGGAGGGATGGCAACATACTTCAGTGCCGAGACGAAGAGATGAGTATTGCGAGGAAATTCTGCGGGATAATGAGGCCCAAGAGCTAGCGGCATCGGAAGGATAGCTAGAGAATCAATCCAACGCCAACCTTGGAAGCGGTGATGGCAAAGCACAAGTGGTTTTGCCTTCTTCATATCTAGGTATGTACATTATCAGGGATTATTCAACTGGCTCCTTGAAATTTTCAACTAAAGACAGATCATGAATGATCTCATCAGCAGAAAGGTGTTGCTGAGTCCAACATTTTGACGTGATAGTGGAACAAGCGTGGCTCTCCGAGGGAAACAATCCATTTTGGAACCGATGATAGATCTCCTCATCATCTACAAGACTGTCAATGTATGGGATACTTCGTGTCCTGTCATGATGAAGGAGATGGCAGAGCCAAGCGCGAAAATATCAGTCTTCTCGCATGCAAAGTCTCCATGATCACGAGGTGAATATGACTTCGAGCACTCCCGAAAAAGTCCATCCAGCAAAGTAACGTTGTCAGATGACTTGAGCATACCTTGGAAGTCTGCAAGCCATAAATCAAGATTTGTGTCGAGCAAGAGATTTCTCAAATTTATGTCACAGTGAATAACATGTTTTCGATGGATATAACCAACTGCCTCCGCAGCTTGTCTGCACCAACGCAACTTGAGTTCAAGAGCAATAACGGGTTGAGATGAAATGTAACCGTACATAGATCCATTTGATGCGCGCTGCAGAAGAAGACCGTGTTCGGTCAGGCCTTTTGAAGCGATTATTCGAGGGTGGCTCCCAAGGACCTCGAGAAGTTTAGCCTCGACATGGATGCCTTCAATATCGCCGGGGATGTTGGGATATTTTAGTACTGTGGTATCATCGATGAGACCGATGAAGCTTCCACCACCGAGCACGATGATCTCTGAAACCCCTGGAGGGTAATAGCTCCGGAGTTCGACGATTTCGATATGTGACATATCACTGCTGGTCTGGACTTGCAGCCGGATCACCCTATGTTCGTGAGAACCAAGAACGAAAGAAAGAGAGCGATAACAGAAGCTATGCTAAGGGGAAATCGGAGTATCAAACAACACTGAGGTGCAGGGAACCCGGCGAATATGCAGGTGACCTAAAAACCCGTGACTCCAGGGCTGGTCTGAAGCTCTGACAACATCTCCCCCTGCCCCGTCCTTTCTGCCTCTGAGAACCAGGCATTCTCATCAATCTTTCTCTTGGTAAGCCTGGTGCAAGGTTCTAATTGCGCTTATTCCACAGCGCTTCGACTGAAGTTTGAGGCGATTGGCCAACTGGGGTCGTGACATGATCTCGCATTGCCGCACTTATCAGATGTATCTTCGAGTATCCCAAGCTAACAATAAAGGTTTATTCTCTTCAGGAAAATCGACCAGGAAAAAGAGGGACCAAGTGCCCCAGGAAGAATCTGCAAATCATGGAATATCCTGGAAAGCACTCTCAACGAGGAGTTGTCTGCCGGATTGATTGCGGCGTTGTGTCCATTGGGTATGAGATGTGCTTCAAACTTTATTTCATGCCTCACAGTGCGCTTTCAATCTCGAAGACATCTGTGAAAAGTCAAGGAATCTCGACATGGGCGGGGATAATTACCCATTTCACCTGACGGAAGCTTTTCCCGCCCTGGCTTGGCTCTTCACGGACTCAGATGATCTGCCACGACTCAGCATCTATGAATCATGATTGGATCTGATATTCAAAACTTACAAGGTGATCTGGGATATCAAGGACTATTATGCCAGTATTGGATTTGAAGCTCACCTCAACATGATGCTTCACCCGTGGACTCTGATTATAGGAATCCAAGAATCTGAGATATGTGGTACTCTTCTACTGAGATATTTAAAGAGGACATGCCCTGCAAAGGTTGGGCATTCAGAAATCGATGCTGCTGACTTAGATTGCTTCGCAGTAACACTTGTTGCTTCAACGCATGATTTTCTGCCTTGCACGGGCTATAGCTTCACGAATTTTTTCTATCGATATGCTGTCAGTTCTCTCAGCTGCGCCCTATGCGGCGGGGCTTGGGCTCTTTCTTGTTGCTTATTTCTTTGTGATCCCTTACGTCGAGTATCTACGTGACCCCAAGGGTAAGCACCAATTACCTGCTCCAACGTCTCATATACTGATTGCTCTAAGACTTGAGGAGATACCCAAATCTTCACCCATGTTCCGGATTCTCGGCAGTTCCCTTCATGATAATGGCATCACGGGGGTTCCGATCCATGGAGCTAAGTGAGCTGCATAAAAAGGACCCCGTCATTCGGACAGGGCCAAACCAGCTTTCCTATGGCGATGTCAAAGCAATCAAAGACATCTATGGTCACAATACAAAGTGCACCAAAGACACTTCCTACGTCATAACATCCGGAACTCACTACAACCTGGCCGACGTGGTAGACAAGCCGGATCACGCACGGAAGCGCAAGATCCTCTCTTCCGCATATGCGCTCAAGAACCTCGAGACATGGGAGTACAAGGTCACAGACAAGGTGCAACGAATGTTCAAGCACTTCGATGAAGTCTGCACCCTACCCGCGTCCACGGATGTGTGCTCTGGAAAAGTCGCTCCGGACCAGAAAGACCTTACACTCGACCTACGCGCTTGGACCAATTTCTTCACGTTAGATGCCATCGCAGACATTGGTCTCTCAGAGAAGCTGGGGTTCCTGGACCAAGGCTCTGATGTCTGCATTGCCGAAAGAAAAGATGGGTCCACCTACAAGACCAACCTGCGAGAAGCCCTGTACCCGACTGCTCGGAAGCAATCCCTCATTCTCTGGGACTATGGATGGTACCCGACTCTCAACAAATTGGTGAATGTCATTCCATTCTTCGGTCGGATGCAAAAATCAGCCGATAACTGGGAGAACATCATGTGGCGTCGAGGCAATGAGCGACTACGACGCTACGAGGCCGGTGAAAAGCTCGAAGATTTCTTCCAGGCTCTAATGGAAGACAAGAATGGAAACCCAAACAATCTCGAATGGGGCGAGGTCGTTGCCGAATGCAACATCATGATGAACGCCGGCAGTGTGACCACGGCCGTCGCAATCGCCAACGTGATGTACCAACTCATTCGCAACCCCCGAAAAATGGCCAAGCTCCGTGAAGAAATCGATGCAGTCCTAGACGACGAAGTCGTAGCCGACTATGACAAGGTCAAGCATCTGCCCTATCTGCGCGCCTGTCTAGACGAATCCCTCCGTATCTTCCCTCCCACTTCCCATGGTCTTCCTCGTGCAACACCACCCGAGGGCACCAATATTCTCGGGGAGTGGGTTGCCGGTGACACGACCGTGAGCATGTCTGCTCTTGTCGCACATCGTGATGAAAGCGTCTTCCCCAATGCCAATCAATATATTCCCGAAAGGTGGCTCGGGGAAGAAGGTAAGGCTTTGCAGCCGTATTTGATTGCTTTCTCTGCCGGTGCTCGGTCTTGCATTGGTCGTAATATCTCTTATCTGGAGCAGACTAAGGCTGTTGCTTCTATGGTGCATCGGTATGACTTCTCCCTGGCATATCCCGGCTGGGAGCTGAAGCGATTGGAAACTATGAATCTCATTCTGGGGGATATGCCGGTGAAAATTTGGCGTCGAGATTTGGGCACTGGACTATAGACGGATTTTTAGTACTTGAGGGTTGATTTGATAGATGATTGTGGGAATATACTAGGTACCTAGGTGTCTCAAGAGCTTTTAGCTGAATCGAAGAATCGAATATTGTTTTAGCCAAAATGAGGTTATTTCAAATGGGCTTCCCTAAAGATATCCAATCCACTACACATATGACTGCAAGTTGTATACGGAGCAGATAATGTTTCGGGGGCAGTTACCCTAACCGGGCAGCATTTCCCCACTGGGAGACACACGGATGGTGGCCAATCAGCAGATCTTCACTTCCCCGCGATATGCCTGATCGCATTCTGCTCTTCCACGGGGCAATTCCCAGTCAGAGACTGTGGGGTATTGGCACGTCGGGGCCCCAAGTGCGGCGAATACATCCCGATTCGGCTGTGCCTCGATCCTCATTGCCTACGGAATCAAAGACATGGGAAATCATCGCACCTTGGAAAGCCGATCGGAAATTCTAACCCAAAAATCGATCCCAACGGAAACCTGTTTCATCATTCGGGGATCGTGGGCCCCGGGTTTGTATAAAAATGGAGTGTCCCCTCCATGGGCAATTCCCAGAATCCCTCTCATCAGATGAATTGATATAGCCCCGGCCTACATATCTCTCACCATGGCGACCTTCCCACCTTTGAATATTCCGCCAGAGCTCCTCCAGGAGCTCTCAAAATACACCACCCCAACGGGGCTTGCCGATTATGCCGCCCTAGCAGTCCTCGGCGGGCTCGGTGCAACATACTTATCGAAAGGCCGACTATGGGATAGGCCAGACCCGCTGGCCTATCTCATGTATGAGCGGCCCCAACTGAAGAATGGCGGACAAGCTGGGTCAGCCAACAAGGAGACTCGCAACATCGCCCAGAAGATGGAAGAAACAGGGAAGAACATCGTGGTCTTCTGGGGATCCCAGTCTGGTACTGCCGAGGGCTTTGCTCATCGTCTGGCCAGGGAGATATCGATTCGCTGGGGCCAGGAAGCAATGACGGCTGACCTCTCTGATTATGACCCCGTCACCATCAGTGAGATCCCCATCGCCAAATTGGCGATCTTTGTGGTTTCGACGTATGGTGAAGGAGATCCCAGCGATAACACTGCCGAGTTTTGGAGCTGGATTTCCAAAGCCAGCGATGTATCGCTCTCCAACTTGCGGTATGCTGCTTTCGGGTTGGGAAACACCAACTACAAGTTCTACAACAAGGTAGTCGATGTTGTTGTCGAGGGCCTGGACAAGCTTGGTGCTGGAGCTCTGATGCCCGTCGGAAAGGCCAACGACGCAGAGGGAGCGACTGAGGAAGACTTCATGTCGTGGAAGGAGGATCTCTTTGCCGTTTTCAAGGACAAACTCGGATTCCAAGAGGTTGAAGCCAAATATATCCCGAGCCTGAAGGTCGAAGAAGACGAGTCCCTCGAGCCTATCGACTTGCACCACGGCGAGCCAAGCAACCGAAATGAAGCTCCCAAGGCCGCGGCTCAATCTTCAGCTGTCCGCACATTGAGCATCTCTGAATCCAGAGAACTGTTCAATTCCTCCGACCGCCACTGTCTTCACATGGACGTCGACTTGTCCAGCCAGCCAGAGATGAGCTACAAGACTGGTGATCACCTCGCCATCTGGCCCGGAAACCCAGATGTCGAGGTTGAACGTCTACTCGATGTCCTCGGAATCTCCTCGCGTCGCGATATTCCCCTCATAATCAAAGCTCTTGATCCAGCAACAAAGATCACCATCCCCACCCCAACCAGCACCATTGCCATCTTCCGGTACTACCTAGAGATCTGTGCTCCCGTGAACCGCGATACCATTCGGGATCTTGCGCAGTTCGCACCCACCCCAGATGCTAAGGCATACCTTCTCCGACTTGGTCAGGACAAGGATACGTACGCCAACTTCATCACATGCACCCACATCAACCTAGGACGACTACTGCAGCTGGCATGTCCCGAAAAGGTCTGGGATAGTATTCCACTTTCGTACCTAGTGGAGACTCTCTCGCACATTCGACCCCGATTCTACTCCATCTCATCAAGCAGCGTGGTATCGCCCCGCAAACCATCCATCACAGCCATCGTGTCAACGACTTCTCTTCCTGATAACCCCGATGAGCTCATCCACGGTGTCACCTCGAACTATCTTCTTGCCATCTCCCAACAAGCCCGCTCCCAACAACATCCCAGCGGAATCACCTACCATCTGAATGGGCCAAGCGATGCCCTTCAAGGCGGCAAGGTCTTCGCCCACATCCGCCGAAGCAAGTTCAAGCTTCCCGCTCTGGGGAAGACCCCTCTCATCATGGTTGCCGCGGGAACTGGTATCGCGCCTTTCCGGGCCTTCATCTCGGAGCGTTGTCAAGTGCTGAAGATTGGCAAAGAGGTTGGTCCTATGATTCTATTCTTTGGATGTCGGAACCCGGAGGAAGATTATATCTACCGGGATGAATTGGAGGAAATGCAGACTGCGTTGGGTGGCCGTTTGCGAATCGTCACTGCTTTCTCTCGGCAGCAGGGTACACCGCGCCGATACGTTCAGGACCGGGTTGGCGAGCTGGAGGACGACGTGGTCCGAATGATTGATGAGGGTGGTAATTTCTACCTGTGCGGTCGGGCTGGTATGGCTCGTGAAGTGGAGAAGGTTGTTGGCAAGACCATGATGAAGGTCAAGGGATGGAGTGAGGCTGAAGTCAATGCCTGGAGCAAAACGATTAAGAAAAAGAATAAGTGGCAGGAAGATGTTTGGGGGTAGAAGATTACGGTTAGACGAAACGTTTCTCAATTGCTTGGATTTAGCGAACAATCACAATTTCTCTTCTGTTTAATCATTTCATCCGCAAATGACGCTCACAGGCCACTCAATCCACTGATGATACTCGGTGCTTAAGCAGGATTGAATTCCTCCGATGACATGCCGATCCCAGCCGACCATCATCCACGAGGAGCCCATCAACTTCAAAAGCACACACCAATAAGCAAGAATAATCAAAGCAAATGGATCTCTCCCCTCAAGCAAACAAACAAACTCCTCTGGTCTCCGGTAAATCCACCCAATCGAATGAGACATGACTCCAATCCCACCCTTTCCAGCACTGCACATCCGGTAAGATGCCTCATACATCTCCGCCAGATTCTCAAGCGCACTCGTATATATCCCAGCCTGCTCTCCAATCTGCGCCTCAATCCAGACACGAACATCATTCATGCGAGCCTCATGTTGACGAAGTTCATCACGCAACGACGGACTCACATCTTGAACGGAAGGGTCATCTTGGATTTCTAGAACACCAGTGAAAATCCTATTATGATGAGACATCAGAATAGACCGTACACCTCGCATGAGAACAAGCCATTCCGCTTTCCCCGTCTCACTAAAGACGAGATACTCCCCTGGCCGTGGGCCATGCGCAAAGTACACGAAGCAGATCAACACTGCTGACATGTATATCAATTGACAGTTTTCGGCATTCAAGCATGCCAGGATAGCGGATACGGAGCGAATTCCGAATGTGAAGTGCGCATCTGCTTGCATTACATACTGATTGCGTAGATCTGGATTGAGGTGGCCTTGGTGTAGTGCTGCCATGGCGAGAATGAGGTGGAAGATTGACGGTGTCGTGAATCCCCATTGGGGGATCTGGGATTGCCAGACTCGATTCGGATCGGTTGCTTCGTCCGAGAGGGTTCGGTATGTTTCTGTGACGAAATGGTGGAAGAGACGCAGGTCTTCGAATGATAGAGTCTCTTGCTGGGGTTGTGGTTCTGGGACACTCGATTCAGCCCTAGGGGCATCCAGAGAGGTCTGGCTTGCCGCTGGGGAGGAGTGTTTGCTAGATTGGTATTTGGAAGGCTTGAATCTGAACCTCGTATTTGAAGACACAGGCTGAGGGGCCGACGGCGAAAGAGAGTTGGCATCTGCAGACAGGAAGTCACACTCGATGGAATGGTTGACGCATTTAGCGCACGCTGGTCTCTTCTCATCACACTGTGGACTATTAGTGGGAGATTTCTCCAAGCTCTCACTATCCATGCATTCAGTCTGATTCTGACGGCAGAATAGAGAACGAAATATCTTGATCGCCTTGAGACGACATGACTTCGATCTTTGGTCCATGACGAGGTTGAGATGAAGAATGCCCAGTGAGGGGATAACTCACTTTTATGCGTCGCTTCTTACAGTTCCCACATCCAGAGCGAGATTTATTATGGGATTTTCGCGATCGAATGGCAGCGCGTGTGCTTTCCATCGTGGTTGCAGATGGTCGTACTCGTTCTCCTTTTTTCCCTTTTTGGATCTCACCATGACATAAGCACCGGAAATAGATTGCACGTGACTTCCCAAAGAAGAAGGACCGTCGTGCCTGCGAAGCCAATGTTCGACGGTCCCTGGGAGTTGCATGGGCCTTTAATCAGGTTGGGTCAATCTGTCTGCCTATTTATTCGGTTTCATGTCAAGAGTAGACTATTTGGAACATGGCTGGAGCTACTAACCTTGTCCAGGTGTTACGAATAGAGGTGATTAGTCGTCTATAATTATAATGAGAGAGATGTAGTATTTTAATCGTATTAGTAGCAAGCTAAACTCATGCAATGTTTTGAAGCCATAGACAACAAGGTATATGCTCTCTAATCAGGTTAAAGAAACAGCGCAACTGTCATGAATGTCGAAGTCATCTCCTCTTTCTTTCTTTCTTCTTCATACTTAATATTTTCGAATCCACGCGCTCCTTCGTTTGAGTATCTGACATTTGGCGATCTTCACACTACTGACAGATCCTCTGGATCCAAACAGGGGTGAGCTCTGAATCTACTCAACGTTTCTTGTGGATTCTGCAGCGGCCGCCTTGTCAAAGTCTGGAAATCGATTTGGAGCGTCTTGCCACGCACCACTCCATTTGTAAGCCTAGCCGATGTAGTACACTCCAGGGAGTGAGTACTCCAGCCGGTGGTGGCCCCGGCACTTTGGTTGAGGGTCGGTCAAGGATATTTGCGGTCAGGGGGTTGGGGGATTGACGCCAATTCCAATGATCTTAGGGCTGAAGGATTAAAATGAAGGCGAGTGTGTGGTGAATCTTTCTGGCGAAGTTGCTGTTGGGAGTCAGGTGATGATCCCGTCTCTGTAGCTCGCTCAGCTTCTGCTCGGTGCGAGATAGTCTTCTTTCTTCCTCCCGGCTGTAGTCAATTTAGTCAATTTCCTCTCTCTTCTTGTCCTTGGGTAGCAATAACCTTCCCAACAATTGCCTTTGCACTCCCCACAGACGGTTCAGCTTAAGCTGGACTCGGAGCTTTGGACCTCACGCTGGGATCGAGGATTGGCCTGGGATCTGCGTTGCTAGAGGGCATGGTATTGGAGGAGGTGTGAAGAGTTGGATGAGAAGTCTGAGAAGTTCGATGGTGAGGAGGGACGGGTTTCCGTCTCGGTCGTGCCTGCATCTGAAGTAAATTGTGAAACCTCCAAGTTGAGTTCCCTAGATCAGTACCTGGGTAGGAATAATAGGAATAGTCAGAATAAGGAGAACAGAAGTTGGGAATATACAGTTTTTGAAGTATATATGTTGACTCACTAGACTACGAAATAAAAGTTGCCCCACCAGACTCCATCGACTTTATCTGGGCTTATATACCAAGTCCCAAAGTGAAGTAAAGCAATTTCCTTCAAGGTTGTATTATAATATTCCTATCGGAGAATTTGAGGAAGAATAAGTGTGCAGTATATCCCCCGAGATTGTACGACCACAGACTATTTAGGCATCCGACATCCCGGACCGATCATCAGCGGGGAACAAGCCTCCCGGGTACTTCTCGGCTATAAGCACTACGCTTGTTGTTCTCGGCAGATTCGGATTATTAATTAGGCTTGACTCATCTGCTTTAATTGTCATTTCAATTGTTATTTCAATTGTTTCAGATTATATTCCTTTACTCAACTTCCCGTCTCTCAGTATGTGAACATTGACGTCACACTCTAACCGTAGACCAATACTGACAACATAGCAATTCGTCCGAATTGTATATACATTCAAAATGACCGAATCAATGGAATATGTTCGGTACAGTCCCATCATCAGTCTCATCAATGATGGCATACGCTGACATCGAACCGAAAAGCCTTGGAAACTCCGGCCTCAAGATCTCCAAGATCATCTTGGGAACAATGGGCTACGGCAGCAAGCAATGGCAAGACTGGGTTCTGGACGAAGAAGACTCATTGCCTCTGATCGAGCACGCCTATAAGTTGGGTATCAACACCTGGGATACAGTAAGTACGGTCATTTATCGGTCAACAAATGCTAAGATCCATGATCAGGCCGATGTCTACTCCCACGGAAAGTCCGAGGAAGTGGTCGGAAAAGCCCTGAAGAAATACAACATTCCCCGCAACCGCGTGGTCATTCTGACCAAGTGCTTCTTCGGCGTCGACGACGAGGGCAAGTTCCCACCCATCTCGGCCTCTGCCACCAACGACGGCCCCTTCGTCAACCGCACCGGACTGTCCCGGAAGCACATCTTCGACGCAGTCGACGCAAGCGTCGAGCGTCTAGGCACATACATCGATGTATTGCAAATCCACCGATTGGACCGTGAGACTCCCAGAGAAGAGATCATGAAAGCGCTCAACGATGTCGTCGAAAGCGGCAAAGTCCGATACCTCGGAGCCAGCTCGGTCAGTCTCCAACATCCACATCCCACATTCAACAAACTAACACTAAGCAGATGGCAGCATGGGAATTCCAAACCCTCCAAAACATCGCCGAGCGCAACGGCTGGCACAAGTTCATCGCCATGCAAAACTTCCACAACCTAATCTTCCGCGAAGAGGAACGCGAAATGATCCCCTACTGCCAGGACTCAGGCGTAGGCGTGATTCCCTGGTCCCCAATTGCGCGAGGCGCACTCGCCCGCCCATGGGGGTCCCGCGGAACAGTTCGCGAGAACAGCGATGGTGCACTGAAGATGTTTGTGCGCAGTCGCGAGTCCGAGGCCGATAAGGCTATTATTGATCGTGTGGAAGAGATTGCTAAGAAGAAGGGCGTTAGCATGGCGCAGGTCTCTATTGCTTGGTCGTTGACGCATCCTGGTATTAATCCTATTGTGGGACTTCATAGCATTGATCGGATTGATGAGGCGGTTGCTGCTACTAAGGTGCAGCTTTCTGCGGAGGAAATCAAGTATCTTGAGGAGCCTTATGTTCCAAAGGCTGTTACTGCTCTTGAGCGGTAGATGGACTATATATGCGTTTTGTGGTCATTATTTTGGAATACGGTGGCTGTTTACGATTATACTCTCATGAGCTTAACTTCTCTACCTAGGTAGGTTATATCTCAGATTCATCGTGTTCATTTCCACATTTTCTTCCAAGGCGTAGCGGACGTCGATGATTGGATCTACAATAATATAACCCCTGCCAAGTCACTACGCGATCTCTGCTAGCGCTGCAGGCTACCAAGCTAGTGAGACATTCATAGATCAATTTCGGCACACGCCGAGATGAGCCGGTCTACTGGGATTATGTACTATGCAAGAGTGCCATCATTTCCAAGGTTGAAGATTGATCAAAGTGTGATATTCCTTATTGGGCTTTCAGTAAAATTATGGCATGATAAATGTGTAACGTGGTAGTTCGCAGAAAGAGTACCAGATACAAACATGAACACCAAGCTGAGCCCATGCAAAGATGAAGCTAAGGTATTGTGAGATAAAGAGAAATGGGAGTATGCATGCGCTGGATATGGGATGCAAGTTGGAATGAGAGGAGATTTGGTATCAAGGGGGAAAAGTCGACAGGATCCGTGCCAGACGGATGGCACTGCCCGACGTAGAAACACCCAACTGATGCTGATGCAAGCGAACTAAGTTGATGGAGTGGATATGGGTGGACTGGCCACGGCAAAATCATGGGGTATACATGTAGATAAAAAGGGAAGTGTCAATAATTCAGTGGGTATCGTGTTTTCGATGAAAAATCCCAAAGAAGGAACTCAGCCGGTTTCGACGTTTGGTCTTTGGGGCTGCGTCTGTGCCCTCGGGGTGTGGAGCTGCCTTTTCTTTGGGTAAACTTTTGGGCGGTGCGTTGCGGGGGGGAGGAAGGTCTTTGTCTGGACCGGGTGTGGGTTTGAGAATATCTGGATGTGGTTTTGTTTTGGTGGGCTTTTCCTTGGGAACAGTTTGTCGTATCTCGCTTGATTCGGTGGAGCTTTGGCGTATAGATGGAGGGCGCGAGACAACAATCTCACGGCCGATTTCGCCAGAGCTTGTGAACATGCTGTGTCTGTTCACTCGGGTGCTAAGCCCCGAGGCGGATCGTCGTTTGGCCCGATCCATGAAAGCGGCGCCGGTGGAGTTAGAGCGCTTGGACAAGCTACCGAATGTATCCCCTTCTGTCGGTGTCGGTGTAGGGGTCGTGGAACGGCGAATCTTGGACATCGACATGCACCGTTTGGCTCCATTGGTGACCTCTTTGACAGGACTTATCGGCTTGTTCTCGGGGAAAACATCGTCCTCCATCTTGGCAGTCGTTGGGGAGGCATGTCGGGAGGCATTGGGAGACATGAGTGACCTTGCACCCGTAGCCGACACCGGGTCGCCGTAACGGAGATTGTCGGACCAACCTTCTCGGAAAGCGACCCATATGCCAGTGATGATGATCAGAGTCCGCAGCCCATCGTCTAATGTGACCGAGCTGGAATTGAGTGGGGCCTCGCCATCAGAGGCGTCACTGGCCACAGACATTCCCGAAGACGGCGTAGTAGGACCGGTGCCAGATCGGGACGGGATGTTATACTCATCATGCACCTCCAGCTGATTCCTCGTCAAAGATGCGATGACCGGGTGGCGGCGAGTGCTGGGGTCAATGACACTGAAGGTAAAGCGTTTACCGGCCTCGCGCTGGGTTCCCGTAGGGGCAGTCATGCGACGACTCTTCCCACTCCGCAGCGCCCACCGCACCACCTGCACACCATTCTCCGTCTGGGCAACGAATTCGTAAGAGCCGCTCGGGAGGGGCGTCGCATCCCACACAGGGCCGAAGTTGAGACATATCTCCGCCTTTCCTTTCAATCGCGCGTCTTCTTGGAGCTTTTGGCAAATCGTGGCCACCACCTCGCGATGATCTTCATCCTCGTCCTCCGAGCTGACTCGTTTTTCGGGTATCCTGGCCACCGTCTGCTCATACTGCTCACTTATCACCACGACGACATCGTTGGGGCCCAGTCCGTTCCGCGTCCGGTAGATTGCCGGGAACTTGCGCGCCAGGAGGGGCAGGTAGGAGGTGGAGGGCAAGACATCCACTACGGGCAGTGGTCGAGGAGTCTGGGAGACTTGTTGCAATTGTAATAGAAGCTTGGGGCGAAATCTCAACCGCTTATGCCGAGCATGGGCCGCCGGATGTGCGAACTGATACGCGGTTTTGGATCGCGACCTGCGACCCGTGGGTGATCGCACCGCCTGTGATCTGGCCACAGCCGAAGCTGGTCTCATCTCCCCCTCCCCCGACGCGAAATCAGTCGGCCTCATTTCCATGGCGGAAACAACCCCAGGACACGCAGGAAACCCATCGGGAGTCTTGGGACGAGGGTAAAAGGTGTTCCACAGGGGCAGTGCGGACAATGAGAAAGTTGGCGCACACGCAGGGGCAGGTTGTGTCTCTGGGGTTTCCTGTGCATGGGCAGCTGCGGCATCCGCTGTGAGACCAAGATTCAATAGCATTCTTGAGCCCTAGCGGAGCCACATTGGTGGGACACCAGCGGAATCTCAGCTGGGCACAAGCTAGGCGCGAACGCCCGTATTCAAACGCGTCAGCTGCGGGGTGTGAGAATCAGCCCCAGAGCTGGACTGATGATGATCCACTGTCGCAGTGAATAATGTATGAAGTACAGGGTAAAAGCAAAGGAATAAAGGACTGCAAGGGGTAACGAGGGATTGCATAAAAGGACCATGGGGCGGTCAGCCTTATAGACATAAAAAAGAGAAAAAACCTCCAGTGGAGTTCGGACCAACTTGATGGCAGCGGCTCCGGTCGACACGGCCTCCGGTAGGTCCGAATTCCGTGGCGATCATAATGAGCGTCATTCCTACCTAGGTACACTATACTTGACTCTCATCGCTGCTAGCGCCTGCTTGGCAATTTGTGTTCTTCAGCCAGCTCGTATTTCGTATTACTGTACACTCGCAGATGCTGGTACAACAGAATATACGGAGTACAGAGTACTAGTACGTGGTACGTGGTACGGAGTATAGTAGAGTTTTTGATGATGCATCCATCCCGAACACGATGATACTACAGTCGGGTAGTTTGATGATCCGTCATTTGTGCGACTGGATACTTTCCAGTGGAACCTGCCCAGGTGGACTTGGCCGAGGTTTTCCTGTCCTTTGTGGCAAAAATGCCTAGATTAAAGTCTTGAATCAGGGAAATCCAACATCATTCTGATGTACGTCACGCCCTGAATAGGAACAGTACTCTGTCCTCCCTGATCCGTCAGAAGGAATCATTCAGGAGAAATCATTCCAGTGCAATGAACAGAGTGTAGGAGTGTAGGATCATCGTGATCTCCAAGACAAATCCGGGAGATCCGGAGCCCGGATCCACCGTGGCCGATGAACCGCTGACTAATTATGCACAGTTATGACCGCGATTTTCTCGCGGATCTAGAACGCGAGTGCGCACTCCCCGATCCGGACAATGGCAGAGCCCACACAGCGTCCACCGCCTCTCATTGCCAAGCTACTACGATTGGACAATCCAATTCGTAGCTTGACAGTCGCATTCTGGCTATGGAAGGTGTTGCTTTACAGTGTGGTGACCCTCTGTCCAGGGCTGGGCTATGACACCTCCACCTCGTTGCTCCTGTATGGAGACCCTGCAACCCAGTCTTTGTCAGGGCCTCTCAAGTTTGCCCGGTGGGACAGCATCTATTTCGTGGATATCGCGGAAAAGGGATACACATTCGAACAACAATGGGCGTTTGGCTACCCAAAGCTGTTGAGTCTCTTCGTCTCTGGTAATGATATTCGTTCTCGCAATACCGAGCATGGCGGTAGCTGACCATCGCGGATAGGCATTCGTCTCTCTGGCGGTGTGACCGGACCAGCTAGCACGGCAATGGTGGGAGTAGCTCTCTCACATGTCACTCATTACCTGTCCGTGCTGGCTCTCTATCGACTATCAGCCAACATCTTTGGTCATGCCACGGCCACGCAGCATCTCATCTGTTTCCTGTCGGCAGCTCTTCACATCATTTCCCCCGCCGGCGCCTTCTTGTCTGCGCCTTATGGAGAACCCGTCGTGTCTTTCCTCAACATGACCGGGTTCTACCTCTACTCGTCATCGCTAATTGCGGAACGGAATGGCTCGTCTCGCCTTCGGGACGTGAGGGTCTTGACCTCTGCCGTTCTCTTCGCGGTTGCCACTCTAGTTCGCAGCAATGGGATCCTGAGTGGATTTCTGTTTGCTTACGATGCAGTCGTCTTGGCCTGGAAGACCGTGACACGGGGCCCGACGGTGCACAACACGGTTCGTCTGGCTGTGATCATCCTCGGTGGCTGTATCGTCGCATCTAGCATGATCATCCCTCAGATTCTAGCATACCGCATCTACTGCCTGGCCGAGTCCGATGTGCGCCCATGGTGTGAGTGGACCGTGCCTAGCATCTACGGCTGGGTCCAGAGCCATTATTGGTAAGATTTCCGTTTGGTTTCTCGCTTTGCCCCTGCTTACTCTTTAAAGGGATGTTGGTTTCCTGCGGTACTGGACGATTTCGAACTTACCGCTTTTCCTGTTGGCGGCACCCATGCTGGCCCTCCTGTGTCGTTCCTCGTGGTGGGCTTTGGCCAGTCCTTCGTCTTCTTCCACCAGCCCAGGATCAATGCTCACTCGGCTGGCGATCCCCCAGGGCATACTGGCGGTCATGGCTTTCACCAGCTACCACGTTCAAATCATCAACCGGATTTCCTCGGGATATCCCGTGTGGTATTGGTTTTTGGTGACCAGTGCCGTGGACTTTGATACCAGCTCACTGAAAAAGAGCCGCACTCTCGTTGTTGCCGTGTACGGTGTGGTGGCATATGCGTTGATCCAGGGGGTTCTTTTTGGTTCCTTTTTGCCGCCGGCGTAAGCCTGGTAAGCAGGGAGCGGCTCTATGTTGGGCCGACGCACTCTGTATAGTAAATCTTTTTTAATGTTGGAGAAAGGCGGGTTCTAGGCTCCGACAAAAGACCAAATATGCAGACCCCAAAGTATCCCGGGTTGGGTGCCCAGGCGGGTTGCGTAAGGCGGTTGTCTGCCTAAGTGCAAGGCGAAGGCACCTTATAAAGTCCAAATAAACAACATTGGAAGTTACATTCGAAGGAGCTATACCTTTTCTCAGGGCCCAAGCTTCTCGATCTTACGTAGAATTATGTCATCACAATTTCTACCAGTTGACTCTCCCCTTTGACCTAGACCATCATCCCCCAAGCTTTCCAAGAGAGGCCAATTCACCGAACTGCTAGATTGCTCAGGACCACCGGAGTCAATCCCCTTTTACTTCTCGCTGGCCCGGGAAACCACCCCATGCGACCACAGCCACATCAACCCTCACCGAAAGCAGATCGTGCGAATCCCAGCCTGGAAGCTTGAGAGCCTCATTTGACTGTGAGTGACATTTGATCATCGATGTGCGGTCTCTTGGTTGCGGACAAGGCAAATCGTGAAACATCGGCACTGCTGACGTATTGCCAGAGCTCACCCGGCAGCAACGGCGACTCCTCACCTCATCTCCGCCTCGCGTCGCACCCCATCCCCCCTCCTCACCCCCATCATGGACGCCTCCGGCCTCAAGGCGATTCTCACATCCGACAATTTTCCTCATGCACAAGATCTCTCACGGGCGACCTCGCCCGGCGGAGAGCCCGCCGCCGTGAATGGCGAGGGTGAACCCGTAGCCCGAGTGCGACCTCGCACCTATCCATACTTCAAATACCTTCCATACAAGCCCGAAGATGAAACCGAACGGAATCAGAACCTGCGAGAGATCTTGAATCAGCTATACATCGCAGTGGAGGCCGGTGACTTCAACCCCGGGGCAGTGCATTGGACACGCGAGCTTCGCGGCTGGCTGTCACTCAAGTTCGATCCAACTCGGGCGGAGCGCATAAGTCTGGTAAAACTCTACTATGAGTTGGCACTGGCCCCTGGAATTGATCCCCAGGTCGCCGAGCGCTTCTCGAGCATGTTCATGCTTCTCACAAAGTAAGTCGTCATTGTTGGCCGGGTCGCAATCATGAGGCGTTTGCTAATCCAACAAACTAGGCGCAAGCATTATCTCAGACCCATCAAAGATTTGGTATTAGATTGGAAGCCACTCTATAAAGAGCTCAAAGCCTTCGTTCTCCCCACCGAGTCCGGCCTCGTTCATTCGACCAACCTGAAGAGAAATGTCAAGACCTTGACCAAACTCTGCGCATTTGCGCAATTGTTTGTTGATCCGTGTGAACTTCCCGCCATGCTCGAGGAATTCTTGCCGCATTATACCACATCGTTTTCAGAGGGCGCCTTCGTTGTCGCAGGACTCATTAATTTGTTACTTCCGACATCTCCGCCTCCCGAATCCCGAGCAGATCTCCTGCCTCAAAATCATCTCCCTACGCAGTTCCATCTGTGGTCCTTGGTTGGTCGCTCAAAAACCTTTGACACCACCTATTTAGATTATCTGTCTCGGCTTGCGCGTGACTCTCTTCCAGCCGGCCACATCCCATTCTCCGAATATGGTATTTTCACGAAGGATCAGTCTGGTCTCATCTTTACGGCGATTCTGAGGCTTCTGGAGATTCCGGTTGGCCAATCCACTTCGCCCTACAGCGCCCTGGTGGATATCTCTTCCGGTCTTGGCATCATGCTTGATCGCGATGGGCGAAAGCACCCCGTCGCTCACCACATTGCTCGCTGGATAGTCATGTCATTCTCCCCTGCGTGTGTGGACGCAGAGACTTCGGTTCTCACTCAACTAGAGGGTCTAATCCAGGCCGTAGAAACATTCTTCCACCCCTCCAACTCCGGTGGTTGGACTAAGACTCTGTCACAGCTGGTCTATTATCTGACTGACTTCTTCGTGATGCGATGGAATCGCGAGAGAAGTGGAGAGTTAGACATTCCCCCCGAGCGACGATTGAATGAGGCCCTGAAGCGACGATTTGTGCTATGCATCCGGGATGTGATCTTCATGGGCATCTACGCCAAGAGCAGCAGTGCAATGACCTTCTCACTTTCGACCCTGCAAGGGCTGGCCTACCTGGAGCCTAATCTCATTCTGCCCGGTGCTCTGCAGAGAATCTATCCTGCATTGCAGGGTCTGGTGGAAGTGCATCGAACCACCTCCTCTCTCCGGGCTATGCAGGTGCTATCTCGTATCATTGTACGCACCAGGGGATATCGTTGCCACATGACAACTCTCATGGGTCTTGCTCTGCCTGGTATCGATGCTAATGATCTGGAAAAATCACTCCATGCTCTCTCATTTATTCAGTCGGCTTGTTACAACATCCCAATGCATGACCTCACCCAAGGACAGGAGGATGTCAACTGCAACATGCTTGCAATGCAGTGGATTTCAGGTGAAATGGAGAGAATGGAGGAGCAAGGCGCAGACTTGCAGATGGACTATGACACAGAGCTGGATGACGAGACCGAGGAAATGATCCTACGCTCCTCGACATGCGGCTTTGGGGATTTCACAATCTCTTTCCTGGGGCGTGTCTTTACACTCCTGGAGAATCTGCCGGACGTTTCCAGGGTTCGTAATGGGTCGCCTGAAGAAAACATTGTGAACACACTACCCGCAACATTCATGCCACTGCTTGCATCCTTGTCGCCAGAGTACTATGACATCGCCCTCACGAAAATCGTGGATTTTGTTTCCAACCACGTCATCCACCAAGCGAGAGATGCCATGGCTTTCATTTGCAACGCGCTCTGCAAGGTCAACCCCGAAAAGGCTCTCAAGCGCTTCATCCCAGTCCTCACATCAGCTATCCGCACCGAGATCGAAGAGAATGGTGCTGGATCGACCCGAACTACGGGCACTGATGTCCTTCCCCGCGATCGTGGATTAGTCTGGAATGTCAGCATGCTCAGCATGTGTGTTGTGCATGTTGGAAGTGCCGTCATAAACCACCGCAAAGAATTGTTTGATATCGCCGTATACATGCAACAGAACTGCCGGGGAATTCCAACTGTGCACATTTCAAACTTCATCCACCACCTTTTGCTCAACTTGACTGGGACCTACACGAACGATTTCTCTCTGTACGAACCGTCTGTTGTTGCGAATGGCATTGGGCCTAAACTATGGAGCTACCAGGCCGATGTGAATGATCTTCATATCAAATGGCATGTGTCAACACGCGAGGAGGTCGAATTTGCCGTCGACGTCTTCAAGAGCCAGACTGAGTCGGCTTTGAAGCAACTCTCTGCGCTTACCCACGAGACATCAAGTGTCAAACGGGATGGAAGTGGCAAGGACTGGTCAGACGAGGTGACTCGCAACCTTGTCCTCTTGCGACTCGTGCTATCCGGCATCTCTATCCTTTTCGATCCCAAGGCAGCCTCCACTACCACACAAGGCCCCTCGAACGGTGATGTCGATATGACAGACGGTACAGGTGTCTCAGATGCTACTGATGCCGATGCCGATGTTGCCTTGGACAGCTCTGACGATGCCATAATTCGCCAGGCATTTACCTATCCGACGGGCTACGCTCTCAAGGAGGGTGACCCCTTGTACAATACTATACACGAGCTTCGTGAACGCACCGGATGGGTTTTGCATGAAGTGCACCGTTTCTTGAGCGATAAACAAGAAGATGATGTGCCTTGCTTCGGCGCTTTGTATTCTGCGTTCAGATCTTGGTTTGTTGACGTCGGCATTGAGAGGTCCGCCCATGTTCTTGACCGCGTAACAAGGCTGTTGGCAGCGGACATTCATCCTTACAAGATGAGTGGTCTGCGGAAGCACTACCCCAGACCCTTGCTTGTACGCCGAGCCAATGTGTATCACCTCCAACGTCTTCGGCACAACGCTGCTCCACGCCCGCGTTCCAAGCTTGACGAAATTCTTCTCCTTGACATAGCCGAATCATGTGTCTCTCTTTACACGGAGACTCGTCGCAATGCCCAAAATGCAGGCGAATCGGCACTCAAGGCAGTCTATGGCGGAAGACTACTCGTGATTCCTCCTCTTCTCACGGCGTTGCAAAAGGGTGTCAAGGAAAACGACCATGCACGTATTAAGGGTGCATTGTTTTCCCTGCTCCTCAGCAGCGTTGCCAAAACCGTCGGGCGTCATTGGAAGTATGCTCCTGCACTTGTCCGAGCCTTCATCGATGCGAGTGCCGTTGATAAACCTTCTGTCCAAAAGATTTGCTCGAGCGCTGTCTTCCAGGTTATGGAGTATGGCCGCGCCATGGAAAGAATGGCCATTCTAGACAAAGACATTGTGGAGGCCATTGCTCCGACTACGGACGTCAGCGAAGAAATCCAGAATAAGCGGGCTGTCGTGAATAGCAAGCGTGTTGCCATCGAAAAGAGAAAGGCTGATCTGGCAGAGGAGCTTGTGAACCTGGCACGGGTATCCCACTGGAAGATCGCTAGCCGGGCTGCGACCATTGTAATCACAATGGGTCTACGTTTCGACTACGTTGCTAGCGATAACCTGATCGAACTGATGACTCTGGGCTCTATTGACGACCATCCTGGCCTGCGGGGCATGTACTCCCAGGCTCTCATTGCACTCTTCACTATGATTGATGTGCGAGCCATCTGCACCCACGACTACAAAAACTACATTCTCGGACATCAACGTTTCCCGTCGAAGATCAAGGTCGCGACCAAGCCTGATGAGAAGGGATGGACTGAGGAGTATCTGTCTAGCTTTGCGAAGCCTGAAGCAGAGTATTACGTGGACCACGACTTCCCTGGCTGGCTCGTCTGGGGCAAGACTATGCCAGCGTACAAGTCTAATGTCGCTCGCGACATTGACTACGATGAGGTTGAGTGGAAAGTCCGCACGAAGATGGGCAAGCTGTTCACTCGTGATTGGTTCTCTAAATTCTTCATGTACTTGAAGCAGGAGCCGCGAGACCCCTCCGCCGACAAGTTCCGCATGTCTTGTGCTATGATGCTCCTGTATGCATTCGAACTTATGATTCGCGATGAGCTCACAGCTGTCTCGTTTGAGGAAATCCAGGAAGAAATCCAGGGTGTCTTTGAAGATGGAAGCGACAAGCACCAGCACCGTGCCACGGCTGAGATTCTTGGTGCTTTGATCTCCTCTGTGGCCGATGTAGGCGTTGAAAAACGCACCAAGATCTGGGAATATGCTTTCCCTATTGTGCGCAAGATCTTCACTGACGGTCTCACCCCAGAGAACTCGGGGTACTGGACAACATTCCTTCACATGATTTTGCAATGTCGGGATCCTCGCCGTGCCTGGCCCTTGGTTGATTGGCTGTCCAGCTTCCGTCTTGACATGTCAACCAATGCCGCTTTCAAGGAAAGTTCCAAGATCAACCTTTTGCACCAGTGCATTATTGATTCCGGCTGGCATTACCAGCTTGAGAAGCCTATCGTGGAAGACTTCCTTGGCCATCTAGACCACCCTTACAAGGGTGTTCGTGAGGCGATGGGTCAGACACTCGCAACAATCTATCGTACAAGATATCATGAATCGTACCCTGATGTTAGGCATCTTCTGGAGGCTCAGAAAGCTTCTTCTTCTGTTGGAGACTATCCCTATGCCCCCAGCGATGAATTCTCCAAGATGATCCGTGGGGTGTTCAATCAGATTGAAGAATGGCGCAAGGCCAGAACTCCTGGTCAACAGACTCCCTCATCCTACACCTCAGGCAGCAAGACAGTACTTCTCTGGTTGGATTCGACACTCTCATCCCATGAGTGTACACAGCTCGTTTCATTCTTCCCCGACGTTTTCACTGCGCAGCTTCTGCACATGATGGACGTGAAAGAAGACCCGGAGCTTCAGTCCCTTGCATACCACGTCTTCCGCCATCTTCCCAACATCCCCTACCCCGCCGAGAAGAACTCCGAATTCATCCAATCTCTCATCCGCATTGGACAGACTTCTCCGTCATGGCATCAACGTTTGCGCGTGATGATCAACATCCAAATCATCTACTTCCGTCGTCTCTTCCTGCTTGACCAAGGAGACCGCGACAAACTCTTCGAGTGCATCGCCTCGATGCTGGAAGATCCTCAGCACGAAGTTCGCGCCGGTGCCTCAGCCACCCTCTCCGGCATGATCCGATGCTCTCCCGTCTTCCTGCGCGACAAGATGGTCAGCCGTTTCCAAGACCGCTTCACCAAAGCCTTGGCAGACAACCCTCTTCCCAAGAAGCCGAAGAACTTCCGTTCCGGAATCTCTTCTGCGGTCTCGTCGAACGCCGGAACTCCCACGCCCGAGCACAACCGTCTCATCATCGTTCGTCACGGTGCCGTTCTCGGCCTGGGTGCCTTGATCCAGGCTTTCCCTTACAACAGCCCTCCGCCTCACTGGATGCCCGAGGCTCTGACTTCACTCAGTATCCGTGCTGCCAGTGACCCTGGCATCGTGGGTTCCAGTGTGAAGTCAATTATCAGTGAATTCAAGAAGACAAGACAAGATACTTGGCATATCGATGCGAAGGTTCGTTTTCATGCCCTGGCCCTTGTGGGTAGCCGTTCAAATTTCTAACTTTTGCATTTCTAGGCTTTCACTTCGGATCAATTAGAGGATTTGTCGGGAGTGTTGTGGAAGAGTTACTTTGCTTGAGTGGTGTCCGGGTCATGGTCGCCTCGTGAATACTTCTTTCTAGGTTATGTGATTCATAGTCGAAATATGATCAACAGCCCTGTGTATACGTGAATATCTCATTGCCTAGTACAACCTTGGAAGGTTCCAAGGTTTTTCATGTAGAACCTGGAATGTGTAGCTCCAAGTTGATACCTAGGTAGTAAATTGACTGGTGCTGCTACTAGGTATATCTTCACCTGGGCATGGATCCATGGCTATGTCAGATATACAGTCACTAGCGAACACTTCCAAGGTTTCTATTTCAATTACCTACTAGGTACCTAGGTAGGTAGTGCTAATTCTTACTCACTAGAGACCTACCTAGGTAACTATATGTTACAAAATAAATACGTGGCTAAAAATCAGGAATGAAAGTTGAAGACTTTCTGTCAATATCGAGAGCAACTCCGGGGAAGAACCCCCATATATCCAGTCTACTCCGTACCAACACGAAGGCAATGCTGTCGACTAATGCAGTCACATTGCCAAGCTGGACACCGGCCTGTGAAGTCTGGTAGCCAAGCGCCACAGCTGAAAGTGGTTCGATGTCATATGTAATAAGTACGAGGCCCGAGAGTAAAGCTGATGACAATGACAGCTACAAGGTCTGTACTGTAGATGATGGTCATTGCGTCAGTAAAGAACCTTGAACACGTGTCAATCAGACAGAGTCTATGTAAGTTAAATATTTAGCACTGTGCATTCCTCTGTTCTGCTGTTTCAAAATCCGACTTAAGTTCCAATGGCAATTTGGAATTGTGATTGCGAGGGCTGCGACAAACCTTCTATTCGCACGTATAGGGACTGTGTCCTTTACGACCACCATTTTTGCGTGAAACATCTGGGGCCAGAGTATCATACATGCCCAAAATGGGAGGTTTGTCAATCGAATTCTACAAATTGAAGCGGCTACTGATTCCTTCGGCCTGAACAGGATGAGCATCATTACGGCCCTGTTATTCAAGAGGCTAAAAAGAAAGAAATCACCACTCTCATTGACAAAATCGACATATCAACGCTCACTCAGCGCGCTAGCAGTCTCCGCAATGGTCTTGCGTGCTCCGTAGCCCAGGGTCTACAATACGATAGAGCTTTACGCAGCTCAGTCATAGGAGGTATGAATTATCATATTGAGATTATATTCGAAGATGGAATCAGCTGGCTCGCACGCATCCGAAAACTCAACGCTACTTCCCCACTCCCGGAGCTGCGGGACTACATCCTAGGCAGTGAAGTCTCAACCTTGCAGTTCTTAAGCAAGACAAAAGTTCTTGTTCCTACAGTCTTTGACTTTAATCCGGATAAATCAAACCCTGTCGGTATCGGTTATATCATGATGGAGAAGTTACCTAGGAAGCCCTTACGATAGTTGTTTACTATCCCAGAGTAAAGGTAAAGAGTTACTAGTTAACTAGCGGATATCTATATTAAATTGAAAGGTTTCCCCTTCTCGGTAATAGGCTTTTTCAATTAGCAGAATTCTTCTTATATTAGACCTATTGCACGAGAGTCTTTGGCCGACTTTAAAGACCTACATATGAAAATACTGGGGCCATATACATCTTCAGAAGAATTTTTCAACGCATATATTCGAATGATATTGGATTTGATAATACGATAAAAATCCTACGTTAATCGTCCCGTCAATGCTTTCCTGATACACCGTTTCCTCCTGGATACCGTCCCCAAAATCTTCTCAAATAACCACCTCGATGATGGGATGTTCTACTTAAAACATGCGGACGAAAAGGGCGACTAAATACTCGTTGATAATGATTTCAACATAACAGGTATTATTAACTGGGAATGGGCGCAGACAGATTCAAAATCAGTAGCTTTCAATTCGCCTATTGTGCTTCTTCCAGTTGCCGACTTTTACACGGGGGCTGATTCTATCGGAGAAGATGAAGTTTATTTTGCCGAGTGCTTGGAAGAGAAAGGACATCCAGATTTTGGGGAGATAGTCAGAAATGGGCGGCTTATTCATCGAATGCAATTTTGTCGTGGATATGACCTTGACGATTGGGACGGATTTATTGGGCTCTTTTTTGGGCTGCTCAAGATATTGGGCGAAGGGGATTCAAACTGGGAAAGCTGGAAAGCGGACGCCTTAGATCGCTATCGAGAGGATCCTCAACTAAAGCAAATTCTCAGACTGTCCGATGAATGAAAGCGGACACAGTTTCAAACGCTGGACATACCCTTTGCTGCCACGGCTTGATTATAGAAAATAGATGCATCCAACTTATATAGATGAGGTGGCCAATGGGCAAGCGGAGGTACTAATGTAGATTTATTTCAGCATGTGTACCGTTGACGTCTATCTCACCAAAAGACAAAACTTGATCTCGAATAAGCGCCCCCATATCGCCGTATTGTTCTGTCCAACATCCTTGCATCACGGTACCACCAGGTAGAGTATCAACCGGAGGATATTTCTGAGATGCAAAGAGGGTGTCTACCAGTTCGTCGTAGTCGTCCTTCTCTGCCACGGATTTGAATGGCCCAGGAGACTTGTAGGGCCAATGGCCGGTCATTATCGTGTAGAAAATCGACCCGAGACTGAATATGTCCACAGCCTCTGTTGACACCCATGGTCTGCAGGGATCGAAAAAGCCCGAGTCGGGAAGATGTCCACCATCCATGTCACCGCTTGTCGATCCCCCAAAATCACAGAGTAGAAGATCGAGCTTGCCTTTGGAGTCGGAGTGTAATAAGAAATTCTCTGGCCGCAGGTCGGAATGAATGACGCCTTTCTGGTGGATATAGTGAACGGGTTCCGCTGCCTGGCGACACCACTTCAATCGAAGGCCTAGATCAATAGCATCATGCTGGTCAATGTAGGCTTGCAGATTACCATCGCTAGCTTCTCCGAAGAGTAATCCACGAGGCTCCTCTGAGACACCAATATAGCTGCAGTGGAATAAAAATCAACACATTGAACCGCTCGGGCTTGGCTTTGGCTGACCTACCGTATTATTCTAGGGTGTGCCCCTAAGATATCCAAAAGTTGCTCTTCAACCTCGAAACTGCGCTTAATGTCCTTGACAAAGGGGTGGGCATCCGCTGCTTTAGAATGCCACCACGAGTACCTGGGGCATTTGACGACGACACCCGGTTTCGTTCTTACTATCAATGAGGTTGAGCCTTGGCTCAATGTTTCATTGCAACGAGGTTCATAGGGAACCAGATCTGCTATTCCGCCGGGAAAGACCTGATCCTCTTCATTTAGTCCCAAAACGTTGTTCTTTGCGATGGCTGGAGAATCATTCAATTGAGGGCGTCCGCACCGCTCAAGATCGTCAGGCTCTTCACCTGTGGACGAAGAGTTTCTGATGAACGGAGGTACTAGGCGAGAAAGGAAGCCAAATGAGCCATATAGAAAGTAGATTAGAACTGAATGAACCGCCGAGCAACATTTCCACAGGTACGCCAACATCTTGGAGGTGCTATGAGTGTCTGCACCAGGCGCTGGAACGCTCCCAAAGGGGGTGCGATTGTCACATGACAGGGAAGGCAAACACGTCAAACAAAACACAGTGGAATGGGCTGACTGGAATAAGCTAACGCTGCACTGCCAACAAAGATGGAAGAAGTGTTTGTACGGAGTACTTTACTCGGTTGCCCGGGTGCCCAAGTGGTCCAGGGCCAAGGTATCACGTGACTGATGACAGAGCGAAATTCGGCTGCGGCGGGGCTAGGCCAGAAGGGGACTAGCGCCGGCAGAAGGTGGTTCCGGCCCGGGGAGCTTGAAAAAGTACAAATTTCTGCCGTCAACCTTTTCACCTCTCATCATCCTACGCTCATCTCCAGCATGGTTAATGCCTCCATTGCCGGAGATTGATTCAATCCGACCTTGGCCATCGGCCTCATAATCACTTCTCAACTCACTAACATTCAACTCGCAGGACCTGCAACGATGGTGAGTTTCTTGTCGCCTCCAGTCCCCCACCCCGATCCTTGCACCTCCACAATGATGATACCTATAACCAAACAAACTAGAGTCTTTGACCCCAAATGGGAATGAAACTTCTGTTATTGCACGTCAGGCTGATATCACGTCAATGCATTTTTTTGTCACACAAACATTGACTTGGACTGAGCTAACTCGCCTCTCCAGACTTGACCATTGCCAAATCATCGTTTGCAGACGACCAACCCACAACAAGCACAGATGGTGAGTACACTCTGGTCTTTTCTTCCTCTTCTCTACCTTATCATGATGAACGCGATGTGTATGAAAATACGCTGGAAATTACCGTCTCAGACCTTCGGGTCGTTGATGATACTTAATGGCTATTACTGATCTCAACCCTACCACAACATTTGCATGACAATCTTGTTTGACCATATGCTAATGATTTGAAAGACCGATAGGCATCAGTGCTTCCAGCTCAAATGGTAAGCGCAAAGCACCCTCACACGCATCCGTTGTCCGAAGATGAAACGGCACTGGGCTCCGACGGCTTCAAAAGAATGTCCGGTCATGATGGATACGCCCTTTTGCGGCAGGCCTAGAAAACCTCGCCCACTGAGACAACTCATATATTCATGGACTTGTGAGATGGTTGTGTGACAGAGTCACTAACCCTGAATAGAAGCCTGTTTGTGTCGACTTGGACCCAATTGTAATTGTAGAAGGTATGCGATTGTGTCTTCTGCTTCCAGTTACCCTACCTTCTATGATGATACCCTTTAGATGACGAGTCTGATTCGAGTTTTCGATGCTGACAACATCTTTTTTAATACCATTCATGCCTTTCTGACATTCATTCCTACACAATATTTCACTCATCAACCTTCGTTGACATGTGCTAATTATCTTTGAAGACAGGCTCCTGACCATGAACAATTGTTCTGTTGACCATGGGTGTATGTTCATCTCACCTCTCTCCACTCCTACCCTTGCATGATGAAACAACAATACACCAAAGACAAGCATATGTCCAAGTCAGCTTGCTGGCGAAGACGAGAAGTGTTATGCCTGATCAGTCACAAGACTCTTTGCATCGTCACTGTCCATTCAGTACTCGACGCTGATGGATCTTGAACAGAAGCGAATTAGAAACATCTCCGACACTAACAAGACGCCAGTGGCCCTCAGCCTCAGTTTATGCCGTAAGTTTGCCTTTGCTTGTCTCCCCTGCCCACCCTTTATATGATGATTCACTTCAATTTATCACGACGGTCAACGTAAGGATTTTTATTGACGACTATCGCCTGTGACAAGGCATGATCTGAAACCCTTCATTTACACATCTTCATTTGCCATCGTTTGTTAGTCTTGATACTAATATCGATCAGTTTCCTAGGTTTCCCTGACGCCGCTTAAGGCGAGACATAGGCTTAATTGAGACAAAGCAATGAGAAAAATTCCTTCAAACTATGACCATCAGTAGATCTCGCAGGGTTCTATTTTTCGCCCTGCAAGTAGTCCCTGTACGACTATCACACCGAGTATGTCCCGTGTTGGTGAATCCGACCTATGAAGTGTGACTTGGCTGCGGAGACCATTGTGTTCAGCCTGTCACAACGACCGATAGGCGCCGTGCTGGAGTCCGCGTGTGATGAGAACTCCCCAGGTGCATACGAAGTCCCCGCTTCGGTCTTTGTGCTAATCTTATTCTATTTATTCTTCGATCCAAATTTAGATCTGTGGCCATGTCGCGGCCATTGGCCCTGGAGCTTCACTGTTAGCGTCTCGCCTGTTCGCGTTTAGCTTTCTAATTTTGTCTGTTGATTCTCTCGACCGGGCCTCTCAAATCGATGCACAGCCCAGTATGAACAGGTGTGGTCCATCTGCTCCTATCCGGAACTTTTTCCTAGACGCGGAGATACTGATCGTCCCTCTCTAGCTGGGGGTCAAGTCATGCAGACGAGCAGCCGAACCATTACCCCGGCTGGTCGATAGCCGCAAGTCCTAGCAATCACCCATCGCCAGGCCGGCGAGAGCATGCTGTGCAGCCGCCTTTGTTGACCACGGCACTGAACGGTTCGCAGTATCAGGGTCTCGGGGCAGGCCTGGGTCTGACGCCGACCCCATTGTCCACGACCTCGCTATCAAGCCCGTTCACGCACGGTCAATCGCCGTGCGTCCCATCGCCAGCAAACGGCAGATCGGTGTCCTCCTCTTCGATGGCATCTAGAAACGCATATAATGTTCCCTATAATCCCCAGGATTGGGGGCCTCCGGGCAGGTCCCAGGCACAGGGCTATGCTCCACAAACTGCCATGCATCGGACACAGAGAAACGACCCAGGTTTGTCTGCCCAGGGCATCAAAAGTAGGCTACTGACTGTTGGAAGATGCATCGCTATCACCACCTCCCCCACCATATTCGCCGCCTAACAATCCAAATCGAATGACCCAAAACTTTTCAGGGCAGGGAAGTTCCAATTTCATGGAGACTCCTTCTCCGCCGAATCGCAGAGAAAATGAATATGATATGCCCGCTCAGTACCAAAGACGCTCGAACCGTCCAAGGCCTCTGTCAATGGTTTACTCGTCTGACTCGGGGTCTCATCACCAGTCACTACCTCCACCACCACCTCCGCAGGGGCCTGCGAATAGGTCGGTATCCCAAAGTCGAGTAGACTACCAAGGCATGCCTTACGGTGACCAGGCTGCGAATTATCACACCCCACCCAGCCATCAAGCGAGGCCACAGGCCCAATTCCAGCCTGGGTTCCATCCGACACCGGCTCACTTAGAGACTCCATCCCGGCCTCCTGCATCGCGCAGAGCAGCATCGGCTGGGGCTGTGGTTAGCAGTGCAGGGTCGTCGAGAGCTGCCAGCCAATCTCGAAATCGATCGCCATCTAACAGTAATTGGGAGCCTGGAATGCCACTTCCGCCGCCGCCGCCAGGGCCTCCTCCTACGACGAGGTCTGTTAGCGTAAGTGGCTCGTCCGAGTCATCGATGAGGACACCGCAAGGATCTAGTACTCATGACTCGGGCCGAACGTCGAGAAGAGCGCCTCCCGTCCTTGGAACAGGACTGGGAAGCATTCCGCCTACACCAGCCGATTGGATAGATGAGGGATACTTGAACAGCCGGCCAACAGAAGGACTATATGTTGATACTGCCAAAGCTGCCAAACACCAAGACAGCGCGGATTCCCACGACCCATCCAATCAGAAAACCCCTGGCAGTGGCGGTCTTTTCCGTAGTTCGGCGATTCGCGATCCCAGTGCGAAGGGTATCCGCGAAAGGCGTATCGAGCGACGCAATCGACAAAGCCAGGTCTTTGAACCCCCCAGTGCAATATCTCAAAATGGGAACCCGTGGGCCGATGCTCTGGAACAGATCAAACCCTCAAATCTCATCCTCCCGGACCAAAGCACCAGCCCAGATCAAATTCGACATCCGTCTTCGGCCAAGTACACTCCCACGCCTCTCAGCACCCGGAGTGTTGCATCAGAGGGACAGTCTGCTCCCTCCAGATCACGCGCATCCTCCGGTGGTCTCTTTTCCGAACAATCCCCCTACGGGACCCCCAAACAGCAACCGAGCTCTGCCGGTCCCTCTACTTCGTTTGCACATACACCTCCCTTTTCGCCGGGCGGGACAGGATCTTCAGGATATCCCAAAGAAGCCAGTCAAGCAGTCCCACCAAAAGCACTGCCAACACCTCCTCTCAATTCGGCAAAGGATGCACGACCACGGTCCCGCGCTCCCTCCAGAGGAGCCGAGGGCCGTCCTATATCTCATATCCTCCATATGCCAAATGATTCTGTGTCGATGATGAAGCCATTGTCGCCCCGGAGAACGCCGAGTCAGTCACCGCAGGCGTCTATGGAATCGGTGATCAGACAAGATTCTTCATTCCTGCAGGATGCCATTCAGCGACACAAGACTTTCGTTGCAAAGGAAGCTTCTGCAGTGGACGAGACCGAGGCACTCAAGACATTCGCGGACTATATTCTTGCCGAAGCTCAAATTCGACGCCAACGTTATTCAAAAGTGTGGGATGATTTCCAAGTAGACGACGTTCGTCGCAATCTCTTCGAGCTACCTGTCACCAAGCCAGGCCCAGGCCTGCCAAAGCTGGACATCCCGCAGAATCGAGCAAATCGACCCGAGACTGCATGGTGGAACAACTACCAGCCCTGTCTCTCGCCAATTGCCAGTCTCAACATGAGCAATGATGAAATGAGCTCGCGGGGTCGTGCACCGAGTCGCTGGTGGGAATCCAAGACTGGTTCAAGTAGCGATGGGGCTGGACGACGAGTTCAACGATCCAAGCGGGAATCAAAGTATATGGGACTACCTCCATTGCAGTGGGATCAGGAGTTGACACCTCAGCAAGATGTCAGTATGAACTACGGCCCGCATGAGTATCCTCCAGAGAAGGTGGGTTGGCATGAAGACTCTCCATCAAATTCCACGGGCACTGGGTATCGCTACCCAAGTAGTCGGAGCTTGGATATCTCACGGTTGATCACTATGCCTCCACCTTATCCTCGCCACCACCCTGCTGTGAACAACAGCCATCCTGATCTGGTCACTCATCGGACTACCGTCCGATCAATTACAGACCTCACCGAGGTCAAAACCACCAGACATCGGTACAAGGCCGATGTGGAACGGATGTTGCAGGAGCACCAACAGCAAGTTGACGAGGGCCACCGGCACTTCAAAGCCAATATCCAGAGCCAGATACAGGAAGGAAGTCTCACATTTGCGGAGGCCGCAGAAGCCGAGGCGGCGATGATTGCCGAAGAGAACGAGCGAGAGAGAATCATGGTCAAGCGCCAGCTTGACGCGTACCAGGATGCTGTGCTCAAGCCCATGAACGCCATCCTTGTCGACAGGATTGGTAGAGCAACCAGCTGCATTGAAGAGCTGAGCAGCCTCCTCTCCGATGATGCCCAGCGCGGCACGCCCGACGAAACCCAAGAAGAAGGCGACGAGAAACCAGAGCTATTGGAGAAACTCACACAGCTAAAATGGCTCTTCGAAGCCCGCGAGCAGCTTCACCGAGAATCCTTCGATCTGATCAGTGACCGCGACGACAAATACAAAGCCGTGGCCTTGCTACCCTACAAACAAGCCAAGAACGAAGAAAAGCTCCGTGAAACACAAGCCTTCTTCACGCAGGACGCCCTGGACCGCCGCGTGCAGTTCGAAAACGAAGCCCTCACCCGACTCGAGTCATTCCTAGATGTCATCGAGCAGAATGTCGTGCGAGGCGTCGAGGTGCAACTCTCTGCATTCTGGGACATTGCGCCCTCTCTCCTCGCCCTCGTGCAGCAGGTTCCCGAAAATCTTCAGGGCTTCCAGGTGCAGATCCCGGCGGACGAATACGAGGAGAACCCCAGCTACCACGCGCATCCCCTGCAGTATCTCTATACGCTACTTTCTCATGCAGAGAAGTCCAGTTACCAATTCATCGAGTCGCAGACTAATCTGCTTTGTCTGTTACATGAAGTGCGATCTGCTGTGATGCGGGCGAATCGGGTTCTCGTGGAAGCCGAGCGCATCAAGTGTGGGGCGACGGAGGAGAATGTGCGCCGTCAGATGATGGAGACCCGTGCCGATGAAGAGCTGGCTCTTACCACTGATCTTAAGGACAAGGTGGCTACTGTCGAGGGACAGTGGTCTGAGGCGTTGGGAAGTCAGATTGATGAGTTACGAGAACGAGTGAAGGAGCAGCTTGTGAGAGAGGATGGATGGGAGGATCTGGAGCAGTTGGAGGAGTAACTAAAAGGAGGCTTGGTATTTTCTTGTTCTTTTTCCTTGTATTTGGCATGATATCCCCCATTCGTTATAGATCGGGTGTGTCCAGGCTGTGCCTGTGACCCTCGTTTCTTTGCATTATACCTTTCCAGCCACGAGTGATAGTCAATCCTCTCGCTTTTACCTACGTACTGAATATCTTAATATCTCCAAATACTAGTACTCTGTGTTAGTATGAAGAGTATGGAGTGATGAGCGAAAGTATCCACAGTCACGTGCACCTTCTAGAGTCTTCCGTCCCGCGGCGCTTCAAATAGCTCTTCTCCCCTCCACTTCCCTCTTCTCCTTTCAATTCTTCTCAAGTCCGTTGATGTTTTTGGGCTTGATTGTCTGAACTGTAAGTGTGCAATTGCTCCATTCTACCCTCTTTGTCGAGTGCATGAAATTTCTGCACTCGAAAAATCTTCGGCCTTTTATGATGAGACTCCTAGCTGGCACCAGTCTGAGAGATGCTCTCACATCTCGTGCGGACCAAGCTCTACTAGTCCGGGATTACGCCCCAGGACCTGACAATTGGCCTCCAAACACGCTTCTGTTCATGCAAGAGTCGATCATTGGCTAACCTGGCGCCTACAGAATCTTTTCGTACTCGCAGCATAACAGGAGTTCCCTCCAGAATCATTTTCCTTATTGTCGATAGTCATCATGGTCCTCCACAACCCCAACAACTGGCACTGGGTCAACAAGGATGCCTCTGGCTGGGCCAAGGAGTACTTGCAGAAGAACCTGATCGGCCTCAGTGTTGAAGAAGGGGGCGTGTCCGCCCAAGTAAGCAAGCTATTGTCCATGGATGGCGACGTAGATGTCAGCCAGCGCAAGGGCAAGGTCATCACTCTCTTTGATGTCAAGGTGTCGCTAGAATACTCAGGTTTGTAGTCCAATATCAATTCAGTTCTATTGTCTTTTGTCTTGGTTTTCTGTCTTTTTTGCAATTTGAACTGGCAGCTGAAACGCTTCCATAGGTAAGACCAAGGACGATGAGGATGTCAGCGGCACCATCAAGATCCCCGAGGTAGCCCACGATACCGAGGAGGATGAGTTCGTCGTACGTTTCTTCCCCCATCCAAGGTGACCAAGTAACACTAACCCGTAGCCCAGTTCGAGATTGAGAACCACGCCGACTCCAACTCCAAGCAGCCCGTAAAGGATCTGGTGCGCACCAAGCTCGTCGCCAAGCTCCGCCAGGCCCTCGCCGGCCTGACCAGCGCCCTCATCACCGAGCACGGCAAGGACCTCCAGCACGCCCCTGGCGTCAACCCCTCCAGCGGCTTCACCAAGGCCACCGTCCACCCCCAGACCAAGGCCGAGCCCTCCGCCACCCAAACCTCCACCTCCAAGGCCGGCAAAGTCGCCGTGAACACCACCACCGTGACTGCCTCCGACGAGTTCCGCACCACCGCCTCAGAGCTCTACAGCACCTTCACCGACCCGCAACGCATCGCCGCCTTCACCCGCGGCCCGCCCCGCGACTGGGAGGGCGCCAATGTGGGCGCCAAGTTCGCCATCTTCGACGGCAACGTCACCGGCCAATTCGTCACCCTCAACGAGCCCAAGCAGATCGTTCAGACCTGGCGTTTGGCCCAATGGCCCGAGGGCCACTTCAGTTCCCTGGAGATCAACTTCGACCAGAACGACATCGACGGCGTCACTCAGATGCGTGTGACTTGGTCCGGCGTGCCTGTCGGCCAGGAGGATGTCACCAAGCAAAACTGGGAGATGTACTATGTCCGCAGCATCAAGCAGACCTTTGGGTATGTTCCTCCCTGAAATCCCTTTTGTCCTTTTGCCAATGTTGGCCTTTCGTCTGCAGATACAAATCGGCTTTGTCCTGGAATTACTTGCTAATTGTCATTTTTCTCGTTGGTTTAGCTTTGGCACTATTCTCTGATCGGCTGGCATGAAGGCAAAAATAAAGAAAAACGAACAAGAACTGCAGATCTAGTTGCGAGAGCGCAAGCTTCCATGCCTTTTCATTTTCGTGTCTCCTTTTTTCCACCTTGACCTTGCACTCTTGGCTAGGGTCGGGGCACAATGATGCTACGATAGAGGATGGTGTTATGCCTATGATAATGAATATAAGATTTTATTCGCTTCTGTGATGTACAATTGCACTGTAATCCTGTCTCGGATTGAAGACCCTCTCTATCCCCAGGTGTTTACCTAGGTATATATTCGTTCTTAGTGGAAATATATAGCAATGCACGTATTTTCATTCATCATCTATGTCATTCCTAAACGTCTTGATTTTTCCCCGATATCTATATTTTCAAGATCCGAGCTTACAGAGTGCGCTCGATGAGCTCGATGCCGTAGTCCTCCTTCAGGGTCTTGATGAGAGGAGCACAGATATCCATGGTCATGGGAGCAAGGACACCCTAGTTAAGTCAGTACCGTGGAAGTAGCAGTAAGGAAAATATGGGCACATACAGTCTGGGTAATAGTACCATCCAGGACCTGCTTAACAGCAACACCGCAAGGGACACCAACCAACTACAACCAGTTAGCACCGCGGACATGCCGACAGTAGATTATTGACAAACCTTAGCCATGGCAGAGTAACCGGCAGGGTTACCGTACTCGCACAGGGTGGAAGTGCGGGTCTCCTTGGAGCCGTCCTTGTTCTCGATCTCGAACTTGTGCTGCAGCATGACGAGATCACGCTCACCAGGGGCGTACTGCATCTTCTGCTCAAGGGTAGCGCAGAGGGTATCGAGGGCGTTTCCGCGGGGGATGGTCTGCTCATCGGAGAAGAGACCGATCCAACGAAGACCGGAGAGGAGACGGTCACGCTCCTCGTTGTTGGGGAAGTTGGTCTTGGAGGAAATGGCCCAGTGGAGGTCCTTCTCGGAAGAGGAGGTGGCGCCAAGAACCTGCTTGGTAGCCTCCTTCCATGAAGTGGCCTTGTCGAAGACGCTGTTGGGAGCATCGTTGAGGAAGCCAATGTCGACGAGGACCTTGATCATCTCGGGGAAGCCCTGGTAGCGGAGGGTACCGCGGACGACGGTCTGGGCCTCGGGGATGTTGTAGCGCTCACGGAAAGGAGTGGAGTCACGGTTGGGGTAGCCGACGAAGGCGAAACCGGGGTAGATGAAGAAGGGCTTGGCGGCAGCCATCAGCTCGGGGCCGTCAATGCTGACGATCTCACCACCACGGTAGATCTTGGCGGCGTTGCGGAGAGCAAGGAGGACACCACGGCTGTGTATTGGTTAGTAAATGGCTGTGGTTGGGTCATTGGGTAAGGGTTAAGCTGACCTAGACCAGGAGAACTATACAATCATCGTTAGTTATTGATCGAATTTGTGCTGGAATTAGGGGATCCCATACCTTGTATCCGAGAGGGTTGTTGGAGCACTCGGGGGCGGCTACATTCATCAATTAGTGTTCCATAGCGATATGACAATAGGTCATGTAACTTACGAACTAGAATTGTGGTTAGCAGAGCAGATACTAATGAAAAAACGGGGAGGATAACTTACGACCACCACAGAAAGAGATGAACTCGAGGATCTTGCCACCAGCAGCATGAACCTCGTCAATGGTCTTGACGGCGTCTGTTTTCAATCAGCAAAGGTCCTAGGAGGGGTGCTCGGTGATGCTTACAGAGGTGGTCAAGACCAGGGTCAAGACCAATCTCGTTCATGACGACAATGCCGGCTTCCTTGCAGCGCTCCTCAAGAGCCTGCATGGCAGGGGAGACATAGGATGTGGTCACAACGTTGGTCTGCAAAATAGATGAGTGTCTGTTGTCTGCATTCCCTGACTGAACGTACCTTGGTGCGGATAGCGGACTCGATAACGGTGGCGTGGAAGGTGTAAGGGATGAGGGAGATAACAACATCAGCCTGCTCGAGGGCCTTGTCAAGAGCAGCGGCATCGTTGACATCAAGGGAGATGGCCTTGGTGTTCTTGAAGCCGCCGGAGAGAGCTTGGGCGCTCTCGAGGGTACGGCAGGCTGGGATTGTTCGTCAACGAACTGCAATGGCAATTGTATATAAGGGCCGATTGATACATACCGACGGTGACCTCGACGTCAGCCTTGCTGAGAACCTCAACAGTGGGCTTGGTAACTAACAGCAGTTAGTCCTTGAAGCTCAGAATGCGGGGCATCCATGACGCAGAAGGATTCGGGTCTGAGGGACTCACCGAAGCCCGAACCCAAAAGGAGGGCCTTAGAACCGGCGATTTGCTTGACCATTTTGAATCAATTGATTTGTGATAGGATGTAATGGAAAGGTAGAAGAGAAGCCCTGTCCCTCAATTGTGGACCGATATGGGGGGTTGAGTCATAGTCACGTGTCCGGTATCGGCGTGGGGTTCGTATACTTGCGCTCATTGTAGTACATGGCAGATACATGCAGCTGCAGTCTGTTCGAGCACCAATGGTTGTATATGGAAGAATGCTATTCAGGGTTGCGGGCTAACTTGATAAGGCACTGTTGCTATCAAAGACATAAAGCCAAAGGATCAGCAGCAGTATCTGGACAGCCCATTCTTTCGAAGCCGAGGAAAAAGAAATTATAAAGTAGACATGTGATATGTATCGACACGATCATGCATGGATGAATATCAAGTAACCAGAAGAACGCCGCTGATGCAGAAACAGGCACAGGGTATATAAATGAGAGTTAAATGTCTTTGGCCTTTCCACCTTGACGCAGCAGCATGTCCATTTCTTCTTCGCCGGCAAAGTTCCCCTCGGCATCGGGGTCCTGCCGAGCCTTGGAGATCCGGCGCTGCCACCCGAGAAGCACTGGCAAAAAGTGCCAGAGGTCGAACTCGGGCCACATGACGTCCAAGAAAACGATCTCGGTGTTCTCGTGGGTCTGCCAGAGCATGAAATCGCTCAGGCGTTCCACGCCGGACGTGCGCACGAGGATGTCCAAGGGTGGCGTGCCCTTGGTGAGCATGTGATCGTTCAGCGTTTGACGGGTAATGGTTTCGGGGGAGATATAGAGGGGACTTTGGTTGTTGGCGGGTCGGTGGGGTGATCCTTTGGATTCGGGGCCGAGATGCAGAGTGGTGGAGGACGAAAAGGATGAGCCGGACTCGTATATACCACGGTCGTTTCGGGGGTGGTCGTCTTCCTGCGCGGAAGAGCTAGAGGTGGATTCGGAGTCGCTGGGCGTGTCGTATGATTTTGTCTGGGCGCGGATGTTGTTGGTAATGTGAGACTCCGAGAATGGAGTGCGAGCAGCCGTAGCAGCGGAGGGCGCCTGTGGAATAGGTGTGCTGTAGTCGTCGACCGTGTCGCGGATCGCGCCGGTGATTTCGTCGCGGGATGTATAAGGGAAGCAGATGTTGAGGACGCGGTCTCCGTTGCGGCTGGTCATATCGACGGCCTTGTTCACGGCCTCCAAAACATCCGGCTTGAGCAGGTCCAGGCGGCCTAGAACATCGACTCGGGCTCCGTATCGATCGAGGATGTCTCCGTGCTGGGCCATCTGCGACAGCTTCACTTTTGCGATTTCCATCAGCGCGTCCACCTCGAACTTGGACCGTTTGAAATTCTCGATGCTAAAGGCATATATCGTGACGACCTTGACTCCGCTCTTGTAGCACACCTCCAGGATCTACAGAGCATCAGTACGGCTTCTCTGGGAAAGGGGGATTCTTGTCGCGAAGAACCTCGCTCTCGCGATGCCACACTCACTCTTGCCAAAGCCTCAAACCCTAGGTTGTGTCCTTCGACCGTTTCAATTCCATGGGACCGAGCGAATCGGCGGTTGCCGTCCATGACAAAAGCGACATGTTGCGGAATAGGGCCCTGTTGGAGTGCGCCGATCAGCAGCTCCTTGAGGCTCGTAATGGCGTATTCGACGGGCGGAGATGAGAGGAACCAATTACGGAGACGGGACATATGCATTGAGCCCGACATTTTGAAGGTCCCTTAACTCCCGCGCTGGCAAAGTCGTGGGGAAGAAGAAGTGGAAACCGGATGCGTGAGAGAAGAAAGGTTGCGGTTAGCGGCTGGGCAGATCCGGAGAAAGGCGACGTGGTCTGTTATTTAACAAAACGACAATCCGGGCAAAATGCCAGGCTGCACTGTTTTCTGACGTGTTTCTATTTCAATTCTAGGGCAGTGGCGAGGCCCACGCATCAGCCAAGATCAACAAGTCAACCGCTAACATCGCAATTGGTTGAGATCCCCCGCTGGGGGAACGTTTCAGGCTTGGACCCTGTGCGTTGGTTTCTGTTGAGTCTCGCATCTGGTGCGAAGGACTAGTTTATCCTGGGCTACTTGTAGATGTAAATAAAGCGAAAACAATATTTGTTAAAACAAAACAGAGAGGATATCTTGCGGGGATATATAAGACAATAGATACACAGCTTCATGCTGAGCACAACACAGAATCAGGTCATCAAGGCAATTACTTCGGAAACTTAGAGATCTTTTCGGTTCTCCTCGCTGGAGGGCGTACCAGGACCGGAGCTGGCCATATCCCAGCTGCCGTCCTCGCTTCGGCGACGACGGCGCTCTCCACGTTCTCTCATCGCATCGCGAATCCGCGAGCTCACATCTTCCAAGGGGTCCTTCTGAGTGAGCGAACTCAGCGGCTTCAAGCCATGTCGAGATCCAGGTCGACCACTGGCAGAGCTGCTGCGGCTGCGATTACGGCTAGGAGGCCGTGTGGAGAAGAAGCCAATATTGGCCAGGTTGTGGAAGGACTCGTTGCGAGGCAAGGGCTCCGAAGTGGGCATCTTCTCGCTTGAATCGGACACACTGGATCTTCGGACCTCGGGCGGGCCGTGGTCGGGCACTTCTTCGATCTTGGTGGCTTCGCGGAAGGGGTCTGTGACAATGCGCGAGGCATCAAAGTCGGGGAACAACTCCGGTCCCATGGTATTGATGGCATCGGTCACCTGTTGCGCCAGGGCAGCACGCTTCTCTCGGAGTCTGACAAGGGTGTTGGCCGATGAGGGATTCAAGGACAGAACGAGAGGACGGAGTGACTTGATGATGTCCATGCCAACCTCGCCAATTCGGAGAGCTGCAAAGGTGATGGTGGGGAAGAGGACCATGCCAATCACGACCACCGACCATAGCGGCACCCAGTCGGGAACCATGCCATTGACTCGGTTCCAGTAGGTCCAATAGGTGAAGGCAGCGGTGTAGAAGGCGTAGAGAGCCGGGGCAAATGCGAGTGCAATCAACAGTTTCCAGGTCGCCATGACATCTCGGCCCTGAAGTTTCACCGTAGAAGCAGCCAGGGCTTCCTTGGACTTTTTGGCCGAGAGATGTTTGGTAGCAATGAACACGGGAGTGAAGAGGAGGAAACCGGGGAGGGTTCCAATTGCCAGAAGCGCCAACTTGCCGAGGCGATAGATCAGAGTCGCGACCACTTGCACAATGGAGAACTTGGCGTAGGCGACTTGGTGATCCCGAATGCCGAGAATGCGAAGTGACTTGTTGTATGACACAATAGCTCTGCGCAGATCAACAATTCGAGGGTCGTCTTTGAAGTGGGCGTAGCCTTTCACGAGACGGCGGTTCAACTCGACAACCATGGGCAGAGGAAGCTTCTTGCCCTTGGTGTTGTACAGTCGACGCGCAGCTTGGATGACCTGTTATCCATTAGCGGAGTCCGCTCTCAGTGCTAGGAAGAAACCTACCATCAGAGTCTCATAATCGGGGCTGGTGACAGTGACTGAGACAAGGCCTCCATAGATGATTTCTAGCAGAGCTCCTACAGACTCTCGGCGTTCACCTTGCTTGAACTGTTCCACCAGCTCTGGAGGAACATCAATCGGGGTACCAAATTCGATAACGGCTCGAGAACGGAACTTGTGGGCATGGAAGTAGTTCATGCCACATGGGACGATCTTCAAGCCACAGTCCGGGTTCTCAGCAAGAGTTCCCAGGGCCATGAGAGCCACACCAGCTGCGTGCTATTAGAAAGGAAACGCGATTCACTTGGAGGTACATACCTTTCAGAGGAAGCAGCGTAGTCCTGTCATGACTTCCACCCTCGGGGAAAATTCCAACGCAACCTCCGGAGCCGAGTCGTTTGAAGACTGCCTGGTAGACCGCGGTCTGGTCAACATGCGGCGCAACCTTGAACTTGGTGCCCTTGAATTCCGCGTTATCAGATGCAGTTCCCGTGAAGTTGCCCTCGCTGTCGATGTCTTGCCGCCCAGTCAGCTGAACGAGAGCATCTCTGGCTTTAAATGGTTTCTTGAGCACCAGTTCCTCTGGCCCTCGGACCTCCGCGATCGCCGTACTGTGTGATGTTCCGTTGACCGTGGGCAGCGCGATTGTGCCATCCTTCTCGAATGGCTTCCCCTCGAAGTTTGTTCCCACGCCTCGTAGCAGGGTTGGCTCGTTGATCGGGTCGGGGAGATAGATGGTGCCGGTTCCTGGTTTCAAGTTGTCCATCGCACGGGCAACGGGCAGTGTTCCAATGCCTCGCGCCAGGAAGCCGATGAACTTGCGCCGGAAGGATTTCTCCGCGATCAGCCATGAGATCCGTCGATGCGCCTCACTGCGGATGACGCGCATCAACACCAAGGAATCGACGAACTGTCGCGCACACCCGGGTTAGTCACATGTCACATCTTTCGCACGTCTCGCACAGCTCCGGAAGCGGGCGGCTTACCTGGTTCGCGTGGGGAGCAGCCACCAGAATGATGGGACCGCGTCGAGGGATCTTCCATGATCCGCGGGGATGGACTTCGCGGAAGAACAGGTCGATGAGCACGGAGAAGGACCACAGGACCAGATCGTACATCCACCCGACTAGGGGTGGGATGTAAGGGCCCTTGTCTCCCATGATGTCTAAGCCAGTATGTAAAAGTCGTACTGTACTCTGTAGGTCATAAAGTGAGCTTGGGCCAGGAGAAAAAGAAAGGGAAGAGATCAGGTGAGGAATTTCGAGTTCTTAGCGTGTCGTTTTCGGACGCTTCTAGAACAGGTTTATTTCTAGCCCGGCTATCGACGCACTTGATTTCTACTGTTTGCTGTACGCACTGCACTTTACTATTCCCAACGTATATATGAGTTTGGCATATGCATAATGTTGGGACATCCTGCAGCTATGATTTAAGCCCGAGCCTATCGAATCTACCTAGATACTCTAGGAGTAGGATCTACTCTACGAGTACTAGTAGTACGAAGTATAGAATCTAGAATAAACAAATGATCTACAATAAGAACGAAACAATCGGATTAAAACGAAAAAAGAAAAAGGAGTGTCCACTGCTCACCCCGCCTGCCCCGCAAACCCTTTCTTTCCATCTGCACCTCCCTCTGACAACAATGTCTCTCAAGTATGACCTTCACGACCTACACTGGATCTCACACTGACTGCCCAGTTGGGTAATGCTTCAGGATGCCGAAGGCTTCGTCCGCCTCCCCAACGAACGTCTAGTCTACTCATCACCTCCCCGCACCACCGTGTCCATCACCCCACCGTCCGGATACAAAGGCGGAGAGGCTTTATCGATCCAAAGTAGCGCTGGCTGCATTTATCTCACCAACCAACGAGTGAGTGCGTCAACCCCGATCCCGGCACGCGCGTTAACCCCGATTAGGTGGTCTACCTACCCGCATCCAAAACCAACGACTTCCAGTCCTTCTCCTCCCCACTCTTGAATGTCCGTGATTCCCATGTCTCAGCACCCTTCTTTGGTCCCAATGTCTGGACTGCGTTGGTCCAGCCCGTCTCCGGGGGTGGCATCTCAGCGTCCCTCCCTGCCGTGCAGATGAAAGTGACTTTCAAGGAAGGCGGGGCCTTCGACTTCCACACCAACTTCGAGCGAATCAAGGAGAGAATGCAACAGGCTGTTGAGAATACAAATGAGGGCTCTCGAGGGCAGCAGACGGTGGACCTCTCCGCGGTCCATCTGGAGGACCTGCCGGCGTACGATGCGCCGCCTCAAGCCAACCAAGAGATCAGACCCGAGGAGACAAGAGAGGCGCCGCCTGATAGCCGGCCTCCGGATGCGAATGCGGATCCAGTCGAGCCCCCTCCATGCTATGAGGAGGTTCAGTCGCAAAGCGTGGCGCATGAGCTAGAGGAGAGGCTGCGACGAGCCAGCTGATGGCTCGTCCTTCCCTTTCCTCTTTGATTTTCTCTTTCTTGATACCAGACCACTCCAATACTCACCATAATATTTTATTTCACTCTCCGAGGAATCTTATCCCCCAATGTACATTATGCCAATTAGCGAGAAAAGCGGTGCCCTGTTGAACCTAGAATCACGCTTTCATAGATGAGAGACTGAAGATGCCAACTCGACATGCAGAATTAAGCCCCGGGCATGAAGTAGTATAGTAGAAGTGATGCCAGAATATCAAGTGACAGCCAATGTTGCTGGCCAATCACGTGCGGCATAATTGTCCTGGCTCAGCGGCCGGGCCTTTCCGATTTTCCAGTCCGAAAGAAGCAGCTCTTGGAAAACCAACATCCTCCACTTCCAACCCCCTTCAGTTCCCCACCACACCGCATCCTCCGGTCATCATTCAATTGATCCCTGTCGCAATGGGTCTCTCCGATTTCTTCTCTGACGTCGTGTCCTCCTGGGGCTTCGAAGCCCAGGCTGAGGCTCCCGCCCAAGACACCGAGACCGAGTCCACCCCCCAGGACGAGCCTGCCGAGAAGGAGTCCACCGAGACTGAGTCCGCCGAGGAGACCCCCGCCGAGGAGTCTTCTGAGGCCCCCGAAGAGGAGGAGCCCGAGGCCGAGGCCGAAGAGGAAGAGGAGGAAGAAGAGGAAGAGGAAGAGGAGGAGGAGCCCGAGGACATCAAGCCCAAGCTCGAGGAGGGTAAGTGAATCTGATCTGTTGTTGTCTTGTCCTTGGCCTTAGTCTGTGCCGTGCGACCATGGAATTGGTGGTCGTTCGCACTTCCTATGTGCCAGGGTCACCATGGGCTGGATTATCGCCAATGGCACCGCAAAGACAGGCCTTGCTCGATCATTCGATCGATCGCTAATATCTTATACAGAGTGCGCTCACTCTTCCGTCTGCGCCCCTTACAAGCACCACTACGACGAGTGCGTTGAGCGCGTCACTCGCCAGGAGGAGGCCGGTGATGACTTCAAGGGTCCCAAGGAGGACTGTGTCGAGGAGTGTAAGTGCATTGGAATTGCAGTTTCCAACAGATCATTCAATCACCCTGAATCGATCTCATTTTCGAATGTTGGGACCGTGCGACTAACGCCATTTTTAACAGTCTTCCACCTCACTCACTGCGTGACTGCCTGCGCTGCCCCCAAGCTCTGGAGGGAGCTCAAGTAAACCAATCTCATGAACTGATTTCGGCGCTCCAATATCGTATCGGTCGGCTCGAACCACGATTTCACCCTCGATACGAACCATTCACGATTGGACCGCAATGCCGAAATCCCAGTCCCGTTCTCTTGATGGTTACCAAGGTCCATTGATGGCCCGGTAACCTGCCGTCTATTGAGATTACAGGATTGAGCACGAAATTCCCAGCCAAATGACGTGTTTCTGCTCGTTCCTTGTGTATGTGTGCGCATATTGTGTTTTCAGGGCAGGGAGGAGGGCTCCGAGGAAGCACGAAAGAATAATAGATACTTGCCCTCCTCTGCCTTGCATGTACAGATAGCTGGTCTTCCGCATCAAACTGTGCTTTTGTCTGTTTTAAAACGAATCTCATCTGTATTTTCTAGTTTGACTGTGCACTGGTAGGCCGGGCTTACCCGCAATCAGCCCATCGGCTTAGGTAGTGGGGATCCATCCCTGGATTCGAGATCGCTTTGCGCACTTCATCTTGTCGTGTTCCATTCACTAACTATAGATATCTCAATTCACATCGGATCGTCCGGCTCGAACACAAGTATACACGCTAACAAACATAAAACATCTGGACCCATCAAGGGCGCTATTGGTCCCTTCGCTGCTGATGTGAGCTCAGCCGAAAGATGACTCGTGGACGCTCGACCTAAGACTTGATCAAAGTCTCAGTATCACCCCCCGAAGCAATCTTCTTGACCTGATCATCAAGAACAGACATCTGGTCCAGCTCCACGCCACGATCAACATCCAGTCTGCGCCTCTGCACAACCCTGAACAAGCCAATCGTGAGAGCAAAGGGTGCCGCCACACACGCCACCACAGCAGCGAAGATCAGGGCATTCCGCATATTCAAAGGCGGACGCGCATCATCCCCAGCCTTCAACGCATCCTGAATCAGAATGAAACACGCACCAAGCAACTGCCCACCCGTCCAGCAGATGGTGCTCCCTATCTCCGGGGACAGCGGATACGTGATTTCCGCCAGATACTCCAGCACCACGGGCAGGAGTGCAAATGACGATGCACCCAGCAGAGCCATCACGACATATGATGGTGCGATTCCTGCTGCGCTGGACGGCGAGAATATCAGCCCTATATACGTCGCTGCTACGATGGGGACTAGCACGCGGATGCTGCCGAGATAGTGCTTGTAGCGGTCTGTGATTGGGGCGATGATTGCAGCGGTTACCAGACCGACGACGATTAGTATGGCTCCTGCGATCCCGGCTTCGGTCTCGGTGAAGTTGTACGGGCTGAGGATTTGGTTCAGCAGCGAGGAAACGCTGTTGAAGAATCCTACATACACCGCGAAGGGGATGAGGATTTGCCAGAATTCCCAGGTCGTGATGAGCTGGCGGACTGCGACGCCTAGGGGCGTGTGTGGCTCTGCTGAGGAGGCACTTGCTGGTGTGGGTGGTGAGGCTGGAAGGAAGAATGATGGAATGGCTGCGACGCTGGACTGGGATTGGGGTTAGTGGTGATGCGAGGTAAGAGTGTCCATGTCCAACATACAATGATGGAGATATATAAGACCATGTTGGGGATGTCGGATGGTTTGGTGGCCCATTCAGCATCCACGAGTTGACCCAGGGCTGCGCCGAGGGGATTGGCCAGACTTGCGACGGCGGTTGCGCTGGTTCGACCTTGATCGGAGAACCAGAGCTCGCTGTAGCGGGTTGGAGCGCAGAGGCAGAAGGGTTGAGCGAATCCGATTAGGATTTGACCGAACATGGCCAGGCCGAAGATGCCCCCATTTGCTCGCGTGCCTGCATACCGAAGCCAGTTGCCCACCAGGAGGAGACTGGCGGTGATTACTATGGCGGGCTTGGGGCCACCTTTGTTCAAGATCCAAATGACCAGACTGATCCTGATTAGCGCTGTATCTCATGGCGCTGAATCACTCACGGGCTCACGACGCCAAAGGCGAAGAGGTAGCCGGTGCTCATCCAATTGATTGCGCTTTCCGAGACATCGAAGTACTCCGCGGCTGTCGTGGAGATGGACGAGAACGTCAGCCACTATGCATGCATTAGTTCTGCTCGGTGGATGGGGTCAAGACCTACATCCCAACTGACGACGATGTTCAGCAAGACCAGCTGGGCCAGACCCCAGAAGCGACGCTTATAGACCTTGTAGATCGGTCGACCGCCAGTCTCAAGATCCGACATGTTCGACAGAGATGTGACAGAGCATAGTGCGGACACGGGGGCAACAAAGGGTCACATCTGAAAAAGAGAGTCGAGTACTTGGCGGTACCTGGCAGCTCAGCTGTGACGTTAGAGGTGCCAGGTACCGTTTCGGTACAGCGGGGGTCCTTTGTGTTACATTTCTTTACTCTTCTCTTTACTCTATAGTTTATAGTCTATACCTAGGTATATATGTAAATATATACTCCTTGCTCTTCCCTTACAATGTATTGCATTGCTACTAGGTATATATGTTTATATTTAATCGCCATCTTCTCGTATCCTACACGGTGTCCGCTATACTCCCAAAAAAGGGAGTGGACCTCTCGTATACTCGTATCAACTGGGCATACCTAGGCAGTAGATCCTAACTAACACATCAGCCGAGGGACGAAGGAATACATCATACTCCGTACATCACTGCAGAGGTTGGCCAAACCTAAAGGGGTGCGCCGATCGCGAGGCTGGTTCTCCTTCACTTCCCGCCATTTAATTTCTCGGCCTTTTATTAACCTACCCCGTTTCGCTTCGAGGCAATGCGCCGCTGATTTGACTTTGACACAATGGACGGCAGCATGCGCTCCAGTGTGTCTTCCTACGGGGACCCGCGCTACCTGTCCACAGCGTCCGCCTCAACCCCTGCTCCCGTAGCGCCGCTGGGAAAGTCGCTGGTCGACGGGTACCGGGATTCCCTCGACCCCCAAAACGACGATAGGACACGATACAATCCGGTAGGTGGACAGACCCGAAACGCATGAATCGCGCTAACCAGGCGTTGTGCAGCTGAACACTGCCCACCCCCGAAGCTCGGCTCTCCTGAACGCCAACGACCCCGTGGCCCTGTACCTGTTGACCGAAACCGCAATCGGCGACAGCACCAACTATGAAGTCTTGTCCTTTGAGGAAGTGGAGAAGCTGAAGAAAGAGGCAACCGTGTTGTCGAGTCGGATCGAAGGCACAAAGCGGAAATTGGCGCTGGAGACAAAACTACGGGATGCCGCCCAATCGCTGGGAAGGCTGTACAGCCCGCCTAGCCCACGCAGCAGCGGCGAGTATGCCGACAATACACACCGGAGGAGTCGGAGCATCTTTGGTCGGAGTGGGACGTCCGCGGCTCTCGACAAGAGCGATTCAGAGCTTGCGGTGAGCCAGCGGCGGTGCGAGCAGCTCGCGCAGGAACTCTGGAAGCTGGAAGGGCGGGCTCAGAAGATCGACCGTCGGTTGCTGGAACATACGGCGGGTGTGCTTCAGATGACACACAAGGGGTTAAAGAAAGGACCTAAGAACGCCGTGGACAACACTTATGACGGACATGAATTCGACGACCGAAGCCTCTACCGGACCAACGAACACTTGGATAGCTTTGGGGTACACGGGAAAGTTCAGCATGGCACGGCCCCGGCAAACAACGAAGCGATCCAGGCATTGGAGAGGCGACTGGAGGATCTCAGCGAGCGCATGCACGACATGATGATCCATGCCAATCCCGGTGAATTTATCGATCCTCCTCCGCAGATGTCAAGAGAAGGCGGACCCGTCACACCGAATGGCACGGCCGACGCACACTTGGCCTACATTAAAAATGCCATGGAAAGCATCGCCATGCACAAAGAGACCGACCGCGCTGCTCCCGTGGCCGAGGTTGCCCCTGAAGCGGAAGGTGCATGGAAGTACCAACTCACCGAGATCAATAATCGAGTACAGGTCATCGTGGATCGCTTTGGCCTGACCCGTTCTCCGACACTACCTCCGCCTCCGGATGCTACGCATGGCGAGGGTCTGGAAGAGCAGCTTGCCTACCTCCGCACCGGTGTAGACGGACTCGAAACTCGAGTCGAGGGAGTCCTGGAGCAGAAGAGCATTCTCACCACGCAAATTCAACAGCAACGTGAACTCAACTCCAAGTCAGACGCGGAACGAGATGCTCACATCGGCGACTTGACTGAACAATTAAGCCATGTTCGAAAAGACCTCGAGGTGTCTGAGCGCGAAGCCAACGCCAACCGCGACGAGCTGGCTCTGGTGATGGATCAGCTAGAGGTCATGCGCAATAGTGGCTCTTCCCAAGAAGAGTCCAAGGCTGCCCTGGTGAAGGCAGAGGGTGAAGTTGCACGCTTGCAAAGTGTCCTCACGTCATTGCACACCGAAGCCGACGCCAGGAACGTCGAGCTTAGCGAGGCTCGGGACGCACACGAACATGCAGAAGCTGAGCTTAAGCGTCTTCATGCCGATCTGGATGCATTGCAGAGAGACCATGAGGCTCGGTCCATGGAGGTGAGCGATGCCCGTGACCGCGCCGAAGGCGAAGCCAAGCAATTGCATCTGGAGGTCGAGGCATTGCGAGCCGCTTCGAGCTCCAAGAACGAGGAGGCTATCGAGGCCCGTGATCATGCATTGAGCGAGGTTCAACGTTTGGAGGCCGTCATCGTTACCATGCAACATGAAGCCGATTCTAAAACCGAAGAAATCATCGAGGCTCGTGACCATGCAGAGAGCGAAGTTCAGCGCTTGGAAGCCGTCATCGTCACGATGCAGCATGAGTCCGATTCCCGGTCTAAAGAAATCAAGGAAGCTCATGATCGCGCGGAAGATGAAGTCCAGCGATTGCAGGTCGAAAATGAAGCTCTGCGGAATGACACCGGCTCTAAGAGTGAAGAGACCAAGCTGGCTCTTGACCGTGCAGAGAGTGAAGCTGAAAGGCTGCAGGCTGTTATAGTTTCCATGCAGCACGAATCCGACTCTCGATCTACAGAGGCCAGGGAGGCCCGAGATCACGCGGAAAGCGAGGTCCAGCGTCTTGAAGCTGTGATTGTCACGATGCAGCACGAGTCCGATTCCAGAATGAAGGAAACCCAGGATGCTCATAATGACGCCCAGGATGAAGTTAAGCGCCTCCAGGCTGCAATCGCCACCTTGCATAACGACAGCAGCGCCAGCGAGGACCTTAAGGAGGCTCATGGTCGTGCTGAGAACGAAGTCCTGCGTCTACAGGGCATCATCGAAACCATGCAGAATGACAGTGGTGCTCGATCCGAGGAGATCAGTGGCGCGCGTGACCGCGCAGAGCAAGAAGTGGCCCAGCTTGAAGCCGCTATCCAGCAGATCCGCAGCCAGTCAGACGAACGCATCCAACAAGCGAACAGTCAACGCGCGCAATCGGACGAAACTGCAGCTCGCCTGCAGAATGAGATGACCGAGCTCGAGGGCGAGATTGTGCGGGTCACCACAGAACTGACCATGGCCAAGGCAGAGCTGGACGGTGCGTACGGCACCAGGGCCGAGCGTGCCGCAGCCACCGATCCTAGTATCCAGAAGGAGAACGATGCTCTAGTTACCCGGAACATCGAGCTTACTGAAGAATTGGCTGTGCTCAAGAGCCAGCGCGGAGGCGGCGATCTTCAGCAGCGAGCGGATACTCTCGAACGGGAGCTCCGCGAAACCATTGACGACTACGAGGCCATGACCAAGGCTAGCATTGAGTTTGAAAAGGAACGTGAGCGTTTCGAGGGATTCATTGACAGTCTCCGGGATCGCTGCGAGCAACTGGAAACACAGCTGGCGGAGGAGCGGATTAGCTGGATGAACTTGAGTAGTCCCACTTCTGTTGGCCGTGACGGTGCTTCCGAGACCACTTCGACCATGGTGCTGAAGAATGAGTTCAAGAAGATGATGCGTGATACGCGCAATGAGAACATGAAGATCCTGAGGGTGAGTCCTAGATTAGTCCTTCGGAAATCTTTTCACTAACACCTCCTAGGCCGAACAAGAAGAGCGTCGGAGGATTGAAGGGCTGCTACGAGCCCTCCGAAAGGAGCATGCACAGGTCACTGGCAAACCCCTGGCCAGTCCTGGCAGCACTCCGTTATGATGACCATGTGAAGTGTGTACATTTAATAGACTGCGTTGTATGATATTTGGCAGGCACGATGCTTTAGACGACATACCTGTTTTTGGCTTCTCTTCTCAATATGACTTATGGATATCTTTGAGGCTTCGCTCTTTTGCCGATATGAATGCCCGTGGTTCTAGTAACACTCATTCGCAGTTCTTCTCGGCATCGCAGAGCCTTCGTCGCAAACGCCCCGTTGCTTCGGACTCGACATCGCCATATCTCGACTCACTCGGATCTGCCCAAAGCGATGAAGCATCTATATTTGACGCCATCCGAGTCGTCACACCAACACCAGATAAACAAAGCCTTCGTTTCTACGCCTCGCTGAACCAAGCGAGCCACGTCCATGAGCGTGGATTGGCAGTGAACCTGGCTAGATTCGTGCCCACAGACCCTCAAGCCTCGTCCGTCGTCAGTGATCTACCAACGCAAAGACAGATATCGGGATCAAACCAAGGTGACCACCGCAAGATACTCTCCGATCAGAACTGGCACGCCCCAAGACCCAGAAAGCCCGGCCCAGGACCGACTAGCCTCCGAGCTCCTCGCTCCCTACATCGCAAAGCAGTCTCTCTCGGTGGGACCGATAATCCTCGCGGTCCAAGATGGCCCGGCCCTGCCCAACCCGCTGTTGTTCTCGTCCAGCCCCGATACCCACCACCAGAACGAAGTCCCACACCACCTGGTCTTCCCTCATTCGGTTCTCCAGAAGCCATGCGATACTCTGCACGTTTTCTGATGAGAGATACGGGCGCCCGTGCCCGTGGGAACGTTGGTCCCGATCCCCAACGCAGCTCCTACAGCGAGGCTATACGGCGATTCTTCGGCCTATCAACACCAACGCCGCGTGTCGACGTGCGCTCTGTGACAGGGATAGGGAGAGCAGAAGATGGAACAATGGTTCAGGGTCGATTCCCCGTTCGACAGAGTGGCCACGGGACCAATGTCGTTCGATCACTGCACGATCATCCATTCCATCATCGTGTTCCGCATTCTCGCTACGAATATACAAATGCCCCTCGTGCTTCTGTCGAAACTGTTCGTAAAAGAAACCCCGATCGACGCCCGAGGTCCTTGGAACCTCATCTGTCTAGACGATCTTCGCGGACTTCTGGGTGCAGCTTCTCTTTTCCGTCGAACCCAACATCAGCTGTGGTTGCGGGTCCGCGTCCACCGAGACCTGTTGCAATTCACGGGCTTCCCCGGGATTTGTCTGCGCCTATCGGTTCACCCAGGACGTCAGTATACCCCGAACATTCCACTCCAGCCTCTCAAAATGCAGCTCGTTCCTCCGTTTCATCCCGGATGCAATCGGTCTTTTCGGCTGTCTCTGAAGACGGTGTGAGCGATTCTCATGAAGATACATCTGTCTATTCAACTCTTGTATCGTGGATCAAGATGCAACCTTGTCATTGCTGTCTGGGTGAAGTTGAAGAACCTGATGATTCTCTCGCTATCGTCGCCTCCCAAGATACATATGTGACTGCCAGAAGTCAGGTATCGCCCACCGGGTCTCAGAATGGGAGTGTTGAGGAAAGTCATACGCAGACCCGTGGACTTCAGACATGGGTCAGGTCTGTGTATAGTGTGATGTTCCCGACACTCGTGAATCCTGCCACGATTTGATCTCTTGTTCTCCTAAACTGTCCTAAATTCTTCGGCGTTCGTGGCTATGAATTATATTGATACCACCACACGGGTTATTATTACCCAGACGTACCATGCCGGGGTCTTTCATTGTACATTGTCGTCTCAGCTATTACTACTCGGAAGGTAGCAGTGAAGTCCATTCTTCCAATTTTCGAAGTTGAATAGCTCGCTGCTATTGGTTGTAGTCACAAAAGAGAATAGAAAATATCATTAAACGAGTGTGCCACTGGGCATTAGTGTTCGAATATAGTTCAGACAATCGATGTGTCGATCTCACAACATGTAGAGTCGAAAAGGCAAGACAACCACATCATTTATGACCCTTACTCATCTTCACATCCTTCCAAGCCTGAACCCCAACAATCCCCAAAACCACCAAAAACAACGAAATCAGAATAAACGTCTTCGAGACCAACGCGCACGATCTCTGCGCACTCTCCCTTCTCTCCCTCCGATCTTGCTGCCGATCACACTCAGCACAGTGCGTATGGTCTTGGCCCGTCAATTCAACAGGATCACTGTGATGACCATGTTCCACATCTGGGGTATATGCGTCGGCCTGGTCCACCATCGCATACTGGTTCAGATTAGCTGTGTTCTCGTTTTGCTGTATTCGCACTTACGCCGCGTGAGCTTCCCTGGAAGAGATCGTCGTAGGCGGGGGCTGCTTCTGTTGGCTTCATTGTTTACTGTAGATAGTATGATTGTGAGAAGGTCAAGAAGTCAGCTGCAGGCAACAGGTTTGGGGATCTATTGCTAGCGTTTCCTCTTTGGGACTAGTTATCTTGGCTGATGTATATGTGGGTTTTGTCGATCTCTTAGTATCTTCGTTGGCTTTGTACATATTTGATGAGGTTGAGTTGGTTTTGGCAGAGTATGTCATTGAACTGCAATAAATGTTAATTCTGACTCGACCCTTGAAGGTTGGGTATGTTTCCAAGGTCCGGAAAGAGAAACCCTTATGACAGAGAGATGTATATGTGTAGACTAATTCTGAATCTCAGCCCTGGAGATGTAAATTCAACCCCTACCTAGGTAATCTTCTTTACATTTAGGAGTAGAGGAGTATCAATAGGGTTCTAATGAAGAAACACCCAACTAGAATAGGAAGGTTGATGCCTGAAGTTTGCCTGAACAGGTCCATCAAACGCAATACGCCAGATACCTCTGATTAATATAGAACCCTTAGCAAAACTAAGTCACTCTTGTATGAATTACCATTTTATACAGTAGAGTCAACTCCCAAAGTTTCCATCAAATGCCATTCTCCAACATTTTTTTTCATCTTTGCCTATTCGTATCATGGAGTGAAGTGTTGACGATCTGGTAGATTAATTAGATCCCAGGGAGTCGAAATTGGCTCAAAAAGACTGGATTGGAACCTCCATGGTGTATTTTTGGTAATCCTGGTATTTTTTGAATATCAAAAACCTCGAATTTGACCTGATTTGGGCAATTTTGACTATGGTGTCCCTTGCAATTCTGCCAGCAGTTGCATGTAATCCAATACGGTGCCTAGTAATTATGGCATCAACCTTCCTATTTCAGTTGGGTGTTTCTTCATTAGAACCCTATTGATACTCCTTCTGGTAAGATAATGATTTACTAGGTTAAAGTGATACACCTGTCTTATTACGGTACTCAGGTATGGAGTCTGCGGGGTATTGGGCATGATCCTGCAAACAACCTTGGAAGGCAAATTATTGGAGTTGGGAGATTCCGGTGTAAGATGTCCCTCCACCACTTCCCCAAGTGACAGAACTGCCTATGCTAAGGGGCTCCCCTCTTTCATCGATCCTTGCCAGTTTCCGAGACAGCTCTTTCCTTCGCCATGGCTGAAAAGGCCCATCTACGGGAAAGTCCACCTGGGCATATTGCTATGATGACTACACCATTGGAATTATCTCTACCAGCGTTGCAACGACGGCCACTGTCCTTGCTATCCAAGACCAGACCCATCCATACCTGCCAATACCTTGCAATCATTCGATTGACTATGAACTAGGAAGTAGCCGTGGTCATAATGTTGTGGTCATCTCTCTTGCGGCGGCAATGGGTGGCTCGGCTGCTGCAACCATTGCAGTTATTCGAATGCTCTCTACCTTTAAGTCAATCCGTTTTGGCTTAATAGTAGGTATCGGAAGTGATGTCCCTAGCAGAGATGCTGATCTTCGGCTGGGTGATGTTGTGCTCAGTCTACCAATGGCCAATTTTGAGGTAGTTGGGCAGCGGGCTTCTGGAAGGATTGTGGAAGAGGGTCGCTTTCAGCAAACTGGCATTTTGAACAAACTGCCTCAAATTCTACTCAGAGCGATCGGGAAGCTACAAGCTGATTCCATGATCAATGGGAGCAATATATCAGCCCGTGTATCAGAAATCAGGGCGATAAACCCACACTTAGGTCGCTTTAGCCGCCGTGGCCGCCCACAAGATCGACGTTTCGAAGCGCACCATGACCATGTCGGCCCAGAAGAGAAGTGTGATGACTGTGATAAACAAAGGCTAGTCATTCGGAATGTTCGAGACACAGATGAGCCACAAGTTCACTACGGTCTACTCGAATCTGGCAATCAGATGATAGGACATGATCCTATCAGAGACAGGATGGCTCAATGGCCTAGAATAATTGGCTTTGAGACGAAATCTGCAGCCTTGATGGATAACTTTCCATGTCTGGTGGTTCAGGGGAAATGTGACTACGGGGATTCTCATCGCAATTATGAATGGCACAAATACGCGGGAGTAACGGCCGCGGCCTATGCAAAAAGTTTACTGGCTATCATCTAGTTCAACTGTTGAAAAATATGAAGAATGGATTGTCCAAAGAGATTGAAGGCCAAATAGTTGATCATTGAAAGATCATCTCAAGAAGTCACTTAGGGCAACCAGCAGCATTTCTTGCTCCGTCACTTTCAATTGAAGACGGAAGAAGAGGTAAGAAGTGGCACCGCGGTGGAATTCCCCTTCTTACTGCCATTCGCAATATCTTAGCCCGAACTCCTCGTTCCCAGGGATTATGATCATGATGACTAGATTCCCTAGTCAGTTGTTTCATTCCTCCGGAGCTATTCCTCGAATAGTTCTCCGAGCCCGCTGTGTACATTTTCCTCGGAGCCCTTATCAATCTGGATGGCAGTAGGATGGCAACTCTGCAGCTGGACCAAAGGGCTGTCGAATCTCAGACACATTAAGCTCCCGACTTCTGTTTTCTTTCCTCTTCAGAAATGATCCTCGAATCATCGAAATCTCATATGCCGTGAGGCCAGTGTGGCTCCTGCTGAACATTGTTTCTAAACTCCTCAAATATCTGAAACAGGTCCATATCTTCATGACCGAGGAAAGAACTATCCATGGCCGCCAGATCCGATATGCTCTGTTCACCATTATGAAGAGGATCCTGTCTCAAAGATTGGATTTCAGGCTCGAGAAGAGTATATGGCAAGCACTCTAGATCAAGTAGATCCGGGACCGCTTGATCTGATTGTATCGTCGATATTTGTGACCCATCTGGATTGATCGCGGTGGAAACATCGACGCCAAACACATCTTGATGAGATATCGAATCCAATTCATTTGGTAGCGCAGACTTCACTTTCCACCTGGACGCCAAGTCCTTTATGACCTTGATACTTTTTTGGGAACGGGTGGTCCAATGACGACCTAACCGACTCAATAAGTAGAGACATTTGCGTATTGACGTTGTGCTGTATCTTCGGAAAGAGGGTGATTTGGTGGTGGTGTTCATCAAATGCACGATTGATGCACTTAACAAATGATGTATGATGAGTGGGTTGGCCTTCTGAAAGCCATATCCTTTGCAATATTCTTGTATCAAGCGGAGCATGGATGTTGCAGCAGATGTAAGTGATTGTAATACCACAGTCATCAACTTGGCTGTCTCGGGGCTTTTCTCTTTTTTCTTCGCGAACAGTCGCAGAAATGGAGGCATTGTGAGCAGTATAGCCATTTGGTAGCTCATGTGAAAGAGCAGCACTGGTTTGGGATTTGTTGCCCGGGCGAGATTGAGTTTTGGGTCGTGAGAGCGCAGGAATTTATCGAGGTCTTCCTGGGTTGACAGTAAGAGGTGGGCTTGGTCGTCAGTATTAAGACCGTCGAATGAAGAGGAGAATCTGAGTTGGTCTTGTCAGCAACATCCTGTCAACCTTGGAAGCCACTTGACTTTCTACATACATTTCATCCATCCTTTGATCATGCATATACCACAATCTGCACTGCCAGGCGAAAGAAAGTTGTGCCAAAGTCGCTGTCTCACTTGGGAAGAGCTTCTCTACAGGCGGTACATTGACTCTTCGCCATGGGAGCATGCAGTTCCTCCCCAAGATAGAAATGGATGTTCGATCAGTCATGTAGAATGACCAGAATGTCTGCATCTCTGCAATTCCTGATTGCGATGAACCTGCATCGAACTCTCCGAGTGCAAGAACGTGCAGGCGCAAATGGACAGCCATTCCAGCAGCCATTGACAAAAACGTCCAACCAAAATGGTCATGTCCTAAGGCCAAAGACCGCCACGATAATATCACCAGAGCTTGAATCACGTATATTGACGGTGATGTTCGGAAGCACTTGAAGACAAGACTTTCACTCAGCTCAGCAAACCGATCGCTCAACTCAATTGAGTCCGACTGATTGTCGAAGGTTGCTCCTGCTGCTAACATAGCGGCGTGCAAGAGCAGTCGATCTAGGCATTGGTGTGAGGAGTGCAAGAAGTTTGCTGATTCACACATAGTGAATTGGTGCTCTTGGTTGATATTCTCGAGGAATAGAGAACCCAACTCGTAAATGCGATCATAGTCCCCACAAATGGCAGATATCTGAGGTGAAATTTCCCACGGAGTCCATGAGGACATTTCTCCAGGGACCACGTCAGTGTCTGTTTTCGTTTCTGCGTCGTGGATAGTGACTGCATCTGCAAGATTCGTCCTCCACATCATCACACTCATCTCTTCCATCGCGGTGTTCGATTGATGGATAGAATTGTCGTCTGAGTTCGTGTCACCTGGAGAGATATTTGAATAGTCCTGATCACCATATACTGATGCTTGTGAAGATTCATCTCTGTCTTCGGCTCTATTTGACGGACATGCAGTGTCCTTTTTGCTTTGAAGGGCCAACAATGCCTGCACCTGATTTTCCAGAGACTTCACATAATTCTCATCCCAGTATTTGCGTCTGCAGGGAGTGTAAGTGAGTGCTCTCGGACTGAAGTGGGAAGTGCAATTACTTTCTTGGCTTTTTTTCTGTGTTGTACTCGCAGTCTTTCTGCGCCTTCGTGCAGGTCGAGCATTGTGGCTGAGCGCCATCGCACTTCCACGCTTGTTAGCCAATGCCGATCATGTGCTCTCGAGGACATACACGACGCTTCGATGCTCGACACTGCTTGCAGGCAAAGCTGTTTGTTTTACTCTGGTTGGACATATTCCGATCAAGTTAAGTCCTGCCAGGTGAGTCTTGGGAGTCTCATACGTCGATAGGAAGTCTTGGCGGTGGGGCGGGGGCCTTTCCGCTTTTCCGCTCTTTCGCCTTTCCCGATTGGGAAACACTATTGAAGTATGAAGATAGGTACTAGGTAGTAGAGATATAGGAGAATCTACTAGGTATTTATCCTCGGTTGGCGTTGCTGTAAAGCACTCGGAATACATATTCCTCTTCCAATGTGGGTCCAGTTGGCGGTCCTGTCTTGATTATCCATTTTGACAACCTCATAGTCGACTCGCACCTAGGCATCAACAGGTCATAATTTGGAAGCATCACTGCAACCCGTGGACATTGAACATTGGAAAACTTGAGAAAATGCTCAATTACGACAAACTATTTACACACTCCAGGGCTGCTATTCCACTGTATCTATTAATGTTTCATCTTCCGGCTGGACCATTTTCTTCACTTTCTTGCAAACGTTCAACCACATGAGGTCGGGACGACTGTAATGCCCAGTGGCATCTGCAAAAATCTTAGTCGCCACGATCTGGCTCATATCAAGGTCAGCATATACGATGCCCTCGGAAGTGGAATCCAGAGGCTCCGTCAACCTCCGTCCATCAGGGCCAAACACCGCAGAAGTTCCCCCTCCTGGGGAGTTCATCAGGATTCCCCCACTGGTATCCATTGCCTGTACACCTTTCTCGGTAATCACAGCTGTGCAATGCATAACAAAGCTCTGGGACTCCACGGCATACGTTTGCGACAAACTATGACATCCTGAAAACAAATCAGTATAGAATGAAAGTATATCAAGATAGGTTCCTAACTTCAGCAGACATAGACCACAGATCAGACTTGCCAGTGTGAGGCGTGAGGCTTGGCCATGCCGACACGTGGATTTCCTCTCTCTGGGAAATCATGAAGTATTTGAGCAGCGGTTGAATGTGCTCCCAGCAGGAGAGTGCTCCAACTCGCGCGAAAGGTAGCTCGACCACACTAGAGAAACATTCTCCCGACGCATCTCCGAAAATAGTTCGTTCCATATGGGTAGGCTTCATCTTGCGTCTGTGAGACTTGATCTCCCCATCGCCACCGATCATGACTTGTGCGATATAGACCGAATTGTGATGGAATTCGGAGAATCCCAGAGATACTGCGATCGAGTTGCTCTTTGCGCAAGCTTTGATCTGATCCATCTCTGGGGAGTCAAGCGCGATGGAGTTCTTGATGTATGCCACATTCATGGCGACGTCGAGGAAACGGCTCCTAGCACATCACTTAACAAACAAGAAGGTCTTCCTCGAGAGTGATACGTACCAGATCCAACATGGGTATCCTGGAATCCAGCACTCGGGAAAGGCAATCAATTGCGCGCCATTATGAGCGGCTTCGGTCATCAAAGTGCAGGTCTTTGCCACGCCGGCGGCTAGGTCCAGCCATGCCGGCTCAGCTTGAGTGACTGCCACACGAACCACGTTGGAAGACATTGTTTGGAGATTGATATGTTGTAGCATCGGAGAATGCATCGTCGAGACGTATTCTTATACTTCATATCGGCTTCCCCGCATTGTTGCGGAAGTGAAACCTCCGCAGCCAAATTGGGCATTCGCTATCTCCCGATATCTGCTATCTTTCCCTTTTTTGGGGAATCGATGGAGCAGAATCCCTGATATGCATTGTTTGGCCAATCAGTTGAGGTCAAATATCAGCGAAACCCCTCAACCTTGTCGGCCACAGTGGCGATTGCATCGCGAACTAATATACTTTACGTACGACATAACCTTGGAATCTGTTCGTGCAGCGGAGACTATAACCTCCGCTGCGAAAGTGCACATAAAGCATGTCCAGAATGCAGCAAACAATCATCAGCACTCTTGAGCCCATACCAACACAATGTGGACTGTCAAATTCCCCACCGACGAGCCGTTTGTCTACTCAATCTTTGGGATCCAATATCCAAATGGCGATCCCAGCGATAGCCAAAAGAGTCTCGCCGACCAATTCAATGCCCTCATCACCGGTCATCCCAATCATATCGACCGATTGATCCAAGATGGTTGCGGATCACTGCCCGGGAAGACCCAGGTCTGGCTAGCTTATTGGAAGTCAAGTGTACAGTACCAGGCCTGGTGGAACGAAGAAGAAGTCCGTCAATTTTGGAAGAATCTGCCAGTCAACTCTGGTATCTGGAGAGAGATCCTGCGCCCCTCCCCTCGTCGAACCCAGTATGGAACCAACCAGCTTACCAAAACTGGTATGGGCCACCTGGGTGAGCGTGTCTCTCTGGGCGAAAATGCCGGATACTGGGGATGTTATAGGCAGCGAATGGCCGACTCAACCACAGACAACTTTGCAAGAGACTCCAGCTCTGGATGTCCTCATGCGGGGTCAAATGTTGATCTCGACCGCGTTCAGTTCACACATTTTCCAGACAATATGTGTTTTGTCGTTGAAGGACAAGATCACTCTGCCCTGTCGGCTGAAGAAAGGAAATACTGGTTCGACAACTTCGACGGTTCGGTAAATAAATGGATTTCGGATCTCATGACCTCCGGACCTGAGGGAGGCATTCTTGATGCAAGGCTTTGCTATGAGCCTGAGAGTGGCACATTCCGTGACTCCAAGCCCAGCGCCTTGAACTATAACAAGAAAGTTCAGCTGTTTTATTTCAAGGACCTGAGCCATATGGAGCGTATCGGGCGTCTCCACAAGGGCCATGTCGACTTGAGAAGACGCTTTTTGGAGTCATACGGGCCCGGGGGTGATATGGAAAGCGGCAAGATCTGTTTGTGGGTTGAAACATCAGTGCTGAAAGCTGACGAGGTTGAGTGCGAATATGTTGGCTGCGCGAAAGGCACTGGTTTCATGGCGAAGTGTTGATGTTGCGACTTTGAACTCAAATGAACTCGTTCCTCCCAAAGGAAGTAGGCCTCTGCGCCTAAAACCCATAAGATTGCTCTGAATCAACATGATATCGATTCCGACCTATAGAGTCCAAGGTTCGCCATGAAAAGAGCCCAAAGTTGTAGTCATAAGATGTTGACCACGCCAAGAACCGCCCCCACGTAGGACCTTCAGATGTTTCGTTGGAACTTCAGCCTCATCTTTAACAACCATCGAAGATCCTATGGTATACAGTATATCCCTCGGCGTACTTTCAAAGCTAACGTGGACGTATATCCAGGTTGCATCCTGAACATGTTGGGTTGGCTGAAATCCCTTTTCAGCTCCAAGCCTGAGTCGTCCCCTGAAGAGCCCACAGACTCCAACAAGAGGCAGAGCAAATCGCACAAGCGAACGCACAGCAAGAGAGTTCGAGAGCGTGAACGTGAGCTGCGTCGTAATTTCACCGGCCAGAAAGGAGAGTGGAAGAGGTTCATTGCGAGGGGAGGATATGCAGGTATTTGCTAAATGTTTTTTTTTTTTTTTTCGCGGGGATATAGCACGATACCACTGAGCTTTCTCCTTCTTTCTTTTTACGGCGCGCTTGGGTTTTTGGATCTGCCGACCTCGGGACACGGCTCTGATGAATGAGTTGAGCACTAGCATCATATGGCGTGTTCATTCGGAGGCTTCATCGGTTCTGTATATGTATCACATCCTCAATCATGCAGTTCCACCATATTGCTGTGGTATGCGCTGAAGCAAGCGGGAACTTTGGAAATTAAGCTGTTTCAAGCTTCAGTCGATTTGATCAGAACTATCCATGGAACATCCGAAGGGCGTATGGAGACAGATTGTGCTCCTCCAAGGAGGGGTCGAAGTCGGTACTCTTGCTTTCAAAAAAGTCATGAGCGTTCATGATCAACCTCAATGCTTTCTCCACGCCGGGCGAGATGCAAGAAGCGTGTATTGTCTTCCATCGCTCCAAACGCAACTTCAAATGAGGTCCCAACTCCAACAATGCGATATGACGCAACTGCATAGTTAATTGTGGATGGCAAAAGCCGCCCATCAGCGTCAACATCGCTGTTGCAAGTCTAGGGGGATTGAATTTTATTAGCAAACATGCAGATAAATTAGATCAATCTTTCGCAGTAGACTCACGAAAGAGAACATGGCCAAGTATCAACCATGACAGTATACGGCACCTGCTTTAGGTACCTTAACTTGAACAGACATGTATCGAGGGCAACGCGACAGCCGTCGAGCACGCGTTGGTTAGTGTTGAGATTCCAGGATGGATTAGCTAGTGCCCATTCCAGATACGGTCGGTAGATCACGCTACGGCAGCTGAGATACCATTGTCGCAAGTATTCGCTATGCGGGTCATCGGCGGGTTTCTCGTCATTGGGGAACTGAAGGCTAGGAGGAAGAGTTTGGTACCAGTCTTGTAATTGGCGTGCGAGCTCTTGGTTGACCGATGGGAAGTGATTGGAGTTGATTTGAAGACCGATGTCACGATCGTAGAGCATGTAGTGAGCTCGATTCAGAAGTCGACGAAGTGCTATCGATGCTAGAAGGTAGCAAGTTGATCTTTCTTCCTCTTCTATGGATTCGTGGGAATGAAATTTGCCGGGAAGAGATATTATTGATTCAATCTCCGCGTTGCAGTTTTGTGGGAGCGATGGCAACTCTGAGATGTAATTGCTGGACCGAGTTAATGGGCGATTTGTTCATGTTAATATTTGCACTTACCTCTCTAGGACAAAGCAAGACCAGAATATTCTGGTAATATGTTCACGGTCATCTCGCTCCGGATTGTCGAATGGACAGGAGAGAAGAAACCGACACCGGGTCGCTGAGCTATTCACATAAGACCAGGTTTGTAATGGTCTTTGTAAAAAGGAAAAGTAAAGTCTGTACCTTCGTCAGTAAAATCTTCTGTTTGCCGTTTCGAAATACCCCTAACCCAGTCAGCAAGAGACATTGACAGGCTTCGACACTCATTTCAATGTGAGCCAAATGTGACATTTTCATAGAGGCAGTGAACCATGATGCTCCCTGCAACTTAAGTTGTTGGGCGTCGGTTTCGGGCATGTTCTCATCCACCACAGAAGCCCCAACGCAACTCAGCGCCATGACCAATAACGCAAGACATGACTGGCAACTTGGCTCCAAATTCTCCTGATATATCCTCATTTCAACAGCTTTGAGGTCATTCAGGCTCATAGTGGGGAACCAAAAATTGTAAGTCTGTTGAAAAATGTCGACCATGCTTTTGATTTCGGACAACCCCAGACTCGGGAATATTGCGTAGAGATTGCTTCGCAAGGGGGATCTACTGTATTCAAGTGATAGAAACGAGGACTCCGTCTCGTTTAGTATGGAAGGGTGGTCAAGGAATACCGACCATTTCAATAGAGACTCCGCTGAAGAAAGATGTCCCGAAGACAGCACGGCACTTTCAGTAGGGTCTCGAATGGTGCATCCACCGGGATGATGGCGTGCATCATGAGACGCTGTAGTAACCGTTGATACTGGCGATGTGGTGTTGATTTGCGCACTACACGCCGCATTCGTCACTGGGCCTGTAGCCTAGAATCTGTCAGGAAGAAATGAGCCGTCAACTGGTGGCTGCTGGACACGCACCACCATCCTCTTGAGATCTTCAATAGATGCTTCCAGTCGTTGGACTGTGTCTAAGATCATTTCACTTTTTCCCCTTCTGGTATGATATTAGTCGGGAATCTTCTGGCATTGATGAATTTCCTTACGAAATAGCATCAGTGCCGTATAGACACGCTTGATTCAAGCTTGTACAGGGTCCACATGGATCCCGAGAGTCACATCTGTGATATTTGTCAGTCACAATAGATCATCGTGTCATATGGACCATGTTTACCTTGTCTTGCGTTGGCGGCATGAATCGCACTGTGTACGTTAGTTTGAGGTTAAGCTCTCGAATGATTGTGAAAACGAACAGCTCGAGCCGCCCTGAATCTCTTCATTTCTAGCCAATGTACTGTAGATGTCGTCTGCAAAGAATCACCGCTCTGAAATGTACAACTGGCAGCAACTTGACGATCTTCACGAGAGGAATGTAAATGGGAGTGGCTCCCGAGATCTCGTCACAAAAACAGATAAAATACAGCACGTGACTGTCCTCATATACTTCTCCAGTCCTCTTTGTATCAATCCATATTTAAAGCGAATGGACCATGAGAGAATTGGATGAAATGAATATTTCTGACTTCTTTGAGTATGACCGAGGGAGTACCGAGGCAAACTTGGCTGGCGCATCCACGAAACTTGGTCTGGATTCCAAGTTGTGCTTGACAGCCTCCCAAAGTCAAAGACGTCGAGTATATCTGATGCAAGCTCTATTTAGTTTTTGTAATCCTCAATCAATGCTGTATTTTCCTCTATCTGTAGAAACAAGGCTAATTTCGATATCTAATTTACAAAGACACAGGTTCCAGCAACATGCTGAGAGTGATATCTTGCACCTTGACCAAATGCTCTTCCATGGGCCCCGGGCCACAGGCCGCAGTTCCAACACCAGCAACTTGATCATCCAGTCTCACAAACAGCACATCGTCCTCAGCAAGATCACAAGGGTGTCGTGCTGCCTCAACAGCCTCATTAGAGTACCGGCTAGCCTTCCAACTCAAACTTTCCTCTCCGCCAGTAACTACCGTAGGCCCTTGAGGGCTCGCTCGGAAGCCTGTCCCATTGAGAGCACGAAGTTCCACCCAAGCGGTGTCTGTGCGGTTTCCACTTTCCTGTGGGATGTCGTAGACCGTTTCCAGGCCCGCGATGTCATTGTCCCACAGGCCAAATGATTGAGCAGCCTTCTTATCGGGATAAGATTCTCCAGGTCCTAGTCCCAGCCAACGAGCTGACTGCAGGGCGGGGTTTGCGCGAAGATTCAGACCGGCACGGGGGACAGTCTTTGGTGCGGCTCCTGTGGGCTTCAAGCTAATGCTGATGGACAGGGAGCCATTTGGCTTGACGATGTAGCGTGCGAGACATTTCCATCCCCAAGAAAGAACTGGGGGCGAAAGGAAAGTTTCGCTCTCGATGCAAACGCCTCCGTCGGCTGTTGAGGATGTGTCGAAAGATCGAAGCTGGTTGGTGAGATTGTTCACTCCGAATCGCTTCCAGTACGGCGCTGCTGAGGGTACGTCGTTATCAGTGGGAGGACGCCAGAACCCAGGGATCATAGCAAGTCCTGTGGTGCTGTCAGGCTCAAGAAGGCTTGTCGAGTTGTGAGTCCATCTCTTGAGATGGCCTCGGACCCGATCAAACTCGAAAGACCAGTTTGGCCCACTGATTGATACAACTGTTTTGGTGGATTTCGTGGAAACTTCATCTCGAGCACCATTTGTGGAAGTTGTGCTGTCAACTGGAGCATTTTCTGTTGGCTCTGACACCAATGCCTGGGTCCAGGCAACGGTGAAAGTCCCTTGATCCCAATCGACCTTTTCCTTTTGCTCCAGCTTAACAGTCAAGTATGCTGGATGAGCGGCGTGCTCGAAAAGCTCTGTCGGGAGGTTTATCTCGGCCGTTTCCCCGGAACGTACAACGGGTAGTTCCAGCACTCCATTTGCCAGGACAATTGGTCTGGAAACAAAAGTCAGTGATTTCTTCTTTTATGGCGTGGGATGTTCCAACTCACTGTTCGCCAAATGCTTCAAGCTTGTATGAAGCCTGGAGATGACGTGTATCCAAAAAGTCGTAACGGTTCTTAATGGACAAAGTTTGTCCACGAACTTCAAGCTTCACGGGTTCCAAGACCCTCTTCAGCTCCAACAAACCCGGTAGAGGCTCGTGGACACTGTTCAATAGACCATCCATCACGAAGGTTCCATCATTCGGATAGTCATCGAAGTCGCCACCGTAAGCATAGAAGCCATCCTTACCATTCTTTCCCTCAACCCACAAACCATGATTAGCCCATTCCCAAATGAATCCACCCTGCAGGCGGGGAATTTCATCAAAGCATTTCTCGTAGTCGGCAAGCAGACCAGGGCCATTACCCATGGCGTGGGCGTATTCACAGAGAATGATTGGTTTGTCGAATTTCCCATCTTTAACCCCCTCGCTGGCCGCCAAAGCTCGGAGTCGGTTGATCTCGGGATACATGTAGCTGAACATGTCGGTGGTTTCTGCATCAACATCACCCTCGTAGTGAACCAGTCTGGTATTATCAAAGGCCCTCGCATATTCCACCATAGACCGGTGGCATGTGCCGAAGAAAGCTTCATTTCCCATAGACCAAATGATGACACTGGTGTGGTTCTTGTCTCGCTGGATCAGGGAGTGAGCGCGGTCAACGTAGGCTTCCCGCCAGGCAGGATTGTCTGATGTGTGGACAGCACATTTGGGGAATGTCATTGCCTTGCGCTCCTCGTAGCCCAAGGTCTCGTCCATATCCATTGGACGTGCAACGGCATCATAGAAGCCATGGCATTCGAGATCTGCCTCATCAATGACCCAGAAGCCCAGCTCATCGGCCAAATCGAGAAGTCGAGCATCTGGGGGATAATGGCTACACCGAAGCGCATTGACGTTGTGGGCTTTCATGAGAAGCAGGTCCTTCTTCATAAAGTCCAGCGGCACGGCACGACCCAAAAGAGGATGGTGGTCGTGCCTGTTGACTCCACGAAGACGGATTGCCTTTCCGTTCACGGTGATCAAGCCATCTTTGCGCTCAACCTTGCGGAATCCAATGCGCTGTGTAGTTCTGAATTTCTTGGAGTCGGGTGTGGTCAGGATCATCTCCACCTCGTACAGATAAGGCCGCTCAGCGGTCCACTTCTTGGGATCAGCGACAGGCAAGCTCAGATCGATTGTAGTCGCCGTAGACTCTACGCCCCACTCGGCAGAGCCAATGATCTGGCTTTCGCCTTTGACTGACTCAATTAAATTGAGAGCAATGGTACCTGTCCCAGAAACCTGGTAATCAATTGTCGCATGAAGTGTCGCATTGGTATATTCCGAATCGAGGTCCGTACGAATGAACCAGTCATTCAAGCGATTCTTCGCAGGCAATGCAATCAAGTTCACATCTCGGAAGATTCCTATCAACACAATGTCAGCCCGATTTCTTGATTCCTAACACCGATCCCGATCTCAATCATACCGGATAGCCACCACTGATCCTGGTCTTCAATATATGTGGCATCCGACCATTGGTACACTCGCACAAAGACTTCATTCTCGCCTTGCTGCAAGAAGGGCGTGACATCGAACTCGGACGGATTTCGGCTCCCTTGCGCATACCCGACTAAAGTCTTGTTCACCCAGACGTGGTACGCGCTGTCGACACCGTCGAAGCGCAACCGAATCTCCATGTCATTCGACTGCCATTCGGCGGGTACCTCGAATTTCCGACGGTATGTGCCCGTGGGGTTCTCTGTTGGGACGAAAGGTGGACACACAGGGATCGGGAATTGAGTGTTGGTATAATTTGGCTTTCCCCATCCTTGTAACTGCCAGTGACCTGGAACATTAATGCTGGACCAGTCTTCCAATGGCTCTTCGCTGGGCTCTGGCGCCTCCAGGGGCGATCGCGACATGCTGAATTCCCAGGCTCCATTGAGAAGTACAGATGTCGAGGGGATGTGGTAGGAACGTGCGGGGAGGGTGTTTCTGCGAAAGACCGCGGGGTTCATGAAGTCAGGACGCTCGGCATCCGCTTGGAGCGGTAGCTCCTGTGGTTGAAGGCCCATAGTGGAATGCGTATTCTGAGATGAAGCCGGCGCTCAGGTGGATGTTGAGTCGAAACACCCCTCATCCTTTATACCCGAGTGCTCGAAAGCTTCCCAGTCTGCTTAGTGAGCCCCGACCTTTCGCAGCTACCCCTCCACGCGTGACGTCCATTTGCATGGGGATGGCCGGGGGTAACGGAGCCGGAGAGTGTGGGGAGCGAAGACTGCGGAGGTGAGGAAGACCAAGGCGGGTGTCTTGGCCAATCAACGGTCCCGGGGCTAGCGGCACCGGGGCAGTCGGAGCCGTGAGAACTTAGCTTCGTTTTCTCCTCGACTTCGCCTTTTGATTCAAGGCAGACTACTCCGTTCTCGGAATCTGGAGGACATCGGGGACTAAAGGCCTCGGAAGTGCCGTTGGACTCGAGTCTTCTGCGTGCGAAACGACTTGCCGAGACCCACCCTTGCCCCGAATTGTCTAGCTTCCCCAGATTGAGACCTGACCATGATCAGGAGAGTGAAGCCGAGAATGCGGAGAGACGAAGTCTTACGGAGTATTAAATCTACGAGATTCCCCGATCAGAACTTGCTGGATTGTCTCTAGCAACTCTTTTCTCATTCTGATTGTCCTCAAGGCTGTCCAGCCTGAACACTTGAATTACCCTTCAATATGGACGTCGACAAAGAGCCCATCGATAGTCTCCATGTGGAGGCTACGACAACGGACCTGACCATGGCCAAGAAGCTTGATCATGAAGTACTCGAACACAACATGACTCTTCGGCAGGCCCTGACAAACTATCGCAAGGCCATGCTATACTCTCTATTTTTCTGCTTCTCTGCCATCCTCTGGGGGTACGACATGCAAGTCAGCGGAGGTCTACTCGCTGCCCCCGAGTTTCGGGCCGTTTTTGGATATACCCAGCCTGATGGCACTACCATTCTCCCTGCCAGGTGGCAGGCTGCGTTCAACATGATTGCAACTGTGGGTGGAATGGGCGGAAGCTTGCTTTGCGGTCCCATCTCACCCTACTTTGGCCGGAAAATCACACTGGCAATTGCATGTGTCATTTCCAGTGGCTCCATTTTCTTGCAATTCTTTGCCTTCTCTCGGGGTGTGCTACTGGCCGGAAAACTTGTGAATGGTATCTCCCTCGGCATGTTCCTTGTCACTGCGTGTTCCTACTGTTCGGAGGCATGCCCAGTCGTGCTGCGCGGTATCACGATTGCAATGGTGAACCTGTTTGTCGTCATTGGGCAGCTTCTTGGAAACTGTCTCATCAGGGCTTTCGGTGGACGAACCGATACTTTTGCCTATAGAATCCCTTTCGCCTTCCAGTGGCTTTTCCCCGCCATTCTCATCTGTGGAGTCTGGTTCTGTCCTGAGTCTCCTTACTGGTATGTCCAAAGAGGCAAACATGCCGAAGCCAAAAAGTCGCTTGAACGATTCCAAACAGGCGGAAGCGTCGACAGCTGGCTGGTTGAGATTCAGGAAACAGTGCGCATGGAAGAAGAATCCGCTAGTTCTGCTGGTTACCTCGACTGTTTCCGGGGAACTGATCTCCGTCGTACCTTGATCGTCATTGCTGTCTGGACCATCAACTCTTTCAGCGGTGTCAACTTCGTGCTCAGCTATTCTACCTACTTTTTCCAAAGTGAGTATCCATATCTTGTGAGCCATGGCTCTTGTCTAACGAATGTTTCAATAGTTGCCGGTCTTCCTACCTCTCGATCCTTCGATATGGGCGTCGGTGTAACAGCAGTTGGAGTCGTTGGAAACATTTGTTCGTGGTGGGTTATCAACACCATCGGTCGCAGGTCCCTCTTCCCGGGTATGATCGTTCTCACAATCATTGTCCTCGTCATTGGCATCTTGGACGTCGTACCAAACTACAACTCCTCCATCGCATGGGGCCAGTCTGCATTGATCATCATCTGGAACTTCTTCTACGACCTTACCCTTGGACCTCTTGGGTACGTCATTTGCGGAGAAATGTCGTCTACTCGCTTGCGCTCCTACGGCGTGAGTATTGGTTTCTTCACGCAGAACTTCTGGACTCTGATCATGACTATTATCGTGCCATACATGATCAACCCGGACGAGGGAGATCTTCGTGGCAAGACGGGCTTTATCTTCGGTGGCTTCTCGGTGATTGCTTGTATCTGGACTTACTTCTGTTTGCCTGAGACTAAGGGGAGGACCTTCGAAGAACTTGATCACATGTTTGAGCAAAAGATCTCGGCGAGGAAGTTTGCGAAGCATGATCGAAGAGCAGATGGGGCTTAGGCTCTGGTTAGTCTTTCAATAAAACCCTGGAGCTCAATATACTACATTACTTCGTTGTATCTGCCACTCATCTAATGTCCATATGTGCTTCATTCGCAATCTTTGAGGCTCAATCAAGGGTAACCTAATTCGTTGGCAATGAGACCAGATGATGACATGTTGAATATGCCGAGCATGGATCATGCACTAGAAAGCATACACATAGTGAAGGGTTAGGTGCTACGATGATCTACTTAAAACTTGGAAGTGAAAGTGGTGGTGGTAAAGAACAATTGAGATCTATATCAAAACAATGTATATGAAAAAACAAAAAACAAAAACACCATGCAATTTGAAACAAGAAAAAGCATCAAGTCATAATAACTACCAGAAAAGCCACTTATTTAAGCAGATCCGAGGTACTTGAGCACGCTCTCGCGCTCCTCAACAGGAAGCATAGAGAGGACCTGCTGAACACCACGCAAACCACCTTCCTTGTTACCAATCAAAAGCTGAGCGACTTCAGAAGCAACACCCTCAGTGCGGAGGGAGTCAACCTTAGTCTGAACAAGCTTCTTGTTCTCCTCATACCAAGCAGCGACCTTCTGGTCGTCGTGCTCAAGCTCCTCATCCAACAGACCAGTCCAGGCGTGCAGAGTGCGCAAGTGCGCGACACGAGGGGACTCGGTTGAGGCATGGGTTCCGGTGGCGGGGATAGCGCCAGCGGCACCGCGGGGAGCAGGGGAGGCAGAGGCAGCGACCATGCGCTTGACGATGAGCTCTTCGCTCAAACGACGGCGCAGACGCCAGTAGAAGAAGCGACGGGAGTTGGCCCATTGCAGAGGCTGGCGAATGGTGTTCTTGGCTTGCATGCGGCCGGCACGGTCGTGCAGATCGGCGAACTGGAGGGCGATCTGGGTGTAGACGGGGAGGAGGAGCTCCTCACGGGCAGCCATCTGGGCCTTGATCTCGGACAGCTGCTCCTTGGTGAGAGAAGTGTCCTCGAGGGAACGGCGGAGCTCGCCGTACTTGGCGTCCAGGCGGGCCATGGTGTCGAGCTGCTTGTCGCGGCGGTACTTGATGCCGACGATACCCTCGGGCTCGAGGACACCTCCACGGGAGTCTTCGTCGGCGTACATCTCCATCTGCTCGGGGTTGATGGTGGGGTCGACGACAACCCAGGATCCACCACGGAGCTCACCGTGAGGAGGAATGTAGACGAAGACGGGCTGCTCGTACTTGACGAGAGCGTCGACAATGTAGGATCCGTACTTGAGGACCTCGTTGTACATGTCGCGCTGACCACCGGAGAATCCACGCCAGTTGGCCAGGATCATGACGGGCAGTTGCTCACCATTGTTGAAGTCGCGCAGGGCCTGGGCGGTCTTGAAGGCGGAGTTGGGGTACCAGACACCACCAGCCTCGTTGGAGATCATCTCCATAGAGTCGGGGTTGGCGGGGTCGGCAGGGGTGACGTTCTCGACCGAGCGAGTCTCGACAGCGATGACACCCATGGGGATACCACCGAGACGGGCACGACCAACAACGACGGTGCGAGCCCATCCACCGAGGGCTTCCTCGAAGGAGTCCTTGTCGAACAGACCGGGCAGGAAGCCGTCCACATCCTCCTTACCACCGATAAGCCATCTGACATCGTAGGGCTGCTTGGGGGGAGGGAAGTAGGCGACATCACGGTCCCAGTTGTCAGACCACGGGCGGATGGGGATAGGAGCGCTCTTCTTGTCGGGGACGAAAGACATCCATTCGACAATTTTGGAGACACCCTCGAAGTCATCCTGGGCAGTCATGTGGGAAACACCGTTCTTGTACATGATCTGGGTACCACCAAGCTGGAGGTTAGAGGTGTAGACCTCACGACCAAGCAGCTTGTTGATGGCAGGGGCACCAGTGAGGATGATGGGCTGACCTTCGACCTGGATAGCACGCTGGCCCAGACGGACAAGGTAAGCACCAATACCAACGGAACGGCAGGTAACAAGAGTGATGGTGAAGATGTCCTCGTAGGCCTTGGAGGTAGCACCGGCAATGAGACCGGAACCCTTCAGACACTCGACACCCAGACCATCCTTGGCACCAATGACAGTGGTGATCTTGTGACGCTCTTCGCCCTCATCAGTGATCTGCTCAGTGATGACTTCCTTCTGCTTGCTGGCATCGAAGCGCTTCTTGACCTCAGGGGTAAGGTAGAGGTACTTGAAGCCAGCCTGAGGGTTCTCAGGGTTGTTCCAGGCAACGGAGAAGAAGGGAATCAGCTCGTCGGCCATACCAATGCGAGCACCAGAGTTGGCAGACAGGTAGATGCGGGGAATACCCAGCTTGCGGGCGAGCTCAGTGCACTTGTGGAAGAACTTGTCTTCCTGGGGACCGAACGAACCAATCTGGAAGGTAATGTCGTTGGCGACAATGATGAAACGACGACCGCGGGGGTACTCGGGAGTACGGGCAGTGACGATCCAACCAACCATACCATGGGTGTTGGTACCAGGCTCGCGAGACACCTCAACAAGGTTGTCGGTGTCATCGAGGACAAGCTCGCTGTAGTCGATGCACTCGCCAACGGGGGGACGCTTCTCGTACAGGGAGGGGATCGTCTGGGCAACCTTGGTCCAGCTGTTCTGGAAGGCCTGGCGGAAGAGCTCGGGGAAATCGTACACGTACTGAGTTCCCATCAAGTGAGCCTTGTAACGCTTGGGCTGCAACCACTCCTTGGTAGGGTAAGGAGTAGAGACGGGGCGCATGTGCATGGAGCCGAGCTTGTTGGTGCCACCAATGCTCTGGAAGATCCATTCACCCTTCTCGGACTTGCGCTCAATGTACATCTCAACGTTGATGATGAAGCCGTAGGTGTTGCTGATGATCACACGCAGAGGGTAAGGCATGCCGGTGGTAGGGTCAGTGCAGAGAATACGGATCTCAGCACCAGTGACACGCAGACGCCACAAGCGACGACCGAAGCGGTCAAGGAAACCGGCAAGAGCCTGCTCGACATCCTCGGGCTGGAGGTTGAACACGGGGGAGAAGTTGATGAAGATGTGGTTCAGGTCAGAGTTGTTGTTTCCAATAATCTCCAAAGCATCCAGGATGTCGTTCATCAGGCGGTCAGCCTCGGAGATCAGGTACTCAGCAGTGGGGATATCATCGCGAAGACGACCGGGACGAACGACAGCGCGAATGAAGTAACGCTTGTCAATAGACTTGTCATTCTCGGGACCCTTGCCAATAGCCTCGTACACGTGAATGTTACGGTTCTCGGTGAAGACGGGCTTGATGTTGAACTTGGACAAACGACCAAGTTCAAGCTGGAAGGCAAGGGCGGGCTCGCTGTGACGGATACTGAGATCCTCCTCGTAGTGGGGGCCACGGAAAGTGAAGTAGCCGGGGTAGACACCCTGCTTGCCACAGATGAAAGTGACACGACGAATGCGACGAGCGAGAAGCTCAGTCTTGTTGTCGGCAAGCAGCTGCTTCATTTGGCCGACAAGCTCCTGGTCATCCAGGTCTTCAATGTCGCGGATAGCGATGTTGCAGACACCGGTGAGCTCGCTGTCATGCTCCGGCTTGGGAACGGGGCGACGCTTGCCCTCGAGGTTGGCGATGAGGCCGTGCTCGCTGGGACGTCTGGCGGAGCCACCGAGAGGGAAGGACTCGAGAGCCTTGGAGAGGAACTCCTCGGCGTCCTCCAAGTACTGGACGGGGATGATAACACCCTTGCGGACAGGGTCACTCAGGGGGTCGTTGAAAGAGGAGAGCTCGCTGATAGAGTTGATCCGCTTGAAGGGGTTGCCCTCAGCGATGGGAGTGCCGGGGGCCGAGGGCTGAGTGGAAGAGAGAACACCAAACTCGGGCTGACCCAGCTTGCCAAGTGTGAAGTCCCATGACAGGAAGGGCTGCTCGGATGAAGCGTTGTACTCAATGCCCTTGAGGGTGTAGGCACGGTAAGCGCGGCGCACGTAGACCTCGAGGGAAGCAAGGGTGACCCAGGGATCGTTGTGGACGAAGAAGCGGGGAAGGACATCGAAGACAGTGTACTTCGAGTCAACAACCTCCTTCAAGATGTCGAAGGAAGGCTCACGGTGCTCCCAGCCGGTCTCGCCGTAGCGAGACTCCACAACGGAGGACTTGAGGATGTGCTCCATCTGGGAGAGACGCTCATCCAGAGAAGGCATAGCGCACTGGATCAGAACCTCACGGGCCTTGAGGGTAACCTTGGCGGAGGAGCGAGACTCAAGCTCAGTCAACTTCTTGAGGATAGGCTTGAAGTGCTTGCCGACGTTCTCAACGTTAGGCTGGTTGGGGCGGTACATGTCCAGAATAGCCAAGACCAAGTTGTTCTTAGAGCCAATTCGGCTGTGAGAGAGCACAGTGTGGACAATGCTGGTGATATCATCCTTGTTCTCCTCACGGAGCTTGAGAATGACATCCTCATCACGGTAGTTGTGGGTGGAGAAGAGCTTCTCGACCTCGTAGTACTGCTCGAGCAAACCAATGAAAACATTGTACTCGTTGGACTTCAAGCCATCCAAGTACTTGTTGATGACCTGGACCAGGGGCAGAATAGTAGCCTTCAGAAGCTCAGCATCGGCAGGGGTGACATTCTCCTCAATGAAGCGAACGATGGCCTTCTGGAGCTGCTTGGCAGGGAACTCAGCCTTGCGAGCCTTGGCCTTGTCGACCAGGGCCTGGAGCTGAGCATCCAGCTTCTGGGGCATACGAGAGTGCAGCGCAGAAGACTGGGCATTCCACTCGCCGTAAGGAAGGTCGGGGTTGCGGAGAACCTCAACCAGGTCCTTCAGGGTGGTACCCATGATGACCTGGTTGTCGAAACCACGGAGGATGTTCTCCAGAATGCTGTGGAGCAAGAAGAAGCGCTGAGATGGCTTGTTACCGAGGACGGTGGGAGAGCCAAGCTCGGGCAGCTGACCAGCGAAGGGCTGAGCGTGCTTGACGCGGGAGGGGTCATCCAGAGCAAGAATACCGAGGATGTCACCAGCCTCAAGGGTGGCTCCGGGCTGCTTGATGAGCTGCACGACACCATCCTCCTGGGCGATGAGAGGCATGTACATCTTCATGACCTCAACCTCGGCGTAGGACTGGCCAGAGCGGACGTGCTCGCCGTTCTCGACGGTGAACTTAACAAGCTTACCGGGAGAGGGAGAGCGAAGCTGGGTAGGGTCGTTCTCCTGCTCCAGCAGACAAGTCTTGCCATCGACACTGAGACGAGTCGCGGCAGGCTCCTCCTTCCAGTAGACGTTGTGACTGCGACCGCTCAGCAGAACAAGCAGACCACCGTCGGCCAGGGCACGAACACCAACGGAGCACTTGGAGCCGTTGATGAAGAGGTGGTAGCTGTCCAAGCTGGCGCGAGTAGCAGTGAACTTGTAACGCTCACCCTCGTAGATGAAGTCAACGGGGAAGACAGTCTTCAGGATATCCTTGGAAGGAACCTGGCCCTTTCCGAGGCCGTTGCGGTACTCCTCGATACCAGCCTCACTGGCGAGGTGAGCCTTGGTGACAGCACCACAAATGATGGCAACAATCTGGTCGGGACGCTCAGCAGTCAACTTGTTGGTGATCAGCTGGTCGAGCCATCCAGTGGTGATGGTGTTGTCCTCGAAAGCAGGGGTCTCCAGAAGCTTGATCAAGTACTCGACGGTGGTACGGAAATCACCACGAATACTCAATTCCTTCAGAGCAACAACCATGTGCTTACGCGAAGCAGAACGATTCTCACCGTAGGCGAAGATGTGACCGAACTGACTGTCGGAGAAACTGTGGATACCACCCGCAGTACCGACGGAGAAGTAACCCCAGACGTTGGACGAACTGCGGAAGTTCAGTTCGTGCATGGTACCGCTGGAAGGCTTGAAGCCCTCGCCAGGGTCTTCGGAGGTGATACGACAAGCAGTGGTGTGGCCCTTGGGCTGGGGACGGCGCTGGGTCTGGTAGCTCTCCTCCTTGGAGAAGTCGAAGTCAATGTCGGCGGAGGTGTTGGGGTCGACGCCGTAGAGCAGACGAATGTCACGGACACGGTGAAGGGGGATACCCATGGCGATCTGGAGCTGGGCAGCGGGCAGGTTGACACCGGAGACCATCTCGGTGGTCGGGTGCTCGACCTGCAGACGGGGGTTCAACTCGAGGAAGTAGAACTTGTCGTCGGAGTGGGAGTACAGGTACTCCACGGTACCGGCAGAGACGTAGCCGACCAGACGACCCAAGCTCACGGCGGCGCGCTCCATGGCCTGGAAGGTGGGCTGCTTGGCGATAGTGACGGGAGCCTCCTCAATAATCTTCTGGTGGCGACGCTGCACGGAACAATCACGTCCGAAGAGGGAGATGTTGTTACCGTACTGATCAGCCAGCAGCTGCACCTCCAAGTGACGGGCGTTGCCAGCCAGCTTCATGATGAAGATGGGCGATCCGGGAATTTCGTTGGCAGCGGCGTTGTACAAGGAGATGAATTCTTCCTCGTTCTCGACCTTTCGAATACCCTTACCACCACCACCTTCAGAGGCCTTGACCATGACGGGAAATCCAATCTCCTTCGCCTTGGCCAAACCCTCCTGTGGGGAGAAGGTGCAGCCCTTGTTATAGGTGTCATCCTCAACCGTCACAATGCCCTCGCTGTCCACCTTGACGGCATCGACACCGGTTCCAGACCAGGGAATGCAAGGCACACCGGCATGCTGTGCGACAATGGTGGAGGAAATCTTGTCACCCAGGGAGCGCATGGCCGAGGCGGGGGGTCCGATGAACAAAATCTTCTTTGGCGATGCCGCCAGCGATTCGGGTAAACGAGGGTTTTCGGAGGCGTGACCCCTGTCAGAGTATCAGCAAAGCAGTCTCCCTCATCTGATTGCCATCACTTACCATCCAGCCCACACGGCGTGCACGTCCATCCGCTCCGCAACATCGACGATGAGCTCGACGTTGGCATAATTATTATTATTGGTTCCACCAGGCACTTCCACATATTGGTCGGCCATTCGAATGTAGTCGGCGTTGGCGTGCAGATCCTCAGGCGTGGCCATCACGGTGAATTGGATGGCCCGCTCGTTGCCAAAGGTCTCGTAAGCCCATTTCCGCACTGAACGGATCTCTTTGACGGCAGCGATACCGTTGTTGGCGATGAGGACCTGGGGAGTTGTCAGCCTGGAAGCTCTCCATTTTCATCCCATGGCGACCCGCGAGTGCCGCAGATCCGCTCTCGTTCTGGATGACTTACGGATGTGATGACGGAGTGACCGTCGTGGGCGGCCACAAAGTCCTTCACCTTGCTTGGGGGTGCTGATTCGAGGGCATTGCCACCAATGAAATGTGAGGGAAGGTTGGATTTGGAGCTCCCAGTGACGGGTGCGCTACCATTTGTGACGGCCATGATCGTTATGGAAATTCCTCGGCCAGAATTGGGAGCACAGCAAGCTACCAGTGATTAAAAGTCGGGTAATGTACAAATGTTGAGAGGTGGCGGGAATGTGAGCGGGTGGCTGTCACTGGCAGAAAAAAGGGCGAGGGGAATGAGTAGAGAAAAAGGTCGACGGACTCTGCAAATGGACCAGGGTGTCAGCGTCGTCCCAAAAGAAACATCCCAATGCGGAATTGCAATGGCAGGACAGTTCGCAAACGGAGCTGTCACTGTAGAGGGTTGCACTCACCGGGAACCACCACCGAGTATACCTTATAGAATTAGGAAAAAGAATATGGAATTGCCAGAGAACAAGGAGGAAAGGCTGAATAAAACCCGAAAGAGAGAGCGAAAAGTGCTGAGAAGATGATTTTCTGGAGTCCCACCAGAGTGGAGATCCCACTGCAGTGACTGGTCGATGTACCTTCCCATAGTCAACAGTATGGCCCGGTACCTGGGCCAGGCACACGCTTCCCCAACTCCTTGGACTTTGTTGGGGGTTCCACTTGCCCACCACTTCTGCCACTTTTTCTTTTTTCGTTACATATTATACTATACTACTATAGTTATACTTACAGTAGAGGGCCTGAGATTGGAATTATTCATTGCATACGCATATAGTATAGTGGAATTGTAGGTTGTTTGTCTATAACTATAACTATACTATCCCATACTATGGAGTATACAGACAGTAACCACACACTCGGAGGGTTTGACATGTAATATACCTATGTTCATATCTCATTGGTCTTCCATTCCATCGGGGCTTATTCTGATCGGAGTCCGGCCTAGAAACTCGGGGATTTCGATCTCGGCCTACCACGGAGTACCGAACCCCCATAAGCCTTGTCAGATAATCTTCATGCGAACTACGGAGTTTAGTACGAGAGATAGATTAATCGACTCCACGTCACCCGAAAGTCATGGCGTTCACGCTATGCCCCTTTGATCTGCATGATTCAACGGCATTCGCTGGGATGCTGAGCGCCAATCACGGCCCCCAGATCCCACCCATTTCCCCCCAGCTACATCGGGGTCTACAAAGCAAAGTGCGGAACGTAAACATCGTGGGTATTATTGGATATTGAACGAGATGACGAGCTGAGACACAGCTTAGGACGCCCCCGGAATCCACCGGGGACCACAATGGACCAGACCGGGCTGGTAGATCAACCTGCGAATCGGAATCCCCAGCACAGGGGAGCTCATGCTGGTGCATGAAGCCGCCGATTGGGGGAAATATGTATGGCAACATGGAAAGATATGTGAAAATAATAATGCCCAGTCTCTCAAGGCAGAAAACCCACCCAACCCTCCATGCAAGTTCCAGAGATGCGAAAACCAAAAGCGATGAAATCAGAACGTCTCCCCAAGGTCGTTGGCCTGGGGCTTCCGGCTGGGGGGCGGCATGCTACCGGGTCCGATGCTGGTCTTGAAGCTTCGGGGTGCCGGAATGCCACTGATGGTTCGCTTCTTGACTACCGGGGTGGGGGTCGCCGTAACAGAGGGCCGTCGAACCTCGGGGGAGGTCTGCGCGGTGGTGGTGGGAGTAGAGATTTCCTGGTCGTGATCTTCATCGATGAGGCACATTCCGGCGATGTTCGGGAGCTGACCGGCATGGTTACTGAGAGATGACCGCGGTCGACGGCCCTCGGTCATGGGGTTGGTCGAGTAGTGGCCGATTGGGGTCTTGGCACCAGGCCGACTAGATCGACTTTCGGGCCTGCCGTTGACAGGGACACCGGAGTGGACGCTTTGGCTGAAAGAGCTGCGGCTGGAATAGCTGGTTCGGCTGCTCGGCCGGCTCTCACCGGTGCGTCCAAAGGACTGGCGGCTTTGCGGCTGGTACGAGGGAGCCCCTTCACTTTCCCGGGCGGAAGATCCAAGGCTGCTGTTGCTCAGTCGTTTACGAGAATTCCGTCGCACGGTGATGGACGATGCGACTGGGCTGTCGCCAACCACGGACCCGGAGCGAGGCGAGCCAAGAGAGGACGTATCCGAGGGCGCAGGCAAGCGCGATTTGGCTGATTGCACGCGCTCTTCAAGCTTTTGCATCTTGCCGATCAACCCACGGATCTGGTACAAGGATCCAGACTTCGGGAGCCCCGGTGGAGCCCGTGAGGTGCTGGCCTTCATGCTGTTGCGAGACGAGATCGACATTGATGGGGTGGAACGGCCATTGCCATTGCTGTAGGCACCGTTACTGTAGGCGAGAGATGGGGTTCGAGAGTGAGTAGGGGGGCGTGGCTGGGTACTGGTTCGTGTCTGGGTCCGCGCATGAAGGGTTCGAGAGTTGACGGGCTCTGCACCGGCAGCCCTCTGTCGCGGGAAACTAGGCACACTGCTCGTATTGATCGACTTTCGCATGTTCATGGAGGATTCGGAGATTGGAGGCGAGGGCGGGGTTGCTGCCGCCGATGCGAGGGATGGTTTCGCCGGAGGCGTGGCAAAGACAGGAGAGGAGGTTGCAGTGCCAGGTGAGCGGTCAAAGATCTCTAGGCTTTGCGGTGTTGCTGGGCTGCGGTGATACAGCGGTGTGGGCTTGCGGCGACGGAAGTTCCCGTGCCCTTCAGCGTTGCGAAGCTTTTCTTGCACAATCTCAGCCTCGATCTTCAGGTCGGATAGTTCATCTCTCAGGCGCTGGTTATCAATCCGCAGCTGCTCTCGCTCTTGCTCTCCGCTTCTCATTTCTTCTTCCAGCAGAACTCCACGCTCAATTCCGATGTTGTACTTGGACTCCATGTCCTCCAGGGACGAGGTGGTATTCCGGGCTTGTCTCTCGTAGTCATCGTTGGCAACTTCGATATCTCGCAGCCTCAGCTGAAGGGTACGATTCGCGTCTCGCAGGGTGGTGATCTCCTTCTGCAGGTTGTTTTGCGCCGCATTTCCCTCAGTCTTAGACTGCTTGTATTTGGTCTGCCGGGCGCAACGTCAGTTCCCATGGCAATAGAAGCAATTGGCATCATTTTGTATACCTTCCATTCATCAACCTCGTAGCGCATCGTGTCCAGCTTCTCTTTCAGTTGCCGCTCGCGTTTTTCCGACGCCTCGATGTCCTTCTCCAGCTCGGTCTCCAGCTCCCGGCTGGAGGATTGGAAGTCTGCAAGCTCTGCCTCGAGTGATTCATACTGGGCCTTGTAATGCGCCAGTTCATCTCTGTAAGAACTGCTTGTATGCTTCCGCTCGGAAGGGAACTCGTCGACGGCCGGCATCTTCGAGCGTTGGGCACCCAGACCGGTCGCAAGCGAGATATCTGGACGACGGGTCTCGTCCGAAATTGGCCGAGGTCACTAGAGACAATTCACCAGGCCGTCTTGCCCTGCAGATCGCACTCCAGCCCCTCTCAAACACTCATATGTTGCGTGGTGGCCCGATGTCAACAACCGTGCGTTTGATAAGAGCCCCTCGCCGAGGCGGTGACGCAAGGGATTGATCGTGGTCGGTCACACGTTTCCTCCACTGAGAGAGGGAAGAGTACTCGAGAGATGCAGAGTAGAGTATGCAAAATGTTGGTTTACCTTCGACCCGCCTCTTTTGTCACAAAGCGGGTTAGATTAGATCGGGCTGGGAGAAACCGATGTTGTTGTTTCGGTCGTCAGGGGCGGGACACGCTAAGCCTCATTGGGACGTGATCGAGTTCAGCCACCCACCGCTCTTGACGCCTGAGGCACTCACTTCTGCCTCAGTTCTCGGGCACCCATCACTTCCAGGCCTAAGCCTCATTGGAAGTTATCCTGATCGACTTCCGTCTGGATTCATCCCCAGTCTCCAGTCTTTGGGTTCGTAGGGCAACCAAGTCAGAGTGGTGAGTGACTTTTTGTTTACTTTGCAAATCTCAGTGTAAAACCCACCATGGGCCCACAAGATCTATAATCATGCCGTTGCGTTCAGACACCACTCCGGGGGACTATCCCCACGCACGCGTCTCTTAAGATTGTTGATCGCCCCATTTGCTTCCACGCACTTGTTTACCCCCGACTCCTTCCACACTCCTTCGATCCCAAGTGTCCAGGCGCCCAGGCTGGGTCTGGGAATATGCTCTAGCGTACATACTCACGGCGGTTTGTCTAGCAGAACTCTTTCCACGAGGCCCCGGTCCCATCTCCATCTATCACCATGGCAGACTCCACCGACCTCAATCTGGATGATGCACCCAGCGACCTTCAAGACATTCCGGAGCTGGCAATGCAACTGGTGCCACCTCCCGAAGGAACATATCCTGATAAGTAAGCCATTGTCTATCCCTTACTTGATGAAGACCATCTCAACAACTGACCTCCTGACAGGGCAACGCTGCTCGCTGCAGTCCAAGACCATGGAAAGGAACATGGCTACAATGTGGTCGTCAAGTCATCAAGCACGCCTACCGAAAAGAAACCCGGCCGCACGGCCAAAGTTTGGCTGCGTTGTGATCGGGGCGGACACTATCGACCGCGCAATGGCTTGACCGAGGAGACACGCAAGCGTCGCAGAACGTCGCGCTTGATGGATTGTCCCTTTATGCTTGTCGCGGCGGGTTCCCCGGGCATCTGGACCTTGAGCGTACTCAATGCCACGCACAACCACGGCCCCATCATTGAGAAGCCGCGCCAAGTGCCTCACCACAAAGTGCGCAAGGGTCAACTACCAGCCATTCCATATGATTGGCCGCATGACGCTTCCTTCACGCCGTACACCACTGCGCTCGTTATCATTGACATGCAAAAAGACTGTAAGTGCTTTGGCCCTATCTTCTATCATCCGAGCCATGTGACCTAACGCATCTAGTCTGTTTGCCCGAAGGATATATGGGATACCAGGGCTATGACATATCCGCTGCACAGGCCTTGATCCCACGTCTCCAGCGACTACTCCACGCTTTCCGCTCCGGGGGCTTCCCAGTGTATCACACTCGCGAGGGTAATTATCCACTTCTGTCCAAATCCTACGTGCATCAATAACTAATGAAATTAGGCCACCGCGCCGATCTATCTACTCTTTCCAGTCGTGAGGCTTACCGGTCTCGCAACAATGCATCAGGCCTAGGAATTGGTTCTCCAGGCCCCATGGGCCGTCTACTCATTCGTGGTGAACTCGGTCACGACACTGTTGACGAACTTTACCCTCTCGTCGGTGAGCCGGTCATTGACAAGCCAGGTCGTGGTGCATTTGCCCACACGGATTTTGAACTTTTGTTACGCAACAAAGGCATTAAGAACATTGTCATCGCAGGGGTGACTACCGACGTCTGCGTTTCGACTACCATGCGCGAGGCGAATGACCGCGGCTTCGACTGTGTCGTTTTAGACGATGGCACTGCAGCAGCTGAACCATCCCTTCATCTAGGCACAATTGAATCAGTCAAGATGGAAGGCGGAATATTCGGTACCGTTGCCAAGTTGGAAGATGTCATTCATGCGGTCGACAATTTCAAAGCAGTTACCATGAAGAAGCTGGCCCCTCAGATGACGGCCTAGCTGTTTCCTTCTCATTTTTAGCGAACTGGCTTGGGTACTGGACTGGACAGGATACGTTTGGAGTTTGGGGCTGGAGTTTTTCTCTTTTGCTGCCTTATTTTTTTCTTCTTTCTTCTCACGTGCTACAAAGCATATCGTCTCTTTACTTTTCGGGAATTTCTCATAGGCATGGTTGCGGGACGAAAGTCTGAACTGATCCCGACTCGGCTTGGTTTCATTAGCTCGTCCAAGGCTTGAGGCTCAAAAATTTGGCTTCCGTTGGCATCAAATTCATGGATGTCGTTCGATATCATACCTTTTCTACACTGTTTCATGCATTTGACAGAGGATATTTAGCTTGGTCATTAAATTTGCACCTCGGCGTCTAAAATTATGCAAAGCAGGCCGAGTGATGTTATCAAAGCAGAACAGCCAGCCCTTCTATACAAGTACAAGTCCACAAACGCCACGCTCACCAACCAAAGGGAACACCAACCCAACCTAAAGCCATTTTTTCCCAGCAGCAGTAACCCGTGTTCTGAAAACAGGACTCTTGATCTCCATGCCCTGCTTATAGAACGGGTTCATCGCCGTCTTGACGTAGTTTTCATAGACCTCATTCATGAACTGACGCACAGCCTCCTCGGTCTGTGGGGATGTGGGGTTCGCAGCAATGGAGCTTGAGGAAGCGCGTGTGGTTGATCCTGCACTTCCCAGTAATGAGGATGCTCCGAGGCCACTGCTCCCGGTAGAGGAGGGGAGGTGTGGGGGTTGGTGGAGGAGGAGAAAACGGGCGCCGCTAGGGGTCAAGAATGCTGTGATATAGGCTGCTGCTGGTGGGTATGTATCGATGTGCTTCAAGTACCTTTGCGACTATGTCAGCTTCTAGTTCCACGTGTCAATTGGTTCTGAGTGCGGTGGCTTGTGGAATCAAGATCCCCTGATAGCCCGGTGATAGTTTCGTGGCACACTTCAGAACCAAGTGTTTTTGGGTTGCTCGGAAACTCACATTGAGCCATTTGTCCACTGCGCTTCTTCAAGTATGTCTAGACTTGAGTGAATGATGAACTGGTTCATGTACTGTGCTGTCTCTGGGAAGCGGAAGCGGGCAATGCCATCGCCACCACCCTTGGATGTGCCGAAGGCAATATTAAACAGAGGAGTGTCGGTCGGCGACAATATGGTAAAGTAGTAAGACATTTTGTGCTGATCGCGATTTATCAGAGTCGGGTTGCGAAGGCTAAGAGCCATTGGGGCTGTTTGGTGGTGCCCGGGAGATCACGTGGTGTGATGTTGCCCAGGTGGCCAACAGAGTACGGGGTATACGGACCCTGTGTTAGACAATATTGAAACTCTTGGCCGGACCCCACGAGTGAATTTGGATCAGACTGGGTCTGTATATGCTTTATGCATCCTTGTCATCTTGGATATCCCCGATTGAGCCAAGTGTGCCCAGGTGTTGGTATGTGAATAAATTTGGAGGCTGTCGTCAAATATATATTGTTGCTTGTGAATGTGGAACCAGCCCTGGAGAAATCCCTAGAAGTTTACATGACTCGTTCGCTTCCGAGCTTCCAAGGTTTTGATTCACCCTATATACTCTATTCTTGTCCATTTGCCTTTGCGAATTAGGACATGGACACATGAGATGTATGTACACGACTGGAGTAGTTCCGAAAGATACCCCGAATCCCCCGCACAGGACCACCCACGTGACTTGCGATAAGCAGCTGTCTTATCGCGACGTATCGCAGTCGCAACTTTTTGACCTCAGCAAACTCCAAGCCTCCAAGACTACGCTCTACCGTTCATACCATTCATACCATCCCAAACACTACATGCTATCAACATAACTTGGATGATACAAGATGCCAATGAACATCAGCCTTGGCAATAAAAAGCCTGCAGGCCCGAAATCAGGAAACCCTCTCGGCCAGAAGCGAAAGAACATATTTGATGATGATTCTGGCGCCGAAGACGAGCAGAATAAGTCCGGCGCAGTTGAGGTTTCGACCATTGGAGGGTTAGAGGAGCCGGCACCAAAAGCACCCACGAGCGCAGGCCCCCCACCGAAGCGCAAGATGCAATTCGGAGGCGCAGCCAAGCCAGCAATCAAACCGCTCAGCAAGAACTCCCTGTTTGCAGACGACGAGGATGAGGACGAAGCAAAGGAGAAAGAGCAACAGGGCCAAATGCACCTGGGGTTGAACCAGGCAAAGTCGAAGAATTCAGCCGCTCCTGGCAAAGATTTCACTAATCTGTCAGCAATGCACAGCAGCAAGAAGCATGCCAAGGAAGCCGAAGAACTGGATCCATCTATTTACTCGTACGATGCCGTATATGACAGCCTACATGCCAAACCTACCAAATCATCTGTGAACACCAAGAGCGAAACGCCAAAATACATGCAAAACTTGCTGCAAAGCGCCGAGATCCGAAAACGAGATCAACTCCGGGCAAAGGATCGTCAACTTGCTAGGGAACGTGAAGCTGAAGGCGACGAATTTGACGACAAGGAGAAGTTCGTGACGTCCGCATACAAGGCACAGCAAGAAGAATTGCGCAGGGCCGAGGAGGAAGAGGCACGCCGTGAACAGGCAGAGGAAGAACGCCGGAAGAAGAGTGGAAATTCCGGCATGATTGGGTTCTACCGAGACGTTCTTTCTCGTGGCGAAGAACAACACGAACAAGCCGTCAAAGCTGCCGAGGAGGCTGCCCGTCGCGTCAAAGAAGGCGAGCTCCCAGAAGAGACAAAGGACGAGAACGAGAAGACCGAGGCGGAGAAGGCCGAAGATCTCAACTCTCGCGGTGCTCGTGTTGCTGTCAATGATGAGGGCCAAGTTGTCGACAAACGACAGCTGTTGTCCGCGGGATTGAACGTGGCACCGAAGCCAAAGTCTCAAGCGCCGGCACCCAAACCAGCTGCACGGCCAGCTGCACGGCCAGTTGCTGGCCACCAAAACGCCCGGGCCGCCCAAAGAGCTCGACAAACAGACATGGTTGCCAGCCAATACGAGGAGCGTGCACGCCAAGAAGAGGAGGCCGAGGCCGCCAAGCAGAAGGAGATTGCAGAGAAGAGTCGCAGCCGCAAGACCGAGGGAGAGGTTTCCAGTGCGAAGGAGCGATACCTCGCAAGAAAGAAAGAGCGCGAAGAAGCCGCAGCAAAGGCCAAGGGGGCTTGAATGTACAGAGATGGGCGATTTGGTTGTTTTACTATTAGATTATCATGCATAGCGACTGAGACCTCGGGAGACTTGCCCAGCTGCGCCAGGTACCTAGGTACGGAATATAGTACACTAATCATGATATCAGACACCTGGGCATCCATGGATGCCTCCCTGGCTCTGAGTCATAAAGGATGTTGCCCTATGGTGGTCACCTGGGGATGGGATAAAAGTCATCCCATAAAGATTTCTTCTCTTACATCAACCTTCCATCTCCATCTTTCTGATATCGATTTGAATCGCCAGGTCCAGAGATTTACTTGTAAGTGCTTGATCAAGGGCTCTACTTCGGAGAAAAGTGCCAAGCCCCTTAACTCCGGATTACCCAATCAATCACATGACCCCACAAGGGCTGAGTTAATCCGGAATCCGAAAGTGCCTCGCTAAGCCGCCCCACACAGGTCGCACTCCCGAATTTTGCACTCAATCGAGACTCCAAGAACCGCTTCACACACCACTTCCATCTTCATCAACGTCAATCATCCAACATGGGTAAGGTTCACGGCTCTCTCGCCCGTGCCGGTAAGGTCAAGGCTGCCACTCCTAAGGTGAGTTATACTCGAAATCCAACGAACGCCACTCGAGATACGGTCGCAGTGGTCATCAAACCGGAACCATCGTTTAACGACAATTTTCAAACCAGGTCGAGCCCCAGGAGAAGAAGAAGAACCCTAAGGGTCGCGCCTACAAGCGTGTGGTCTACACTCGCCGTTTCGTCAACGTTACCATGACCGGTGGCAAGCGCAAGGTACATACCGACTGATTCACCCCACGCACAACCCGATGAAATATTCGCGACACCGCCACCACACCCAGATCGGAAAAGGAACAGCAGGCTGACCAGGCGCCATTTACAGATGAACCCCAACCCCGGCCAATAAATTATTCAAGTCGTTAAAAGCACCACCTGAGCCGCGATCGGCTAGTCGAGTTCTACGATGAAAATCTTCGCATAACCACGGCACGACCACGGCCCAAACGAACGAAAGCACACCAGAATCTGCTGGTACTTGTACGGATGATATCACGCTTCTTCGTCTTCACTTGAATTTTTTTTTGCTGGTAACGGATGGCTTATTTGGAGGTTGCACGGAAATCGCATGAATACCCATGGCGGTCTGAGGATGGAAAGCTGTGGCAAGATGTGAGCTGTCCATGGGCAGTCGCAGACTTGACCAGAGTCATTTTTCGACTCTTTACATAGGCTGTTCCATGAATTGCATTTCCAATCCAGAAATGGACCTTGTTTCTTTGTCGACGCTCTGGCGATGTATGTCGTGTAGATCCGAAACGGTCTTTCACGCATCAGAAGCATCTGATCTTGATATTTGACCTCTCGAGTTGTAGACTGGTTATGCCCGCGTGCCCCGCTGATGGATAGCCGATCTCGATCTGAATATGTGGACAGTGAGGGCACGGTGACCCGGGATCTCCAAATCCCCAGCCACCGGGTCAAGCCGCCCGGATACATGGCTACGGAGCATTCCCGGGGACTGCTGGGCCTATAATCGCTCGCTTTTTAGCCATATCAAATCGCCGTCTTGATCGCTTCTTCGCCGTTTGTAGCCTACCCGGAAGCTGAGTCTACGTACACATGTCTTCTGTCGTCGGGAACCTGCGGTAGAACAGGCATTAGGGCAATGCATCACGCAGTGTCCTGCAAGAAATAAATAATTAGCAAGTCGTTTGGTGACTCCCAAGTTCGACAACGAAGCACGATTTTACCATTCTATTCGACTCCTATCAATGTGTTAACCAGAAAAACCTTGGAATGGCAAGGTTGATTCATACTCTATCGGAACAGAGCATCATTCCGCATCAGGCGAAATCAGTGGGAAGTCGAGCCGTGGAGTTGTCTCCCTGTACAGGAGGATAGCCTGTTTGGCCTTCCTAGTCGAAACATGCGCTGCCTGCACAGGTGTCCAGTATCAATTCATCCCACCCATTTATCCTCTCTCTCCTCCTTGGCACTCAATCTATACTCTGGTTGGGATTAACCATCTCATCGAGGCTGTCGGCATTTGACTTCGGATCTCTAGGCCTGGTGGCTCGAGTGCATGTGGTCAGGATCAAATACCAGTCATGCGAGGTGGCACACCTCGGGATGAGGCGGCAGGGAGGTATCCCGAAACGTACAACTGAATCTGCGTCGCTACCCATGAGACTCGTATAATGATGTATGATTGCAATTGCTTTTTTTTGGACGCGTCATCTCAAATGCGTCCTTTTGTATTCAAGCCAATGTGAATTTGGCCATATTACGAAGACTCATGTTGCAATCGTTCTGTCCTGACGGTCTCAAGGTAGAGAAACCGCTTATTCGATGACGGTGTCCGCATATCCTCGGATCGGGGGACTCTCCAGGATGTGCATCTTTAAGTTTGCATTGAGGCTGTGGGTAAACGAATCTGACGGCACTTCATTGTGTTGTCTCACGTCTAGCCAGAAACCTGAACCTTGGAAGCATCTGGGTCTTTTGGTATCAACCAAGTATCTTCAAGAGTGCAAGGGATGACGTGGGGAGAAGCGTTTGAAGACCTGGGGACGGCAAAGGCGAAGCTGGCTTTCCAGATGTCGGTGAAGACCGACACAAGAACCTACCCAAGGGAGTGTATACTCAACATCTGTAATGGGTTAGCACCTAGGTCATTTACTCGAGGGCTGATGGTTGATCTGTGCAAGTCGGTGTGTGTATGGTGTGCTATCCGGAGGCTAGTTCGGTAGTTTCGTGGACTGATTGATTGAATTTTTGGCAGGTCGAAACTCTGATTCGAAGCTCAATGCAATGACTTCAAAAGCCACTGTATGATATCTTCAAGGTGATGGCAGCTGGACGGCTTTGGTCGCGGTTGACCGGCGGTTTCATGTCGTGTAGCGCGTTCAGCTGAGTTTATACTGGCCTGGCATAATCAGATAAAGGAGTAGCCAAGCACCTGAGAGTTAGAGAAGCGAAAGCGATGGCGACACATCAGTTGGCCCGAAGGTTGTTGTATACTCCGTGCTCACAACCGGGGAGTGGATCCATGGATACAAGGGGTGGGGCCGGGTTCCCGTCCAATGATAGGGCTTACATGAAGTATAAGGACCTCGGGATGCCAACGACAACCTCAAAGAGCGTGCAATGCAGTGTTGAGGAAAAGGAGAGGAAATGGGGAATTCAAAATGTTTTTAAATGAGCAGAAGAGCTCAGGGTGGGGATTGAACATCCAACCTCGGCCTGAAACGGAAGGAGCTCCTTCCCCATTTGTCGAGAAATGAAAGACTTCATCGTCAACTCAAGAGAGATGTACTTCATGGATTTCCAAATCAGGATTGCTAATTCGCCTCTGCATGAGCTGAGCTGGCGTTTGGAGGCATATAAGCTGCAACTCTGGAATAGACTTTGGTCAAGTTTGGAGGCTCTCCGATATCCAGGCGGGGAGTAATCTGGATACAAAGATCTCTGAACAACATCTCCTGGAAGTTAAGAGTCTCTATATCATGTACAGAAAGTCCTATATTTCAACATCCTCCCCCAGTAGTCGACTGGTCAAGATCTCCGACTTGACATCCCCCTAGGTACCTAGGTTTTAAAGAGGGTGTTCACCGGTACTGACTACTGCCTGTGAGGCCTTGTCCTTCTAAGGTTTCAATCATTGGTTACCCTGGGAGCTGATCACCCCCTTGGTAATGGTCACACTAGGTAAACCCTGCGCGTCTGGTTCGCCCGCGTTACTAGCAGGGAGACCGTGACAGGTTAATCCTTAGGATGGCAAGTGTCAACATCGGGACACGGTTTGCGGACAGCCCTACTAGGTAGTGAGTAGGGTGTTGAGCGATGCCACCGTGTGGGTCCAAACCGGACTGGATTCGTGAGGCTCTTTTTGCTGATCTCTCATACTGTCCCCATCCCCATCCCCAATCATGATGCTGTACACACAACACGTTGATGTCTGCCTCATCACCATCTTCTTCATCCACCACAAATAATATCTGCCTCACTTATTGACCATTGCGCGTACGCCTGACGTCTCACCCTGATATTGCACCCATGATTCTCGAATCTTTCCATACCCAAGAAGTGAAAAGTTCACTATCACATGGCCCCAATTCGCCCACTGCCACTGCGAGGTATTCGAAAACCACGAAAAAAATTTGAATTTTCGAACAGACCCAGCCTTTTCCTTTATTTATTTAGTGTGATGATATTCTCTCAAGGCAAGATATATATCCTTGGACTCTGAGGCGTATAAATGCTTTGACTCCCCAGTCTCCACACGGGTAGTCAAATGAGCTCGACTAGTATGAATATGCTGAGTCCAAAAAGTTACTACTAGGTAGTTCGTACATGGAAATAAGTTGGCAGATTCGCTAAGATTGGCACCGCAGCCAATGATAATACTGCCTCATTAGCTACTAGGTACTAGGTAGACGACCACTAGCTTCCAAGGTTCCAAGATTGCAAAGGAATTGATGGCCCATAGGTCGAAGTATTTGCTTATAAGGGTGCCATTACACCAAGAGTGCAATTTCAACATTGGAAAGTATGTACTCAATAATAATGGTCATTGAAAAAGGCCCTGACTAATGCTTTGGAGAACCCGTGGACAGATACCGGATATTTTTGAACTAAGTTTGAACTCGGAAGCATTAGTGCCTATGTGTTGTTGAGCTAGCACAGGACCTAAGGGGTTCTTGCTCTTATCCATACATCAACTAGGACCTCGGGGCGGACCCCCAAACTTGGAAGCCATGAGCGCAGCTTGTCATAAGTGATGCAATAACATTCTAGTCTGATATTTTCGAGAGGTATGACTATTCTCAACAATTGTCAAATTAGGGCGTGGCTCTCGGTGTACCGAGCTATCACATGGGAGTATCATACCGAGCTTGCCAAATCCATCGTCATGAAAAGTTGCTGTATGTCCAAGAAAAGGTGAAGTGACCTCACCAAGTATGAATTTCGGATGACCCGGCAGGGCTACCACGGTGCAGTCAGTTAGAAGATCAATGATTGGATGTCCCAGCAGCAGAGACTCTCGGATCCACGGGTCGAATTAAGGTTGTGAGTGGCGTGGTTTAGGTAAGCACCCCAGAGCCCCACAGGAGCAGTGACCGGCCAATCTTCGCTTGACTTCTGCACCTCCCAGGGTCTACACGTCACTGGGAATCAGTTACACTGACTTCATTCAACCCTCCAGACATTACCCCACACTCGGAATGACATTGATGAGATCCATATTCTATCCGGGGATCGACGAGTCTCCCGCGTGATGGGTTCACACCAGTGCAATGCGACGAGCGATGCCGAGACGCTTCAAGATGGACCTGACCCCTGAGACCTCGGATGTTGAGAAAAAGACAGGTGATAGGGATATAAAAAGATTGCTATCACAGTCAAACAAAAAATTCACGATGAGAGACCTATGACGAAGCTCCAGCCCAAGTGGACACCGGCTCTCGGCAGGTCCACCAATCCCGCCGCTTCCACGAGGTTGAGCATCATCGACTTTCCGATATGCACTGTGAAGGCCTAGTCAATTGAATGAATTGGCTTGCGGACCTCAAGTCCCAAGACATGCGATGCCTTGGTTCAGATGCAAAGCAGGGAATCTGTTGTCTCATACGCCAAGGTGCGTTGTTACACCCACTGCTGGACGTGAGAGTTCTGCGGAAATGACCGACATAATCCCATGATGCAATTGGAACGAGGAAAAGCGCTAATACTATTTAGAGCCCGTTATTCCGGGGACTCGCATCTTCCATATCAATATTCATGACATTTGACACAACGATTACACGACACAATTTTTTGATTTATTCCTGGTCTTTATGACCAAGTATTGCTAGTATCTTTGTTAATATCTATACAACCCTCTCCAAATAACACACAACACAACATCATGTCCGCCGAAGAAATGAACACGAAGCTGCCACAAGGCGAGCAGAACGAAAGCCTCGGATTTGCTAAGAGACTAAGCAAGAAACTGTCAATGAGCCACGGAAACAAAGAAGGCTCTTCCCAGGGAGGAAAGGCCAACGAGATCCTCAACAGAAGCTCATCCATTCGGGACGAAGTCAACCAAGGAAACTTCAACGGTGCCAAGGAGATCATTACCAAAGGCCAATCAACCAAGGAATCAGTCAGCCAAGGTGATTTCGCTGGAGCATCAGGCAGCGCGGGAAGAATCACCAAAGATGCCACCAACCAGGAGAACGCCCAAGATGCCCAGCAAGTTGGCAAGGGCGGAATCGGACAAGACAACACTGGCAAGACTCCCACAGGTGACTCGAATCTCGAGCAGAGAGACACCCAGACTGGCCAGTCAGACACCGCAAATCCGAAGCAAGACGACAGCGGCAGAAAATCCGAGACCCAAGAAGAAAAAAAGGAAAAATCACCCAAAGAAACACCGGACGCCCAAGGCGATGAAGCCCAAAAGTCGGAAAAGACAGAAAAGAAGGATCGCAGGGGCAGCGTGGCAGCTGGTGTCCTCGAGCCCAACTACGACATCCGAAAAGGACCCATCACTGTTCCCGGCACTTTCCAAGAGAAGAACTACCACAGCAAGGATGGAAAAGAAACTATCATGCCAAGAGGAGCCAACAGTAAATCTCTCTCGGAGGAGGCAACGGACGAAAGCAAAAATGCCAATGCCAATGCCAGCCAAGCGAACGCTGAACAGCGAGACTTTTCCAAATCCGAGTCCGGCAAAGCGGAAGATGCTACTCCGAGCCAAGCAAAGTCCGGAGCTGCCATTGCCGGCGGAGACTACAGCGACAGCTTTATCAAGAACGAGCTCAATGATCAGAGGAACATTGGCCCAGATGTTTTTGACGACGGCACTGGCGGCAAAGACGCTTCCAAGATGTCAGCAGGTCAAGATGCTTCAGGCAAATACCACCTTGACAAGGCACATCTTGACAGGCAGGGTTCCCTGACATCGCAAGAAGCCGGCAAAGGCGCCGCCGCCGCCGCCGCTATCACAGGTGGAGGCTATGCAGCTAGCAAAGGGGTTACCAGCAAGGGATCTACCACTCGAAACTTGACGACCAAACAAGCATCGACCACTGGGTCTGGTGCTGTGGCAAGTCAAGACCCGGCATCGATTAGCCCGAAGAGTGGAGCTGTTGCTGCTGGTGCATATGGTAACACAGCCAGACCAAACTTTGCAACCAAGCACAAATCCTACGCCGAAGCAGCTAGCAGCCAAAGCAGTCTTTCGGATAACGCCAAGCCCACTGGTGGAGGCATTCGAGAAGCTGCTCCCTATGCAGGAGGCATTCGACAAGCTGATCCCGCCGCTCCCTCTGGTGGAGGCATTCGAGAAGCTGCTACCTCTGGCGGAGGCATTCGAGAAGCTGCTCCCTATGGCGGAGGCATTCGACAAGTCGATGCCTCTGGTGCCACCAGCAAAGGTGGCTTCAGTGGTGGCGTGGCTGGTCTCGGGAACACCCAGTCCCGAGGCTCGAAGTCCACCGTCGTCGAAGGCGTAACCACCAAGCGCACTGTCAGACAGCTCAGTACTGGTGGTTACAAACTCACTGTTCTACAAGAGAAGGTCCAGGCTGTTTCTCACAAGTGCAAAACTCAACTTGGCTTATCTTCGAGTGAGATTAGCAAGCGTAGCACTAATGTCGATGCTTTCTTCGATGCTGTCGCCGTTGAGCGTCTCCGTTGGATGCCTCGGGATGGAAGCAGACTCGATTGCAGTCTCCGCTGGGCTTCTAGACTGGCATATGCTGTTGACGCCCTGCGGGAATCTGTCGGAGCCTTTGCACCTGCTGCAAACGAGGCTGCGACCCTCATCTGGGGATTCACTATCCTTTTACTTGAGGTGAGTGGTGCAGAAAAAGGAAACAACCTGAAAGTTGATGCTAACAATTTGGAAAGTCTGACCTTGACAACACTGATGTGTTTGAGAGTGTCTTTGGACGTTATGGTCGTGTCGCCGTTGGCGTCTACCTGCTCCTGCAGTATGAGACCGCCTACAAATCTTCCCCAGAGCTTCAGCCCGAAGTCGCAGCTGTCTTTGCAGACCTGCTTGAGATGGTTTGCAGCACCACCATAAGCTGTGTCGATGGGTTAAAGAGCAAGGAATCTGATCAGGTCATCGGCCGCAACGTGGATTCTGCCTTTGTGACCTACGCCAAGCGCTTCTCAACCCACTGGAACATCATCGTTGATGCTCACACATCCAAGATTGTGGAAGGTAGCTCATTGATCTATTCATCGCCCGAACTTGGCAGCCTGCGTCAGTTCCTCGGCGTACAAGACCGCCCTTTGCAATTCATCCTGGACTCGCGTGCCCACTCAATTGCCGAGGGATCGTTTGAGTGGTTCAATAACACACTCTACGACTTCACGGTTTCGAGTTCTCCTGCGATGGTGATTGCGGGTGGTCCTGGATCTGGAAAGAGTGCATTGGCTCAATGGACCGTGGAGAGATTGCAAGAGTCGGCAGAGCATGACAGTTGGAACGTGGTTCCATACACCATTCGTGAGTGAGACTGAAAACACGATCCTGAAATGAAGGCTAACCAAGTGAAGGCGCCGATATCCCTGTTGCGACATTGCCCCTGCGCATCCTGAAGGGTGTTTTGCACCAGATGTTGGATCACTCCGTGAGCGACAAGATTACCCAAGAGGCAGTCCTGGTCGAAGTTGCTCAGGCAGCTCAGGCAGCTATTGATGGAGCCGGAGATGACTCAGTCGAAGAATCTTTGTGGAAGGGTATCCAAGCTGGTCTTTCTGCGAACATCCAGTACATGTTCGTGGTTGATGGAATCGACCAGATCAAAGGTGGAGATGCCGAAGCTACGGCATGCCTGGACCACTTCTGCGATCTTCTGTCACACCAGAACGCTGGATCTAAGATGATTGCCTTCACCAGACCTCTCAGCACGAGACCTCATTCGAAGGGTATCCAGCAATTTACTATCCAGCCTTCGCAAACCAAGACAGATCTCACATCATATGTCAGCAAAATGCTGTCGTATAGTGCGAACTTCGATACCCAGAAGAGCAATCAGTTCAAGGCTGCCGTGTCTGCCATTGTTGGACGGTCACAGGGCTCATTCAGCTGGGCAGAAATGGCAATTGCATATGCGAAGCAACAGAAGACTCTAAACCAGGCTGTTTCCTCTGTGCAGAGCTTGCCACAGACCATGCCAGAGCTACTTGACTTCCACTCAAAGCACATTGATCTCAGCCAGCAGGGCACAATCAACGTTGTTTCCTGGCTCGCTGCAGCCGAGAGACCTCTACTCGTGGAAGAGGTTGAGCACTTGCTGAATGTGATCCCCTCAAGCCCCAGCTACATTTCTAAGCGCCCGCAGGAAAGCTTCGAGATTCTGAATGCGCTCAGTCCTTTGGTCATGACTCGCGACGGTGTCGTATCATTTGCACACACATGCATCCGTGATCATGTCATCAAACAGGCTAAGTCAAATGGAGGACAGTCAGAGCTCAGCCTCAAGGATGCGCATTACGATCTTCTCTCTAGATCACTCTCCTGCGTGCAGTTGAGTATGAGTGAAGAGGTTGATGTCTCCCTCGATAAACTGAGCATGGAGGAGCGCAACCAACTTTTCGACAAGTATGTCGTGTTGGAATATACCGCGCGCTACTGGTTGTCACACCTTCTGTCTTCTCCTCTCGTTACCGATGACGGGGAATTCCACTTTACCTCGGACTTCAAGAAGCTCATGCCCGCAACAGTCCTGTTCGCGCGTCTGGAGCTGACTTGTCGCGAGTCTCAGTTCACTCGGTCCAGTGTGGTAGAGCTCTATCGACTTGCAAGTGACATTCGGCGAGTGGTGCTCGGCGAAAAGTCTATGGCGTTATTAGAGAGCCTTGTTCTCAGTGCACGGGTTTCCAAATTGGCCCACGCAAGTCACGCCGACGAGCATTGTTATGAAGCGTGGAAGATGAGCCAAGAGCTTCTCGGCCAGTCCCACACCATCACTCTGACCTGTGCTGAGATGATGACTGAGTCATTTGCCGAACGAGGATCAATGACATCGCAGCAAGAGGACATCATGAAGTATCTGATTTTGACTGACTCTGATATCACCGGAGTCGAGTTCAACCAGCGCCTGAAGTACCTTGGAATGATCGTTGGCATGTACAAGTCCCGTGGCGACAACAAATCTGCCCTCTTCATCTCGAAGCACTTCTACCAGCAAATTCTTCAGAAGTACGGAACCAACTCGCACCAGTCATCGGAGACTGCAGACTTCTTGACCGGTCAATTCTCCACAACTGGAAGCGACGAAATGAGCCGTGATATTGCGAGAACCAAGTATGATAATGTGGTTCGCACCATGGAGGTTACAGACGATCGCCGCATCAGTTACACTCTTTACATGGCAGAGATGTACGAGAAGCAGGGTGATAAGGTTCATGCCCAGGCTGTACTTTCCAGCCTCTGGGCTGGTCTCAACTCACGAGACATTGATTCCGTCGATATGATGGATAAAAAGTCCAATGTTGCACTTGTTTACTACCAGTTCCTGCGCCGACAGGGCCGAAATGACGAGGCCGAAGTGATCATCCGGGAATTGGTTGCTGATCTCGAGGTGACCGGTATCCATTCCTCGGAAATGATGCAGCGCGTGTCACTCCTCAAGTCAGAGACTCGTGAGATGCACATGTATAGTCTGGATCGTTCCTTGTCCGTCCTCATGTGGCGTTACTATAAGGAGACCCACCAGGAGTACTCCGAGGAGGCGACTGCCCTTGCGCTTTCCATCGCTCAGAGCATGGCAAATGCGGTCTCAATTGAGGACGCTTCGTCCCTTACCTTGCGCGATCGCAAGCTGCTGGTCGAGCTATTGGACGTGATCTCAGCTAGCTCGAACAACCTCACAGTCACGACATTGATCATGTGCCACAACCTCTCTAGCATCTACGTCCGCGAGGGAGACTTTATACAAGCCAGTGAATGCACAATGGCTGTTATGCAGCATATCTGGCCGACTGTGGAACAAGCCAAGTCCTACAAGGAGTTCTCGCATGAGCTTGCACCTCCCGCGGCAGATCTTGCTCTGGTCCTGGCATACTGCTACTTCCGCAGGCTGCATCTGGAGCAGGCCACGATTGTGTACCAAAATGCCTTTGGATCTCTGATTGCTTCCGACAGAGTCCCCGTTCCATCTGTGCTGGCTGTCGCCAAGGCCGTGGTTGGATTCTACGAGACGTCCTATCAGTTCAACAAGGCGCTCACTCTGTTGCACACAGTCAGCAACTTCCTGTCTTCTCGGATTGGTGAATCCCACAAGCATACCATCGACAACATGTATCTTGAAGCTGCTCTAGCGACTCGCCTTGAGATGCCTGGTGAGGCCAAGAGCGTGTACCAGAGAATCTTCAAGGCTACTTCGCAGGAGAAGACCATCGCCCCCGAGGGTATCGAGGCCGCAATCGCGCTTGTGGCTCTGTACGAGTCGGAGATGCAGTGGGACTCTGCCCTGGAAGTTTACCGAGCTCTTTGGCCAACTTTGGTTGTCGAGGACAACAAGGAGGAGTCATACGATCACACTCTCTTGGACCGAATGCTCGAAAAGACTTACATGGGATACATGTCTATCTTGACGACCAAGAGAACCTCTGGATTTACAGAGCGGTGGCAGGTCGCCTCCGACTATGTCATGACTTGTCGCCATGTGCATGGTGAGACTAGCCAGAAGACGCTGAACGCCACTCTGCTCTTCGCCGAGCTATGCGAGTCCAGCGATCTGTACATGGACCAAGCAATCAACCTGTACAAACTTCCTCTTCAGACCAGCGAGTGGGTTGCTACCCCAGAGGCTTCGAAGGGTCTAGATCAAATGACCGCTCCCTTGCCCATTACACTCAAGCATAAGCTCGCTCAGCTGTTTGTTCGGAAGCATGACTCAACCAGCGAGGCCCGCTCCCTATATACAGAGGAGTTCCAGTTAGCCAAGAAGACCCAAGGATACTTCTCGACCACCACGCTTTCTTGGCTGCGGGAGCTTGCTCTTGCGCATTCACGACAGAGTACCCCTACATCTGTGCAGCAAGGGAATGCCATCTTGCATACCTTCTCTACAGATGTGCTGCATGCCGGTGGCGACTCTGATCAGGTAGGCGATTGGGCACGCAGAATTGCAACCATCTATCTCGAATGCGGATTCATCGAGGGGGGCAACAACGTGCTCGACGAGCTCCGCCAACGCGTGATCTATAGCTCTGAAGCTTCAGCCATGACTCTAGGTGAGCGTCGCGACGCTGTGTTCGTGGCTGCCTTTGAGGAAGTGTTCGGAAAGCGTGCCAGCTACGACCAAATCATGAAAGAGATGGCTCGTGAGATGGGTACCTACCAAACATTCTCTAAGAACCTCTCTGGCCACGACTTCGTGCCTACCTTGATCTCTGGCCATGTGTTGTACACTCTCCAGCACGATCAGAAGCGAACCCGCGCTGCAAATGACACCAAGGATAAGTTGTACGATTACTTCTGCTCCAACCTGTCTGCCACCAGTGTGAGCGACAAGGGAATTGTACAGCAGTTCTACCAGATCTGTCTACGCGAAATCCACCACGAGAACTACACCACCAGCATTCTCAATACGTCTACAAACCTCGTTCGCGAACTGTGCAACTCGTCCCGGTTCCAGGAAGCCGCTATTCTGACGGGTGTGCTGCACTCGTTCCTGCACCTGACCGATGGCTTGAACAACTATGAGAACATCAAGACCGCCACGCAGATCTGTCTGTACTTGAGCGGTCACAAGGCAACCAAATGTACAGATGAAGAGACTTACAGTGGCATGTCAGTGAAGTCAAAGCTACTCTTGCAAGACATCATGACAGCATCCAAGTCCATCGGCATCGAGATGGTTGACATGCCCTTCAGCGACCTGAACAACATCATAACCCTTCTAGGCGAATACGAAATGTTCGACGACCTGGAAGCCATCCTAACCCAGCTCTGGACCTCCCGCATCGTCCAACGCACCTGGACCCCAGACGTAGTCGTGTGGATTGGCCGACGCCTAGTCGAAACCCGCTTCTGCCGCGGCCACATCGACTCTTCCATCCAGCTCTGCCGCGACATCTGCTACAATCTGCGACAGGTCTGGGGAAGCTGCGATCCTGTGACTTTGGAAATGACCAAGCTGCTCTCCGGTCTCTTCACTGCTTCCGAAAACCACCAGTCAGCGGCAACCTTGCATGAAGGCATCCTGTATGATCTGCTCGGCGATTCTGATGCGAAGACCCATGAGAATGGCGCCGATACTGCTTCGCAGCACATGGAACTGCTGCGTCGGGCGCAGGGCCGACTGGGCGGCCAGACCTCGAAGAGGGCTTCGGCGCATGCCGGATTGTTCCAGTCGCTTACCGATCGCTTTGGATTGCAATCTGAGCAGAGTCAGAGTGTTGGAGAGGCCAATGGCGGTGACCAGTTTGGTATCTGGTCTAAGCCTCGACGATTCAGTATCGATGTCGAAGACATGGAGAAGGAGGGATTGACTCATCATAATCATCTGCGTGGGTCGAGTGGAGCTGGCCTCTATGGAAATGGTGCTCCGAGACGTATTTCGGTGCAGGCTCTGTGAATGAGGCCTAAGATGGGGTGTTTATGAAAAATTGTGTGTATAAAGGACCAAATTGTATCTGTCCAAGTAGTGTCAAATGTCATATTTTGTTTCATTTCTATGTCTATTCAGTTGTATTTTGGAAATCGTCCCAGATGATCTTTTCTATCCAATCTCTTCTCCCCCTAAGATACATGGCCTCCAAAGTTCTATTCGCATTCTCGGTAACTGCAGTGATATAGTTGCAGAGGACCACAAGATACGATCCCGGCACTTTGGAGAACCGCTGAATGGTGACACTGATGGTCAGCAAAGACAGAAGGCTCCAGGGCTGCAGTGCCAATTAATGAGCATAGGTAGATTGTTTGGAAAGACATAATATAGTTCAAGGGCACAGTTGGGCAGCAGAAAAATGTAAAGATACAAACGGGGAATTCTATTTCGTTATCAGCACTTGCGTATGTGCTCCTGTCCGTCAGCTCGTGTATGATAAGAATACAAGGATCTGTGCAGAAGCATAGTGGTCGTGATCAACGCCAAAACAACCTGTATCGATGCATACCCAAAAGATGAAACGCACACCGATGCAACTCAGGTATATTCACAGTCATGCAGTCAATGCAAAACTCAGCCCCATCAAACCCATACCTGCAACGGCAAACCCAATGCCGAGACCACGGTGGTGGGTAAGGGCCAGCCCTTCACTGAACAGTTGCAGTGCAACTGATGTCATAACACCAGCTGTCGCGGCAAACATGCCGCCATAGATGCCCCATGAGGGACCCGTGGCATCTCCACTGCCACGCTGACCAGTGCTCCAAATCCAAAAAGCGGCTATGCCGGCACCGGCGGGCTGACTGATACCTCCCAGCAGACTGGACCAGAACATGGCTTTCCAGCGGGAGTTCAGGGCCAGATAGAGTGGGAGAGCCATAGCGAATCCCTCCACGATGTTGTGGATAAACAGAGCCAGAAACACCGTCAGACCAAGGGTTGGGCTTGCGTGGTTGGTGGCATATGTGATGAACCCTTCCGGGAGCTTGTGCAGAGCAATGGCGAGCGAAGTCTGCAGTCCGATGGAAAGGAAGGCATTCTGGGGCACATGATGGTGATGAGGGTTCCCATTTGCGGACTTGGGACGATCTGGTTCGAGCTCATCTCCATGATCAGAGTCATGGGAGTGCTCATGGTCATGATGCGAGTGCAAATTCTCCTGTGGAACCACCTGCGACGAGGCAGAGGAGGCAACACATGGGCGCAGGGAGTGATGGGAGGCGATGTTGTCAAAGTAACCACCCTCCACGGGATGATGTTCGGTGCCGACGTCACGCTCGGCCTGGGCGATCTCTGCATCAAGTGGCGCGGACATACTTTCACGGTGCACTAGGTCCGGCCGGGGGAGGTCGTTGGCCGAAGGCGGAAAGACCTTGGTACATTCACGTCCGCAGGTCTGTGAAACCCCGAAACAGGGTCCGTTTTCGTCGCAAGTGGGTTTCACACCCATGAGCGAGGTGATCCGGCGGGTGAGCATGGCCCGCATGGTTTCGCGCCGTTTGGGCGCCGGCTCACTGTGCTGACTTCGTTGCACCACCGCCGGGGTGGACTTGAATGCGGGGTGATCCGAGGGCCGCAGCAGCGGTGTTCGCTCTGTGCTTTGGGTCCCACCTTTGTGGTGGGTGTGGCCGAACTCATCCTCGACTTGGTGCCTGCCGTGTTCGGGATCATCCTCCGACTCGTGGGTATGGGCGCAGTCCACGACGTGCGACGGAATAAACTTGTGCGCAAACCCAGACACGATCTGAATTCCAGCTACCCCAGCAATGAACAGTCCAATCAGTATGTAGGCGGAAATGGACGGAGAGAAGCCGGCCCGCGTCAGGTATTGCTTCGAGGTGGGGAGCATGCTATAGAGGGAGGTAAAAAGCTAGCCAAGTTAGCATTAGCAAGCGCCCTGCTCTCTTATTATCCCACTTACCATCACCCCCGCGCTGAGACATAATGACGCCGACAGGAAGTTACTGCTGTTGGCGATCTGAAAGCTCTTGCGGCGGGACAGCACCCGTACTAGCACGTCGACGCAGATGATGGAAGAACCGAGCACGCAGGCTGCATGGGCGTTAGCATGAATTAGACATTCTCCGACGAGACATACCGATGCCCGAGACTACGCTCATGACCCACCCCCTCAGATCGTTGGCAGCCATCGCGGAGTGTGGAGGAGGAAAACGGAAATGATGTAATTCGCAGACGGGTGGTTGGCGGTCAACGCCAAAGTTGCGAAAGAGGACCCTGAAGCCCAGGCTGTGTCGACGTCTTATGTATACGCATTCTTTGCCCCCAAGGTTCTCACTCCTGTGAGGAGTTGTCTTTGATGCATCAGTCAGTTCTCTGGGCTTGGAGCTTGGGCCCATGAAGCAGCCAAGAGTAGAGTATCGCCAGTCAACACCCGATGGCCCAGGGCTGCTCAGGTGCAACTGTCATCTCTAACCTGGTCCACTGCCCAGGTGGTGGTGTGCTCCGTACCGGGGTACATGCAAGGGCCGACATGCATTTCTCCGTCCATTTTTCGCCCGTTTCCCCGAGCGCACTTGACTCCAGCAGATGACCTGTTCAGAAATACGGTGAAGCATACAAAAGAGACACAGAACCCGGAGTCTACGGGTGAGCGTCAAGAAGCCCAGATGTATGTGATTTCCCAGCTGAGACGCTGATTGGCCCGTCGCTCCCTTTTTATTTTGTTCCGTCGGTTGCGCTTCGACAGACTCCTACACCTCGCAGCCATGTCGAAAGCAACTTTGGCAGTCATTGCCGCTGCCAGTGCAGCCACCGGTGCCGGTGTCACTGCCCTGCTGTACTCCGGCAAACCCTCGAAGCCGCAACAACAGCTGCCAACGCCAACGGGTGTCCATGCCTCGACCATCACCCCCCCAACACTACCGACCAAAACCACCGGACCCGTGAACCCAGCCGGAATCCTCCAATATGGCTTCCCGGGCCCTATCGCCGATGAGCTCTCCTCTCTTCCCCTCCACGGGGCCTATGATCGTCGCACCCGCAACCCTTCGTGGGTAGCCGAGCACATCACACCGCAATCTCTGGCCCTCAACAACGGAGACCGCAAGAAGAGCACTTTCACCGAGGACACCACTATCCCTGCGATGTTCCGGGCTAAACTGTCGGACTATTTCCGCTCCGGCTACGACCGTGGTCACCAGGTGCCCGCCGCCGACGCCAAGTGGTCCCAGGAAGCCATGGATGGTACCTTTGCCCTGTCCAACATGTGTCCCCAGGTCGGAGAGGGCTTCAACCGTGATTACTGGTCGCACTTCGAGACCTGGTGTCGCGACCTTGCCAAGAAGTACCCCTCCGTTCGCATCGTCACCGGTCCGCTGTATCTGCCTCACCGTGACCCCGACGGAAAATGGCGCGTGAATTACGAGGTGATCGGCACCCCGCCGAACGTCGCTGTGCCTACCCACTTCTACAAGGTGGTCTATGCCGAGGACGGCACCAACTCGCCCTCTGCCAAGGTTGCTCTCGGTGCTTTTGTTCTGCCTAATGCTCGCATTGCGAATGACAAGCGCTTGACTGACTTCGAGGTGCCCCTGGAAGCTGTCGAGCGCGCTTCTGGTCTGGAATTCGGCTCCCAGCTGGATCTGAGCCGTCGCCGCCGTCTGTGCCAGGAAGTTGCTTGCGAGATCACTGTCCGCGAGTTCAACAATGCTAAGAAGCGCTCTTGAGGGGCTGACTAGGCTCCCGGCCACCTATTCACTGTAAATTTAGACTCTGCATATTTTCGGGCGTTCACTGCCGCTCCGGGCGGGAATCACAGGATATCATTATTGTACACATTTGACGCCGTGATGGCTGTTGATTTTGGTTCTTCGCACTTAGCACTGGAATGCCACACCGGCCTTCTTGCCCATGTTTCCACCTTTGCCTGCAAAGCCAGTTCCCTCGGAACTGATCTCCACAACACCAGGTTGGATGGCGTCCTTCTCTTTATCCTTCTTCTTGGACTTCTTGCTCGCCCCACTGCCATTCTCCTTTGGCCGGTTCGTAACATCGGCCTCGCAGACATAACACAGAACAGTGCCATGTAAGGCCGCACTCTTATCCTGTTCTTCCTTCGATGCATGTGGATCGGGGATATGACTTTCATGTGGAGTCATGAACTTGGTTACGCATGGCGAGCAGATGACATGGCCACAGGGTTTCGTGACTGCAAAGAAGATCAGTATGAATGCAGATGGAATGCCACTTTCGACCACGTACGCATTGCTTTGAGCCCATTGCTCAAGTTCTTTTTGCAGCTTGGACACACCCTCGACACTGTCCCATCAGATGCCTTCTCCTCCGTAAAATGCACGTCAACCAGCGACTTGAGTGAATACGAGTGTCGAGACTCATCCGTAGACCCAGGACAGATCGGCGTCAACTTGACAGCCTTGTTGGCCGTGATCTCATCCGCATCCGTCCCAGGCGTCAAAGAAGGAACCCAGAACGAGGGCAGAGCAGACTTGGACTCATTCTAAAAGAAAGCAACAGTCAGCCGAGTCCCCAACCTTGCAATCCCAATCACCGAGCCCACAAACCTTCGCATCCTTAACCTCCTTCAAGAGTCTCTCCTTCTCCCCCGCCGCAATCCTAGCCATCTCCTCAGCCCCAAGCTCAAGAACCTTCCTCTTCTTCCCATCAACAACAACCTCCCTCTCCCCAATCCTCTCAACAGCATCATCCACCTTCCTCTTCTTCGCTCCACCACCCGTAGCCTCCAGCGCCTCCGCCCTCGCCCGCTTACTATCCTCACCAGCCGTCTTCGCCTTAGCCTCCAATCCCATCGAAACCATCTCAAAATCCCTTAAATCCCTCGCCCGAGCCTCCTCAAGCGTCCGCTCCTCATCCTCCGCAATCCGCTTACGAGCCTCGTCACGCTCGCGCTCTAACCGCTTAATCTCCTTTCGTTGCGCGAGGAGATCACTCATTGCGCATTCGCGGCAGAAGAGGTCACCATTCGTGCTGCATGCTACTGGTGTGCGCGCGGGTTGCAGACAGAGTCGACAGCTTCCGAATGAGAGGAAGCTGTCGCGGCCGATGGCGCGGGATTTGCTACCCCATGATTCGCGGAGGAGGCCTCGTTCGTAGGATGTGAAGTGGGGGAGGGAGGTGTTTCGTTTTGAGTGTGCCATTTTGGGGATGTGTGGGTGTTTCTGAGGTGGGAGCTTGGAGCTTGAGGCTGTGATGTTGGTTTTTGGTCGGGGGTTTTGATTGGTTGGGTTGGGTGGGTTGGAGATCTTGCGGACTTACTGCCGGCAGAATTGTTGGGCTGTTGCTGCTTTCTGCAGACGGAGTGGGTGGGAGTGCCTGGGAAATGGCTGGATTTCAATTTTCGAGTCCAGCGCCTACACTAGTACATAATGAAGACTTCTTGACACTGAGAAAGAAAGAATAAAAGGGCAATTACAGGGGTTCCTTGCTAAACTTGTCCTTCACCGGCCGATGTACCGCTTTGATCAGCCCTATGCTGGCATACTGAGAGCCTTCCATACCTAGGGTTCTGGGTTCTGAGAATGTGGACGAAATCGAGTCATAGTCAATCATAAATTTGCTTTTATCTATGATGCAGACAAACAGTAAAAAAAGGCAAGCCAAGGACATGAAACAGGCGCCCTTCCATGCTCGCAACCCAAACGAGCAGAAGTCTACAAAATGCAGACACAGAATGCTAAACAGAAAGATAGCCAGAAACCTAGCACAATAAGCCCATGTTCCCCAGGCGTGAATGCAAAGCGGCAACAGAAGACAAATGAAGGCAATGGTTGGAAAAGGGGGTATAATAATCGTCAAGCAGAAGATCAAGATCAGAATGGGTAGGATGTACAGGAGAAGGTGAAAACGGAAGCGAGGCTAAGCACCAACGGCTTGCTCGCGTAGGCTTTCGGAAGATGGTGGGTCGACGATTCGTTCGCCCAGGGAGGTGGAGGCGGAACCTTCGTGCAGTGGTGCGTGAAGGTGTCCGTTGGTTGTGGAAGGAGGGTATGTAGAGTCCAGAGGCTCCCGATCTGCTTCTGTGAGTGGGGGTGAAATGATAGGAGAGCCAGGTCGTCCGAGGTCGTCATCTTCGGACTGGATTTCACGCGCGTCCTTGAATTCAGCATCATTGGTGCGGGTGCTGAGGCCAGTGGTGGTGCTGGTGCTCCGTAACGAATGTGCTCGTTCGGGGCTCGTATCGAATTCGAGATACTCGTGGTTGTCAAGCAAGGTGGGGTCTGAGGCTCGGGGTTCCTCGTGCGGAGTTGGCTTTCGAAGCTTGAGACGCTCTTCGGGTGGCATGTTCTGCCATTCGGAGCCGAAGGTGACGATGGATGCTTTCTTGCCATGGACGGTGAAACTGGGTGCTTTGCGGGGGAGGATATCACCTTCGTCGGACACTTGGTCGTCTTCTTCTTGTCCGATACTCGAGATTGAGCCGCGCTTTTTCTTCGAATGAGAATGATGCCTGTGAGCGTGCGAGTCACGGAGTGTGCGATGAAGACTGCGGCGCACGCGATTTGGTTTGTCAGACTTCTCAGCTGACACCGAGTCGCCCTCGGTGGAGTTTCCGGGCGTTATTTCAGGTGCTCCGCCATCCGATCGGGGCCCTGGAGACTCAGGGAGCTGCAGAAGACCCGCCTCCCTCAAGAACCGTTCTTCGTTGTCATCGAAGCTCACAGGCGAGGTCAACTTCGATGTGCGAGACGCAATGCTAGCCCCATCCCACCTGCTGGCGCGGCTAAGAACGGAGGCATCACGCTCCAGTTTGATCGTCTTGGGATCGGGTGAATAGGACTTGGCGCGCTCGGGGATCGTGACAGCAGAGCGCCGACGTCCGATACGGGAAACATCGGAGGAAGTGACCGACCCGGGAATACTGGGGCGACGGGATTCTGCGATCGAGGGCCTGGCCAGTAATCCGCCTTCTGAGGGTTCGTCAGTGACAACGACGTTGGGCTCAGGGGTGTCAATGCTGGCGATGGTGGGCACAATGCTACCCGCTCTCTCCGCCGTTGGCTCTGATTTCACAGATGGCCCAGACAGAGACGCCATCCGCGCTGCATCGCCTTGAGACGAAGGCTCGGCAACAGAACCGACGCGGCTCTCAGGAGTCTCGTCATCTTCTCCTAGGTCTCGTAGCAAAATCTGACGATAGCACTTGTTGCGACCAATGTCCTGTCTGACCCATTTGATTTTCGCAGCCAACCGACCCGCTGCCAAAATGACTCCCTCCCGAGCTCGCGCGTGAACCGGAGTTAGCACCTGAAGGTGTCGAGCATTTTGGAGTAAATCCTCGAGTTGCCTCTGCGAGACGAAGAGTTTCTCGTTTGTTTCACGAATCTTCTGGCTCATCAGTTGTTGCCGCGCGGCGACAAATTCGGCAACAATGTCCGTATCAATGCTCGGTGATGGGGGCTCCAGATCAGTGGACTGTGACTGCTGTGAGGTTTGCGAAGAGAAGGAACCAAGACGTTGGCTTTTACGATAACGCTTTCCCTCGTAGTTGGTGGCAATCATACCCCTGGTGCGCACACCAGTAGATCTAAATGCTGCGGCATAGTTGAGATGGGCCAGCCAGTCATTCATCTCGGCATCCGAAGTGGCAAGGAAAGTCTCCTCCAATGCATTGTGTCGGACAAACATGAAGGCGTGCTTGTGCTTCTTGTAACCCGTATCTAGTAGCGCAACTGCGTCCCCAGTTGACATGATTCCGTCTGGCTTGAAGTCGGACAAGGGTGGGCTGAACACCAGAGTGCCACGACGACCATTCTTGATGTACGCCTCCTGCTGTGCCATGAGTGAGCGCACCCAATTCACGTTACGGAAGAAGTATAATTGGGAGAAAGTGAGGATCGCGCCCCATTCCTGCCAAGGTGACCGGGCTCTCTTCTTTTTGGGATCCTTTCGCCAAAGCAAACCAACCTTCGCAACCTTGATATCGACAAGACCCGGGTTTGAGTCCAAGGGGTTGTCCAAGCTAGAAGGCATAAATGCGTCGGGACGAGAGCGCAGAGAGATAATCTGTAAAATGCCCGACTTGGTGAAAGCCTGGTGAAGAGTATCCATGTCCGGCGGTCCGGATGTACCAAAATGCTCGTAGGTATCCTCGAGATCCATCACGTCCTTCAGACTTGGACGCAGAGATTCCAACTTCCCTTCCAGTATGAGGGCATAGGGGTCCACTGGCTCTCGAGTAATCCGAGAAAGGTTTTCCGTGCTGGTACTTTTGAAAAGCCCCCTGCGTGGCTTGGCCAAATGGCGGTCGCGGAGATTGGCATCTTCCACGTGTATAAACGGAGTGTACGAGATGTTCTCATAAAAACATTCCAGAATGTCTTCCGAGATTCCCTCGCCACGGCAATTCTTGATATAATCGGGCTTTTGCATCTTTCGTTTGTTGTTCTTGTTGAACACGTCGGTGTGTAGAATCAAAATGGAGAATGCAATGAAATACGCCTTGTCTGGCGATGCAAAAATACCCGGATTGCACTCATGGTATCGATCGGAAAATGCTTGCAAAAACCGATCGATCTGCTGGGTCTCTTTTGGGAGTTCAACCTCCATCAAGAGCTTGCGAATCGACATATCCAAAGGATCGCCGAAGTAGGAGAAGCTTCGCATGTACTTCCGCAGGCCGATTTTATAGAACTCCTCATCTGACTGAGCAAGAACTCCGGCGATCATCCCCCGCGGCAAGCTTTCCTCCAATCTAGTCAAGTACGAGGCCGGGGTGTCGTTTTCATTTCGTTTGGGGACTGGCGGTAGATCCGGCTTGGAGATCGGTGTGAGCGAGCGACTGAGTGCAGGGGAGCCGTGGCGAGGGTCTGGTGGGGATGAATTCTGCCGCAGCCTCTGCGTGATATTAAACATATCACCGAAGCTCTTGCGACCACTGGTGGAGGTCGATGTGCGAGCCGACGATGCCATGTATGGGGCCACCGACAAGTCGTCCTGGTTCTCGGCCAACGATCCCATGGTGGACGAACGTCCTCGGTTCTTTAATGACGGGTTTGACCGGACTGAGCGGGCGGAATTCGTGGAGTCATTCCTTGACAGCGGTGGTGCGACTGTGGCTGCAAGTCCCACCGTCGACCGCGAGGGAGACGGCAACGGTGAGACCTGGTCCATGGCATCGGAGGCCTCGGACTTTGGCGTGTCTGTGGGTGTAAACTTCGGAGTATTGTCCATCACTGGAGCCTGTGAGGGTTTCGGGGGCAGAGGGAAGAGGGGGCTTCGGGTTCGTTTTAATCGTGGCAAGCGGAATCGTTTTGCTGTGGTCGCACTTCCTCCATCGCGAGGAGAGCTGCTCCGGGTAATCGTTTGGTCCCCATAACTCTGATCAGAACGAGACGACTCGGAAAATCGGGGATCGATGACGGACGAGCGTTGGGAATCGGTGTGCGGTGGGTTCCCCCGGAGTGAGTTTGTCGACAGCCGCCCGGGCTCCTCGGTGATGCTCTGGGACATGGCGAGCGCTGAATCTGTCGCTTGCGAGTCTGTCGAGCCCTGGCCCCTCCGTCGTGACTTTGGGGGTTCCGTCTGCTGCCGGGACATTTCCTCCATGGACTGCTTCCGCGACGATGGCCGAAAGTTGAGCCTCGACCTCTGTTTCATGGGTCGATCGAGTTCGTGACTAGTAGGAGCGGTGGTGATGATTTTCGGAGCTAGATGCCGCGTACGCAGTCAGATCGCTGTGGAATAGAGTTAGGCCTAGTTTTACTTACGCGGCAAGGAGGGGACCGGCGGTGCATCTGGCTGGCCCGCCTTGACATAGGACTTGGAGAGTTGGGGATCGGATGCATGTCGCAGTCTCATGAAGCTGAATCGATTGCGACGCAAGCTGGGGGTATCCCCCGAGGAGGGTGCGAAGTCGACCTGCGCGACCCCCTCATTCGAATCCCTTCCGGGCACCTGCAGGCCAGGCAAGTGAACATGGCTGCTTGACACGCCGGTCGGGCGAGGGATTGACTCGGACAACCGGGGTTCGGTGGCGGGGGGTGAGGGACGTGGGAGGTGTTCGCTGCGTCTGGATTGAGCCTCCAGGGTGCTGTGTCTCTTGCCATCCTTACCATCGGGCACGAGACGTAGGCCCTTCCAATGCATGGTGACTTTAGATGGCCATGAAAGAGTGTAACAAATACATTAGACAGGGGAGGTGGGTTCCAGAACGCGGTGGGGAGGTTGGTCGTCAGCTCACGGAAAAAGGGGAGAAACGCGGGAGACGTTCTAGATCTCCGCCACTCGATATGCCGTGAGATGCAATGTCGTAGAGTACTATAGTAGTACTCGTAGGAGGGAGTAGGGTATAGTGTGTAGAACAACAGAACCGGAAGCAGAACAGGAATGGGCCACTGACGTATACTTAGACCTTCGCCTACTCTACACTACTCTCTACTCTACACTCTCTACTCTCTACTCTACATTCTACTCTACTCTCTCTCTATTCTATTCTCTGTTCTACTCTCTACTCTACCTACTCTCCTCTACTCTACCTACACTGATACTCACATAACTCCACTCATCACATCTCGGACACTCATTATCTACTCCATCCCCGTTGATTCGCCAATCCCCATGCATGTCATCGATATGGCTTAAACCTCCTATCGCTCTGCAGCCCCCTCTTTTTTCTTTCTGTGTGCTTCACATTCGCAAACAATGCGCTTTCTTCCAATCTTGGTCGCTGCGACCGTTTTCCCTTTAATCTCCGCGGTCCCCGCTGGTTCAAGCACCCCACTGCAGCTCGACCCCCAGTCCGACCCACGCCGCCCTTGGACGAAACTCCGCGACTGGGTCATCGGCTCAATATGGAATCTGGATCACACCTGTTCGAAATACTCGGCCCCGCCCGCCAATATCCATGCCCGATATGGGAGTGATGTGGTCCTGCGCTTCCTGTTGCGGCGACCGGATGAGGCCGAGGCGTTGGCGGCTGCCTCCCAGGTGCTGTTTCTGGACACCTGGGCCATCACATCGGAATTCGTGGATATCCGACTGGCGGAAGACATGGTTCGGCGACGCTCCAAGCTCGATACGCACCTTGCTAACCGCTGTAGATTCCCTCCCTGCTGGACCTGCTCCCTCTAACCCTGCGCAGCTCGTACACTCCCCTCATGGAGAACCTCGCCGATCAGATCTATGCCTCCTATCCCTCCCGGCGTCATGATAATCCCGAATTTGGAGCCGGGGCTGCCGTGGATGCTCAGAAGACCGCGGCCATGGGCGACCTGTTCTTCCAGGATTATCAACCGCTCTCGGTCATCTCGCAATGGATGCGATTGATGGCGTCAATGTTCTCCTCGCACGTACATCTGACTAATATCGGCTTGTCCTACGAGGGCCGCGATATCCTGGCATTGCGCCTCGGCGCCCCTGTAGAATCAACCACGACGCCTCGCAAGACCATCGTCATCGTGGGCGGAAGCCACGCCCGGGAATGGATCAGTACGTCGACCGTGACATACGTAGCATATAGTCTCATCACGCACTACGGGTACACGCCTGCAGTGACGCGGCTGTTGCAAGAGTATGACTGGGTTTTGATCCCAACCCTGAACCCGGACGGATACGTCTACTCATGGGAATCAGACCGTCTGTGGCGCAAGAATCGCCAGCCAACAGGTCTCTCCATCTGTCCCGGTGTGGACCTGGATCGAAACTGGGACTACGAATGGGATGGCGAGTCGACTCGCTCGAACCCGTGCTCGGAGAACTACGCCGGCGCACAACCCTTCGAGGCCATTGAATCCCAGCGTCTGGCGCATTGGGCTATGAATGAGACCGCCCATGGCCGCGCTGACATTCTAGGCTTTTTGGACCTTCACTCCTATTCTCAACAGATTTTGTACCCTTATTCATATTCCTGTTCATCCGTGCCTCCCACTTTGGAGAGTCTGGAAGAACTCGCCTTGGGGCTGGCCAAATCAATCCGCCAGACCTCGCACGAGTCTTATGATGTGACGTCGGCGTGCGAGGGCATCCTTCCCAACGGCAACAGCGCGACGGCAGGAATGACTGCCGGGGGCAGCGCCTTGGACTGGTTTTACCACAAACTCCACGCCAAATTCTCGTACCAGATCAAGCTCCGTGATCGTGGGAGCTATGGCTTCCTCTTGCCCTCCGAGAACATCGTACCCACAGGAAAGGAAATCTTCCAGGCCTTGTTGACATTCGGCAAGTTCGTCTGGGGCGAGGCCAAGGATCTCGGCTTGGAGAATTTGAACGAGCAAGTGCCTCTGACGGGCATATGAACTTCCCCTTGAACGACGTTCCGTTTGGATTTGATGATTGCATGTTGAATTTCCCAGCGAACCCTTTATCTACGCCCTTTATGTATTCGAATGTATATTTTGACTATGAGCCCGATAATGCAATTGATCAAAAATTCCCAATGCGACATAACCCTGGAAACCGCGGGGCTTAGCTTCTATGTTCGTAAACATATAGAGCTATGCATCTTCACCTGCCCTGCGTACGTTGGTAGACGCACTCCCTGGTTTGACTGGCTCGTCTCTTCGCAGATATTCCTCCTCATCCGATGTAGCATCAACCTGAAGCCTTCCTATAAGGCCCCGAGATCGGTCCCTTTTCTCAAGATAAGCAATCACCCCGACCAACGGCAATGTCAGAGCCCCAGTCACTAGACTCGCAACATATCCCTTGCGGAAATTAGGTGCGGCCGTAGCAGGATAGAAGATCAGCGGCCACCAAGTCACAAAGGCAAAGTCAAACGAGTTCATAAACCCAGTAGTGATTGCGCGGAGTTGAAAATCATGACTCGTCACATCTGCCATCCATGAGTACCAGACTGCTTGAGGTGCATAGGTAGTTCCGAGGAGATAGAAAGCCACAAAGTAGCCAGCATTAGTGGATGGGCTTGACACGAGGATGGAAGAGCCGATGACAAAAGTGAGGCCGATGGCAACGGATACTTCCCACCGGGACTGTATCCTGTCAGAGATGATCGCGTATACCACCGTTCCTAGAATGGCTGCTGCGTAAATCCCCGTCGGGTAATTGTTCTGTTGGATTACCGTGTAGCCACGGGATGCCATCCAGTAGGCCATGACGTTGTTGGATAGCATTTGCACACACAGGGAATATACTGCTAGAATGTTAGGCCATGTTCAGTCCGGAATATATGAGACTTGCGCATGAAAATGAATGGCAGAAGCCAGAATTGCCAACTCAATAGCACCCGTCTGAAGACCGTGATATCCCAGGAATGTTTGCGTAGAACGCCGAGTCGCGTCACTGCATGTTCCTTCTGCTCATCGTTGAGAAACCATGCTGCACGGTGGAGTGGTAGGTCAGGAATGAACACCCAGCCTAAGCCCGCGATCATTAGTATTTATTTCTAGTCTGGCATTTCGTTCAGGGATCCTGATCCAGCTTACCGAACAATGCAACCGGCACAGTCATCACCGAGACAATGATGAATATCCATTTCCAAGCTGGAAGACCGCCCTTTCCTGCCATCGTTGCCAGCAGGCCTGCTTGAATCCACCCACCGGACATGGTGCCTATATGACCAAACACGCAGAAAACAGCGGCACGTATACCGAGCTCAGATCTCTTGTACCAAGACCCGAGAATGAAATGGGCTCCCACACTGCCATTGTCAGATTCTAATCCAATAAACCTGGTATCCATGGACCAGTCGGCGAGAGACACTTACTATGCAATAGCCGAAAACCCACCTTCAATCGCATTCAACACGATAACCTGCCATGCATGTTTCATTTTATATGTGATCAAGGTCAGCACGCTCCAGGTCACATTGGCCGTGACAAAGACATATTTAGGCCGATAGATAGTCAACAGACTTGTGCCTGGCATCTGGCAGACAGCATAGACAACCAAGTACGCAGTGGTCATGTAGTTGTATTCTTTGCCCTGGAAGCCGAGGTCCTCTTTCATGCCGCTAATATAAGCAGAAGAGTAGCTCGCTCGGGTGACGCCGAATAGGAACCAGATCAACGAGAAGTAGGGGAGTAGAGTCACGTCCAGTTTGGAGAGCAGGGCCCGGTCTTTGGCCCCTGGTCCCCATAGCCAGATGGCAAGCTTGGTGCGGACTGCCATTCTGCGGGGTTCTTTGATCAGTTCCAGCCCTGGAGATTGTTTTCAAGGACCGAAGGGGTTTCTCGTCTGTAGAAGGAAGAATCCAGGGATTTTCGGGGATATCACCGGACTGATGTTTACCTAGTACATATGAGCATCGAAATATATCAGGTCCGAGAGTGGGCCATGAGTAACAGGCTGTCAGAATGGCGACGAGTATTATCACTCAGATGAGCGACAGATGGTGTGATATGACCTCGGTGACCTCGGCATGCGGGGTTCTTATCTCTCAGCTGTGACATTTGGACATTCTGTGGAATTGTACGGAGTAAACAGGAGGAGATACACTCCGAGATCCCATAGGCACGGGCCACTACTTGCATCGTGACTCAATGTCCCTTGGGGAAGGGTCTTTTATTTTCTTGGTGAATCATGTTAGTAGATCTAGAGCCCAGTGTCCCTAGGTGGAAATATGTGTACGAAAGGTTTATGATAGTCTTTATGATTTTTTCTGTGGTATTTTCGACATGCATCAGATTTCATGACTCCAGAGACAGAGACAGGGACAAAGTGAGAAGGGAAAAGACCGACAAAGGAAAATGCGAAAATCGAAGCTCGACGCTAATGATGAGACAGGGATATTTCCAACTCCAAAAGGACAATAAAAACAGCAGGCTAATGATGTTGTACATAAGAATGTAGACCCCATGATGCAGTGGTGAATGCAAGACAGATGGCGACACGACCTCTGGAGTAAATGCAACCTTGGAAGGATCGATCAAAGTCCCTCGCCTCGTAGAAGACGTCGAAGAATGCCCTCACCAGGGCCAGCGATTTGACTTTCGATTTCTTGCTGGGACACGAAGCAGAGGAGTCCTTGCTCGTCAAGCGCCTTGTGAGGTGTACCTGGCATATTGCCAGACTTCGAAGGCGTGCGGCGCAGGTCTGAGCCGCCTGCAACGGTCCCGCCTCGGCCTCGGCCTTGATATTCTCCAACCAAGCCCATTGTCTCGAGATTGCTCAAGACGTCCTTAAACTCGGTGGCAGTCAGAGGATGGAGAATGTTATCATTGCGGCACAGGGCGCAGTATGTATCAAACGCTTGTTTGATGGTAGGTGCCGAGGCGCGGGACTTGGACGGAGTGCAGGGAACTTCCAGATGACGACGCTTTCGTTCAAGCGCAATGAGGGCACAGATGGCGGCTTTCTGTTGAAGGTTGAGGCTCTGCAGTCGCTGAACAGTACCTTGACCGAAAGCCGCAGAGGTGATACGGGCAATGTGCGCGATACTGGCACGAGGTGCAGTGATGACGGTGTAATTGGACATTGATGCTGGCCTCGGAATGCTGGCTCCCTTGGTGGGCGAAGACAGGTTTGTGTTTTCACTAAGAATCGCCACATTTTCACTGGCTTGCTTCTCAAGCTTTTGCCAGGTCTCTTGCTCGATGACATCGATTGCCCGCTTGATCAACTCAAACGCCTTGCGAAGATCACCGGTTTGCGAGGCAACCTTCTTGGAGCAGAGCTGAATGGCAGCTGGCTGGACGAAAGGCACAAGCTTTGGATCCGCCTCCGAGCCAGCAGGAAGCAGTGATCGAAGCCGGTTTGTCATCACATCCGCGATAGATGCAGCACTGTAAGGCAAAAATGCCAGAAGGCGGGGCTTCAGGTTCTTCGCCTTGAGTTGTGGGAGCGAGCGGTCGGTCAGATCGAGGGCGTTGGCAATTCCGATCAACATCAGCTTTGATTTGCTTTGTAGAGACCACTCAAACAGTGATTGTAAAACCCCGGAGTCCCCATTCAATAGGTGATCAATCTCATCTAGCGTGACAAGAAAGAGATCTTCGGCGTTCTTGGACGGAATAAACATGGCCTTCAAGCGATCCGCCTCGCTTTTCTTAAACATATCCGTATCTGCGCCGAAATCTTGGATGAGTCTGCTATAAACATCACGAGATACTCGCATGCTTGCACAGTTGACATGAGACACCCTCACATTAGAAAGATCGAGATCTTTGCACACCTCTTGGACCATGGCGCTCTTGCCCGTCCCCGGGGGACCGCTGATGTAGAGACAGCCTCCACTCCGAGACTCAACACCTTCTGTCAGGAAGGAGACCAGCTTCTCACGCTCCGCATCTCGCCCGACGAGCCGACCAGAGCTGGCACCCCGGGCGAACAGCTGTCTGGCCTGCGAGTAGACGGAGTGTGTAATGGTAGGAGTCGCAGTTTGACGTGGCGTCGGAGGGAGATCTGCGTGGCGGGGGGTACGTGGGGTTATCGCCTTTGCCCCGACCTGCACCCGATGCCTGGGGGTGATAGGCGATTGTGGCAATGCATCGCGGAATCGTGATTTCGAAGGGGTCTTGAATTCGATCGGCTTCACATCCTCTGCGGTCTCCGGCACATCTTTCAGCTTCTCGGGCTCCCCCTTCACTTGCTTGGAGGCGCGGAAATGCGAGTTGATCTTCACAGGTGATTTCAATTGCTCCTCGCGCAGAGTATGCTTGGAGGAGACAATCTCCACATGTGTCTCATCCTCCGAAACATTTTTCTTGTCGCCATTCTCTTGATCGGGCTGGGAATTTTCACGTGCTTTTTGCACAGTAGACCTTGTCCGTCGTAGTGGTACCGGCGCAACTTCCTTTTCCTTCTTTGCTCGGGGCGCGATTGTCCGGCGCTTGCTTGCGGTGCGTACCGGGAGGGCTGAAGAGGTCAGCGAGAGGAGGGGAAGGTGGGATGGGGTCTCTTACCTTCCGAGTCCACGCGATTGCGCTTTCCTAGCACTGTTCCTGCCATGACTTCAGACAAGGATCGGGTCGAGACGCAACTGCTGGTGGAGGAAAGTCAGGAAAGAACGTTGGACGGCCCAGTTAGGAAGTGTAATTAGTTCGCGAGTCGCGACGCGTCGCACGTATTACGGGCACGCAGACCCACCACACGTGCAATATGAGTCAGCCGCGTCACATTCAAGTGTTGAGGCCTGAGGTGTCAATGATCGACTCGTGAAGCCCATGTTTCCCGATGACGGAATCATCTCAATCAGTGAAGCTCGCTTTGTTGCGTCGATTGTTCTATTCTCTCCTTTCGCTTGAGCTTTTCGCATTTATCGACTGCTGGTGATCAACGTGTTTGCAGCCGTTTGCACCACATTTGCTCGGTCCCCTCATAGCACAATCTCCAAATTCTCGATATTTCTCAAGCTTCCAGTGAGTATTCGATCACAATCAAATTACAGCCCCATATTAACCTTCCATTTTATTTTCAAGATACCACTCCACACTCCGCCCACCATGGATAACGATGTGGTAGCTCAGTTTACTGAAATCACCGGTTCCACGCCGGAGCTCGCAATTCAGTACCTGCAGATCTCAGACTTCAACATCGAGCAGGCTATGCAACTATTCTTCGAGAATGGTGGTGCGCCTTTGACAAGCGAGCCCTCGCAGCCTCGTGGCTCCGGCATCCCCAACAACTCAGAGGTGGTGAACATTGACTCGGATACCGATGACGAAACCCCACAACGCTCCGCTGCGCCCGCTTTTGACGATGACGAAGCCATGGCCCGACGCCTCCAAGAGCAAATGTATGGAGGTCAAGACCAGGAAGAGGAAGTCAGAGCGCCTATGGCCCGCACAACGGAGACATTGGTGGGGCCAGGTGCAGACTACGATGACGATGGCGAGGACATGCACGCCAATATCCTCAGCCAACTCCGAGCTCGCCAAAGAGGAGGTGAGTAATTTCCACACTGGAGATACCCCCCGTATTAGCTGACACCATACACTAGGCCGAGCTGGAATCTTCAACCAAAGAGAATCCTCGTCGATATGGACGGGTGGTGATGAGTCTCGCCGCGATGAGCTTTCTGCTGCCACCGGGGGCGCCTCAGATGCCTCTTCCAAGTCGAACATGCTCGCAGAGATGTACCGACCTCCGTTTGAGATAATGTCCCGACTACCATGGGATGCCGCTCGCGATGAAGGCAAGGACAGTGAGAAATGGCTGTTGATCAATGTGCAAGATGCCTCAGTCTTCGACTGCCAAGTTCTTAATCGTGATCTGTGGAAAGACAGTGGCGTGCAAGATACCGTCAAGGAGCATTTCATTTTCCTCCAATACTCCAAGGATGACCCCCGCGCATCCTCATACATCCAGTACTATTTCCAAGGAAGTGACGTTTCGGATAACTACCCCCATATCGCCATTGTCGACCCGCGCACCGGCGAACAGATGAAAATCTGGTCCGGGCCCCCACTGGTCAAGCCCGCCGATTTCCTCATGCAGCTTCACGAATTCCTTGATCGGTATAGTTTGAACCACAACGTGCGCAACCCTGTCGCCAAACGGAAGTCCGAGAAGAAAGAGAAAACCATCGACGCCATGACCGAAGAGGAGATGATGGAAATGGCAATGCGCAACAGTTTGGGCGGCGCCGGAGAATCTGGACAGACCCAGGAAGACCCCGATGACTTGACCCGCAGCACGGAAGATGTGAAGGGCAAGAGCCGCGCCGAGGAAGATGTGGCCATGGACGAGTCGGAGAACACCGAGACTTCTGTCTTTGCATCCATCCCCAGCGACAAGCCTCACACCGAGCCTGAAGCGGATCCGGTCACCACCACTCGCATCCAGTTCCGACACCCTTCTGGCCGAGTGATCCGACGGTTTGCCTTGTCTGATCCTGTTCAACGGATCTATGAATGGCTCAAAGCTGATCCTCCTTTGGAAGACAAGGCTGGTGTGGAATTCGACCTGAACAACATGGGACGCAATCTCATTGATCAACTTCCCATAAGTATCGCAGAGGCGGGCCTCAAGAACGGCACCGTGATGATTGGCTATTTGGAAGAGTAATCTCTTTCCATCTTCTCGTCGTGCTACTTTATTTGCTTCGTTTTCTAAGGGCGTTGATGGGAATGCATTAGATCCTATGGGATCTCTCACCTTTATTCCCAGGCAGGTTCTGCCCGGAGATCAGTGAACCTACATGACTCTATGGCTGTTCATCTTCGAGACTTAAATCTGCACTTTTACATAGAACACTGACGCTTGTCTGACGCATACAATGAATCATGACATCTAACTACACACTTCAGCTTTGGCACATATCCTGTCCACGGGTAGACTGCCTGATACATGATCTTGATTGTGACTTGCTCTTAGAAGACCTCGGGACGCATGAGTGATGTCTACTAACATCATCCCAGTGACCATAAGGCAATTCACCTGAACCACGTAGTGACATCTGATCTTTTCCCTCCTAAGATCGAAATCACCTTTTCAATCTCACGATCTGCGCATACTAACTCCGAGGTCACCTCATACCCCTTTGGGCATAGATATTCACCGCCCTGAGATAAGCGCCGGCAAAACCCCCGCGTCGATAAACAAGCAAGGGCTGGGGCACCTGAAGAACATCCCATTGATGTGCACAAATCCCCGGTATTGACCTGGTCTTCCATTCAGACGTCTCGAATCGCGGTCACGGGTACATAGACAGACCGTCACACTTCCAGCCTTGGGAGCTGATTTACCTTCTTTCCTCCCTGCATCCTGAGCACAATCGAGTCGGACCATTCCTTGGACCCTTTGTCGGACTCAACGTCGGCTCCAATCCTCATTGCAATCATTCGGTCCGAGCATACCTCTGTGGGCAATTAATCCCCACATTCTCTCTTAGGTACGGTCCCACCTCCGTGATATACCGTGGACGCTCAGGGTGCTGATGAGCGCAGTCACAACACTTGAACCTGCCCAGGTGGCTAGGCCGTCATCGCTTTGATTTTGTTCATGCATCAAGTCTTCCGGTCGAGATAAGTCGTCAAAATGCCGGGTCCCATTGATCCCGAGTCAATTTACACCAAGCAAACATGCATCGGTAAGCTTGCCAAATGAGACCGACAGGCCATAGCGGGAACTTGGTTTCTGATCATGTCTCTTCATCTCAGGTGGCGGAAGCTTCGGCAAAGTGTTCAAAGGGTAAGTCGAAGATTTCGGCTCGTGTATTAGTTGAGATGATTGACTCCATGGGCAATTTACAGTGTCGACAGACGCACCGGCGAGGCCGTGGCGATCAAAATCATCGATGTTGAAAATGCCGAGGACGATGTTGACGATATCATTAAGGAAATTGCCATCCTATCTGAGCTGAAATCACCCTATGTGACGAAATATCATGGCTCGTACTTGAAGGGGTCTAACCTGTGGATTATCATGGAATTCTGCTCGGGTGGCAGCTGCCATGGTCTCCTGCGGCCAGGTGTGATTCACGAAGAATACATTGCAATTATCCTGAGAGAGCTTCTCCGCGGCTTGGACTACCTCCACACCGATAAAAAGCTTCACCGAGACATTAAAGGTTTGATATGACCAGGCACTAAGCAGGGGATACTATGGCTAACACTGCTTGTAGCTGCGAATATCCTGTTGAGCGCAAGTGGCCAAGTCAAGCTGGCTGACTTTGGTGTCTCTGGGCAATTGTCAGCGACAATGACCAAGAAGAACACATTTGTGGGAACTCCGTTCTGGATGGCGCCAGAGGTGATCAAACAGTCGGGATACGATTACAAGGCCGACATCTGGTCTTTGGGCATCACAGCAATCGAGCTGGCTTGTGGTGATCCTCCCTATGCCGACATCCATCCGATGAAAGTGCTGTTCCTGATTCCGAAAAACCCGCCTCCCGTCCTGAATGGCGATTTCAGCAAGCCCTTTAAGCAGTTCGTTGAACTATGCCTACGTCGAGACCCCAAGGAACGTCCGACGGCCAAGGAGCTTCTCGAGCACCCTTTTGTGAAGCGCGCTAAAAGAACAACTTACCTGACTGAGCTCATTGAGCGTGCAGAGCGTTGGCAAATAACCCATCAAGACCAGGATGACGACGACGATGGGTATGGGTATGATGCTGAACCTGAGCAAACAATGCAAGATCGGTCTCAAGAGAAGGAGGATCTTTGGGACTTTGGCACTGTTCGTCCTGTAGGAAAAGGTCCCGCCCCCCCTTTGCGCCATATGAAGAGCAACGAACAAAACGCACGGGCGAATATGACAGAGGATTGGGATCTGGGCGATGAGACTCCGGGGCAGGCCTCCACGTCTCGCCCACAACCTCAGCCCATCGCAGCACCGTCCCCTTTCCACGCATCTCCCACAAAAACCCCCCTTCCTCCATCGGCCCCATCTTCACCCCTCAAGCAACGAGCCTCTCAAACAGCACTTCCTCCACGCAAGGTCACTGCCAAACCAAGCCGACCTGCAGATGACAACTCTGCCGCGCGAGGTCTCAACGAACAATACGCACAGGCTGCTCTGAGCTACGCAAGCCGCACCGAAACACCCCCAGCCAAGCCAAGCCCTGCAGTCAGAGACCAAGGTATCACGACCCAACAATCATCCACAAATATCTCAGAAGTCTACCGTACCCCATCCGGTCAGATCGTCCGAAAGCCAGCTTCGTCCTCACGCCCAGTCGAGCCCCAAGGACCAGCACCTCAGCCACCACCACATTCGCCCCGAGTTTCTCAACCAGGACTTCCAAGACAAACAGAGACTCTTCAACAAACCAGGCCCGCATCTGGTCTGAAATCCAAGCGAGCACCCTCAAACATGGAAGAGCGTCCCTTCAACCGCTCCACTCCCCCAACACCAAACTCTCCCCGCCCTCTCCCAGATGATCGCGTCACAGCATGCGGCTCCGTGATCCTCCCTGCTCTCCGTGCCGCTATGGATCGCCGCCGTCGCCATCTCGTCCGTCTCGAGCCAGGACGCAACCCAGGCGAACCCCCCGCCACACCTGAAGAAGAGCAAATTTTCGACCGCAGCGTCCGCGTCCACCGGGGCATGGAACAGGTCGCTGAAGAAATCGCCCGCTCCTTCAGTAACCTCCAACGCTGGGATATGGAAGACTCAATTGATATGGGAGGGGGTGTTGATGCTGTACTGGACGCGTTCCTTGAGGAGGTTCTCGTTCGTCTGCAGCCGAATTAAGGGCATGGGGCCTTTGTTTGAGTAGGAGTAGATGGTATTTTCTTTCATTGTTCCATCGCTTCACTTGTTCTGTGTATGGTGTATCTTGCACATGTGTAGTTAGATTCTTACAGGAGCTACATGCTTTTGGAGGGTGTTTGAACTGGCTTCAAAATCTCAATTCTACAAAACTTCAGCTTGCTTTAATTGGGCTGTAACTAGGTGTGACCGTGAGATGTCCTCAGTTTGAAGGTAGACATTTGAATTTGATAAAGGAATTGGGTATCATCTCAACAAGAGACTGGAAATCAGTTCACGGGACGCAGATATAAGTAGACAAAAAGGGCTGGCAAAGTAGTGAGCGATATGAATGCTTTGTGTGCATTTGTCAAACGCATCAGCTACTACTTTTCTCGTATAAAAGCCAACAATGCCCGAGGTTTTGAGAACAGGCTGAGAGTGCCGCTCTAAGACGGACGGAAAAGCCAGTCCGTCTCAGGCGTTGGAATTAAATAATTGGTGATATTGAACTCATTCGAGTTGGCATGACTGGTATCAACAACCCCCGAAGGCGGATCCGCAGCCGTCAATCCATGGATTGACATCGGGTCTTGGACGGAGTCGGGAATAGCCATCGATTGCGCAGTCGATTCAGGTGCTCTGGCGGGTGGTACACGGGGGACATTGAAGAAGCCGAAAACGTCAAGATATTCGAGTTCATTCGGGGCGAAATTTCGTGGCATTGCAGGAACAGGTCTTGCCTGGTGGCTATCGCCGATCCCATTGTCCGCTGGTGATTCGCGGGGTTGGCGCGAGATCAAGAAATCCAGATCAAAAGCGCAGCGGCGCATGTCGGCAAGGATTTTGACAGTCGATGGCGTGGTACGCTCGCCATCTAGGGCGGTGGATTGTTGGTACTCGTTGTACTCGTCTAGGACGCGTTGAAGGATATTGCTGTATCGTTCTGCGACTTTCCAGTATTTTCCAAGCTGGAAGAGAGTGTCCACGAAGAAGACAATGTCTGCGCTGACGGTGTGCGCGATCGTGGAGCCATGAACGAGAAGGAGACGTGCTGAGACCCAGAGGGTGAAGGCGAAAGGTGGACCCATCTTGTCGAGCATGTTGTTTTCTGCGACAAACCGTGTGACTGACGAGATATTCTCGACGGCGAGGAGACAGCGTTGGCTTGCGCTGTATGAAGGCGTGAAGATTGGAGATCGAGTTGTTGGATATGCTGCGGAAGAGTGTAGACGGATCACAGCCCTAAATCGATTAGTGAGCTAATGGTAGATTAGACAACTGTGGAATAAACTACTCACGTTTGATATGTGGCATGTAACTGTACCCAGTCACTGTGTAGAGGCCGGCCATTTTTCGGTCCGCTGAAGAGTCGAGATGAATTTTCGTATGCATATTCTGCAGGAAGATTGAATTCCCACGATGTCAACTCGCTGTCGAGTTTGCGGTATGTCGCCTGCCACTCTTCGACATCGGACAGAGCGCCAATATCCACAGGCTTCTTCAAGAACAGGTGAATTCGCGAGAGAATGCCCAGAATCTCGACATAAAGCCCAAAAGAGCCGACATTCTCTGCGTGACTAAGGTAATCTGCACGATCACTAGAGCATTGGAACAACCGTGTTTCCACTGGTTGATTTTTCAGAAAGAAGTCATCCTTGCAAGGCAGCTTCCGATCAATATCTCTATCATCCAAGGCAAAGTTGAACGCAGTGGCCAAGGTAGAGTACCGATCGAGTAGGTATACCATCCAAAACAGACGCCTGCGACTCTCATCCTCAATCCAGGAGTCTGGTTCTGATAGCGTGACGGCTCTCAGTGTGTATATTGAAGGATAAAGAGGGTTGACAAGGGAAGACTTAGACTCAACAGCCAAGCCTAGCTGGACCACCGATCGAGTGATCAGGGCAAGAAGCTTCCACCCAGGTGGGCCGTTCGAGGAGCCAACTAAATCTAGGGCTAGGATCACAAGCGCCTGAAGTGCCTTGACAGACGAGTTTTCCAAGCCGTAGAACAAAACTTTCTGCTTGGCCGAGTCGTGATAGCGCTTTCGGTTTTGATCATTTAGTCTGGCATCCGAAGAAAATCGTAGAGTCGTTGCCACAATAGCGTAAAGGACCATTCGGTCTGCCTCCTCCAGAGGTGTTGGGCCGAAGAACGTATCCAAGGTTGTTCGACGGTGGAAGATCGGGCACCAGGAATTGATGTGCTCGAAATATAGATCTACCAGTGCATAGAGTAGATCATATGGCGGAAGGTCAAGATCCGGGTCAGCAAGCGACTGCTCTTGATTCGAGAAAATCTTCACTGGGACCGACAAGGACGACTCATTGCCCGTGTAATCATGATGTGTGCTTTGAGTCTGTGTAATTGATCCCACTGGGGTGACCGCCATGGCATGATGAAATTGATGCGAGGAATTATGAGGTGATGTATCAGATGGACTTGTTAGTGATACGTCTGCACGGCGGGATGGCAAGGTGACCGAGGAACCAGGATCATTCAGGTACAGAGCAGTGCTGGGGCTGGGTCCATGGGCCGCCGAGGCCACTGATGGAGAGCTATACGCAAGATGCCCTGCATGGTGCATTTCATGGCCTACCGAAGATTGATTTTGCAAGATGTGCATTTCAATCAGGCGAGCTTGCGACTGAATGATATCTTCCAATCGATCTGCAATGCAAGTCAGACATATGATCACCAATCCAAACAAGTCACTTACCAAGGCGCTGCTCTAGCTCTTTGCCATAGCCGGCTCTTAGGCCAGGCTTCTTGCGCTCTCTATATTCACATATTTGGCCGTTGCGGGTGCACCAGCCACAGCTCGGCTGCACTCGATCTGTTTAGTGACTTGTTAGGGCTAGAAATGAATCCGGTGAGCTTTGGGGGCATACCGCACTTGACTTTTCGCTGCTTGCACAATTCGCATCTGAGCGGGTTAGTTCGGTGTTCTTAGTTCCGAACAGCGGGGCGAACGCGATTCAGGTACGCACGAGACAGTGAGGGGGCGTTTCCGTTTTAAAGAGCCATTGGCCTCGATGTGGTCATTATCGGACTCTGCAGAAGAGTATTCTGCACTCTGGTCTCTGGGGTTACCGAGATGCTGGTTGGACATCTGGGGATGCGCAGGGTTCGGCATTTTGATGTAGCGAGATACGATTCGCCCTATCAGGGGCCGAGCATGATGCAGGACGAAGCAAGAATATCCGAGTCGGCCACCGTGTGGATCTAGAACAAAACGATTGACACGGCGATAGTCCGAGAAGAACAAGTCGACAGCCGAGGGAAAGAGAAAAGAAGCGAAGGCTATGACGCCTCAGGCAGAAACCGGGGCACCCCGCGTTTGTCCACTTTGGGAATTCCTCGTGATTTACTCCGTACTGTCCACTTCCTTCACTTGGCTGCAATTCTGAATCTGATTCGTTCACATTCTATACTGCTGCCGAGGTTGCAGTGCAGGGATTTAATACTCCAATTTTCATACGCCAAGCCTCAGGCCATTTGCTGCACGCCCATTGAGGGGTGCTCGAACACGATTAAAATAAACCTTGGGACATACTAGGTACTCGAGTAAATGAATAGATACGTCGTCTATATTTTCATATATATATGTGTAGTATGTACATGATTCTCGCATAACCCATAAGCAACTGATCAAGTGGAAAATAAACACAATGGTCGTAAATCCAGGCCAAATATGTTCAAGCAGACTCGTTAGCCGCCTGCTCGTTGTCAGGAGCACGAAGTGACTTCTGGGGCGCAGGAGTGAGAATAGCGGCAGCAGGAATGAGAGGAGCGGCAGGGTTAAGCTCCAAACCAAATCCAGGCTTGTCCAGAATTGAAACATCAAGGTAACCCTTGGTGGGAATGGGCTCGTTCAAGAACAAGTTACCAAACACAGGCTCGACAGTGTGTCCATCGGCAGAATTGGCCAGGTACTCCTGGAAGGGGCAGTTCGTTTGAGACACAACGTAGTGGTAGGAGTAAGGCCCAGAGGCATGGGGAACGACGGGCAAATCATAAGCAGCGGCCATGGCGGAGACCTTCAGAAGTTCGGTCATTCCACCAACCCACATCACATCAGGCTGGAGAATATCAAGGTTACGGCCCTCGATCAGCTTACGGAAACCGTAGCGAGAGTACTCGTGCTCTCCTGTGGTAAACTTGACAGTTGGGTGGGCCCGCTTGAGAAGAGCGTGGCCGTCGAAGTCATCGGGGGACAGGCACTCCTCCCACCAGTCGATGTCGAGACCAATAGCCTCGCAACGCTTGACAAGTTGGATTGTGTAGGGGACTGTCAGAGACATGTAGCAGTCAACGCGGAGTGGGAAGTCAGCTCCGACTTTCTCACGCTGTTGGCGCAGGTATTCAACGTTCTTCAGTAATCCCTCGGTACCCTCGTCGGGTCCATGAGGCAAAGCAACCTTGGCACCAATAAATCCTGCAGCCTTGGCTGATCCGGGCTGGGGACCGGTGCAGTAGAAATTGAGCCTTGAACGGGTAGCACCACCAATCATCTTGTAAACTGGCTCATTGCGGATCTTTCCCTGAAGATCCCACAGTGCAAGATCAATGACTGAAATCACTGCGACAGGAAGACCCTTTCGGCCGTAGAACATGGAGGCACGGTACATCTTTTCAAAGAGGTCGTTGGTATCCCGGGGATCTGGAGAGAAGCATAGCGTCAGAAATAAGCCATGAATGCAGTATTGTTGGAGTGCAATGCATACCAGCACCGATCAGGAAACGGTTGAAATGCTGCTGGGTGAGCCAGCATGCAGGAGGACCACCAAAGCCAGTGGCAAAGCCCTTTGTGCCATCTGTTGCCTCAATCTCGACGCAGAAGGAACCCAACACGTTGATACCCCATGATGTACGAGAACCACGGAATTGTGCCCATTTGGTCATAGGGGTAGAGATGTTGCTGTCGACCAGCCAGTGGCCACCTTTGACCTATATGATCATTAGCAATTCGCACTCAATCGAAGTCCTTCAATCCATACATTGTGGTAATCGCCGCCAGATCCAACACCATCAATAATGAAGGTGCGGACTTCCTTAATGCGAGGGAATTCCTTGATTGAGCTCATTGTGAAGTATTTCTGTATGACCGACACCGTGATCAATAGTACAACTCACGGAGGAAGAAAAGACACGGAGCAGAAATAAAACGCGGGGAATGGCCGTCTATAAACAGGCGGGGAGAGCTTGTCCCGAGGGCTCGGGGTATCACTATGCCGAGCAGCGGATAAACGGAGAATTTCACATGCATCGAATTGAGCACTTGCAGTCTATCTGTATGATTCTGCACTCCAGTTTGATCGAGAAAGGTGAAATTTGATATGTGGGGTTGTTTATGCTGGGCCTGCTCAGGAATTGACTCGGATACTACATTGTAGCCAGCTATGGTCCAATGAGTGTCAATTCAGGTGCTTGTATCAAGACTAGGACGTCTTGCCTGTCACAAAATAGTTTCAGAGTATAATCTTCAAATAGCATGGGTCTATATCCGATAAAAGTCAAGACAGCGACGAAAACAATATTCCATAGCCCCGATTTGTCTTCTATGTTCCATGACTCAGGATATATCATCGTCTTGACTTATTATATTCCATCATGGATCTCAACGTTGGAACTTGGATCCAGAATGATGGCCACCTGCCAGAAGATATTAATTCTTGCATAGCTAGATCACTTATCTGTCCATGAGGGATACTGTATAGACCAAGTCCGAACTTGCCACCTATTGCCCCGCGCTTCCCCCACACTCGGTCTAACATCATCGCGAAATGCCGAGGCCTTATCGGCGAAAACGAAAATCGTCTTGCACTTCATTTTGCATTCACAACAATGGCTTTCCCTCCATTACTAGTAGGCAAGGTTGCCGCCATCACAGGCGGTCTCACAGGAATCGGCAGGGTAGGTCAATTGGCTCTTGCAATGAACCCAGACTGACCAGACAGGCGATTGCCCTCGACTACATCCGCCACGGCGCAAAGGTCTCAATCAGTCATCTAGGTGGCGAGAAGGAAGCGCCCTTGCTTGAAGCACTGAGAAATGACGTGAAGGAGATCGAGGTTGAAGCAATTACCCGCTTCATCACTGTATCAGGCGATATCTCCCAACCAGAGACAGGCCGCGAATTTGTCGCAAAGACCGTTGAAGCTTTTGGCCGACTAGACGTGTTCGTCAGCAATGCAGGCGTCTGTCAGTTTGCTGAATTCTTAGAGTAAGACAGACCAGCCTCATGGTAGTCTCGCCACTGACATTCTCAGACTCGAACCCTCCCTCCTGAACCACACTGTCTCTACCAATCTCTCAGGCGCATTTTTCGCAACTCAGGCCGCCGCACGCCAAATGGCCCAGGCTCAATCGCCACCTGGAGGCTCCATCATTGGCGTCAGCTCCATCTCTGCCCTGGTGGGTGGCGCACAGCAAACTCACTACACGCCCACGAAGGCAGGTGTCCTAAGTCTGATGCAGTCGTGTGCATGTGCTCTTGGAAAGTACAACATTCGCTGCAATGCGTTGCTACCTGGCACTATTCGTACGCAGCTGAACGAAGAGGATATGAAAGATCCCGTGAAGAGAGAATATATGGAAGGCCGAATTCCGCTTGGTCGCCTTGGCCAGCCTAAGGATTTGGCTGGTCCGGCTGTGTTCTTGGCTTGTGAGGAACTCAGTTCGTATGTAACTGGGGCCCAGCTTCTAGTTGATGGAGGCCTCTTTGTCAATCTGCAGTGATGTATATAGATTTCATTTGAAACACGCAGTCTTGTCCAACAAGGATCTTTGGATTCTCTACAAACACAATATCTATATCGCAATTCCGTATGCCCGCAAGGCAACGTCTTTCCACACGCCTCTCTTCTGATATTCGGAAAACTTTCTGTTCCGTAGGAGTTCCTCCACTACAGACCTCCATCTGTCCCATGAAACATCATTTCCACCCCCGCCAAGATTGCAAACAGGCCAATCTGATCCGAACATAACACGCTCAGGCCCGAAAGCATCAAAAACCACGTCCGTCCAAGGCAGAACACAATCCAGGATATTCGCAATATCAACCTCTTTCCCCAAAGGCAACAATTCCGAGAATGCCCCAGAAAGCTTCATATAAGTGCCAGGCACCCTTGCCATTTTGCCAATAAGATCCTTCCACTCCAAAAACTCAGGATGAGAAAACACTTCTGCCCCCGAAAGCCGAAGGTTAGGCTTGCACATATGATCTGTAAATCGTCAGCGAGATTTCCTTGTATACAGCCAACATAAACCAACTAATGATGATCTTCACACCGTCCCCTTCGTCAAGTCTCTCCATCATCTCAACCGCCTCCCTCAACTGTCCCAATCCACCACTCCTAGCATCAACCCCAAGATCGAAAGTCAAGCCCTTCCTCCCTAGATACTTTAGCGCATCCAAAAATCCATCCCCAAGCATAGTCCCCTTCGCCTTGTCCTGAACAAGATACCTCACTCCCCTAACAGCTTGGCAGGCCTGACCACTCCGCTCACGCACAAGTTCCATATACCGCGCGACCTCATCCGCACCACTGGGAACAGGCGCCCAGGGAACAATGCCCAGACAAAGATCTTTATCTCGTGGCTCGTGGCCTTCACCTGGAATAGGCGTGCCTTGTGCAATGCGCGCCAGGAATGAGACTTCGTCTAGGGCATGGGTCCAATTGGGCGGGGAGAGAGAGGAAATCCGATCCGTTTCGAGGAATATGAAGCCTCGGACTTGAGAGTTGATTGCTTGGCGATATTCGTTTACGCTGTGCTGTGCGCCTAAGGGGTTGTTGGAACTGTGCCATGATAGTGTTTCGAGGTGGCTTGCTGGGAAAAGGTGGATGTGCGAGTCTACTATTTGTGGTGTGCTCATCTTGGGCGTTGGGGTTGGTCTACTGCGGGGGTTAGAGGTGATGTTTGGAGAATGCGGGATTGAGTACCTTTTCCAGTTGCGAATCCCACGCTACGACGTAAGTATAGAAAGGACAGTCTTTGGGATGAGTGTTTGCTTAAAGTGGAGGAAGTGAAAGGTCGTATATGTGTTCTAAGGTTGTCTGGGGTCCCTCGGCGGTTGTTACCCCGAGCCCAAGCCTTGGTGGAGACATCGCACCAACAAGTATTGCCTGAAAGCCCAGGTTATGAACAACGTTTACATTTTGTAGAATCTAAAACAAAGAAAGAAATTCATATGCAAAAGAAGCAGAGTATACATACACCATGGGCATAACCGCGCAAGAGCAAAAGCATGAAGGAACATAAGAGGCGAAGCAGTAAAAAAGCCAAAGTGTAAACAATCCCCCCTAAACAGAAGGGAGAGGGTATGTATGCATACATGCCTCAAAAGAGGCACGAAAGGAAAGTCCAAAGTAACACAAGCAAAAAGACTGAAGTCGAACTCCAGGGGTCATCACCATATTCGAGAAGCAAGGCAAATACCAATCATGATAAAGTGCGCATAGGCACAGCCCAGACTCTCAATGCCACCACCAAGGTTCTATACAAAAGGGTTTGGCACATATTTCGTGCAGAAGCAGACTTGAGGGTCCAGCCGCTTAGTCGTCCATGGGCTTGTCTTCCAGAGTGACTCTGTTAGGCTCGCTCTCTGCAATGCTGCTGCGGTTGCTATCTGTGCCCGCAACGCCGGAGGCCGTAGTGGAGAAATTCGACAGGCTACCAAGGCCAGGCTTACGACCACTGTAGCGAGCCGAAGAGCGAGATACTGAGTTCCGCTTCTCGAATTCCGCGGATCCGACAGCCGGTGTGGGAGTGGGAGTCGGGGAACCGTCGGAGACAGTCTCAGTCTCGAGTTGAGTGGAGACAGGCGGGGGGCTGGGTGAGCCTGAGTAACCACTGATACTAGCAGTCGAAACAGGAGATTCAGCAGGAGCGCCATTGGTGGCCGGCTCAGAAGCCGGGGTGACCACGGCAGGTGTGTCAGCTGCGGCGTGAGAGGATTCGTTGGCCGGCACGTCTAGGCTAGGGCCGCGGACGGCTCTGCGGTCCGCGATGGAGGAGGGGCTATTAACGTTGATTGGGAACCGGCCCATTTCAGAGGCGCCGCTGGAGCGGTCGCGTCGGTGCCTTTGGCGGGCAGCAGGGCTAGTGGCACGGCTGCGGTTCACGATGGCTCGCTGGCGGGCTTCCATGGCTGCGCGGCGGTTGCTCTCATCAGTGCTGATGGATCGTGCACGAGACTGGTGACCGGCGCTGTTGACGCCAAGGGCACTCGATTGGCGCTTGAGCTCACCAAAGATGGAATCCTTGTGGGCGAACAGGTCGCGGATTAGGCGGTAGCTGTGGCGTTCGTTCATCGTCAAGCTGCTCTCGAATCGAGGACGGAGAATGCAAGGGGAGAAAGCCTGAGCCAATGCCGTAATGTACTCTTCGTCGGCAGAGGTCAAGTCAATCAGGCGTGTGAAGTGAGTCATAATGGCATCAAGCGTAGCAATATTCACGAGGCGAAGCTGCCCAAGGGTGCTCTGCAGAACCTTGATGCGGCCTTCTTCCGTGGTTTCATGGGCGGTGGTAGAGTAAATGGTTTTCACGATTTCATAGACTTGGGAGGAGACCAGGGAGTCTGTCGAGGGTTAGATTGGCCACGAGTGAAAGGGAATGGAAAACGGACCTGGCAACTCAAGTAGGTACAATCTCAAAACGCTTGCAATGACAGGGATCTCGTATTGAGGTAGGATTTCATGATAGTCCGCCTTGCTGTTGTTCAAAGCGTAACGAAGCTTGTGCGTCCGGGCGAGGTCCACATCCGTGAGCCAGATCATCTGTCGCGTCTCGTCGCCTTCAAGCTCGGGGTAGCCTGCAAAAAAGCGGTTAGTATCAAACCACGATATCGGCCTGGTAGATATCTTACGATTGTCAAGATAGGTCAGGATGGTAGTAAGCAGGATTGGAACACGCTTGCGGTCAACACGAGCCCTAGCCTCGAGGTCGACACCGAAGTTTTGTTCTGTATTAGTTAGCAGAGTGCGCGTAAGATGTTTCGCAGGGGTTTTTACCTTCAACGGAGCCGTAGTAGTTTTCGTATGCTTGGATCTTGGGCACAAACCCTCCTGTGCGGTAATTCTCAAGCAAATATCTCAGGTCGCCAAGGGGCTGGATTGTCTCCTGGTACAGCATCATATGGTCCACCGTGCTCTGCAGGTTGGGAATGACGTTACTGATAGCACCAGAGAAGTCAAGGACAACAGCCTTGATGGCCTTGAGTCTGTCGAGTTCACACTGCTCCATGTATTTGAGCTGAGTGATGACTTCTTCCTCCAAGCGGCAGCGGATTTGGTCAAGCTTGCGGACAGCAACCTTGTATCGCTCATCCGCCTCCAGAGCCTCTCGCCGAAGCTTCTCGGATGGTGTTTCGTTGGGGTAGGGGTTGTTGAGAGGGTTCCAACCGGACAACATTTCGGAGACCGATGACATGGGTGATTCGCTGCCGCTGCCATCTTCACTTGAGGCCACTGAGGTGACACGCATGAGAGGCTTCTTTTTCTCGGGAATGCCAGTGAGCTGGAAAACCTTGGGACGCCATTGGTAGTTCATCTTGGAACTGTTGGCAAAGACATTGCCCATGTTTCCAACCAAACGAAGTAAGCCGTTGTCTACCATGTCCTGTCCGATCCTTTCTACCTCAGTAAGGTTGTCGGCTTCCATATAGGTCTGGATGTACTGCGCAATGTCCGCACCAGTAGAAACGTTCAAGTAGGTACCGATGATGGGAACCTTCGCCTCGCCAAGCTTGATATGATCGAGCATGTGGGTAAGGAGCTTCTTGATATGATCTGGAGGGAACACCCTCTCGCCCAGCTCGATGGGGTCCTCCTCGGGCTCCTCCTCGGTGGGAAGCACAATTTTGGGTGGAGGCTTGACCTTCGGACTCGTCTCGGGGTCCTGGAAAGCAAGTTTGTTCTCTTCCTCCAAGTCTTCCACGACACGACACTTGTTGAAATAAGTACTGCGCAACTTCCGGACCAACTCCGCCTGCTTGGTATGTTCCTTGATGCGAGTCTGGAGTAGGTCATGCGAATACTGTACACGCATCTCATGCTGTTCGCCCCAGCGACGGAACGGCGTAACAACTAGCTCGCGGATGTTGCTGGATATCTTTTGGTGGTTTTTAGATGCCTCGACCATCTCGGTGCGAATACCTTCGTATGCCTAGAATTTGGCGCGTCAGCTCTTTTACTCGATTTCGATGGGCGGTGTCGAACTAACCTTTCGGACACTCGCACCGTCGTCCTTGCCGAACCCGACGGCTGTCATCCGGTCCACGCTCGGGGCAATGTCCCCCATGCGGAGTCCATACTGTTCCTCCGCCTCTGCACGCATGGAAGCGATGGTCAGGATCTGCTTGTTTTCCACCACACCTTGCTGTAGTTTCCCATACAGCACCCCCAACCCGCTAGCATAGTCGGGGGTCCAGAACGAGTCCGCAAACCCGGGCATTATGGCGGCTAAATGGCAACTTCAGCCAGTTGAGCAGGGGCACGTAACGGGAGCACAAAAGACAAGCGAACGGAGATTGGGCACCGGCGTTAGTCGTAAATTCGTACGTTCGGAGGGTAATAGGGAGTTGGGCGAAGACAATGCGAAAGTCAAGAGGCAATCGGAGTAAATGGTTCACCAGCCACTGAGGCTGTCGGAGGCTGCGATGAGACCTGTCACACCGAAAGCAAACCGGGGTGGCGGGCTGGGCAAAGCAATCCAAATTTTGGGATCGATGACGGTGCGCAGAGATCGAGGGACCGACGGAAGGACGATCGCTTGGGAGATGTGAGACAGCGCTGCTAAGCGCCGTGAAAGGAATCCGCACGTTCTTGAAAGGAGTGAAAGCCGATACCAAGGGAGATGCGATGCGAAAGACCCGGCAGGTATAGCAATACGGAGATGGAAATGAGAGACAAGATCAAGGTGGAATTGAAGCGTTGGAGATGTTGATTCCCAGATATCGCAAGCCTCGTCATGTGGCTCGTAAATTACGATACGGGGCTGAAACGGAAGAACGTGAACAATTTGTACAGCGCCCCACTGCGTGTTGTTGCGAATCCACTGGGGCGCACATTGTGTACTATTTTTGGGATTGAAAATTACACTGTCGGTTTGCAAATCCTTAATTCTGTCGATTTTTCAACAAAAAGGGGTTCTTCGAAGTATAGAGTACCATGTATGTATCCAGGGCAACATGCTGATACAAGTATTCAGAAAGCAGTAAGCTTCTAGGGTCCAGACTCAGGTACCTCAATTTGTCTAGGGGTGTTTCATGGAATACGTGTCATATTTAATATCTTCAACGCTCCCCACAGACATGCCAAGCCTGGAGGCTCGACGTTAGGATCGGCACATACAGCAGTTGGCCCAATGGTAAGAGATTATTCACAGTAATATGTCGTCTTATTCGTTTGTTCAACAAGTAAACGTATCATGTAGATATGGATATATGACAGAAGAATGATTAAAAATGATATTCCTTAACAGAAGAACTTGTAGACCTTCTTCCACTTGGGCCAATCCTTCTGCTCAGCTCGCTCCTGTTCAATCATATGTTGGAGATCGAGTTCCCGACGACCAGTGACAAGGTCCACTTCCATAGAACTGACGAACTTGGTCTTGTACCACAGCTTGTAGGGAATGTAGCAGGCAATGACGACCGGAGCAGCGAGGTAAACAGAGAAGAAGTTGTAAACCAACTCGCTGGCAGTCATTTCCGCGTATCCAACGGGGGCAAAGCCAACCCAGAATTGGGCAATCAACACAAGGACGTTGAAAAGGAAACCGACCCAGGAACCATACACACCAGGCTGAGACCGGAAAGCCAACTCATCCAGGCTATGGCCCTGCATTTTCCAGGCACGGCGGAACAAGATGTGGGCAAGGCACACGGAGCCCCAGGTGAAGATGGAGGAGAGACCGGAGATGGCCATCATCCACTCGAAAGCAGTGGTCTGCTTGTCAGAGGCGGCAAGGTAGCAAAGGAGACCCAGGGCAGAGGCGATGATGATGGCAGGCAAAGGACGACCCTTGCGGTCGATGTAAGCCAAGAATTTGGGAGCCTGACCCTGCTCAGCGAGAGCAGCCAGGGTACGCGAGGAGCCGTAGACGGAGGAGTTGCCGACAGACAGGACAGCAATCATGATCACGACGTTCATGATGGAAGGAAGGACCTTGATTCCGGCATTCTCAATGGCAATGACGAATGGAGAGGCTTTGGCATCGGCAGAAGAAGATCCGTTCACCAGTCTTGGTTCGTCATACTTCACCAGCATGCCGACAACGGTCAAGGAAACAATGTAGAACAAAGCGATACGCCAGAAGACCTGCTTGACGGCGGTAGGCAGAGACTTGCGAGGGTTCGTGGTTTCCGCGGCAGCGAGACCGACAAGCTCGGTTCCGGCAAAGGCGAAGGCGGCGTTCACGAAGACACTGCACAGTCCCTTGAATCCATTGTTGAAGGCTCCCGGGTCATACCAGTAAGCGGCACCGACGTATCCACCCTCTGGGCCACCACCGCAGTTGATGATGATTCCTAGAATACTATTTACGAGTCAGTCAACGATCAACCATGAAGGAGAAGCAACACTCACATGAAACCAATGACGGCAGTAACCTTGATAATGGAGAAGACGAACTCCGCTTCACCGTATCCTCGGACACCGAACATGTTGATAGAGACGATCATCACCCAGAAGATGGTGACCCAGGCCGCATTCGAGACTCCGGGATTCCAGTAATCGACGGTGATAGAGGCGGCCACAATCTCCAGGGGCAAGACAATCAACCATTGCAGCGCATAGTTCCAACCCATGGCAAAACCCCAGGCGGGATCCACGAAACGAGTAGAGTAGTGGGCGAAGGAACCGGCGACGGGGAATAGAACGGCCATTTCACCCAGAGCATGCACGGTACAGTACAACATACATCCGATCAGGATATAGGCGATCAAAACCGAGGCGGGACCACCGGCTGCCAGGACCTTGCCAGAACCGACGAAAAGACCAGTACCTGCGAGGAGGTTAGTAAAGGATCAAGAATATTTGAGAATCATGGGTCCATACCGATTGAACCACCGATGGCAATCATCTGCAAATGACGACCTTTCAACCGACGTTGTAGTGGAGAATGGGCAGTATTTTGTGCGGCAGTCTCAGCATCGAATCCTGAACCATCGGCTCCGGCATTGCTGTGAGTGTGACCTGTTACGCTGTGGTTGGGATCGCGCCTGAAACTATCAATAATACGCTGACCAAGGCCCGCCTTGGTGGACGATGAGTGGCCATAAGAGGGGGGACCATCGGAGCCGGTTTGGACGGTCGTCTCCTCAAACTTCTTTTCCTCCATGGTGAGGGATGATTCTCTTGTCAGAAGAGAATCCAAGCCAGACAAGACTATTGTAAAAAAGCAAAATGAGTTAACAAGTGCATGAACCGGGGGGATGGTGAGGGTTTAAATACGACCCAGCCCGAAGGCAATCAGCGAATAATTTACTTAGATAATAAACGATGGCAAATAAATCTGGAAATAAATCATAATCTCCTGCGCTAAGACCTAAACCTTCGGGCCAAATGCAGTTCAGACCTCGATCCCCTTGGCGGGGTCTGACAAGTACATGCCCCAAGCCTTCTAGATGGACCGACATGCTCATACGTTCCCAAAGGCCATTAATCACATATTCGAGCTGCAAACGCCAGTGGCCACCTGGGCAGATGCCCAGAGAATAACCCCGGAGTCGGGAGATAAGAGATGTCTTACTTTAAAGTCGCAAAGAAGGCTAATTAGCGCGACTCCACCGACTTTATCCTTTATCTCGTGATAGACAACGATACTAAGATACTAATCTTGACACCTTTAGCTTATTGAACAGTATAGTGCGCGTCACCTTACTCCCAAATCGAAAGTCATTACCCCGACTTCTCTACGGAAAGAGAGAATGCGGACAAAAAGCCAAGCTTCAAAGACTCGAGACGGCATGGCTCCAAGTCCACTAGGCCTTATTAGGATCTCTCCGCACTTGATACTTACCCAATGCGATTTGCCTCGGATGATAAGGGATATTTAATGGATTTCTTTATTTTCCTCTCTCATTGATTTATCGGATTTACTAGAATTTTCCCATTGGAGAATGCCATCTGACTGTGATATGGCTCGCATGAATCACTACGGAGGGGAACGATTGGAATGTTCTAGGGGCACATGCCACATGCATCCTGTCAGATAGCCAAGTCAACGGCCCCTGTCTTGGGAACATCCCGACGGAAATCCGGAATGGTGGCACTAAGCCACGGCAGGAATATGCAGAGTGTATACCATGTGGCTCACTGAGGCTGGGTCGCAATTGACTTTCTGCCCTTACCAAGGTTGCCTAGCACTGTGATCTAGACGGCTGCACCGAACTGGCCCGATCCCATGCTCAGGGAGCCCTGGCACTGCCTGGCACTGCCTGGCACTGGGTGGCATGCTACAGTGGTTCGATTCGCGTGAGTTCAGTGGCGGTCTGCCACTGATATGCATGGAAGCGCGGTAGAAGTGGTTAGGACGTAATCATGTGTTCAAGACAGTGATCTTGGCTCAGTGCCAGTGCTTGACCCAGGCTCGTATTATCGCTGGGCAATATGCTGGTCATGCCGTAGGTTGCAGGCCAAACCCTCGCGTCGCGAATAGACTTTCAGGCCACTCAAGAGTCAAGACTCGGGGATGCCGCGATCACTTGTTCTGTAGCCCATCCTTTGTGAGATGACATTCCAGGGGATGTTTGGGGGCCAAGTCAAGATGTGGACACGCGCGCTCTCTTATCTCGCAGTCGGGGATCCACCAATCTCAGCTCATATCTGGGATAACAGCATGGAGACTCACGACCCACCACGCAGGGATCCCGGCCTGGAGCTTCGAACGGTTGCTTGAATCCCAGCCATGAAAGCCCCATTTGATGGCGCCCACCAGGACATCTTACTGGCTGCACTCCCGCAAGAGATAGCCACGGTAGCATCGAAATGGGTTGGCACTGTGTTCGGCTGACCCTTGCGTGAAAGGCTGGGAACTGGGCGCGGACTATGGCCAGTTCCTAGAGTCTCATGGTCACGGTTCTGAACAAGGCCGTCTAATTTCATCCCCGCAAAATCTGATTTGCTAGACGGTCGGGTTTTGTGGCAAGCTTGATCGGGGTCGCCACCCGTGCGGAGGTACCCGTTTCCAGCCTGACATGATTCGAGTTCTGCGCCAAGTCGGAGCTCGCCATTCTGAGGATTCTCGAAATACCCGATCTAAATAATCCCGAAGTAGAAGGACGTTAAAGATGGAGAGCTCAACTTTAGGTGCATATAAATTGCGGGGAACCAATCTGTTACCTAACAAATTTCACATCGTTGGCTCGCGAGTCTGGGGAAGGCCACACTAACATCCACCCCCGGAATATCAGAGTGGAAGCCTAATGTGATCCATCAAAGTAACATCCTATTGAGGCCTATGCGCCGGGTACCAAAATACCTACGCTTAGAAATGCCTACACTTAGATTGGGCCAAGATCTGGTTAAACCATATGCAGAAACACAATGAAATCTAGTGGGTCGACAACCATAGCCATGATGCATTCATAAATTTAGAGGCACACAGAGGTCAGCGTCTAGTAGCACCGGGCCGGCGTAGGTTTGATCTAAACGCCTGGCTTTGGGAAATCATCCAGCTAGGTGATTTGACACTTAATCGGGATTCCTGTTTCAATCACCACTAATTGGAAACAGTTAACCAACTATACCCGGCCCGGTGACTCTGGGGCCATCAAGAGCTGCGGACGCCACATATCGACTGGCTGGTCCGCTTATCATCTAAGAGCTGACCTGTTCAGGTAGGTGTCGGGGGTGATCACTTCAATATGCTTATAATATCCGGCAATAAACTGTGCATAGCCCGTGGGGGCCGGAACTACCCGTCAATAGCCCGGTCAGAGTTAATCTGGCACTTTATCTGGACACGGAAGCTCTGTCAGAGGGGCTAGTTCTCGCATGGCTTGTTTCATGAATCCGATCCAGGAGGCTACGGGTCCTTGCAGTCGAGAGGACGTCATCAAAGCTGCCAGTGGCTTCTGGATCAATTAGCTGGCATTTCGCGGTTGTTGGCAATATGCTTCAGGGCGTTGTTCCTTAAGCCGCCTGAGAGTAATGGATGTCCCTGGCACATGATGGGCGTGAAGTTCATTCATTCAACGATTATGTTCTATCTCGTTGCATTTGGTATCGTTAATACACAAAATTGTCTTTTCGTGGACGCAAACTGGGTATCTCAATCATGAGCTTGCCCCGGGGCCTTCGCCACCAGGAATCAACTATTTCTCTGGTTAGCTCTCTGCGAATAGAGTTGACGTGGGTAACTTGCCATGCAGATGTTGTTGCCGTTCAGCAGGAGCTTGGGGAGCTTGATCTGGGCGCCGCTGTAGTCACTGAACAGAGGTCAGTATATGATGCAAAGAAAATTGCTATCTCAATTGCAAGCAGGTTGAGCCAAAGAGTTGGGCGTCAAGCAGAAGCCCCTGGGTAGTAATGGGGTGGAAGCCAAGTGGTGGAACCACCATGGGTTGACGCTCCCTGATACAAGATGAAGAATATCAAATCACGTACAATTCAGTCACGTCTTCCATAACCATGTCTGGGTGCAAAATTAGTGCCTGCATACTGCTGGTTATCGGAGGGAATACTCACTGACGTAGTCATCGAAACCGAGCAAGGTTCCGGAGAACTCTTCGTGGGTGTCAGCATAAAATCAAAGGTTCTCAAGACATTCATTCGAGACTGACCTTTGTCGCCCTTCATGACCACCCAAATTCGGGAGCCGACACACTTATCAATAAGCTCTATCAAAGGAGTTAGTGGGGGTCACGGGGTTTGGACGAATGGGGCACAAACCAAGGGGCAAAAGCTGAGAAGCCATGGTGCTGAGGGACAATCAAGTCAAGGTGACTGAATTTTTGGAAAGCGTCTGATGCTAAACTTGAATGTGATCGGCTTCTCCGCGTGGGCAAGAATGATATAGAAAAGGACGTGAACCTGTCTGTCTTTCCGCAGATATTCCGTTCCGAGCCACTAGTCCTCATTGGGTCTAGTGCATCTCAAATGTTGATTTCCGTGTGGAGCTCCGCGGCGTGAACTTCAAATCCCGACTTCAATTAAGATTGCTCGCATGCTTGCAGCTGGGGAACTTGGCTGCAAGCTAAATTATATTCTCTTTGACACATTGACTTCGTTTCGAGTGTCTATGGGGGTTTAGGCAGGTCCACTATGCTTGCCAATCAGAATGCGCATGCGGCCGAACCTTTCACGGAGTGGGAAGACCCGATCCTCAATTCTCAAGCTCAACGGCCATCCCGGTAGATCATTGTCCTACCTCTCAATACAGTCGAGGCGTGGACAAGCATGGTAAGCATGTCTCCAATTTCGGTACTCCCAAGAGCAGCCTACTAACCAAAGTCCAGTGGCACCATCTCCGCTCACCGACGTCCATCTGTATCTGTACCATGTGCTGCCCACGCTCGAATCGCGCTGTCGCAACGGCGAAATCTCAGTTCTAGCTCACGTCGGAAGGGCATATGGGATGATGACGATGAGGTCTTAAAGCCGGCCCCTGTTCAACCAGCTCGATCCGCTCAGCCAGCCCGGCCTTACCAGCCACTGCGAACAGCCGAGTCGACCAATCGCGCAGCGCGGCACCGTAATGTGGGTAGCTTGCTTCGGTCGAGGGTTAGCGCAAAGCAACTGGCGGATAACTTGGCGAGGATTCAACATGATTTTGAAAAGCTTCCCTCGCATGATCTGTTGATTGAAACCTTCCTCGAATTGAAGTACACGCATCTGGGTGATCTGATCTCAGAAAGCGCAAGGGCTGTTCAAAGCTACCAGGCTGATGCGCAGGCTCTCACAGATTGCCTCAACAAGCAAATCGATGATATAATCTTACAATTGACGCACGACGTTGCTCACTCGGAGAGAGTCACTCAGACATATGTGTCTGAATTCGATAATTTGGCAAACTCTATACAACAGCGGCTGGACGCAGTCCTTTCAGCAGCCGATGCGAGAGTATCAGAAGCAAATGCCGTTACACAGCAAATTGGGGCTGAAGTGGAAACACTATCATCTTCGATATCGAAAGAATTCACTAATATGGTTGCACTGAGTGTCTATGACGTCCGGCAAGCTGAAAAAGTTACCCGAGGGTACATGGTTGAATTGAAACGCCTCTCGTCTTCCATCCAGGGTTTGGGCTTCCTGGACGCTTCCGTTTCGAAATCGCAACGTGCAATTGCAAGAATCGACCATGATTTCTGCACCATAGCCTTCTGGCCAGTTCCAAAGTGGTCGCGTGACATCAAAAAATCCGGGCTCGAAATCGACCGCTGGAGAGTAGAGACATGCATTTCCGCAACAAAGATACTAGCTTCTCGAGTCCGTTCATCGGCGATAGCCGTTGCTTCATTGCAAAAACAATTCCTCTGGGAATTTCTGCAACCTCGCCGGAGGGCACAAAATCGAGTGGATGGAATCCTTGCTCCGCTGGAGCAGTCCAGGGTTGTATACAGTGAGCTGCAGCGAAAATTTGCGGCGACGTTGGAAATCTCCCCTCAAATTCACTTGCTTTGCAGAGATCTGAGCAAAGCGAGTTCTTTTGGTGCCGAGGATGCGCTGCGATTTGCTGAGCTCCGCAGCTCAGGCGCTGAGCTTAGTCTCGAGCTGCGCCGGCGCGCTCATACTTGGCGCGCAGCCTGGCGCGAGACGCAATATGCCAAACATGGTTTAAACAAGATGGATCGCTGGAACTTGAACCATATCACCCGACACGCCTCCAAAGATCGCAAAGAGATTGTTCTTTCTACCTTGCGGGGCTCGAATGAAATCCTGGAAGCGAATCAAGAAAAGGTGCGCGCCAAGCTTAGCACGAAATATATGCATCTCGAACCATCTTCCATCTACTGGACACAGCTAAACACAACAGCCCTGTTTGAGCTTACTAATTTGATGATGTGGCGCCTTCACTCTGAGGTCGATTACCTTCGATTCGGCCTCATAGGGGCATTCGGGCCATTGTGGTCATGGGTGCCCAGAGAGACTATATCATCTAAATCGCATGACTTGTCGCTATGGTGCGCCCAGTTTTCAGCTTGTCGAAGTGATTTCCGAGCAGATTTTGCTGAATTCAAATACTTGAACTGGCTGCGCCTCCTTCGAGAACGCCAGTTAGGCATACAGCACCGGGTCTCCGAGGGGATCAAACCACTGGAGGGGAGCCAAAAAGCTCGTGAACTCAATCGACTCAAGACTGCTCTGATAAGCAGCCGGTCGGGATCTGTGAGGCCCCGACCCTGGCGTAAGAGCTTGGATGAGACTCCTGGAGAGCCATTTACAAAATGGCTCGATCTCATGGCAAAATGTTCTCAGGATGCTTATCTCGTTTCGGCTGTCCGTGAATTCGAGCCCGCTCAATGGGAACAACTGTATGATGCGTGGGACCTAGCACGAACAAATCAGTCGTTCACTCCCGAGCTTGGCTCTCTAGTGCCGTCTCCAGTGCGGCTCCCCCGAAACAAGGGAATCGCTGATTCCCCTCGGGCATCTTCTCTTCATGATCGTCACAGAAATAGCAAATGGCTGCCGCTACCCGCAGAAGGCACAAGAAAACGCAGTGGTGGAAAGAACCGCTTTAGGTATGATGCGAGGAAAGCGGAATTGCGAGATCATGAAGTGTTGCAAGACCACCCTGAAGAACAAAACCAAAAAAGCGTTGGTGTTTCAACGCCACGTCGCCAGACTCAACCCACAACCCGGCTGCCAGGAGCTAAGCCTGGTGTTGTTTCATCGTTCTTCAACTCTTCACGGAGCGCAGGCCAGAGGGGGTACAGCACAGATGCAAGCTCTCAATTCTCAGAGCCCCAACACCCTGGTGATCTGAGCCGCAAAATCCTCCGTGAGCGCACAACTGAGGATGAACTCTCGTCAGTCACCTGTGAAACCCAGCCTCTGATAGAAATCCTTCCTGCGGATGACCAGGCACCTCATTTGAAAGACGAGATAAATGCGAATGAAACCTCGTCGCCACTTTTCTGGACCCACAAATCACAGCAAAGCCCCAGTGGTGATAAAATCGTCGTCCACTATTGCCGGTCACTCAAAAGCACCGAGGCAATGGTTCAGCACTTTCTGGGAAGCAAAGTCATCGGCTTTGACATGGAGTGGAAATCATCGGCATCCAGTCGTGACGGCATAAAGGATAACGTATCGCTCATTCAAATCGCCAACGAGGAGCGCATAGGCCTCTTCCAAGTTGCTCTTTTCCCTGGCAGGACTGAGAAAGATTTAGTGTCACCATCACTAAAGCAACTGATCGAGAACCCCGATGTGCTGAAAGTCGGCGTTTCAATCAAAGCGGACTGCACACGGCTGCGCAAGTATCTGGGTATTGATGCGAAAGCCACTTTCGAGCTCAGCCATTTGTTCAAGCTAGTCAAGTTCGGCAAGAACGAACCGAAACTGGTGAACAAAAGGGGTGTCAATCTGAGCGATCAAGTGGAAGAGCATCTTGGTCTCCCTCTCGATAAGAACGAGGATGTGCGCTGTGGAGACTGGACTCGTACATTGAATTACCAGCAGGTTCAATGTGAGTGATTGCACCGACTGTTCTGGTTGGAGACTGATTTCTGACTTTCTTGTAGATGCCGCTACTGACCCGTATGCCTGTGTTCGTCTCTTCCATGTCATGGAAGCTAAAAGGAAGGCTATGAGCCCGATGCCACCTCGCCCTGCGTTTGCTGAACTAGGTCAGCCTATCATCGTTCCATCTCGAGATGCAGTCATCGAGGAAGATATACTGGTGTAATAGTGTTCATACTACGCACATGAGCCTATTCGAACTTTTGCAATATTCATCATATCGTTCCCTCGCCTACCCCCTTTCTCTGTGTTCTTGATCTTACTTTTCAGCCCACTTCGCATCTTTGCAGCTTTGTGCTGTGTATGCATGATTATCGCATTTGCATTTTCCTCTTGTCGATGTCGACGGGTCCACAGATGGACAGTACTTTGCATTGTCACTCAGCATATATCCCAAACTTCGAGATTGGACCTCTGGAAGCTTCCAACCTCTGACACATTTGGCTCTCTTCACTCTTTCACCTGCATTTTTTTCGGTACATAACACCGGGGACGATCTCACTCAATACATATACTGTGTCTATAATTACGAACGTTGGGAGAGTCCAAGGCACTAAATCTATTTGCGTATTTCGAAACTTGGAAGCTGTAAGGTAAATGGCATAAATATGTATTGATCGAAAGTGGTATATTAACAAATCTAGACTGTACAACCCTGGAAGAAAAGCACGAGATATTATATCGGAGACTCCGAGGGCGATCGGGCATCAGTTCGTTATAGCCGCACAAGTTGACTACCCTCTCAAAGGCAGTACTTTAGAGAGCAATACTTCCTGACGACAAAGGGGACACTCGGGCTTCTCCCGAACCCAGTCTCTCACACAAATCCAACAGAAGACATGGCCACAGGTCGTAACGCTAGGATCCTTGAACATCTCCAGGCAAAGCGTGCACTTCCGCTGTTGGCCTTCAGGAATCCACGAGACAGCACCGGGGTTTTCTTCCAAGTCATAAAGAGGCATAGAAGCCGGAAGCAGAGGAATAGCAGAGGGATTCTGAATCGAGCCAAGCACCGCACCTGACGAAGCCTCGCCCTGAGAGCTTTCCTCCTCATCAGGGGTAGTCGCCAGCTTCCGAGCATGCAGGAATCCCTGGACCGCAATCTGCAACACGAGCAAAACGCCCAGAACCTCGTACCCGATCCGCTGCTCATTATCATCTATCTTCTTCGTGAAGACATACCGCAAGCGCCAAAGACGCTTCGAAAGATGATAATATGAGCCCGTGAAATAGAATGTGGCAATACTCAGAGCGTAAATGGGTGACACGGAGGTGATTGAGTCCAGATGCTCAAGCAGATATTGTTGAACGCGCAGCTTGGTAAAGAATGGTTTCTTCACCGGGGCTGAAAGCTGAGGCTTATTGAGCAGGCCAGCCTGCTGTGCTGCGCGGAGCTGTGCACGCGCGACATTGCGCTCTAGCTTGTTGCGGATCCGATGTCGGAGGGCGGGGAGGAGTCGCTGAAGTGTCCATGGCACGAGAATGCTGCTTAAGATGTATCCCACTCGTCGCCCGATGGAGGGTAATTGGAGTGTATCGTCTTCTAGTTGGACGAGGTCGCAATATTCCTCGCCGAGGGTGCGGTTGCCGAGAGCAGTTGTTAAAGAGAAGTAGAGGAGTTCGGTGATATGTTTTATTGAGTCTGAGTAGGTGTGCGCGAAGCGGGCACCACGGAGGGCTCGGACAATGCCCTGCGATTGATGGACTAGGCTGCTGGTGAGAAATGCATCTTTCTCGTGGGAGCGGATGACATCTGGTGAGGTTGCGAACGGGTAGAAGTGTGAGGTGGATGAGCTGGGAGGCGCACTCGGCAGAGAGAGATGGGTATCATCGTCGGCCATTGTGGGATTGAACAGGAGACTGCCAGATGCAGTGATTCTCGGAAACAGCCCTTGAGGTCTCCCCGGCTTTGGAGAAACGCGGAGGTGTACCTCGGTCCAGTGAGGTCAGGTGACTGTGTTGGGTCACTGACATCACCTGACGGCGTTACAATACACAGTATAATACACAATATAATACACCGTTACATACGAGCCCCACCCTTTGTTTCTGCAGCGTCAAGGGTCAAAATTAGGGAAATAGCATACAGAATATTACATCTAAGAATATGGAATATCTAAGGAAAACATACTATAGAATATATATTTCACACTGAGGTAGGAATGTAAACATGTACATGTATACTCCGTATGTGTAATGCCAAGCCGTAGCGATCGAGTCAACGATCTCCCCTGAAATGTTCTAATTATACCAAAACGGACCTGTGGAGTTCCAGACTTCCGCCACTTATTAAAAACCAAAGGCCTCAGTCTCAACTTCCTGTGAGACTCACCCCTAGTCATTCCTTTCTAAACTCCCCCACGGGGTTCTTGTCATCGTCGCCTCTACCCCTCGTTCAATGGAATAATGGGTCCAGATCAACATGCTCAATTGGATCCCTTTGGGCTGATCTTCCCATTGCCGCTCCGGATAGCTTCACTCCTGGTGGCCGGTAGGTTGATGCCCGAAGAACGCGTGGGACGAAGTTAACAGAGGAACAGGTTTCTGGGGATGGGGCTTGAACCTCGAGTACCTAGCGAAAGCGAACATCGTAAGTCCTGCCCACGCGACCACCGACATCCACTCACTACCGTCTCCATAGGACGTTCCGGCTCTCATCAAATATCCCGCCCGCACACCCTCCCAGCGTCCGCACCACACTGCGGTCTATCGTCTGGCCACCATCTTCACAATCCCACTGGCCATCTGGTTCGTCGTCTTTTGGTTAGCCACCCGCCGGTCTCCTGAGTTGGTGGAGCGACTAGACTGGCTTCCACAATCGGTCTTCGTGATCCTCCTACTGATCCTCATCTGGCCCCTCAACCGCGCTTCCCGGTCCGGACGGGTCCGGTTTCTCCTCACGCTTAAGCGGATCAGCATTGGCGGCTTGGCACAGTCCCAGGATGGCAAGTTCGGTGACATTCTGCTGGCAGATGCCCTTACTAGCTACGCGCGTGTGATTGGAGATCTCTACATCAGTTTCTGCATGTTCTTCACCGATGGCATCGCCGCGACCTCGAAGCCCAATCGTGCCTGTGGGAGCGAAATTGTCGTCCCCATCATCCTGGCCGTTCCCAGCTTGATTCGGCTGCGACAGTGTCTGACGGAATATCTACGTGCGCGCAAGAACACGACCCGCAGAGAAACGCAAAAGGCCACTCAGCACTTGGCTAACGCCCTCAAGTATGCCACTGCGTTTCCGGTCATCTGGATGTCCTCCAAGATGCGTAACTATAATCCGTTGGAGTTCCGCGGATACAGCGAAATGAGCATGATGCGTCTTTTGTACGATGCCCCTTGAATCCTGAGATTTTCATTTCTAACATCCGCAGGTTCATCTTCTCTTTCATCAACTCCGCCTATTCGTTCTGGTGGGATGTGGTCAAGGATTGGGACATGACCCTCTTCTCACCCGAACGCCACGACAAGGATCACCCCTACGGACTGCGTCGGCACCGCTACTTCTCATCGAACAAGATGTACCACTACGTCATTATTGCGGACCTCGCACTGCGATTCTCGTGGCTCTGGCGCATCGTCCCAGGCTTCGGGTGGATCCCAGAGACCGAGAGTGGTCTGTGGATTCTCATGCTCCTCGAAGTCGGACGTCGCTGGATGTGGGTGTTCTACCGCACAGAAGCTGAGTGGAGTATGTATCCTCGTTTTTAACAGTATCACCTTGGCTTTTCGGACTCGGCTTACGTTGTGCAACAGTTCGGAATACACATGGCCCAGGCCCAGACGATGTCCTCCTTGGCGAATACAACCACAAATTCGACGCGGACTAGACGTCTCCCTTTTCTTCTTTGACCTTATCAAGCGACTTGGCACGAACATGAGACACTGAAACCCTTTCTCAATCTATTGGGTTGACTTGTTGGGCATGGAAATGCCCTCTTATATTTTTCTTTCTCTCTCTCTGTCTTCTGACATAAAGTTGTTCAACCATGTTGGATTTCCACATCCAGGCGCAGCTGCGGGCACAATCTGCCCGTGAACTCAACTTGCAAGCATGGATTTCTCTTTCAACTCCCCTCCCCCCCTCCATTGTACCCACTATTCAGGACCATCCGGTCTTATTGCATCTATCCCGCCTTTTTCTCGTTCATTACATATACCACTTCTCTATTGGATTGCAATTGGTCCTTCCGTTTTCTCCTTGCTCCGCGGTGGATTGTATGATATATTTGAGATGCTCAAGGCCCATTACGACTGAAGACTTTATGTATGGTTTGTAGATGAGTCTAGATTTTCCGCAGGGACATGTAATACAAATTGACGCGTTTATTAGCCCTTTTTTTCCAAGTTCGAATGAATACGGTGTTATCACACTAGCTCAAGGTTCCTGCATGCCCTTCTTTCGGAGAATCCTTGCGTCGACCTGCGGTTGGTCTCGATTCAAATCGACCATGCCCGATTAAGTTGTGAACAAGCATGTTGTTCTAAATACTCGTAGGGCTACAAGGTGCCAACTTTGGAGTAGACTCGTGTAAACATATTTCATATATTCCTAAAGAAATCACAAAGACAGACTCGTTGACTTCGTGCTCGTATGTTATTATCACAAAACGCGGATAGAACACAACCACGCATATTCCCTAAGGAACATCGCAGCGGACCAGCCAGACAAGCCTCTGGCCTATCCATGCTCTTTTCCTACGTACGTGGACCGGTAATTCCGTGCCTTCGTCCACATCATGCAAAACCTCCCCTCTGCTCCCGAGGTCCCTTCATATCATATCGTTCTTGTCATACAATAATTCAACTTTTGGACATGTTCAAATTCGAACATCCACATAACCGTTGCACGGATATTTTCAGCACTCTAACTATGATTGCCCCATCGATAGAGCTGGGGACCTATGTCAGGTATAACACCTTTACAGGTCCTTCTTGATGATGTGGGCCTTGGGAAGGGTGCCAGCGCGGTCAATAGCGTTCTGGCGAGCTCCGGTAAGACCGTGCTGGGTGTTAATACCCTCAACACGGTGAGTGGAGTTGATGTTCTTGACAAGGGTGAGTTGCCAGCAAGTGGCACCACCCTGGCGAGAGGTGATGGTAGAAGAGGCAAGGAAGTACTCCCAGATGCGGAACCAGCGCTTGCCGTACTTGGCCTCGACTTTGTCACGGTTACCCATCCAGTTCCGGTACCAGCGCCAGAGGGTAGCAGAGTAGTGCACACCGATGGTGTCGACGGCCTTGATCTCGAAGCCGGCACCCTCAAGGCGGTCGACGACGAAACCGAGAGGGGTACTGGCGTCAGCACCGGGGAAGATGTACTTGTTCATGAAGAGACCCCAGATAAGGTCCTCGTATTGCCAGGACTTGCGGAGACCAGCGATCTGCAGGAAGAAAGTACCGTTGTCATCGAGCATGTCGTAGACCTGGGAGAGGAAAGAAGAGAAGTGACGAACACCGACGTGCTCGGCCATCTCGAGACAGGTGATCTGTTGGTATCCACCGTCGACACGGGGAGCGTCACGGTAGTCGGAGCAGATGATGCGGCTCTGCTCCTCCTCGATACCGGCCTTGCGGAGACCATTGTTACCCCAGGCAGTCTGGTTACGACCGAGAGTGATACCAGTGACGTGGGCGCCGTAATGAGCAGAAGCGTACTTGGCAAGGGTTCCCCAGCCACAGCCGAGATCAAGGATCTTGTCACCGGGCTTGACACCGATCTTCTCACAAACGATAGCGAGCTTGTTGTCCTGGAGTTCCTCAAGAGTCTCCTCCTTGTTGATATCACTGATAACGCCGGAGGTGTAGATCATGCGGGGACCAAGGAACCAAGCGTAGAAGTCATCACCTCGGTCGTAGTGGTCACGAACCTGCTCCTCGTCTAGAGATGAGTTAGAACATTGAACTGAAGCACGTCATGCGATTTCCGGGAGAAAGCTTACCCTGGGAACGAGTGTGGAGCAGCATCTCAGGAATGAAACCAAACAGGAAGTGCTTGAACAAGCTAGAGGTGAACTTGAAGTTGGCCCAGTCGTGGCGGTACTCAAGGCACTCCAGAGCATCGCCCTTGAAGTCAACCTCGCCATTGAAGTACTTCTCGTAGAAGACGACCATGGGAATCTTGCTCTTGCCGCGGTAGGTGGCGCGGTCATGCTCGCTGTGGAAGCTCAGGTAGTGCTCGACGGGAAGACCACGGTACTTGGCCTTCTCAGTCTTGCGGGGAGAAACGGAAGAAGCGACAGCCCAAAAAGCGACCAAGACAGGAACGCTAGTGAACAGAGCGAAGAAGATGGTGGTGTAGAAACCTCCACCGACCTGGCGAGCCAGCCACCAGGGAACAATCACGAAAAGAGCGATCAGCAAGCCATTGGAGAAGCTGTCACTGCCGGGAGAGTCGGCAGGCACGGGGGCATTCTTGATTGAAGGGTACTAAAGGGAAACAAATTAGCACCTACCACCCCTCATGGGAAGCTGTAGCTGTGGACATACCAGTGTGGTTGGCACACCGCAATCGAAGTCGGGCTTGGTCTGCTCGGGGGCAGCCGGTGTCTGAATATACTCAAACTCCGGAATGGATTCCGGATGAATGGTCGTCATGGCGAGCGTCAATTGAATGGATTGGAAGGGAAAAGGAGAGGCCAGCGTAAATAAGAAGACATGGGCAATTCCGGGGCGGTGTGGGCTAGAACGTACCTGGAAGTACCTGATTGGTACCTCTGCTCCCGTGCGTATGTTGCCTGAGGGCTCGGTACCCGCCAGGTACACCGAACTTACTTTATTTTTCCCTGACGTACCTCCACCGCCTCTCCAGGAAGTGCATTGTGGACTTGAATTCGCATTAAATTCCTACAGCTAAACAGTATTCAGTATTTGGGCTATTGGTAATGACTAATGACTTGAAAATAAAGAAGCATCAAGCGATGCACTGCGTAAGTACTGTCCCTGACGGGAAATGCATGTGCGACTTTGTGGCTTGGCGAGAGATCATCATAGTGGAGAAGACCTGAAACAGGAGGATCCGCGGGACTATTCGTACACAGATCCTAACACATACAAGAACTTCATTTCCCAAACGCCACCCTTGAGACATGTGAATGTCTCAAATATGGTAATTTACTGTAGTAACAATTCAACCTCGTTCATCTGCAAAACCCGTTTACAACGTGAGTTGGAAGCTATCCTCTTCGTCTTCAAAGGCTGGCAGGTGCTCCTCCATGTCCTGGGTGTTCTGTTCTGGATCGAAACACCCGGCAGCTTTGCAGCGGGTCCACATTTCCGAGTCCAGCGGAGGGGCCCCGTAAAGCTGCATGTAAGTCTCCGGGGATAAAGCTTGGGAGGTCGAGGGTCCCTGTGCCTGGGTCTTCTCTCGCAGGTCGGAAGACACACTACGCCCTTTGGAATATCCAACCGTAGTGCGGGAGTTGGCAGCAGCGGCAGTGTTGCGCATTGAAGAGGGGTTCGATGGGGCTCTGGCGTGTCTCTTCGGCATGATCAGCGACGAAGCAGATGATGCTAATGACGCCACTCTGCGCGTGGGAGTTGGTGTGGTCCGGGGAGGTTCGGTAGGCTGAGATCCTGAAAGCGCCGCAGCAGCCTCACGGGATCGAAGGGTAGAGACGCTTCGGGTTTGTCGTACGGACGTAGGCCCTTTCGAGCAAAGAGCTTGTGGTTTGCGTGTCTTGGCAGGCTCACGCTCCCCAAGTTCCTCGAATCCAACACCCTCAAGTTGCTTGAGAATCATCTCGTCCACCATCTTATCACATGCCGCCGAATCCTCCTTGAACTTGCGCTGTTTCGCTGTGAGCCCATCGCTGCCAACTTGTTGCTTTCCGTAAACGCTCTCGAGACCTAAAGCTCTGTTCCTTGGCTGAAACTGGGGAAATGTGGTATCGTACGTCACGTCGTCTGGAAGGTCCGGGAGATCTAGAGGTCGTCAGAACATGTGCAAAGTAGCTTCACGGGTCCCGTTCTCTGGTTTTACCTCTGGGCTTGGGTGGCATGTATTCAATATCCGGGACATCATCAACTGGAACATCACTGTGGACCTTGAGTTGAGGCTGTTGTGTAATTGGAGCGGCTTTCTTGAGCTTCTGCGCAGTCGATTGTCGTCGGTTCGTCTTGATGGTTCCTCCAAAGGGAGCTGGTGTCTGGAGGTTCTTGGCTTTGGGGTTGTTCGTTTTCATGCCCAATGGAGCGCGATCTTTTACTGCAGGATCAACAATCATTAGTTATCGTCCGTGATTCATTGGATCGCGCTTGGACGAGGTTTTCGTACCCATCGGAGTGATAAACGCGTCCTTGGGCGGTTTCCCATTTTCCAGGCGGTTCGCATTTCCCTTGACGGTGCGGCCTCCAAAGGCCAGTGGGTTGTTCTCATCATTCCGCTTCCCCGGCGTCTTGGGGGCAAACTTCGAGGTTTGGTTCAAGGGCTTAGCTGCGGCGGCGGTCTGGTGAGTATTTACCAGGTTCTCCTGGTCACGAAGGGCCAACATGGCGGAGTGAAGCTGGTCAGGGTCATCCGTTGTGTCGAGAAGTAAGATCAGTCGCGTCACCGAGATCACAAGGGACTAGAAGCGCGAAGCAGTTCTAGATGCAGATGTTGTCGAGCGGTTGCCCGTGGAGACGCGGCGATCTCGGCCCCGTGATTGGCCGAGGGGGACCACAGCGGTTGTACCACGTCCATACGCAGGTTACGCTGATGGTACACACTAAGTACTGGGTACTTCCCCTGTAGTGGAGCTTGTGTGTGATCAGCCGGTACTGTCTACTTGTTCACTAGTCAGCCATTATTCCTCCCCTTCTCTCCCAAACTCTCCCCCAGATCATCTTCACTCACAATCATCCACACTCACAGGTTTCTCGCAGAGCGAAAGCCTAAACTACTCTTCCTTTCAATCTTACATATTACCTCCTTTATTCCCTTTTCAATACCAAAATGGACAAGATCAAGGAGGTAAGATCCCTACCCGGCGGGGTAGCTTCACCCGTCTCCCAAATTCTTCCAACCCCTCATGATGCACATATGCATAATCTCCGGCATACCATCACTTCCATGAATTTCACTAACTATTTTCTTCCTAGCGCATGGTCGCCCTCCGCGCCGAGGCCGATGAAGCTCACGAGCTGGTCGAGGAGCTGAAGGGTCGCGTCAAGACACTGGAGCAGGAGAACTTGTCCAAGGAACAAGAAATCACATCTCTCAACCACCGCAACCAGTTGCTTGAGGATGAGGTTGAGAAGGCTGAGACCTCCCTGAAGGAGGCCAAGGAGGCCGCCAGCCAGAGCCTCCAGCATGACACCCAGAACGAGGCCCTCCAGCGACGGGTCCAGCTCCTCGAAGAGGAGGCTGAGGAGAACGACAAGACTCTGCGGGAGACAAACGAGAAGTAAGGCTATTTGAACCTTTGCTTACGTCTCAGCGCTGACTTATTGGAACTTCAGGCTTCGCCAAACCGACATCAAGGCTGGTCACTACGAGCGGAAGGTGCAGGCACTCGAAGACCAGAACTCCAAGCTGGAGCAACGGTATGAGGATGCTATCAAGGAACACAGTGGCGTCAAGAAGGAGCTTGATGACCTCGCCGCCCAGATGGCCGATATCTAAGCTCCAGGTCGGTGAGGGCAGGATAATGGGGGACATTGGATTGGACACAAGCGTCCTTGTCTGGTTTTCATGCGTTTTCATACTGTGACTGTTTGTGTTGCGGCTTTCCCGATTTTAGCCAGATACAGCGCTTTGATAGCAATACCTTCATACAATCACTACGGTGTCCATCATTTATTGCCTTGCATTCCTGATGCGCCCAAAACGCTTGTGCTCCATAATATTGACTCATCAAGGCCAACCCAAACAGAAAATCGAATATATGCACATGTGGGAAATCGCTTTTGAGGTATGAGTATATAAATCGTTCAAGCATCCTTCTCCTTCCGTGCCTTGGCCTTTTTGGACTTGACGTTGCGCTGCTTTCGCTGTGTTTCCCGGCGCACCTCTTTGCTCTCATAGCGGAAATTTCTCTTCTTCTTCCTCGCTGCCTCTGAGGCAGCACTCCGGGGCTTCCTCTTTTTGGCAGTTTTGGTCTCGGCCTCTTTGGTTTCAACTGGCTTCTCCGTCTCTTCGTCCATGTCGGTATCATTTTCATGCGCAGACTTGAGCAAGCCTTCCCGTGATGCGTCCATCTCCTCAACTGTTACTGTGGTGTATTTGTCTTCGTCGATATATTCGGCCTCGTAGTCCACGGCTGGGGGTTCTTCGATTCCTTCCCAAGCGTCTGCACTTTCTTCACCGTCACTGATATCGCCGGCGTCTTCTTTCATGCGTTGAAGTACTTTGGAGTGCTCGTCCATTGCTTGCTCGAAATCTTTTTTGCGCTCCTCGCGAATCTAGTCGAATTAGTAGTTTTCTTCGAACGAGTGCGACAATAGGTCGAACCTTCTTTCTCATAGCCTTCTTGTCTTCCTTGTATTGCTTCGCAGCATTCTCCGCTGCGTGCTTAGCACGCTGGACCTTGCGCTTGTGAAATCCAGTCAACCATTCCTGGCGGTTTTCCGAGTCGAAGTTGATCTCTTCAACTCTGGGCGCGGCGACGACTTTGCGCTTTTTCAGGTTTTTCATATTAGGACCCATGGCGACGCAGAATATGGGATCAATCCCAAATTATTCGTACGAAATGCGAGTTGTAAGGTTGTGTTGTATCTGCGAAAAAAAAAGTTGCCGTGAAAGCTCAGGCGGGCCGGCGTTCTCGACCGCCTCCGAGGCCAACTCGGACACCTCCCGTTGGCAACATCATATTCACCTAACCCATCATAAACACAATGCATTTCAGCAGGTTTGGGCTCGTTGCCCTTGGGGCAGCAGCTGTGAATGCTTTCAGAGATACATCACCATTCTTCCTCGCTTCAACCTCCGAGTATGCTCAGATGCACCTGGTTCAAGCTAGCGGAGCTAACATGTCTTCCCCTAGGGTCCTAGCGAACTCCGCTTACATCCAGACAGGAGCGTCTGTTCTCGAAACCCTTGATTCTGCGCTCAGCTCTTGCCCCTCGGACTATTATGTCGTCGTTTACCAGCCTGGTGCACACGCTACCGACTTCTCGACGCGCAAGTCTGCACCCCGCTTAGGTGCGAAGATGCTCGGCAAGGACAGCTCAATCCGCTCTAAGATGAGTGTGAACGAGGTCGCTGGCTTGGTGGAACCAAAGGAAGTCAAGAAGCTTCTGGAGACGAAGTGCAAGGCCCAGACTACCACTATCGATGGATCCAGTGAGTCGCTCTGATGGTCGGCAATCTGCCGACCGACAAGAAGAATGCAGCTAATGATATGAAGCCGGATCATACCCCTCGGTGTTTGGGGAGGGCCCCCGAATCATCGATATCGAGTTCCCGATGCTGTCCCTCAACTCACACCGCGCGCAGCAGCTTTCTGAATTCGGTATGTCGATGGCGCACTGGGCATTGCATCACCACTGACTCTCCTAGATGGCTTCCTCTCCGACGTTGTTGAGCGCATTCCCTCCTCCAAGTATACTATCCTATACATTACCTCCCCGAGGGAATTCCCTGAATCAGACTCTGTGATCTACGAAACCTCCGAGGGCTCGTACCAGGACTCACTACACATGGAAATGAAGCGTGATTACTCCGCGTCTGGTAGTTCATCAACCTCATCGAACAAATCAACTTCTTTGTTCGAAGAGTACCAGTACTTCACTCCAGGTTGGTCCCGTCCTTTGATTTATCCTTGCTCAACATACTGACATCTGGGCAGGCATCTTCATGGGTCTCATGGCTACCTTCCTATTCTTGGTGATCTTATACATTGGTATCAGTGCCTTGAGCAGCCTCCAAATCCCGTATGCCGCATTCGAGAAGGATGAGTCCGCTACCGTGCTCAAGAAGCAGCAATAAGCGCCAACCCTTGTTGGGATATGGGTTGAAATACACATCACGGCAATCTGGTTCTAGGGTTAAGAGGCTTTCGTATTTGTATGATACATCATATTGTGCTTTCTAAATGTTATGAAGTAAACCCTGAAATGCCCTTCTGTTCTTTTTTTGGATGTCAGGTGATCGTGCCTAAGGCAAGATTCTCTAGCGGCGTCTTGGGATTCTTCCCATTTTGGCTTACGCTGGGAGTCCATTGCTTTCCAAAGTTGCCACATTCACACTCGTTCCATTTGAAAGCCAGTCCCTCGTTTTGGTGATCTCCTTGAACTCTTGTGTCCAGAAATCTAGATTGGTGATCTGCAGCCTGAATCCTGCAACTACCTGTCTTCAGTGGGACATCTGGAGGGGCGGAGACCAGTCATTTTTCAAATTAGTGCTCGGAAGTTTTGAGACGACGCGGGTCTGATTGATCTGATAGGCATCACTGACAGATTCCTCACTGTCAAGTCGATCGGCGCCTACTCCGAACGACCCGCAGCCTGTGGAGAAGCAGATCAATTGTTTACCGCCGTTGCCATGCGAGTCCTGCCGCAAGGGCCTGGGAGAGCCCGCCCGTCATTCCTTCTTCTGCTTTTCTTGGTCATTGCTTTCGCTGCGCAAGTGCACGCTCAAGTTCCTGCCGATGATACATCAACGGAGACCGATGCCGCCCAGACCACCGACGATCCCTCCACACAAAGCACCTCTAGCGTGAGTGAGACCACTGCGACAACTTCTTCCTCGACATCCACTTCCACGTCGAGCAGCACCAGCACCAGTACCACTACTAGTAGCTCCTCTTCCGAAAGTACTAGCAGAACCATGGACACTACAACCAGCTCTTCGACCGAGACCTCGTCAACTACAACGTCCGACAGCAGCACATCAACATCATCGGTCTCCACGACAACGACATCATCAACAACATCTTCTTCCACAACCGATGCCGCAATCGTGACCGTACCCCCGATCGCAAATGCCCCGTACATGCAAGAAAGCAGCGCTCCAGAAGGGACTGTCTTCATCGCTGTCGGCGCCGCTCTAGGCCTCATCGGCCTCACCCTACTCGCCTGGCGCGCCATGGTCGCATGGTCCGTGAACCGCTCCGTGCGACGCGCAGCCATGAAACACGCCTCCGACAACAAGCGCATGCTCCGCAACAGCAGGAAAAAGCGCTCAACGCCATACTCCGCCGTACCGACAGACGTGCACCTTGGCAAAATGGGTGCCACTCGCTCAAGTCACAAACCCCGCGTTGCAAGCGGCAACAGTGGTCTCTTTTTCTCGCCCACAGCCGGTCCGACCGGCTCTCATGGTAGTGTGAATGCCGGTCATTCTGGGAATCGCGGGTCGACTTATCTGCCTGCTGGATATTACAATGCTGCTGGTCATTCAAACCCCACAGCCGAAGTGTACTCACCTACTGCTGGGCTTTCGTCTCCTTCCTTGCCCTCTGTTGGCGCATTTAATGACCCGCATCGTCAGTCGTATGCTGGTGCCTCGACTAGCTCCCTCAATCTGAACCAGGCGCCTCAAGGCCGTGCGCCGAGTGCTTACCTGGAAGATTTGTTCGAGAATCATAACCAGTCTCGTCATTCTGATTCGGGCCAGGATCGCAGATAACGATATTCATCGGTGATTGTGCGTCTTTTGAAACGATGAAACGATAATACTGTCAAATCTGCTTCAGGTCTGTTTTGGCCTTTCTCTGCCATTTTGCAACAAACTTCGAATTTCTGTTGTCATTTTATTCCTATTTTATTTCGGTGGTTTTCCATCAAATCGGCGTTCATAAATGCACCGCGTGGCATTCGATGTTTTCCAGGTTTTTTTCTGCGTATCATTTTCATACTCTTTGTCCATGTATATAACTGAGCTCTAATTGTAAACGGAAATATACACTGTTCCCAAAGCCAAATTCATATTTCTCCTGACTTCCGAGGTCCAAAGATTCCAATTAGCTTGAAAAAAGCGGCGCTCAACGCTTGTTGGGCTCAAGTCCACCTGGGCAAGTTTCAATACTTCCAAGGTTGATGGGATAGTACGATATCCATTGAAGAACACGTTTTTTGATTTCGATGAGCCGCCCATGAGTCTGGACTGTACCTAGTACCTAGGTACTAGGTAGGGTAGGCAATATTCCATGGATGTCTGTACGTATCTACATAGAAGCAATCTGGGAACTGTTTCAGTGGTACATCTCACTGAGAAGATTGAAATTCTGTATGCAAATGGCAAGGCAATGGGTATCTACGGACAAGAAAAGCAATTTAGTCAATCCGCTTGTACAACTTGGCCTTGGTGCCAGCCGAAGAAGACCCAGCACAACAAGAAGCAGCTTCCTCAGGGTGAAGAGAAGACTTGTTGAACAGCTGAGAGGATTGCGGGACATCGAGAGCAGGGTTCTTGTTGAAGAAGCCGTCAGGCTTCAACATGACACTGATTCGCTCCATGGGCATGACGGGGAAGTCCTCAATGCGAGGGTTGTGAGTGAGACCGAAGGCTGATAAAAGTTAGCTGAAGTCGTGGGTGGGACAAAAAAGTGAAACTCACTATGCCATAAGATGACATCCTCATTCTCTGTGTTGTCCTTGCGCTGAACCCAAGTCTCGACACCCTCGGCGCGGCGACTCTGGTTGGTGAACTCTCCTGCAGCGTACAGCTCATCGTCTTGATACTTCGTCACCCAGATAGGCTTAGTGGCAAACTCGGCGCGGCGGTAGCCTGGGGCGTTCTTGCTGACTAGAAGCATTTGGCTGGGAGCTGCCATAAGCTTATAGGCAACGGGTTTGTAAGTGATGGGATTGACGACGTTGTCGTTGCGAATCTTGAAGACACGGTGTCGATCCACACTGGTGTTGGCTGTGCCTGATGTGCGCATGACTGTGGGCTCGGAAACATAGCCCACGAGGTAAGGATTCTTCTCGTCTTCTGGCATGGGAACACTGTCTTCATAATAGATAGTGTTCTTGAATCCATCAATGGCGGGGTCGACGCGGAGCGAGAACATGTGTTGGTGGAAAGGAGCCATAACGCCTGGGCCAACATTGGTGCCCCATGGAACGGTTTGTCCGTTCTCGTTGTCGAATGGCACGGTGGAGAGGATACCGGTAGCACGGACTTCCAATTCGACATTGGCTGCTTGATCGAAGATGTAGTTGAAGATGTATTCGTAGTTGGCCACAGTGCAGATCATCTGCAGGACAAGTTGGCGGTTGCGCACAACGGTTGCAGCGCCCGAACGGTAGTTGGTATGCTTGTGCTGCAAACCATTGTCCTGTTCGTGCATACAGATCACGTTCTTCAATTGCAAGGGGTTACCCTTGCAATCGTTGCGGTATCCATCAAAGTATTTGATGTGACCCAGGCAGTCACATCCCAATGCTAACTGGTTGGCATTCATACCAAAGCCAGTATCGCCGACATCAAACGCTTGCTTGCGGTGATAAGGAGCGCGAGGATCTAGATTCAAATTAGCAAAGCCATTGCAGGAAACATCAATTTGCGGTTTGGATTCCACTCACCTCCGTATGGAACAGTCATCTCAGAGACAGCCAGGCGATAGAAGAGATTGCGATTATCGTAGGTGACATTGTAGATAACCAAACCTTCGCGGGCATTGAAACCCACGCGGAAGCGCCACTTCTGCCAGTACACTGAATTGCCATCAACGGAGTATGAGGGACCCTCCGGCTGTTGGACAATGTAAGACTTGAGATCGGAGCGAACGGGCTCATCCAAAAGATCGTGAGCATACTGCACCGTCTTGACAGGCTTCCAGGGCTGGGTTGTGGAAGTCTCGAAGTCAGCCCCACCAGGGAGGTAGTCCATACGGACCAATTCATGGGTCAGGCCGTCAAACACTGGCGAGAACTTGCAGGGCAGAGAGTAGTGGTTATTTTGAGGGTGGTCAACTTCGACCATGTACATGAAGCATTGGAAGAGACGTCGATCTTCGTCATCGTTGTCTGTGCCGTACATCCAAGGATCATTGCAGACCGTCACACCTGCGGGTAATTGCAACTTCTCGATTTCGGCAAGAACTGCTGGGTGTTTCATGCACATCTCCTCGATACCGGCGATTTCATCGATATCAATGGGGCCCTTCAAACCAAGGATTAGTCTAGGGCCTTTGACACAACCTAGTTTCACATACCTGGACCTCCTTTGGGAGTTCTTTGGCATACACGATGGAGCGTTTATCGGCATTGAGGATGGCTTTGTAGAAGGCACCTGTATCCAGACGATGGAAAAGGACATAGAGGAGACGGGCTGGGGGTGAAGGCAGTGGCCGTCGGAGACGCTCTGCTTCAATGTATGCGATCACATCCTTCTTGATGGGTTCATTGACATCAATGCGCTTGTAACGCAAAGAGACTCCAGGGAAGGTGGCTTCGAGGATCTTGACGGCAAGTCTTATCTCCTCGGGTGAGATTGGATCAAATGGGTGAGGGCCGTGGGTAACCATTTTGGCAATGTGGGGTGCGATAATTGAAGCGATAAGGATGTGAAGTGTAGAGACCACCGAATAATCCCACGAGCACCCCAGGTAGATGCGATGAGGGATTGATAGGGAGAGTGAGAATGAGAAAGAGAGAGAGAGAGAGAGAGATGAGAGAGAGAAATATAAAGACTTGCAGGACCTCAGCATTTAAGTCCGGGGATCTTTTGGGTCTGGCTGTACCTGCCCGATTGGGCCATGTGGGGCTTGGAGACAATGTCCTGTACACTCGTAGTACATCACACTGTAGATACCATACCGATTTATTTAAGATAAGAGAACTAGAGAAATAGCATGAATCTGCTTGTATACAGACTTCCCTCTTGTATCCCTAAAGCCACCCGTTCCCAGGTTGTTTCATTCGTTGCGTTCCTCCGAGCATTCTCACGTGACTATGGGGAACGCGATAAGATGCCCCGATTGGGTTTAGCGTGTGTACCTGGCGGAAGGCCCCCGATGTCCCATCAATGACCTTCATCAGGACTGTCTGTACAGACCCCAGGCCGTTCATATTGGGACTGCGCCGCTTGCCGAATTGCTGCCGTTCGGATCCTCGCTCGCTCTTCCGATGGTAGCACTGGTCTATTACATTCTGAGGCTCGATAGCCTGGCGCTCTTCGCATCTGAATCGCGCACACTCAATCATCCTTATGGTGTTCAAATTTTTGATCATACCTAGTATGCCTAAGACTCATATCAAAACGTGTCAATGTCACCAAGACCATTCATCACAACCATCAGACTGTCCAGGAGCGGTGGAAAACTTTTGACTCCAGGACTGAAGTTGCCGCGGTATATATCGCAACCTGCAGTCATAATAGCGCGAATATCGGTCAACGGAGTGAAGGTACCACCAGGACTGACAGAAACTCCTGGTGAACCTTTACCAAACATGACAAAGGAAGTTATATCGGCATTATTAGGACCATCCAGGACGACTGGGTAGCTACCCTCGGGTTGACTCCGGACAAATGAAGCTCGGTTCATGGTCAATGACATGACTCCGTAAGCCCATAGTGTTAGACTGGCCTGGTATACTGCGAGTGCTGAAAATGCACGAAGTTGAGCCCTCTGCATCTTTCGTGCTTTTTGGAAAATTCGGCCTGCGTGACGAACTGCTGTCCTGAGTTCCAGTCCTGTCATCCACTGTTCAAACAATCGATGGATAGCCGTTGTTCCCCATCTTTGCTCTCTCGCCGCACTGACAAATTCTTCCAGTTCTCGTGTTGGGATATTCAACGCCATTATACAGAATTCCGCAACAATCTCAAGAAGAGAAGAGTCGGAGATGTGGCCTGAAAACAGCCTTCGAGCCGATTCGATTCGCTTAACGAGATCTTCATGTTGGCATGATATCCATAGTGTGGTTCCTGCCTGAGAAGTGGTGTGCTCATTCGCACGGAAGAATCTTTTGGAATCCTGACAGGCCCAAACTTGAGACCAAAATCCATGCATTGTCACCAAAGCAATGAGATCCTTATCGTAAGCTGATGGTAACCCTGCCAGTAGAGATGGCTTTTGGGCGATGGCTAGCCAGGGAGGTGTGTGGTTAGATGAGATTTCATGTAACAAAATGGCCTCTCGCCATTCCGCTGCATGACGTGCATGCCACATTTCTTTGGCGAGAGGCAGTGGACATGATAATTCTGTGAGAGAGCAGTTTGGCGACTTATCGTATGCCATTGAGCATTGGAGATCAGTCAAGACAGCAAAGATGGTAGAACTGTTGGCAGACACACTAGTCAGTCACGTTTGGGAAATTTCGTGACATGGGACTGACCGTTTTAGTGATTCGTTTTGGACCCATTCGCGCCATCTTGTACTTGATGTGGTCCCGTCGTCATCCATTCTGTGGAAGGGCTCTGTACCTCCGAGCCTGCGAAGCATCTATTTCAAATGTTAAGTACTCTTCGGCATGATTAACAAGATTACGATAGCCTACTTTGATTGGCGAGAATGAGAACATCACTGCAACCTCACGGCTCCGCTTGACCCCACTCCATAGACCCGTTGATATCCATAGCAAATTGGCCTGAATCCTTTGAAGCTCTCTTTGCAGGGTCTCTTCCTCTTCATCGATCTGTGTCATTCATGGATGTTTTAGTCTTCGAGTTGAACTAAAGGCTGAACAGTGCTCGCTTACCGATGCCGAAAGTGAAAGGCGAGCGCACTCTTGTAGAGAATACCCCATCTGCCACACTTCGGGGATGGAAACAGATGTAGCACCCGCGCCAATGACGGTTGCCAAAAGCTCCGTATGACATTCGCAGTCAGAGAATGAGGAGTGAATCCAAGTCGCAGTCTCCACGCCCTGACAGCAAAAGAATATTTCTATCATGCGATTCAAATGTTTCTCATGTGGAAAGGAATGAAGCGGAATATTTGAGCGGGATGTGTTGTAAATCATGAAAAGTATCCTGTCGCGCCAGCCTGAAGCCATAGGGACGGGACTAGGAGACGAGGATTCTGTATGAGCTGGTAGCCACAGCCATGGCGACAGGTTGGAGGATTCTGAGTAAAATGAAAACGAAGCGTGATTCCGAACGCCTCGTTCATTCTCCTCGGTTTCTAGCGCCGTAGGTTGATTGGATTGCATCAACGCCCGGAGACTTTCAGAATTTGGTTCCAGGTCTCCTTTCTGGAGGTTTCTGGGCCCAGATGAGATTATGGGACTGTCACCAGAAGAGATAGCTCCTATGGATGATGGCGGATGAGCATTTTGTCCCACGAAACGAGGATCGAAAGCGTGCGACTGGGTATCATTCGAGGGCTGGTCAGAAATATGACTATCCTGAGATTGCAAAACATGCGTCGGGTCCGCTGAAATGGGGGACGCGGATACTGGGTATTCATCCACAGCCATTTGACGGCTTGGATGAGTATCGTGCGTAAGATTGATCTGGGGTGATGGATTCCACGGAGCTGCACTCGTCTGCTCCCGCACAGAAGGCAAGCACTGCTCACCTCGGCTCAAGCAGCGTTGGCATGGCTTTTCATTCGAACACTTTGACTTGCTCCGGATACATGCTTCACATGCTCGACTGGCACGCACGGCTCTCGGGCTCTCAGTTTTGCCTGAGTGCGTTTGTTTATGTCGGTATAATGAGTCCCTAGTGCTGCAATCAGACCTGACTCGAGGAGAAGATTAAGTAGCTTACCCTCGATTAAAGGCCTTGGGGCAATCAGGACACTGATGAGGTCTCGACCCTTCGTCTATAAAGCGGGTCAGAATAGGCTGAGCGGTTCGGATGGAACCCTTACGACTGCTTAGATGTCGCGCATAATGATCTGATCGGTCGAAGGATCGACTGCACTGTTCGCACCAATAGCCGGGACCCGAGTCGTTGTCTGTTCTCGCGAGCTTTGAGACAGGCGGCGCGTCCATTGCGCCCAATTGAACTTTGGGATGTTCGGGTTATGACAGCAATGATTCTTCACATTAATCAAAAGTGACGAGCGAGATACATGCACTCGTGCCTCAACCCATCACCAACGCTTCTTTCCTTGCGTCGATCGCGGATCGGTCGCGTGTGGGAAGAACGCCAATATGTTGCAAAGCGGGAGTCCCCACTCCCATTCCAGGCGGCAAGCGACAATTCCGTGTGGATCGCGCGATGCGGATCTTTGGTGGGACCTGGCCCGGGTAACCTCTCAATTCACTGACCCCAGGAATGCGACTCATGAAACCCTTCATGTCTGCACCGACAGCGACGGCCCGAGACGACGATTGAGTCTGCAGGTATTTGGAAGGCTTCGTGTAGATCTGACACAAAGTAGAGCATATGACACTAGTGGAAATATAGGTCCGACAACAGAGTCATGGACCCCAACAGGTATGGGATCCTTCCGAAGTTCTCAGGAACCAGATGCTAGGTGTTGGAAGCCGTGGGTGCCTCAGCCATCGTTTCCTCAGGCATAATTCCAGTAGGTCTGCTCTCACTGCAATCATGACTACGTTTTGACGTTTACCTACCTAGGTACCTAGGTAGGTAAGAGCACAAGTATGAGCCACATCTATCTTGTTTCTCTCACAATTATTGGAGACCCGTCAGTAGGGTTGATCGCCCGCTAAATCCCAGTCCAAATTCGGCAGAAACTCATCGAGACCAAGATCATTCACCATAGTTGGCCAGCTCATATCGACCTCATCAAGAAATAGATCCGAGGGGGGCATATTAGACTCGACGGATGCCGATGGATCAAAAGCAAATCCGTCGGGCTGGAAAGCCATTTTCAAAATACTAATCAACATCCCTTTCTCTGTGCAGCCATCGCTAGGGCTATAGAGTTCAACCTGAAGAAGCCTCTCAAGCGTCTTTGCACTGTGAGTCGCCAAACTGGTGCTAGGATTTGGATGTTTTATTGCCTCGAGACAATATTGTATCGAGCCCCGGAGCTCGGTAGCGAAAGAGGGTGGTGTCGTTGCCTTGAAGCAAATGAGATACAAAGCTACGTACACTCCTGCTGCCAGCGTTGCTGTTGCAACTACCCTGTTTATTTTAAGGCGCTTAGCATATGATTCTATAGCTGGTCCTCAGATTGGGGCGAGAAACAACATACCAGTGACATTGGGCCAATCGAGAGATAGGCTGCTGGCGCGTAGCAATGATTTTCAGGGCACTGCTAAGCCCCTTCTGTATGATGGGCTCTGTGTCTGGTCTTCCCATGAGCCACAGAACTAGTGAAGCCCGGCCAATGGTGACAGATATCAGTTGAACGTTGTGGCTGATGAGGTACTGTTGTATCGCCATCCAATCAGGCGGATTGACTGATAGGAAATCATTGGGTCGGAAATTCGCTCTCTCAATGGTCTCTAATTGATTCAAAACTTGAGAGAAACGATCAGAGTTGGGATCCCGTGGGGCTTTCACGTGTGTGTAGATAACACTAGCAAGCTGTGATATTGTGAGATAATACCGAAGAGGCAGAAGTTGCGTGTCAGATCCAGCATCAGTCAGAAGGAGATC